TATGGCTTGTTCTTGTCGGGAGTGTGGACAGATCAATTTCTGATTTACGACTATTACTCCGTAATGCAAGGCAACGTCAATCATCTGCCAGGATTTCATCAGTCACATTTAAATGGTCAATCTTTGGTCATTTGCCAGTTTCGCTTGTCCAAACATGCCGTTACCGCATCCGGAGGATGCGACTGTCCTGCATGGATCATTTGCATAACCTCCATCGTTAACATAAGCGTGGTTAAATACATGCAGGAAGAGATATCCCGTACACTGAGCATATGAATCCGCTCATAGCCGCCCTGCTAGTCGCTGAAATGCATCCGGGAGCAAGGGTTTTTAGCATGGCTGTGATAAGCTGAATCCTAATCCGTTCGAATCTAGACCGCTGCATTGATGCGGGTCATAGACGCTATTTCGGTGATGTAGGTCGACGCGCTCTCTCCCGCCGACCAGTCTTCTTACGCCAAGTTTGAGAGGCTGCGCATCATGAAAACAAATAGGATCCGATAAACGTCCAACAAGCTGGCGTGCATTGGGCGCCTCATTCATTGAGCACTGTCTAAGCTTCCGCTTTGTCTTTTTCCAGCATTATTTCGACCTTCGCATGGATGACTTGAAAGAAAGACAGTGAATACCCTACTGGAGGGGTTGATCGCCACACCGAACAGCTTGTACAGCTCGGGCGGGGTCATGCAGAAAGCATCTGTACTTTCGCTTGTCGCACATATCATCCTGTGAGCAGGGTATCGCTGTTCTATCCCAGTGTACTGGGCAGCCTTGTACCCGGATGACATGTGCTTGCTTTGAGCCAGCTCGATTTTTCCAAGCTTCTTGCGCCGTCCTTGCTTCGGTAGTGTACGAAATGCAATCCATCATCGCAGCTAGGCCGCGTAGAGGTGGATAATATCTTGTACGACACACCAATCAACCTTCTCTACGTGGACGCACTTCGCTCCATGGCAAATTGTGCGATCCTAGATGCAACCGTCATATTCTGCTCACCGGTTTGCTTACGATGGAAAAACCTCGACAAATGGAAGAGGGAGCTTCACTGATAGGCATGAGCATCTTCGTCGAGTCAGAAGAAATTTCGTGAAATACGTTCTCGCCTCAAATCGATGAGAGTTCCCTTTTAATTATATAGCACTTCCACTACGATGCACATCTTTTGCCATTCGTTCGTCCTAGACCACAACAATGAGAGTCAAATCTCCTCACCATATTCCCACCATTGGCAACATTGTCGACCGCGAGAACCTCAAATGAACTTGTAAACGAGACGTAGGACTCACAGACTGACCTGCTTTCTGCAAAAAGGAGCTGTTTTCCGTAGCCCCGCACCTATCAGCAAACATTTCAGTATGTGTTGAGTTCTGAAAATGGCAAGTAAAAACTGGGCACCGCCAACGTCTCTCAAGTTACGGACCGTCAAATGTGGCCTTTGTTTTGACGCGCAACAGACAAACCGGAAGTGGTGAAGCTTGTGAGCGGACGTCGAAATAAAGTTGGTTGGCGTCGCCGCAAACACATTCTCCGGGGCCTCTCATCGTGGAGCTGGGCGTCATGAGATCCAATTAGCCGTGCAGGAGCACATCTCCGAACAGACCGCTGTTGCTTTTGCATGCTGAAGTCATGGGGACGTCCGATGACTTGCGTTATCCACGCTGGTCTGCAGCACAAGCGCGTCGCCTGTGGAGGACCCCAAAGTTCGGGACCGTTGCTTGAGATGCAAAACCCTCCCGCCTGTACGTGGTCATTTTCATGGGGACCGCCTCGAATCCCTTCGAGGGAACTCCAAATATGCTGCTTGAGGCCGCTAGCAACCCACTGACCGTGTGAGATTGGGTTGAGATGCTCTGACCGGTCCGCCGCGCTCGGCCGCTCAGCTGCACGGGCACATGTCCCTCTTGGGCAAGCATTTAAATAGCTTTCGCTCTGTCCAGCAAAATCGAGACCGGCCCGTGATAATGCGCTCCGTTGCGGATTAGACAAAACCCGCCCGGCCGACTGACCGGACCGGAGCGACGTGGTGGCGGCCCAGCAAAAACCCTCTGCGGGAACTTCACACGCTTTGCATTCTGCCATGCGTGTCCGGATTGCACCGAGAGCAGATCCGGCTCCATTACGTTACGAGAGCACGCTCATTTACTAAGACGAGACACCAGCCGCGGCTGAGAGGACACCGAAGCCAGATTTGCAGCGTCCTTGAACGCGATGACGACGCCTGCTTTCCTCTCTTGTAGCGTCTTTCTAAAATGTACCTTTTACTACAAGCTTGAAGTTCTCGGCGTTCCTTTCTCCAATCTGATCAACAATCAACTGCCTCCTCGCGAGTCCACAAAGAGCCCGCACAAGCTTCAAGTGACCGAAAACCAGGACCCCAACGAACAGCCCACTGACTCTCAGCCACAGCCCTGACCGGTCCTAGTGCTCTTCAAGCATGAGATCGTATCACCGAGCTCCAGAAGCATGTAGAGTAGCAACCACATCCCTATGGTAATCAGAACGTTCTTCATTTTGCGTAGGTGGGTGCTTTTAATTTAAGTTAAGCGAGTGACGATGACGAGTAGACATGTGGGTGTGGAGATGATCAAATATTTGCCCCTTTTTGATGTCATCAATGCTTGGGCAAGAGATTAGTTCGTATAACAAGTGTTGTGGCTTGCTCAGGCGGGGTGGGATTTTGAGAAAACTCACCCAGATATTCCACAAGTAAACCTCTACGATGATCTCTCCGTGCCCGAGCGCCTACATCATGTTACCATGTGCTTTCTGTATGTCCACTATATTCACAATGTGAACGCAGTTCGTATGAGGAATGATAATCTGGCGAGAAGCATAGTACAGGTCAAGTAGCCACATACGAGCAGCGCATCCATCGTCATATCTCTTCCTAAAATGAACTTTGCGTCGAAGCTTGCGTTGCTGTTACGAAAACTGCTAGGAAGCGCTACACTTCCGACGATGAATTAGGCAAGGCCAGCAACGTGTCCGGGCACGGGAATGATGGGAATCACTTCTGAGAAAGTGGCAAGAGGATGTTTCATTTGTGGCAAACGGCAAGGAGATTTTGATTTGCAGGTCGTGCGAGTATGAGAACACAAGTGGAGAGGAGTAACATGACAACATTGTTGGGCCAGAAGGATTGAGGTTGATCCGTCATTGATACGGTCTTTAGCGACGTATTTCCATAGAGAGGAGCGTGTAGGTTGATTATCATGTGATGGATTGTGCTAGGGTGAGGCATCGTTGCCTCTTGGTTGAGAACTTGGTGAGCGGGATCAAAGCAGGCCGTTATGAATTCCACCAGAGCTGAATGCGGAAAAGACAATTAATGAAGGAAGACGGAAAGAAAGAGATTCAAATACGTTGACGCAACGGGCATATATGACAAAGCTACACAATTGAGGCCCACAGCGTTCCACATGGAGACAGACTGTGGAGTTGCAAATCCGTGGGCCGACCCTGACGGCCGAATAATTCTCACGCTCGTCGATATGTTGGAGTGTCTAGCAGTACAAAAATTCCAATTCACAAACCATGTACGTATAGTTGAAATTGTCTATAACAGATGGTTAGAATATGAACGAGTCATATTCTTGAGGGGCCCGTGCTCTTACACCTATATTGAAAAAGAAGGATGTTATTAAAGACACGTCGTTGTTGAAGTCGCAAACGTTTTTATTCATCTTCTTTCCCGGCACATCTCAAGCTTTTGCCGTGGAATCCAAGCTTTTTCATGGCCATCCGTTTTTCTCGTTACCTAACTAACCACTATAAAAAGCTTTAGCAATCAGCTCATTCAATCTTCAGACTTCGACCAGTGATACATGTCCGTCCACCTGATGCAAGAAAGACAAGCTAGCTCACACATGATAGTGCATGGACTTTACGGCTCAGATGTTCCATATTTTTCCGTCACAGTAATAGGGCGGGAAGAGTAGGGTGCGGGTAACCAGCATTCTGTGCCTTGCAAGCGTTCATCCTAAATAAGACTGCCCTCTCGAGCCTATGGCTTGAAGCATCAGGATGTGACGGGCATATGTGCTACAGATGTGCCAAGGATAAACGCTTTGCGCAGTTCTGAAAGCCAAGGTGTGTTGTTTCACGCGCAAGAGTCGCAGCAATTTGATTCAAGTACCTGGCAGGTTCCGCAGCAGAATGCGACGTATCATGTTGACGGACTTTATCCCGCAACGCAGGTACCCATTCGCCTTGCACAGCCGCAGTCAAACAGCACCTGCCGACGGACGGAAAGGCAAGAAAAGTACTGCGGCCAGTAGATGAGCGTCCGATTTTCAAACGACGTTTAAGGCGTGACGCTGAGGTGCAAGTATCGCAACGTGGTATACTTGATCGTCATACCACCTCGAAAGCGGGAAGACGACGACGACGCAACAAGCACGAGATGTGAATAGCATTGTCAGCAGCACCACGCTGCAGAGCGCTTTTAATGGAAACTTATACGAAGATTGAGTGCAAAGGCCCTGACGGCGCTGGGTCAGGACGGTCAAAGAGGGAAAGGCGCATGGGGCTGTACTCTTGAAATAGAAGGCGCCATTGCCGATTTATTGGGGTAAGCGGGAAAGCGGTGGGGCTTTGGCCGGGGCGATCGTGCGTGATTAGCGCATCGTCTCAGCGGGCAAGCGCAGGCCGCACCGGCAGTTAGTGGGCAGGTGCGAGGCGGTCATGAGAGGCGCAAAGCAGTCGCGATGGGTTTCTGTACACTTGCGCACGTGCAGGAAGGCGCTTGTCTGAGGAAACCTCTGCACATCTTAGGGGGAGTATGCTCGGCGCCACCTCACGCAGACGGCGATGAGACAGCGATTTTCACTTTGATTAGATCGAGGTGTCATGAGAAGGGGCCAGAAAACATTGTTTGCGGGTGGTGGGCTGGGTGGTGTCGAACGTGAGTGGCCGGACCGGGTTGCCGGTGCAACGACACGGCCTTTTGGGCTTTCGAGAGCAGTAGGGAGAGGCGCAGCCCTGCCACTTCTGAGCAGGGAACATCATCACCACCACTCCACCCTGCCTCTTTCCACCCGATCCGTCTTTTCTCATGACAGTCACACACACTCTCGTTAAGGTGAATCTCTCTCGAAGAGCAAGCGAAAAAGAGAGAATAAGTTTATGTCTAACTCCAGCATTCACTTGATTGCACGTACACTCTCGCTCTGATTTGCTTACTGCGTTCCGCAACCGACCAAGAGGAGGATCAGCCGCTGGCCTGAAACGCGAGAGCAAGACCTCCAATTAGCCCTTACCCTCTTTTCTCCCGCACTGGTCTGTCGCCTCTCCACAGTTGCTTCGCTGCCTCTCCCGCACATTCTCTTCGCCTGTGTCACTCTCGCCGCGGAAGGCTGACCAGTCAAAAGGAATTGATACAACGTGAATAGGTTTGCTGGACGGTCGCTGTTACTCGTTGCTGCACCCTGACAAAAACCTCGTCTGACGTCTCCACGCCGGTTAAACAGAAGCGAGGAGGCCGACATGTCAGGAGGCTACAATCCTTACAACGTAAGACTCCTTGAACACGTACATGAGACTATTTGTATGGTCGCATACGATTTCTCCAGATGCTCATCGTTACTTCCAGACCTCGTTCGGCGGCTCGCAGCTGCAGCAAGAAAACGACCCCTATGCCTCTCCTCCTCCACCTCCCATACACCGGCAATTGCAGCCGAGCATGCACGCAGATTCGAATTTCCACCGAATGCAAAACGAACGACGGTTTGGAACCTCGTCACAGCAACAACCATACAGCAATGCACCCGGGAGCCCGCCTCGGAAGCCTGTTGCCTCACCCATAAATAGAGACGATTCGCCCTCACCTCCCATGCATTTTGCGGGTGTATTACCTGCGTACCCGCCACCTGCCTCAAGAAGCCCCCCACAAGCACGACGGCCGTCACCACCGAGGCAAAACCAGTATGCAAACAGCGACTATAGTCCGACTATGGGAGGCGCGGCGGGAGGAGTGGGAGCTGCATTGGCTGAGGGTATTGCGAACGATCGGGCGTTCTCCCAACCAGGCAACGCGAGTCAATATGCACTCATGGCCGAAAGCAATCCTTACATGAACTCGATGGATCATGAATATGACAATTCCGCCCCATACAGGCACGATATCCGCTCCCATGACTCGTATGGCTCGGAAGCCCCGCTGGCCGCCGCTGCAGTTGCACCTAGTATCTCTACGCCGAGTCACTCTGACTCGAGGAGCTTCGCGCAATACCAGGACTATTCACCTACGCCTAGCAGACATCTATACCCAAATCAGTACCAAGATCAATCAATACCGATGTCACGATCCCACGAGCAGATGGTATCAGCTGCTGCGATTAACCCGAACGATATACTCGACGATGACGATGATTTCCCTGTACAGCCGAAACGTGCCTCACGTCTCAATTTGCCATTTAATAGAAGTAATCCGTCACGAGTTAATGCGGTTGGTGGTGCTGGCATAGGCGCAGGGGCCATAGGTGACGACGTAGCCGGCGGCTTCAACAGAGATCCCAGCGGCAACTACAGCTCAATACCTGCAAACCGGCCTGGCGGGCTTGACGAGAAGAACGTGTGGCTAGCGGACAATAGCAAAGACAGCAGAAAGTGGAAGAAAATAGGATTCATCGTTGTTGGTCTTTTGATCATCGCCGGTATTGTTGTTGGTACAGTTGTCGGCGTCTTACGCCAGAACAAGGACAGCAGCAATTCACAGTCAAGCAGCTCGCAATCTGCGGCTGCGGATGACGCCTCCGGTGATCTGTCCAAGAACTCGGCCGAGATTCAGAAACTAATGAACAACCCCGATCTGCACAAAGTCTTTTCTGGTTTCGCATACACGCCCTTGGGGGCGCAATACCCAGCGTGTTTAACCAACCCACCAAGCCAGAACAATGTCACACGCGACATGGCTGTGCTCAGCCAACTGACCAACGTGGTACGGTTGTATGGTACAGACTGCAACCAAACGGAAATGGTGCTCCACGCCATCGATCGCCTACAACTTACTGACATGAAAATATGGCTAGGGGTTTGGCTTGATAATAATGACACAACCAATACACGTCAGATCAACCAGATGTGGAGCGTCCTGGATCAATACGGTCCTGACAACATGAAGGGTGTAGTCGTTGGAAATGAGGTTTTGTTCCGCAAAGACCTCACCGCTGCCCAGCTTGGCACCTATCTCTCCCAGACAAAGGCAAATTTGACAGCGCGAAACATCAACTTGCCTGTCGCCACATCCGACCTTGGCGACAACTGGACGGCAGAGCTAGCTTCGGAGGTTGACGTTGTCATGTCCAATATTCACCCCTTTTTTGGTGGCGTTCCCATCGACCAGGCTGCGGGATGGACATACACTTTCTGGCAAGATCACGATGTCGCAGTCACGAAGGGCATGACCGGCAAAACGCACATAATTTCAGAGTTCGGGTGGCCATCGGCGGGTGGCAACGACTGCGGTGACGGCGCGAACTGCGCAACCAGCACTCAGGGTGCTGTGGCATCAATTCCAAATATGAATACGCTAATGAACGATTGGGTGTGTCAGGCAATGGCTAACGGGACAGACTACTTTTGGTAAGTTGATCCAACAGCTAAGGAGACATGTTACCATTTGACGCTTGCTAATGGATGCCACGTAGGTTTGAGGCATTTGACGAGCCGTGGAAGATCCAGTTCAACACGGCAAATGAGAATTGGGAAGATAAGTGGGGATTAATGGACGTCAACCGCAATTTGAAGAAGGGGCTCATCATCCCGGACTGTGGTGGAAAGACTGTTGGTTCATAAGGAGAGAAGTGGAAGGAAACAAAACCGAAGAGTCGCACGTTTCGAATGAGATTTGCGTACCTTCCGTTCTTATATTTGGCTATGACGGCATTACGTGGAGACATGAACGATACGCTACTCGACAGGTACTCTACTAAGAGCGCCTCGCATCGATTTTACGACGTTTATACCCCATTTTTAGCGGTTCGATCTGACACTCCACCATACGTCTACGATCTTCTCGATCCAGCAGGATGTTTAAACAGAATTCATGGTGAGATGTATGCGCTTTTTTTCGTCTTCAGTGACGATTTCCAGGTATAGGAACTATTTGTACATATTACATATTGCTGCCGGCCGCCAGTATGAAATGAGAGTCTAGTCATTTGCCCGCGGCAGATCGTATGAAAGGGCTTTCGATTCACCACGCAGGATCAGAATTGTACGTTTGTGTGCATATATGAGTTGGGTCATATTTGTTTGAGGGTAGAGATGAGGCATTGCATACTTATCTACATTTTCTCGATGCCTTGAAACAAGTATTCAAAAGCACAGATTCGGGACAGTCTTTGCTGTCAAATGCTATCTACGACTGCTATATAGTAACGAAATTGGGATGGCCTCATCTTTGATGCCATCAGCATAAAGACGTTGGAAACCTGTTTCACAAATCTGACACCAATTTATACATATACGCTGAGCCTACATGCTCGAACTCAGTCTGACCTTTGCGAGACGTCAAGGTTCTGTCGTATTCACTTCTTTATGGCGCTTCGTTGCCGCATAGATATGGCTTTTGATTCTCATGTGATTTTTGAAACTACCAGTGACTTCATCCTCGACCTGAGATTTCCTGCCAGTTGTTTTGATAGCGCTGAAAATGCAGTGCCGTCGCTCTCGACACTTTTTGCACCCAATGCCGCCGTTAGGTGTAACACAGCCCTCGCCGAATCCAAGACTTGTCGCCGCACTGGAACATTCAGAAGCTCAAGGCCTTGTCAGACCAAAGCTAGCGGCAAGAATGCATGGTGGTGTTTCGAGGAAAATCTAACGTAGTATGGTAGAATCTCTGGAATGATATGGGCCCCTAGTTTGTGCTTCAGAGCCAGCAGTGGGTCAGGCCCGAAGAGTCCATTGGACAGCCCATCGTATAAGTGGGTTGAACGGCGACAGGCGATTGCGATGACTTCAAATTCTATTTCGAGTCTGCTCCTTTCCGCGAACAGCCGCAGTACTGTCGGATGTGTAAATGCGCAAATGCGTCATTTTGCGCGGGAAAATAACATCGAGAAACGTTAAAAGATTCTGCAACGATATAAGCCAGCGATGTGATGGCGACGCCTGAATTCTGGAAAGGGATCCGGGGACAATGTTCATTCAGCCCGGAAATCGAGAGGAGCGGTCTGACTGTTCTTTTCCAACCTTATTCTTTCTTTTTTTTTAAAAAAAATGAGCTTATAATATGACATTGAAAGCTGCCCGTTTTGCTACAGTTGGGTGAGTACGGACTTGGGAAGATGTTTGGCCAAAGGGCTGTGCATCCGTTGTTCAACCCAGAAGGTCGGATGGGACATCGAGACCAAAAACTGGGGGTGATTGGCGACGCGATCTATGTCCTTCGAACCCTTTTGCACATACAACATATCCAGGGGATTAATAATTGCATCCGTTATCGCAGGCAGGGAATTTGCCAAACCTTTTACCTTTCTGGTGGACCAGAGAAGATATGATCGGAACTACAAACACTGACCCGCAACAATGCCCACGAAGGGATCTGTTCAGCTGAATCGGACCCTCATTCAGGCCATTTATAGTCCTCAAGGGGTGGCGTGGTCGGCCAACCCCTCAAGAATGGGAAGGCCTCTGCAAGTTCTGGCCCATTTGTCCAGTTATTCAATTTCAGAATGTGACGAACAAACTGCGGATTCAGCGTCATTTGCTTCGAGCCTTGCTTTGCCATGAACATGTCACGGTCTGCGTAAGGCCAATTGATCGAAGAATGTGTTGTGACCTTCTTAAAGACTTCGTAGTCGAAGATTTCGTAGTTCTGGATGATGCGATCACGAGCTTGCGGCCACGGAACAGTATCAATCCAGGCAGGGTGGGGGGTTGTTCTCTGAATGACGGTCGGTCTGAGGAACTCTGGCAGGTGGCTAAAGCTTTCTTCCGTCGGATTGACCAACCATCGCAGAAGATGAGCAACCGTATAGTGAAAGGCGACTTTACGGGGGAAGTTCACAACCGGCGTGGTGACGGTATACTTCCCTATCGCCGCAGCTAGAGGATTGGTGCTTTGGTCGTTTTCAACGTCGCGATTTAACAACGACGAAACACTTGGGAAGGACGGGTGGGAAAGCTCACTATGGAAGTCGCCCTGTTTGCTCTTCCATTGCCGTCCAAGAGCAGTGACTTCAAGTAAGACCTTGTCCAGCTCATTTGTCGGGCCAATGTTCAGCGGCAGCGCTTTCCATGCTGGTAAGTTTGTGCTAGGCTGTTGATAGATACAGCCTCTGACGCTCTCCTGGTGATTTGCATTCTGGATTTTGGTTTGAGGATCATGAGATTCTGGTGACATGTAATACTCTGTTGAGGATCCCGCCGGGACAATCGAGCTCTCCCCGATATTCAGCGGAACGAAGGGTTGATTATAGCAGTCAATTGCCATTTGGCCCTGCCAGTCGTCGGGTGACAAAAGATTCACCCAGGCGCCGTCACCGAATTCAACGGGCAGATTGAGCACACATGCACCGTTCAAGCCATCAAAAGTGCAGCTAACATCCGGAAGCTCGTAGGCCAGTTCGTCAGATGGTGCGACAGTCGCTTTCAGGACCTTGCAATCCGTCAATGAAGCTGCTGTATCGATTATACTCTGTTCCTTGTGTTTTTGTTCCCTGGGGACGGCATTTTTCGGGTCCTCGATTTCTGTTGATGAACCATTGATCATGGTAGAAATCCATTCCAGAGCATTTCGCACAGCAGTCTCTCTCCGCTTGTAGGATTTCAGTTCCTCTCTTGCGGCATCCAGCTCTGCAGTAAGCTGCCTGTTCACTGCTTGCAATTCATCCAACTTTCTCCGTTTTCTTATTCTTGAATATTGCTGATTAACACGATCATTAAAGCGCTTGATTGCGAGCTCCTCATGGCTCATGGCAGATACTAACTTTCGTGTTGACATGTTGGATGGCCGATATGGCTTCTCTGACTGATTGTTTCGTGCTTGTCATGCCAGAATCTGGGGGAGAAGAATATACTAAACTGACATTGCGGAGAAACTGTGGAGATGGATACCCAATGCATGGAATGGAGAAATGCGCTAAACTGACAGGCGCCAATAATATCTGCAGCATTTTGCCAAATCGACATTGAAGAGGGTCCGTGTAGTTTCGGCGTGGAAATACTTATCCAGCCTCTCTAGACCATTTTTGGAGCAATCGCATGGAGACATGCTATCAGCTTGGCCACATTTCGAAGAATAGGCCGGTTACAAGCAGAAACTGTCAAAAAGTTCCGATTTTTGAAGATCTCATGCGGAGAGGAAAGCTATACTGACATAATGCACATGCGGGATCTCGAAGCACCAAGCCGCCATGCTCTCGCGCAATTACGGCAGAAATAGATTTAGACTCTAATAAAACACAGTAAAATAAAGGGATCAAATTTGATCGCTACTTTGCATCGGCTGCTGCTCGTTGTATATACAAATTCTCTTTTGAAACAGCTTTTCGCGACTTGTGTTCGAAATTACACCACCAACAATGACCGTCACAACATTGCTTGAGCATGTCACAGAGCAGTCCATTGAGATTGGATCTTTGAACCAGGTCGTAAATCCAGAGTCGAACTCGAATGACATCCTGCCAGCACAAATAAAGGAGCCTGCAACAGATGAAAAGCTTTCTGAGGCTGAAAACAGAAATCTAGACTTTTCTTCAGAGTCCTTACCTGCGCCACCAGTCTTTTCAGACAAATATGAAGAACGGGCCTATCTCAAATCACGCTTGACGTTAGGATTCAGAGTTTTCGCCAAGCTTGGATTTGATTGTGGTATAGCAGGTCACATCACATTAAGGGTAATGCAATATCTCTTAACGCAAGACGTAAGCTAATCGTCAATTCAAGGATCCAGTTGACCCAACATCGTTCTGGCTCAATCCGTTTGGAAGACCATGGCCAACGCTTGAGAGTAAGGACCTGATTCGAGTAGACGCCAATGGCAATGTTGTTGAGCATGGGGCATACAAAACATTGAATAAGGCAGCATATATGATTCACCACGCTGGTAAGATGAAGTCCTCTATTCGAGAAACGAAGACGTAGTTGACTTTGAAGTCAGTTCACGTTGCACGGCCTGATATCAACTGTGTTGCACACGCCCATAGTACATTTGGCAAGGCTTTCTGTGCATTGGGTCGCAACTTGGACATTCTCAGTCAAGATGCCTGCGTTTTCTGGAACGACATTGCTCATTATTCCTCCTTCCGTGGAGCAGTGCTTGGTCCAGATGAGGGGCAAGAGATCGCCAAGGCATTAGGACACCGCAAGGCAGCATTGTTGCAGAACCACGGGCTCTTGACATGCGGCAAGACAATAGAAGCGTGTGTATGGTGGTTTATGTCGCTTGAGAACTGCTGCCAAGTTCAGCTGCTTGCCGATGCGGCTGCGGCAGGTACTGGGACACAAACGGTCAAGGTCAATGAGAGTGATGCCGAATATACCTGGAGAGTGGCTGGCGCCGATCACGTTGGCTACATGAGTGCTTTGCCAATGTTCGAACTTGTTGAGGCTGCTAGTCGAAGCTATTGTTTCTAACAATGATGGTCTTGAAGCTGAAATTAGATTAATAATGCTAAACTTTCTTGCATGTGTTTTCCGGCACTGTCTTCACTTGGTACGCAACTTTAGATGGGCATGAGCCGAGCCTACTTTAGCGGCATCTTGTTATTACCAGCAAGCCATTGGTCGTTACTTTTCCGGCCTTGTGCGGAGAAATGTTGCTAAACTGACACCTGCATTAGTTTACATATTTGGTGCTGCACCGAGTAACCGAATATCTTCAAACAAAAAAAAAAAAAAAAAAAAAAAAAAAAAAAAAAAACCCAATGGCCATTGATTCCACTGTTCAGATGGAAAATGATATCAATTTCCGGCGGAATGTTCTCGTACGGCTCTCGGCACGAGGATGTCAATTATGTTCTCGAATTTATAGGCGTAGCAGCCTCGTGAATCGTCCTTTGTAAGCTCCTTTAAGTGATATTCACTGCTCGCTTCCAAAAATATTCAAATCTTTACCATCTAATAGGAGCTTGAAACTCCACAGCACACATCGAGTATATCGGATCTGGTCTGTCTGATGGGCTCCATGATGACTTTAGCTACTCCTCTCGAACATTTGCACTTTGGCAATGAATATCTCCAAAATGGCAAAATCCAGATGCCTAACGGCACAAAGCTGCATTCAAACAAGGCCATATGCGAGCAAACATCAACTTCTATCACAGCGGATCCACCCTATGGAAAAAGACTGATCGCTGAAACTGTCGATGATCTTGCAGCCCGAGAGCCCCAACGAATTTGGGCAACAATTCCTCTTGGAGTAGAGATCAGTGACGGATTTCGAGATGTGACCGTCAGACAACTGGCCAATGCGGTAAACGCCACTGCTTGGTGGCTCGAGAGCAAAATTGGCCGGAGCGATAACTTCGAGGTTATCGCTTATCTCGGCTTGTCTGATGTGCGATATGCGATCTTATTCTTCGCAGCAGTTAAATGCGGCTACGTGGTACGTAAAGCTCGCCCTAATATTTTTCGTTAGACTGATGCCGAAGAGTTTATGGTTCCTTCTGTGAGAAACGCTGAGGCTGGACATCTGCACGTTTTAGAGAATGCAAGCTGCACGAAACTCTTCCATTCCCGTGAGTTTGCAAGCACGGCTTTCCAGCTCAAATCCCAAAAACCAGAGTTGCAAACGTTCGAACTGGCTTCACTAAACGATATGTTGGAGGCACCATCAAAGCCTTACCCCTACACAAAGCAATGGGTCTCATCCTGGAAAGAGCCGGTAATAATTGCCCATTCATCTGGATCAACAGGTACAACTTTCTCTATGCGAAAATTCATTAGTGGCTAAGCAGATTCTTTTTAAGGTTTTCCAAAGCAAATTACAATAACGAATGGCGTTTTCTCTGTTTACGACAGCTTACGCTTCATTCCAAAGGTTCCTGGCCGCCGAAATCAGGATAACGCAATGTACAACTTTCCTGGTGGCGGTCGATTTTACAACCCTTATCCTCCTTTTCACGTATGTAAAACCTTACTTAGAATTTGCAGTCGCTAAAATTATTCCTTTAGCTTGCAGGCCTGTTTGCTATGACATATGTTCCGCTTTTCTATACTTGTACCGTACTCATGGGTCCACCAGAAAAACCGCCAAACGGCCAGATGCTCAGCGACATGCTCAAGGCTGTTAAAACTCGGGCTGCCTGGTGTCCTCCAACAGTGATTGAACAACTTCTAGAGATTCCGGGTGGGTTTGAGCAAGCCGCAGAACTTGACTTTATCATGTACACAGGAGGCCCACTTGCCAGAGCCGCTGGTGATAAGCTAAGTCAAGTGACAGATATCTGTCAGCTATATGGATCAACCGAAACAGGCACCCAGGTGACATTGGTTCCCGATCGCGAATCATGGCAATGGTTCGAATGGCACCCTTATCTCAAGAATGAAATGGTACCGATGGGTGACGGCACATTCGAGATGGTCATTCACAGAAACCCAGATCTGCTATTCTTTAGGCAGATATATCATACCTTCCCTGAATTAGAAACATACCGTACAAATGACCTTTTTGTGCAACATCCAGAGAAGCCACATCTGTGGCGCTTTCATGGCAGACGCGATGATGTGATTGTCCTAGCTAACGGAGAGAAATTTAATCCAGTTATAATGGAAGGTATCATTACTGGTGACCCACTGGTACGTGGGGCTTTGATTGTTGGAATGGCTCGAGCTCAAGCTGCTCTTATTGTCGAACCTGTAGAGGGCCATGGGCTGTCGGACAATGATTTCATTAGCAGGATTTGGCCAACTGTGCAGAAAGCCAACGCTGAAGGACCAGGACACGGGCGCATTTACCCTTCCAAAATTATGATTGCAAGCTCGGACAAACCGTTTATAAGAGCTGGCAAAGGCACTGTTATCCGTGGTCGAAACATTCTGCAGTTCGAGACTGAAATTGAAGCTTTGTACGAAGAAAAACTTGAATCTAGGAGAGGTGTTCCAGAGTTGAAGCTACCCATCAACAAGGAAACTATTCGGGACTTCATCAGCGGCTACGTTTCGGAGATGTTCAGCAGCAAAGGCAAACTCCCGCATGATGCCGATTTCTTCAATGCAGGCATTGATTCTCTTCAAACGACGGAATTCGCAGCTCAGATCAAGTCATGGATTGGTACGAACCAAGAAGCCGTGAAACGTGTCGAAGTCAATCCAAAAACGATATACGACAACTCCTCCATTGATAAGCTCACAGCTTATCTGCATGCAACTTTGAACCAAACTTCTAAGGCTGGCACAGCACAGTATACAAGGCGTCGAGATGAACGTATTGAATCAATAATAGCAAAATACACCTCTAAACTATCCAGAAGTATCTCAGTTATCTTGACCGGTTCCACTGGCTCGCTTGGCACACACATCCTGAAGGCCCTTCTTCGCGACAACCGCGTCTCAACAGTTTTCTGTCTAAATCGCTCCGCTAATGCCGAAAGCCGGCAACGTGAGATTCTTTCTCAGCACGGCGAAGTAAATTTGCTCCCAAAGATTGCTGTCAAGTCCCGATTCTTCCGAGCTGCCTTCGGGGACACGGACTTTGGACTATCACGAGATATCTTTACAATGCTACAGGAAAACTGCGACGTTATCATACACAATGCTTGGGCTGTGAATTTCAACCAAGGATTGGAGTCCTTCGAAGCAACGCATATTCAAGGTGTGCGCAATTTCATTGATTTCTGCTTGGGAAGTGAACGAAAACCCCATCTTGCATTTGTTTCTTCAGTATCTGCAGTTCAAAATTGGGGTACAATGAATGGAAAGGAAAAACCCGTTCCCGAGCGCGTTGTCTATGATTCATCTGTATCCCTAGAGATGGGTTATGGAGAATCCAAGTATGTGTCTGAGCGCATTCTAGCTACAGCCGTAGAGAGCGGTGTCAGCGGCAGCATATTGCGTGTTGGCCAGATCGGTGGCCCTCTGTCCCTCACAGCCGGTGATTGGAACAAGAATGAATGGTTTCCAACACTTCTGAAAACTTCTAAGGAACTTGGGGTTATCCCAAATCTTCTCGGAACCATAGACTGGATTCCGATAGACACCTTGGCTGACATTTTCCTCGACATTCTCCACGAACTACACGAAAACAACAAATCCCAAGTTTTCAACCTTGTCAACCCTCATAAGACACAATGGTCTGAATTGCTGCCTGTTATTGTCGATCGATGGAAGATTACCCCAGTGCCATTCCCGGAATGGACTGCAAAGCTTGTAGAGATTGAGGCTTCCGGGAAGGCCGATCTCAAGGCGATGCCTGCTTTAAAGGTCTTAGATTTCTTCCTTGGCATGGAAGCTGATCTCCAAAAAACTGGGAACCGCAGCCTCGAGTTTGTCACTGAGAATGGCTGTCGCGTAAGCAAGACAATGGCAGATCTGCGCCCCATTGACGCAGAAGCCATGAAAACGTGGCTAGATCAATGGAACTTTTGAAAGAAAAAAACAAGTTGGATTAGCAGCTATTGTCTTCTCCGCCAGTTTGAACAAATTAATCTGTCTCTTTACGTGGCTGTATCATTTTAACCTGCCTTCATTCAAAATTTGATTCCAAGATTACAAGCCCTCTTACCGTTAACCTATCTTTCATGAATCGAATTGACCAGATCTGGAATCCCTTCCGTTGTATTTTTGACGCATTGACAACTGAAGATGTGCCCGCATGCCAAGGTTTCGGTCCTTGATGAGTTGTTGTACCGACGTTCCCCGCAAAATGCTAATAACACTAAACTGACAACCGTTGGATAGGATGTCAGTATAGCTTGAAAAATGCTCACGCTAAACCTCTCAAAACATGTGGGGTTCCAATCTGTAATCCGGGGACGCATTAGCGATCTTTTTGGACAACGTCAAAGCTTGCGATACGATTATTGCTACATCCGCACTGGACAATCTTTTCCTGAGTAGAGTCACCGAGTGTCAAGTTCAAATCTCTCTTTATATATTCTGGGTCCCCTGGCCAGTCTCACGACTATGTGCTTTTCTTTACTTATCATTATATCCTTCAATTCAAACCTTTCAAACGAGGTTGTGTTGCCGTAGACATTGACAGCATGGCAAATAACTCCGATCTTAAAAGTCAAACTGAGTTCCACGATCACGTAGTTCTATCAGAGGAAGAAGCTCCCAACTTGGTCGGTACAGCTGCAGAGGAAATCCAAAAAGGCTACTGGAAGAGTCCAAAGTTCTTAGGCTCCTGCTTGGCAATCATTTTGCTTGCAAATAACTTGTTCTGGGGATACGCAGTACCGGTTCGAACAGAAAGCCCATACTCGACAGGATAAACTACTGACTTCCATAAGGTCAATGTTTTGAACATTATCAATCAAGACATCGGTTCGATCTTCCAAAAAATAATTATGAGTTGTATGCTGATGAGATCAAGGGCCATCCCCAAACATCTATTTGGTCAGCCTGGTGAACACTTTAATCAAGGGCGTCTGCCTACTTTTAGTGGGATCAGTCAGCGATGCTGTCGGGCGACGGTACTTTCGTGACATATGCAAATCTCGAGCGCGCTCCAACTAACAAATTTCACAGCTACTTCATGATTGGGGCTCAGACGTTTAGCGTAATTGGCGCTGTACTATCCGCGACCTCAAGAAACGTAAATATGCTTATTGGAGCCAATGTTTTCATAGGCATGGCTGGCAGCGGACAGGTCCTGTACCCTCTGCTGTCACAAGAAATCGTCCCAAATAAGTATCGTGGTTGGAGCCAGGGAGTCATCACCCTATTGGTCCTTCCTTCAATTGGCTTTGGGCCAATTATTGGAGTAAGTGGACACATCGAAACACATGTACGTTGCACAGTGACTATATGGGTGTTCCTTTATAGACTGATGCAAAATCCTGCGATAACATCATAGATGTTTTCCTTTCGTGATTTATATTGAGCAATAGTTTGCTGACGAACAAACCAGCGTACAATGGTCGTGAATCTTCACTCCATTGGTGGTTGGAGGTCAGTTTATTAGCGAGCAGTTTTCGGTAACGATGCTGAATCCAACTTTCTAGGTGGTGTTACTGGCTCCATGGCATTGTTTCTGCGGTTTCGCTAGTCCTTTTCATTCTTTGCTATTTCCCTCCTGGCTTCCATCAACTTCAGTCACGCAAATCAAGGCTAGATCAGCTCCAGTCTATCGACTACTTTGGATTTATCCTGTATGCCGGAGGGCTCATTTGTCTTTTGCTTGGCCTTTGTAAGTCAAGAAATCACCTTTTAGAATTCAGCTGAATGTAGAAGCTTGGGGAGGGAAACAATATCCCTGGGGTAGCGCTAGAATCATTGTTTTATTGGTCATAGGTATTTTGGGATTGATAACATTTGTCCTATACGGTATGGAAATTCTTCGAAGAATTCGATGGCAACTGACCTGTGCAGAAAATTTTATGAAATTGGCACAGCCTCTCCTTCCAATGTCATTATTCAGAATTAGAAATTTTTGGATTGCAGTTGTTGTTGGCTCAGTCGGCCAAATGTCATTCTATGTGGGCTATACGTGTCCTGAAAAACACCATGTTGTTCAATCAGCTAACTTAAGAAGGCGATGAACGTTCTTTGGCCAATGCAAGTTACAAATCTCTTTACACAGGATATTAAGACCATAGGCTGGATGACAGTGAGATGATTTCCTTCACGAATTCAACCGACAAACTCAGCTGACTCGACCAGTGCACTACCGGTCTAGCTCTAACAATAGGAGAGATAATTACGGGACCTCTCTTCAAGAGATTCGGTAATGTTCGCTGGCAGATGGTTATTGGGTGTATCGGCCTCACCATTTTTGGAGGCGTTATGGCGCTTGGAAATGAGCATCGAAAAGCGTTTGCCATAGCTGTAAGCAACTCATCCTTTTAAACGTTTGGACGAACGCTCATGCATCCAGATCACGATATGCAATGGATTGTTTATAGGATGGGTCGAGCTTGTGGCAATTGTCGTAGCTGGACTAGTCGTTCCACCAGAACGAATTGGCACGGCTCAATCGTTTTTCGCATCAACACGTGCCGTATCAGGTACTATTGCAAGTGCGTACCTTCGTGGTGCTCTTAAAAGCAGAATCTCACGTTGATTTCAGGTAGCATTTACCTCGCCATCTACAATGGAGAGCTCAAGACCAATATGCCCCAACGGGTCACTTCGGCCGTACTCAAGGCTGGGCTTCCTGAAAATAGTGTTGCACAGCTTCTCTCAGCACTTTCAAACGGCACAAGTGCAGCTCTTAGTAAAGTGCCGGGGATCAACAACAACATAATCACTGCCGCGCGTGCTGGGCAGAAGAGTGCGTGGTCAGCTTCATTTAGCACCGTGTATCTCAGCACAATCGCTTTCGGCGCAACGGCGCTAATTGTGGCATGGTTTGCGACTGATATCAGTGAATACATGACCACTTTTGTGAATAAAAGAGTCGAGCAGTCGAAGTCGCGCGTTGAGACAGAGAAGGCATGATGTTCAAAATCAGAAACTCCTGGAGTTATCAAACTAAGCAAAATGCTTCAGCGAGGTCAGCAGATATGGCGGCAAACCTAGTAACAATATTTCAATGCAGTCGATTGCAGATACCAGAGATCATTGCATCGCCTAAGTTGTTCCGTTGGTGCGAGTTTCGGGATTGCAATGCCGAGTACATGCAGCTTGATATATTTGCGCCGTGTATATAAGGATGCATCTGATTCCTGAATGTGCCCCCTCTGTATTGATCGGAACAACATGACCGCAGAAACTGAGTACATCTTAATCATTTTACCGGTCTCTGAGCCCGTCGCATCTGTGGATGCGTTACGCCATAAATTCCCTCAGGCCAAAGTCGTCTATCATTTTGCACAAGCTCCTGCAAGCGGCGCATTCGATTCCGATAGTACGATACCAGTAGGGAAGTAATTCAGTGGCCACGACATCTGGTGCACAGTCTAATAATGTCAGAAATTTGGACAAATGTCACCATCTTGGTCACCTTGTTCCACGTACCGTCCAGTATCAAAGACGCCCCAAGATTGCGACTTGTACATCTAGCTTCTTCAGGTGTAAATCACTTGATTGGAACAGCAATCTACGACAATCCTTCGATATCTATCACGAGCTCTTCTGGTTGTGCAAGTCCCCAAATCGCGGAATGGGTTATGATGACAGCGTTGATTACGAATTGGGATTATCACTACCTGCATGAAAAGCAACAGAACCGACGATGGGTGCGAACTTCAAGCGGTAGAGACGCACACATGGTGCGTAATCTTGTCGGCCAAAAGCTTGGCATCGTGGGTTATGGCAGCATCGGCAGACAAGTGGCTCGCAATGCAAAAGCCATGGGAATGGTTGTTTTGGCATACACTGCAACCCCAAAAAGCACTCCCGAATCAAGACGAGATAGCGGATACATCGTTCCAGGCACCGGAGACCCTAGCGGCGAGATACCGTCCGCATGGTACCATGGTGGGGATAAAGCTAGCTTACATGAATTTCTCGCACAAGACCTTGACATGTTGGTTCTTTGCGTTCCATCCACGTAAGTGCATCATCGACACATGCTTCCAAGCTATGATTTGCCTAATAGGTGCGTGCAGAAAGGAGACGACGGGTTTGCTTGGTAAGACCGAATTGGAGATCTTATGCAGCAGTGGGCGAAAGCCGTTGTTGGCAAACGTTTCTCGGGGTACAGCGATAGAACAGGACGCTCTCGTTGAAGCACTCCGGAATGGATCTCTCCGAGGGGCTGCATTGGATGTTTCTGATCCAGAGCCACTGCCGTCTCATGACCCCCTTTGGGATGCTCATAATGTCATCATTCATCCTCATATTAGCGCGGGTGGAATGACAGATGTATATCTGGCTAGAGTTTTTGATGCTTTGAGTCAAAACATCTCAAAATTGCAAGGTGGAGAGAGGTTATTGAACCAGGTGAACAGAAAAGCAGGATATTAGTCATGACTCCGTTTCCCTGCACTTTCGTTAAATAAGGCCGAAACAAGTTTTAAAGGAATTTTTCTCGCCGAAACATCAAATTTGTCATCTCTTTCTTCAAGACGGAATCAGCTTCGAATCGTTGGCCACTTTGTTTAAATTGCAACAAGTTCTAGCTCCACCTCGCGCATGCTAGATTGAATTGACCATTTTTGAAAAGCTGGGCAAGAGGCTATCACAACATAATGATCTCGGCAGAAAAATAAATCCCTGAAGTTGTCTGGAAAGAGGTGCACCGTGGCGAATATAACGAAGGTTACGTGTGGAATCGAAGCCAACGAGGCTGCATACACGCCCTTGTCGATGTACTGCATTGTACCCATTTCGGTCAGACTAAGCCAGGGTGCGCTCAACGTCACCGAATACTTTCGCGAGCAAAATGTACAAACTTCCTACAGTCATGTTTAGTTCTGTAGAGCTGCTTGTTGTATCTATGATGCAGTTTCAGAAACGAACACGATTCCGGTTCTGTATTCATTGGCCTCAGGTCGAACTTCAAGCCTTGCTATGTAATGCTAATGGGGAGCTTTTCGTGCTGAGCCTCGCAGGCTGACGAGTCTTAAAGTTTGTTCGAAATCCCAATTTTGTTTTATAGCCCTAGAAGCATCTATCTTGCGCAGCTCCTCTCCGCCATATTGCAGTGGAGCTCGCCGAACTTCCCGAAGTTGTAACCTATGTCTTAGGCACTCCCGGGAGTAATGCCCACAGCTTAGTTCAGCCATAAGCTGTGACCTACCAAAATTAATTGGGCATTTGTGTGAAGAGAACCCAAAGAAGGAATTCTTTATGAGCAAAGCATATTTTCTCATATCAGGCATTGAAAAATTTTCCGTGATCGCAGGGCTCGCTGCAATGTCCTGGCGCTCATTAACTGGCTCGTGAAAGAGCTAAAGGCAAAAGCCCGTTTCAATTAAGCATTGAAGGGGATAAAATTATAAAATTACGTGTCATGATTCATAGATACCACTAGAAGATCGGCTAATTGCATTAAGCTGATGATGCTTATGACGGAGTGATTTTCACACAGTACTGGTGTTTGCCAAGACTTCCTCTAATCGAGGCTTCGTCAACCTTGGACAACATATTTTAAGCACAAAGGTTATTCGTAATCTGTGATCTCAATTAAGCCCTCGTATGGAAGCCAAATAAGGATATAAGGGCATTCTTGTTGAGTTATTGCCACGGCGATCCGATCGAATCAGGAGCAAAACTTGGTTCACTGTCAAGCTTCCAAAGAAATTCAGATCAGTTTGAAACACAAATATTCCCAACACCCAAAAACCAACAAAAAAAATTCTATCGTGAGCCTTGTGATGGGCAGCAGGTTGGGTTTTGTAAACATCAATTGACAATGGATAGCAAATCAAAAGCCAGATTTCCGATTTACGTTCTGTTGAATGGAGAGGTGTAGTGTGACAATTTTTTTTTTTAAAAAAAAAAAAAAAAAATAACACGAGAGCAGTGCTTCAGCGCAGCGGTCACTCAAAACTACGATTATGTCGGACCTGCCGCTGCTCAATTCGGCGGTAAGATTCCGGATTCCGAACGGCCAGCTAAGCTGACACGAGTCTCTGAGCATATCCGGCGATGGTGATACGCCGTACCTCGTGAAAGAAATCACAAGGGATTAAACGAAACGAAGTGATGACGAAGCTCCAGCAAAACGCCCGAAAAAAATCTGTGTTCATGAAAACTCGAAATCTGTTTCAATTATGACTAGGGATCTACTCGTGATGCTTTCCTTTGGGCTCGACATCTCCAGCGCTTACGTTTCTCTGAAGACGCCCAGAACTTGGAAGTACTCATAGCTGCGGATAGAAAGAAGCAGCGTTCCTCTGCACTGCTTTCTCCGAAGGGTTGATGCCGCTGTTCGTACTTTAGGCAAACTAAAAGAGTCTCTATTTGAATGCAACAACGATTCGTAAGCAAGTAGCAGAATCGAATCGGATATGCAGACTTCCATGTGCAGTTTTGGAACGAAACTTTGGTTTTTGAAAAAAGCAAACTGAAGAACTTGGGAGCGCAAAGGAGAGAGCCTTGGAGAGGCATTGTTTGTTATGCCTCTTATCCTTACTACAGTAACCGGATCCTTCTCAATTGACACGACTCAGACACGCTGAACGAGATGATTTGAATGATATCGCCGTATGGTCCCCGATACTGAGGAGATGAAGTTGAGGTGCCATTTGGAGGACCAGATCGACGTACAGAAATTACGTATACTTCACAAGCCCATATGTTCCTGAACACACAGCAGGAACTAGGATGAATGCACGAGGCCACCTGCACGACTTCGCGAGCATAGATGAAGGACGTCAACGACAAGGCGGGATTTCATGAACATTACGTTTCTACCTTCACAACTCGTCACCGGCACGAGGCTGACCGAGACGGAGGGCTCCCTCTGAGCGTCTGGAGCACGTTCACTCACAAAGACGGCAAGATCTCGCGGGCCATAGGGGGAAAAGTGCCATCATCGCACCTGACACTGCTCAGATGCCCTTCAAGGGATTCTTCCCGACCCCTGGATTGTTGAATGGATGCTTGAAGCACGGCGCGACTCACCTCGCACCGAGAACGAACGACCCGACAGGCGGACTGCTCTTCGTTCAAGGCATTCACACACACACACACACACACTCTCTCTCTCTCTCTCCTCGGAACACGCAATGGCCCTCCCTAACCTCCGGTCCACCGCCGCCGGGTAACGAGATAAAACGGGTTTGAAAATCGTCAGCAGTCCCGCGAGACACAAACCGGGTGAATCCATGCCAAACGCTAGCTTTGCTTGCCCACTCTCGCCGTCGTCTCGGGCCTCGACGCTCTCAAGCGTTCGTCCGGCCGTCGTTCACTTCGTTTCATTGTTCCTTCCAGACGTGCTCCTCACGCCAAGCGCTTTCCAACCTTGACGGACGAACGCCGAAAGCGTTTGAGGAAACGCCAACGAAAGGAGAGAACAACGACCGTCCCCTCCGCTCCACCACCAAGAAGAGAAAAGAAATCGGAGACGAAAGAACGAGAAGCAGAATGGTGCAGGTTTTGACCCGGGCCGCACCCCCGACCCCCTACCTCGCCCCTCCCCCTTTATCGCTGTCTCCACTGCCTTACTATCTCTCTATTCCTTGCTCCCTTCCCGCAAAAAGCAACCAACAATCAGAAGGCAAACACAAAGGAACAGAATAAAATCCCGATTGGGAAAAATAGGAGATTTAATTTTTTTTATTTTTTTTTTTTTTTTGAGGGATGTGGGGGGGGGGAAGAGAAGAGAAAATCAAGACCACTCTCCTCACCGCGCCAAAAAAAATATATATATAAAAAAATTGCCATGAAACAAAAAATATCGTGCTCCACTCAATCGACGACGACAAATCCAATGTTCCAAACGGAGGTAATTAACCAGCGCAAGTAAAGCGTCAAACGGGAGTCAAGGGAAAGGACGAAAGAGGGAGGGGGGGGGGGGAGGCGTTTGTGTGTGGCGGGGGCCGGTGGTTGTTGTGTGGGAACTCTCAGTTCGCTTCTGCGAGCGACTCGACCCTGGCAAGCCACCAGTAATCTCGCCTACCGCATGAAGACCGCCGCCGCTCCGGGAAGGGAAAAAAAAGCGTGTGGAGTCTACGGATTCGTGCGTGTGTAAGCACCTCTGTTTGTGGACGTGTTTCTCTTTGAATTGACTTTTGAGTGTTGGGTTGCGTGCGAGAGAAGGAGGAGCGCGAGGCTTCCGCAGTGTCCAGAGAGACCCAAATCAGCTCGTCAAAGTGAAGCCCGAGCAATGGATGAATTAATTAATCTATTTCATTTATGCTCGTTTTTTTTTGACTTTTTTTTTTCTTTTAGAAGGAAACAAAAAAAGAGTAAAAGAAAAAGCCCCCCCCCCCCCCCCCCCCCCTTTTCCCTCTTAAAAAAAAAGTCCAGAGTCCACCTGTCAACGGCTGTCAAAATCGGGCGATCCGATGCCAAGTTGAGATGAAAAGAGTAGAACGACTGCTACTAACTGCTACGGCCCCACGCCCCATTCTTCATCCTTTCCTTTTCTTCCCCTCCCCCTTGCCACCTTGCCATGCTTTGCTTCATCAGATGAGGAAGAAGTGCCTTGGCTAAGAGTCTCTGTGGTACCTGCATCCGAGGAGCTTGGTGAGGGGGATGTGCCAAACATGCAACTCCTTGCAGCGTGGACTGGTCCTGGCCCTGAAGTGGGGAGGGGAGAGTGGTTTCGCTGTACCCAGGGCACGGAGCCAAAGGTGGGAACCTTGTCTGCTTTTTCTCTTTCGGAGAATTTCTTGGATTGTACAGAGTGCAGACATTTGTGATCCCTGCTATCAAACGTTCGGACACGCGTGGTACGCCAAATTCACCTCCTGTGAGAACACAACTCAACAGGGTCACTCCATGAAAAGCAAACCTGCTTGACTTGCGCTCAGCGCGCTCAAAGAAAGCCATGCGATCCTATCAAGTCTGACAAGAAATTGAGGCCATTGGTCCACTACTTTATCTGATCTACACACGGATGTCGGCGTTCTCGACGCGCTCAAGAGATAGCGTACATCCATAGCGTCAATGACAATAACCGGTATGTCCTTGCTCGTGTGTCATGAAATCGTGAAGGATTATCAGTTGTCATGCAGACCCACCCCTTCTCACAAAATCCTTTCTTCGCATAGTAAGTGAAAAAAAAAAACCTGCTGTACCCGTAATGCTTTCCGTAAAGATGAAATAGAGCCAACGCCGTACCTATCCTCAGAAACCCGACCCTCCCAAAAAAAATGTGTACTCTTAAATCATTCGAAATACGTATATGGATATATCTCATTATGGGGAAGAGTCCGACATCATGGATATGGATATCCGCTATCGTCCAGCCACGGGTCGTCGAGTCAGTGAAACGACTTCCATTTGAAGTATTTTGTCTTTGCCAAAACACAGATAACTTCTATTCGGAAAACTGGACAAGCCATGTCGCGGGCCAAGCAGCAGCCGAACGCCAGTTCCAAGAACAAGTGGCGCCAGCAGTGCTTCTTTCGAGACCGTCCAGGTATCGGGCTGGGAAGGAGAGAGACCAGATGTAGAAAATCAGCCCCCCTCCCCCCTGGTGCCTGCCACTATTCCAGATGCAGAGAAGGGGGGGGGGGGGAGAAGACTCGGCGCACTGGGCGTGGTTGGCCGGAGGTGAAAGAGATGATAGAAAGACATGTTAAGCGGGGGAAGATACCACAAGGGCCTCACGCCCCGGGCTGTCAACATGGATTAGATCCAGGGAGTCAAACCAGAGTGTTTCTGAATGAGGTTTAGTGGAGGTGGGGAAGAGGTTAGATGACCCATGCGAGCCGGGCGTTTTGCAGGGATGTGAATCAAGAGAGGAAAAAACGGCGCTGATGATGTACCATGGGCTCCAACGCTTTTAACCGAACGCTCGAGGGGTAGGGGGCCGTTATTGCGTGAGCCAATTTGTTCTCTTTAAGGAGAGGCCTCTCGCTTTGCCCTCTTGCTCCTCTCGATCCATTTTCGCTTCCCTACTCTCGTTTCAAAGTGCGGCGCAATTGTGGTCACGTCTTGGCCGGCGGCTACCATGGTGCTTCGCATTTTGTTTCGATAAGCGTCCACTGTGGTACCGTTAGCGTTACCGTGGAACAGAATTCTGGTTTTTATGCCGTGTTCTCTTTGAAAAGAAGAAAGCAATTGCTTACAGGAGCGCTGCAGGAACAGTGTCCGACCGGAGAAGACGCGACTCTGACTCCAGCTCATTCGATAGCCAAGGTCGTTGAGCGTGACTTCCTTGTTGCGTTTCGCCTTGCTCATCCGCGGCACGGGAAGCTTCGCATCGGATCCGTCCAAAAGCGGCACATGGACTAGTGTGCGCGCTGCCGGCGTTCCCTCCTGGTCCGCATCCACATCGTCCGGCCAGCGGCCTCGCCTAGGAGACGGAGGAGGGGATTGCATCTCAGTCGGGTACCAGGAGCGCGGGTACACCGAGTTATTTTTGCGGTAAGAGTCCGGCATCTCGTGCATGCGGACCTGGTCAAGCATAACGCGCACTCGCACGCGGGTGCCGCGCTGAGCATCGTCTACGAGAATGAACTTGCGTCGCTTTGCCTCCGGTAAATCGCCAAAGAGCGCGACTGTGTCTACTTCTTCGTCGTCCTTCGTAGTGGCGCTTGTGGTCGCGGCATGGACAGGTGCATGGGCTAGGTGCTCCATCCCGTCGCCTGGAGCTGGCAGGCCTGCATTCACCATTGACTGGCTGCTTGGATATGTAGGGTAGAAGTTGTTCGCCTGTCGTACTTCTGTGGGCGCGTTGCTGGCGCCGGTTGGGGCGTGATGATGATGCGTAACTGAGCCGTCATTGTAATCATTGGACGCTAAAGAACGAAATAGAAAAATTAGCTTGCACGTTGGCATAACCCACCCGGTGGTTTTTGTTTTCTTTGGTTGCGTTGCGTGCGAATGTTTTTTTTTTTTCTTGGTGTTTGTGAGGTTGTTTGTGTAGATTCCGTGATGGGGTCCAAGCATGTTACATCATGAATGTAATTTACACAGTGAAGTGAATTTGGGAAGGAAAGGTGCCCTTCAAATTGACCCATTATCATGTCCGAGCAAAGTAGAAACACATAATCACATCTGGTGATGGAACATACCGCTAACGTCGTCAGCCCCTCCGTGGGGTCCTCCAGCCTGATCATGGTGATGGATGATGTGCTGCCCACCCATGCCCATAGCAGGTTGCCTTGGCCCTGGAGCTGCTAAGCCTGAGGGTGGCATCCCTGCTGGCCCAGGGCCTGCCGGCCCGGCCATGTGTGCACCAGGAGCTGTCGACATTGACTTCCTACTGTTGATCTTTGCCATTCTTCGAACGCGTCTGCTCCTCAGGCGCGGATCCGAGTTGCTGTTTCGCCAACTATCCACCGCCCTCTGTATGAGACCGCGCTTGCCTCTCAAGCACGGATTAAGGTGCGCCAGCGCCCAACCAACCGTGTTGCATTCCGTCTCGTAGTGCAGTCTGTTGCCCTTGTACTGGTCTTTGGGACAGCATGCCCGAGGGTAAACACAGTTCTCAGTCTTGAATTCTTGTGGCAGAGTATCTGTGTTTACCGACTCCACGTCGCACCGGATCGTGTACTCCATCTTCACGCGATCTCTCGAGTACTCGAAAGCGATCCATTGCACCCCGTTCTGATCTTGACGAACAACCAGCGGCGTCGTCGCCGGGATGGGACCAGGCGCGGCGTTAGGATTGATCCCACTCGACCCTCCGCTGGGTCCTTGGTGCATGCCGGGCGGCGGTCCTCCCTGAGGCGCTGACGCCGGGCTCATACCGGGGCCGGGTCTCTGCATCTGGCTCTGCGGCATCTTGTTGCCCGGGCTGCCGGTCATAGCTGAAGTCACGGGGTGCGACGTGTGCTGAAGTGCAGATCCAGGGCCTGGCTGGGACATGAATCCGGTGTTCATCGGCCCTGGCTGAGGAGCACCTGGATGGGCATACGGAGATGGCTGCTGAACGGCATACTGCTGGTACGGCGGGTACATCTGCTGGGGATGCGAATAGAGCGGCCTTCCCGAAGGATCGTGCTGTGGGGACTGAACCGAAGCTGGGGATGCTGATTGTGGGGTGTGGTAGCTTCCCACGTTGGGAAGCGGGTACCTATTCATGGCAGCAGTAGCCATCGGATCAATCTGCTCTGTACGAACTTGTTAGCTACCTCGTTTGGGGGGGGATTGAGCAGTTCGAGAGTCGAAAGGACGCGTGAAAAGCTGGGAGAATCAAAACATCGCGCTCAGACGCGGCAAGTGGCCGGGGGAGGTTTGATGCGAAGAAGAGCAGAACTTGCAGTTTTTTTGACATACCAGAAGAAGAGTAGTTCCCAGAAGCAGCGCTGTTAGAGCTGTAGGGGCTTGGATGCGTGTAGTACGGGACCTCAGGTTGGTTCTGCCCTGGTTGACCTGGAAGCGCCTGAACGTACGGCGATTGATGCTGCGGGGGCAGGCTGTGGCTGGGGATGTGAGGTGAGGGATAATGACCTTGATGTCCCGTCTGAGACTGATGGGGCGAACCGGGTTGATGCTGAATTACACCTGATCTAGGGTGCTGCAGATGTTGCGGCGGTGGTAAGCCGTGATGGGGATGATGCTAGACGCATAGGTATGTCAGTAAACTTTGCAAACAAGATGAAGAAAAAAGAAAGATGCGCGATGCGAGAACTTTGTTTTGTGAGAACGTCGAAACAGAAGAAGATTTGAGTGAAAGGGTAATTGTTCCCAGCCTGCGTGCGCGAGGGTAAATGTTGCGAGGTGTACCTCGGCGAGCTGTGCTTCAGTTAGACTACGCAACAGCGCATCGCCTTGGGCATCAAGCGATCAAAGCCTAAAACAGCGAACAAGTCTCTTGAATCAACAACGAAAAGTGAAGCGTGGTTATGAAAGGATGCCCAGGCCAGTGTTTTGTAAGGCAGCCACAACGCACTACGCGGGAGACGGACCCAAATTTTACGCGCAGTGGCGGTGTGAAAGCATGAAATGCGCTAGCTGTCGCAGTTGCAGTGGCCTCGCATATGATGTGGTAGGAAGCTGAGTGGGAGAGCCAGGATCTTTTGTCGTTATAACAAAAGGGAGGACGTTGAAGAGATCGTGCAAGAGAATAGTAACGTGGGTGGGAGGGGGAGGTGAAGGTTGTTTAAGAAAGACAGCGTTAGGGGAAGTAATTAACAATGATACAAACACCACCCACAACCAACAACAACAACAACAGCAGCAGCAGCAGCAGCAGCAGCAAGAAGCCGTGTGTGTGCAGGTTGTAGTAGACCAGGCAGGGCTTCTGTCGAAGTTGTTTTATGGAGGAAGGATTGCGTGTTCGATAGTGGAGGCGTGGTGTTGGTAAATGGCGGATGGTGGTGGCAGAGCGTGGGCGAGGGGGGGGGGGGGGGGGGGGGGGGGGGGGGGGGGGGGGGGGGGGGGGGGGGGGGGTGCCCGCACTGTTAGGTGGGTGCGGGCAGGTGCAGAGGGTAGGAGAAGCTGGATTGACAGAAAACGACAACAAGGAAGTGCGGGCGGGCTGGCGTGTGCAGGGAACAGGCTAAGGGTAGGAAGGACAGGTAGCTTGGCGGGTGAGAGGGCATACCATGTAGGCGTGCGCGCTTCAGCTGGGGTAACGAGGATAGCCCGTTATGCGGCGGCTTTGTGCGCAGAGAGCTGCGCGAGCAGATGCATGCGCAAGCAAGAGCGTGTTGAGGCCGCAACGGTCTTCTCTTTTTCCTAGCCTTCGAGCGCGGATGCAGGTGAGGTTGGCGGCCCAAAAAACAAATCAACAGCAGCCAGACGCGGATGGTCTGATGGAGGATTTGGAGTCGGAGCTGTGGTCGAAGGGTTGAATCAACGAACGGAGCGGGTTGGATGGAGGCGCAACGGGTAGCCTTGACCTTGGAGTTGGATGACGGGTCGAAGGGAAAGAGAGTAGAAGAAAGCAAAAGCAAACGAGCGAGACGGTTGCGACGCTTCAACGGCTCGCGTGGGATCGGAAGGTTAAAGGTTGCAAGAAAGCCAAATGCGAACAATGCAGCAACGCAGAATCCGGTGCAAAGCAGGCTGGGGACGGGGGAGGTCTCGGGAACTTTTTTTCTGATGGACGCTTGACAGGGAGGCCTACTCACCAGGTCTTCGTCCGCCACAGGAGCTGGCTCTTCCTTATAGCTGGGAGGGCTCTTGGCCCCCTCATGTCGCGAAGCTGGCGACATTATATTGTGATCGCGGGCGACAGTCTCTGTTCTGTCTTGGGGGTCGCGCCAACAATCCCGGCCTGGAGGGTTATGGGATGTTCAACGGGGGTGGGCAGGGAAGCTGGGAAAAGAAAAGGCGACCAGGTCGAGGGCAGCGTCCGTGCTGGGCTTTCAGAGAGCAAAAGCGCAGACGAGCCAGATGGCAGAGCAAAACGAAGAATGGGCCGACGACACAGCACAGGACGCGCGCCGGGGCACCCTGTCGGCGGATTGCGTGCCTTGGCGATTAGAGAGAGAAACGAAACGGGGTCGGCGACGCGTACGCCAGCCCAGACGAGGCCGAGGGCGAGGACGGGCGGCTGGGCGAGCGCAGCAGCGGCGGAGAGAGCGGGTCGAGGACGAGCGCTCGTCCGTGAGAGCGGTGCGTTGGGCAGGACAGAGAGAAGAGCGACGACTGTGCAGCAACGCGCGCTCGCTGGCGGGCAGACGGTGCGGGCATCAGATGTTGACAGGAAGTGACAGGGAAGCAAGGTGAGCAGTCAGTGACAGAAATACCCCGGTCGGCCTGCGAGTGGAAATAAATTAAGGCTGCGTTGTGCTAACGGCGCGCGGAGCATGCACGGCAGAGGAGGAAAAGAGAGCGCGCCCGGGGGCTTGCGGATCCTGGTCGGGCGTGCAGATAATTTTTTTTCGTTACCGCTTTGCTCGCCGCGGCCCCGGCTCCGACACAGCGCGCGACGCTCGTCGACGACGAGCGGAGGGAAAAGAACACTGTGGCCAGTCCGGCGGCGCGGCTGCGGTGCCGGCCACCCCCAAGCCCTCGCGCCACCGCACGCAACGCCCACACACGCCCGCACGGCGGCAAGACGAAGGGAAGAGAGCGGCCCAGTGGCCAGAGCACGATCGAAACGTGAAGAGGACGCGACGGCTTGGATCGAGCGCTTTAGAGAGGAAATGGTCGTCGCCCTGGCCCTGTCGTATGCGCTACGGACGGAGTCCTTGCCACTTCGAGCGGCCACTGAGCAGCCCACCCTTGGCCCGCGGCCGTCGGTGCTCTCGGGCGAGTGGTCCTAGGGCCTGCTCGTCTGAGGAGAGATTGAGACGCCGGCGAGGGGCTGGGGCCTGCAAACTCGACACTTGGAAATCCCGATCAGATGCCTGCCCGTTCGCGATTGGGCAGCGGCGGCTTCTGCTCCAGCAAGCTGCCGGCAGAGGCGGGCGTGCGGGTGTGTGGGTGTGTAGTGTGCATGTGCGAGGCGATGACACCGCGACACGAACTGCCTGCGCCTACGTCCCTCCTGCCCCCGCCCGCTCCAAAATAGTAGTTCGACGATTGTGTTCTGAGGGCGGGAAAGACGGATGGAGGGACGGGAACGCAATCGTCTTCTGAACGGCCTGGAGGCTGGTTGGCTGGCTCGCGGGCTGGGGCGCGCGCACGCAAGCAATGGGAACCAGAGCTGTCGACCCGCTTTCAACGACCAAATGACGATCGAGAACGACAGCCGGCCTGGAAAGCCGTTGGGCGCGCGAAGGCAAGGTTGCGCGATCTAAATCGCTCTCGGCCTAGTCGCTTCTGCGTGGCGGCGCCGGGTTGTCGCGTGGAATCAGATACACTGTTGGGGAGGTGGGAGGAGACTGGTGGTGCCCGTGAAGCCCAGCCGAGTGCTTTGAAATCTAATTTACCTTACGGAGCCATCCTCGGCGCTTTTTTTTATTGACTCTCCTCCAGTTCATGCGCTGGTACACTACTACAGATCGATGCGAGGTTTGTGGCCTATGGCCGGCTTGCTGAAGCTCATGATTATGATGTGCTCAAACGATTGCACAAGAAAAATTAAAAAAGCTGACGGCGGATCCTGCCGTTCAGTACGCATGCCGTGATGGATCGCAGTTCATACTGTGGGAGCCTTCTGCGAGCGGCAGCAAGAAGGAAGAAGGGACGCTCAGGTTCCACACTTTCTGCCTCTTTGTTCATCCGCAGATAGCGTTGCGAGCAAGACGGGCTCTCCGTGCATCTCTTGCATCGTACTTCTGACGGTGCTCGTCAGTCTCACCTTCGGTACCGTGCCCTCTCTGGACCATACCATACATGCCCGGCCCGCCAATTTTACCCATATTTTTTTCATTTCGGTACGCTTACGCCATGAGACGTTTAAAACGCACTAATGTGCTGCGTTATGTAAGTCATGGACATGCGTTTGCGAGAGTTTCAGATTCAGCCACTTGGAGCCTAAGCAGACTAAGCTGGCCAGCCAGAAGTCCACCATCAGACGAACCCCGCAGGCACACGCTGACGGGCTGCTTTGTTGTCAAATCGAGAACAGAACGTGCAACGGTTTCACTGCCACTCTCTTTTGCGTACGATGTGTGCATAGCCGGCGGTTCTGGGCTTTCCATCGCGACGCCGGCGATGATGCTGATGTCGTCGAGAAAGACGGCCGCCGTTTCCAAAACACGCCCGCTAATTACTCGACACTCCTGTCATTCATGCGAGGCTTCTCTGTGACCGACGGTTCGCACCAGTAAGGTGGACGCGACCTGTTCGTCGTCATCTCGTCCTGCGTGTCTGAGATGAGATGGCGTGCCGTTTATGCGCAGATTCTGAACCGATCGAAACCCGAGGCAGCAAAAGTCAGCTGCTGAAGCGAGTGTCCTCTGACGACGACCTTTTCCACCTATCATCAGCTTTGCTGGATATAGGTGTTACATCTCAGGATGCATTGACGACGACCCGCTCGTGACTCAGAACATCAAACTTTTTTCTTGGTGCAAGACTACGACCGCAGATCGGCCAGTCCGCTCATTACTCTTTGATATCGAGTGATGCAAGCCAACCAAATGCCATCAGACGAAGAAGATGGAAGACGCTGCCTTTTTTTTTTATCGATTCTGACCCGCTTAGCATAATCGAATGACCTGATAACGCTCTCTGCTGACGAGGGTATGCTTGCATCAGACTAACCATCGTTCGATCGCTTAGATCAAAACACTGAACCGGTCGTAAAGAAACGCAATACGACGCCCGCAGCCGGCCTTTACCGTGTAACAGAAGCAGCTTGCCCCATTTGTCACTTGTGCCCACATAAGCGCTCGCTTAGTTTGTGTGTGGTTGGGTCCTTGTACCAGCGATGCCGACACTCACACACGCAAACTCTCCCACTCACTCACTCACACGCACTCACATTCACGAACCCCAGTCGCGACCATCCTTTCCTGGTCTTGCGCCATCTTAAGGTTCGTTCCGTCCGCTGCAATTTACCACGCTCCATTACCTGTGATCACGCACGAGATGAGATTTGTGATGTTGACTCGAGGCCCACCTTTTTTTTTCCTTTGCTGTGTGCGTGGAGGGCGTAAATTAAGTAATGGGACGGGGCACATACGGCTCTCGCTCAATCAAACGTCTCCCACCTTCCCCCCCCCTCTCGTATATCGTGAAATCAATGCGCCCGGCGCCTTTCTGCTCACTCCGCACAATCTCTGCCGACGCGCCGGCGCGTCAAAGAGTTGTACTTGGTGCGATTCGGGGCCGCTCAAGACTCGGACGAGAAGACTCAGAACGCTCACGGCCATGTCTGGAATCAGACATCTCCCGAACCTTTTTTGCACAGACCCCGTCTTCTGCCTTGGCACCATCTCACCTCTCTCTCTTTTGCCTCTTCGCTCTGCGCGGGAAGCTCAATTTGCCGCAACCACTTGCGTCTCTGGCTCATATCGATAACGGCGCCGTTTGGAGGCAGCGCAGCAGCGACCAGTCTTTTTGGTGAAACCGTCGTTGCACGACGAGAGCTCATCGCCCGTGCTTGAAACGCTTTTTTGCGTTCGGCCATTCTCCGGGTTTTGTCGGTGAGTTTCCACCGGCCAAATATTGAGAGCGTAGCACAACCGACTTGTGTGCGTTTTCGCATTCTCCATCGCGGATCGGACGCATCACCTTTGTTCGCCGTCGCAGCACGTATACCACACAAATTTTTATTATCCTTCCGTTTGCCGATGAAACTCTCAACCATCGTCCTTATCGTCCGCAATTTCGCGCGCACGAAATTGTGCGTGACCAGTGCGCGCGCTCACCACAAATTGCGGCTCGATGCCAAAGAGTGATGGACTAGATTTTCCCAACGTGTACTCCGTAGTTGTGATCAACGACGAAAGTGAGCGCGGGCATGGGAAGCGCTGTTACCGATGGCTCTAAAAACCTGCTTTGTTATTACAAACTGGAAATTCGTCCGAGCAAACTCCCTTCTTTCCCTTCCATGTCCGTTTCTCTTTTGGTCTCTTCCCTCCCTCCCTCTCTCTCTCTCTCTCTCTCTCACTCTCTCTCTCTCACACACACACACGCACTCAGTTCGCTCACTTGTGATGGACGCTCTCGTCTGGTCGAGGTGTCATCGACGCCCTTTATCAGATCGTGTGACGTGCGTTTGCCCCGATGGCGCGAACAGGCTTTGGCTTCCAAACAAATCGCACGAGGCTGGAAGAATCACGCTGGTGACAGGGCCGCCAGGCTGAGCGCCGGGCCTGCCTGTCAAAAAAGCAACCATCGGTGATCTCAGTTCTGTGGACGCTCAACGGGCCCTGGACGCCAACCTCGTGCGTCCGAGAGCGATGGAGCAGGGAGCTGGCGAGGCGTCAATGCCCCGGCCTGTAGAGGGTTTTAGTTTCTCTGGCGGTTCCCCCTTCAATATTAGACAGTTCGTGCCGCTGACAGGTATTTTGCACGGAGGACCCGCTTTTGTGTTCCGCTTTGTCGGGAACGCCTCTTTTTCGTTCTCTGACCTTGCGACTCGTTCTCCCAGCGGAGATTCGAAAAGCTGACGCACTGCATTTCTGCTCGACACGTTCCACATGACGTTTGCGGAAAGCTCGGTTAGACAGCTGGAACCCGCACTTGCGGGCTGCTGATTCTGCCTCGTCCGACTTCAATGCGCGGCCGGATTTGCACGGCGGGAAAGAAAAAGACCGCATCGATCGTACGCGAAGACAGAGGCAGACAGTGGTCTCCAGCCTGATTCCGATACGTACAATCGGCCTTCACTGCTCAAGCCCGTGCCCACCCAGCGGGGAGGGCCTTGTCCTCCTCGGAGTGCTCTCCAGGCTCCCATGCCGTCGCTCGAAGGGGGAACTCCCAAGCTCCCGAGCATCAACCTTGAGGGTTTTGCCAGCGTCGACCAGGAGCGAAATTTCCCGGAATCTAAAACCTTTATCTCAAGATCTCGCAATCATTGACCACGGGGCCCAGTTTGCGATGGCCAAGTAGCGCTCCTCCTTGGAGACGAATGGTGGCTGATCGGGACATCCACTTGCTGCCAGCGTTTCTGCGCATGCGCGTGAGCGTGCGGCATCTCGTTTCTGCTCAATCATGAGCTCTCGCTCTCGAATGATGCTACCACTACTGCAACCGAGGTCAATCACGCAGGGTCGAACATCCCTCTCAGCACATGGAAGACTTGGCAACGGTGCATAAATCCGACCATCCGCCCAGCTCTTGTTCTTCAGGTGAAAGTTCATTCGCCCAGGCGTTCTGTCTAGATGGCGGCACTTGTTGTGCGCAGGGGGAGCCCTGGTCGAGGCTTCGATTCTGACAGCTTGCAACGGCGGGGTCACAGTTGCGAGACCATGCTCGTTGATCGAGAATGATGGGCTGAGCAACGCATGGCGGGAATAGTGGCGCCGTCCAAAAAAACAACCTTCAAAGAATAGCGATCCGCACATCTGTCTCGCCCCAAAGTCCGACCAGAACTGCCGTTGGTCCCGCTGGCTCTTTCGTCACAGACCGTCTCTCAGCGCCAAAAACCGTGATGACTTGCTTATTCTGTTCCAACGGCTCCTGCAGGCACTTTGCGTGATACCATTCGTGCGTCGCTCACGTCGGTTAAATTCCTTGGTCTAGACTCAGCTATATTCCGTATCGTTTCTGTCAAACAACGCTGCGAAATAGTCGAGATGAAAAGGACCAGCGTTTCACGCACTGTGATTGGCGCATCCCATCGTCCAGACATGCAGCTTGGAGGCAACAATGCGACCATCCTCTAACCACAACCACATCACAATTTTTGGACGTGCATTCCTAGCTGTGCGTGTGCCTTCTAGTTGATCTCGTCCCCTTAGGGTCGGTCTTACGGTGGATCATACGACGGCGAACATTTTCCGACAAAAGAAAACACGCACTTCAAGGCGAAAGTTTCCACGTACTGGCCACGACGCTATTGTTCGCCTCGAGCAAGATAGGCCCGTGCGCCTATAATGGAACTGTTAAGATGCCATCACCAAGTCTGGCTACGCGCATGTCTGAGACGAAAGCTGCCTACGTGTCATGCAAAAGAGGAAGAGACTGGTGAAGATCAGAGTGTAGTCAGGCGACTTTTTACTGAAGCAGCATTGCCACCGCTATTTCCAAGCTCGATTACCACCGCGACGGGCACGCCATTTTGTGTTAGCACCATTCTCTGCCATCTTTTGCGCCGGCAAAGTTTCCAAATGCATTTTTGACCATCCCCAGGTGTGTGCTCGCCGCAGGGGCGTCAATAGTTGCTTGCTCCTGAGCCCATGACGCACATCCATCCATCCAGAGGCGAAAAGTAGAGCCGAATGTGGTTTCGTATCGCTCTTTGCGCGAATACACCCCGAAGGGGAGCATCGTTGCTCACAAAACGCCTCCACGATGTTGACTTTTCCGCACTACGTGACGAATACCGGGTTGTGACGCCTCAAAGCGCATACTCCTCCAACGCCTAACGGCTACCATGGAGCATAAACACTAAATTTCCCGGTTCATCAACTGCGTGGCACAGATCATGCTGTGCACTGTCACATCCAACCCACACGCCACCAATATGAGCTTAGCATGAATTGAATGTAGCACTCTGCTTTTGCGGGCTTTTTTCTTCAAGATTCCCGTTCATGCTTCATGCAGCAACCATCCCTCTTGGTCTGTCCCGTTGGATTACACCACAGCCTCTTAATATCGTTAAAAAGGCGAAACCGCGGACCCATATCGGAACCATTTTTACGCAGAAGATGTGTCCATGTGACGGGTATTACTATTGTCGCATGCGGATCTTAGGGCCGGTAAGTAGGGCAGGCATGGGTGAGGCAATCTAGGGCAGCAATTGGGCATTTTGGGGGAGCAGTGGAAGGACCAAGTTAGGGGATTAGGTGCTTCTTCGGAGTGTTTGCCGAACTGCCAACACTCTAGCATTGACAACGGGGCGGGTAATGAAATGAAGCGAACTTATTCCCACCTTCCCAAGAGCAAAATATCGGGGGCAGTAGTCTGGGAAGTCGATAGTCGACGCTCCAACCACCCGCCCCCCTAGGGAGCGACAGCATTGTTTAGTTCTCACTGGCCATTTCCGAGGACAACGAGGTTAGCTGCTGCCTTGGGAGATGAGCTTGAGTGGACGCGAGCAAAGACCGTCTCGGTGAGTCACTTTCGGAGCTTTAGGGATCCACTACCGTTTACAGGGCACCGGTGCCGTAGTAGATTGTCGACGGCGAACTACTCTGGTCGGAGCTAGGAGGCGTAAATGTTGGTGACCTTCCCTTTGAGCGTCAACTGCTGTCTGCCCAGCATTAAGGAAGAAATTGGTCAATAAAGGTGAGGTCCATCGGTCGTGCGGTACAGTCGCATGAATGGGCCCGTTCACAGGAGGAAGGGCCCTCTAGGTGTCATCCGAATGTAGTCGGCATTTCGATGCTCTAAGCTGCCATAGTAGCAGACGTCGGCAAGCTGAAAGAAGATTTTTCCGTATCCAAGACACGCAGCTGCGATGTCGTGCCGTCGAGAATTCAGAATCCAGTCCCTCCCAAGAGACATCGACGACTTTAATAGACGTCCAACAGATCTTGAATGCCTTGCCGTTATCCCTGGACTGTCCACCTCAGACCCTCAAGGCCCTCCCAGAGGCTGCCTACGGGCTCCCTGGCTGGCGTACCCACTGAAGAAACCCCCCCAGTAACACCAGCCTACGAGGACTCAAGGGGAGGGGAGCAGGAATCCACCAGAGGCCGGTACTAGTGCTGGTTCGTTTCCGCAGGCTCTCTCCATCGCACCCTCGAGGCTTCTCCGTACCCTCGAAGCGTCGATGAGCGAGCATCTCGGCCAGCCAGAGTCTCTCTGGGTACCTTGCATCTTACAAGAGCAAGCGCCGCCTGCCTCTTCGCCAGTCGCTTCTCTGACTCAGGCTTCCTGCGCTCGACGGAGACCGATGCGGTTCTTCCAACCCTCTTTCTTTTACTACTTCGTAGCAGGCCCTGCGCCCGGGCTGATCAAAGATTCCCTCAGAACTACAGTCATGGCACCCGCCGTGCTTCTGTGTTTCTACAGGCGACGGCCTGACGAGAAGGGGGCCCCTTCGCCTCTTACAAACGAGCCCGTCGGCGTAGGGTAGTTTTAACGGTGTCATGTCCTATCAGCGAGCGTGGACATTATTCCGGACAAATCCAATTGCCACGTCAACGGTAGGATCCATAAAGAATCCGTCTGCCGGCTTGTCTGTCGTACAAGATCCAACTAAACCATGGACTTGGAGTGGAGCGAAACTTGCAATGTAAGCTTGCTGTGAGACTACGCTGCTAATGACCTAAGACTTCGAGCCGAAGGTGCCCTTACGGCGTGGAAAATCCTGCAACACTCAAAAACTCGATTTGATGGCTAAGATTTATAAGCTTTTTATCATGATATGCTGGAATCTTTGCGCGCGTAGAACAAACACATGGAGGGACAACAAAGAGGTGGCAAAAATACATTTGGGAAACATAGTAAGATACTATTAATCGGCAAGTAAAGTTGGATGGGATATCTATCATACATTGACAATACCGTGCGAAAGACCGGCGAGAAGAGATGGAAAAAAATTAAGAGGGTATCGAGGACCTCATACACATGTACTAGCCAGCCACAGACACAGAACGCTTTCATCAGTCTCGTAATGCATGTAGGCGATGCCCTTGATGGATGAGAGAGAGCAATCAAGATTGCAACCCCTCTGTCATCAACACAATCTTGTAAACACCGATTCTTTAGTCTTCCCCTCATATAGCTTTTCCTCCTTTTCTTTCCTTATGTCGCTGTTTCATCTTTATTCCCTTTGATGATGTCTCGGCTACCGTAGGGTCACGAACCCAACACAATCATTCGAAAACCGGCGTGACTCGGTTTACAGCTCATCTTTAACGTTTGCAACAGCAGAGCTAACACTGCCCGCGGCTTCTCCCATTCTGCTCTTCATAGCGTTGACATTATCTTTCATAGACCCAGTAGCTTGTGCGGCGAGATCCTCCAATCTCGCTTGTGCACTACTGAGTTCTGCAAGTATTCTCGCGTGTGCACTCTCTAAGGCTGACTTTTCGGAGTAGTAGACGGCCTCAGAGACCTTTGAACCGGCCGCAGAATATCCCTGAGCAAACTTTTCGGCAACAGTGGCTGCGTTTTCTGCCGCAACAGACGATACAGATGAGTAGACGCTGGATGCAAGAGAGCTTGCCGCTTCAAAGCTACCTGTTGATGTACCGTAGATAGCCTCACTGATAGCTTTCTGAGCGTTCTCGCCAATATCCGCCAAACCTGCTTGTGCCCTCTCCAAGAAGGATGCGGGTGTGCCGTAAACGGCAGCCGACACTTTCGATGCGGCATCCGCAGCTGCGCTGCTTGCTTTCTCGTAGAGATTTGGCTCAGTGCCATATATCTGGGTACTCGCCGCATCAACAACTGAGTTTATCTGCTCAGAGGCCCTTGAGAGAATAACTTCAAGAGTTGGTGGAGGAGTGAATACAGAGCTTGCAGCGCTAGACGCCGAAGCATACAACTCACTTGCCAAAGAGGATGCAGATGATGCGTAATTCGGCATACCCGTGTAATACGCCGAGGATAGACGAGCCATCATACTCTCAGTAAAGTCCGGCTCTTTTCCAACTAGTAGCTCATTGAATAAGCCAGCCAGAGCGGCATACTGAGACGCTGCGGCATCTGTTGCCTGAGCAGCGTATTCGCCGGCTTGTGAATATGCGGATTCATGCCATGGAGCTGGTGTACCATATATAGCAGAGCTAGCACTTGAGATTAGTGAGTCCCAGTTAGCAGACGCCCGCGATGCAGCAGCATCTAGCCATGGCGTCGTTGATCCAAAAAGCTGTTCATTAGCAGCAGAGGCAAGATACTCGACATTCCCAGCGGACGTGCCGAAGACTGCTGACGATGCGCTTGCTGAAGCCGCTGCTAGAATATCTGCAGCTTGCGATTTTGCAAACTCGTACTGCGATGCCGCTGAAGCGAGAATGCTCTGCGCAGGTGACCTCTCTTTGTCATCTACAACTTCATTGATCGATTGTACTAATTCATCATACACAGACTTTGCAGCAGACACGGCACCCGTATACTGAGCTTGTGCCAACTCGAGCAAAGTTTGATACGCTGGGGTTGGGGTGCCATAAACGGCTGTCGATGCCGCTTCCAGGAACCTCGAATACTGATCGTGGGCAAAGCCGATGCCCTGGTAGTATTGCTTCTGTGCTTCAGCAAGGTATTGCTGGTGAGCAGGGGGATCCTGTAGTCCAGCTGCTGACTTGGCCTTCTCGTACCTGTGCGTTGGTGATCAGCATCAAATAATAACAAACGGTCGAGTTGCCTGATCGGGGATGAATAGCAAGGACATGGATAGCATGGCCATAGCCAGCGCAAGGGGAGAAAAGAACGAAGAAAGCGGTGCGAAGTCATTACTAGGTAATCAAGCGGGTGTGAGAATGCCCTATCACCGATGGCTATGCATGCATATGGCCGGTTTCGAGACAAATGACCATAATCATGCTAGGACTTATGCCGCGGTGGGGCAAGTTTTGGCCCGTGGCGATTGCAGCAACCGCGAACTTCAAGCCGATTGTGCAAGCGCAAGGAAGGAGCACCCCCTCATGGGAAATCCACGCCTTGTCAAAGACAAATCATCAACAGGCACGCCCACGCTTTTGTTCCAGGTGTACTCTTCGCACGGATTGGGATGCTTCCGGAACTGAAGACTCTGTTCCGAATGCCAAAAAGAGAGGGGTTTCGATTGGACTTACTGCGATGATGCTTTACTCAACCCTTGTTGCAGTCTTTCGGATGCAACGGACGATACTGACGCGTAGACACCCTGTGTTGGACTGGCCCACAAATGTGTGATTGATGCGGTGTAGCCAAGGATGCTCTCTAGCTTTTCGCTGGCTAATGATAGTGACTCGGAGTAGGACGACTCGATAGACGATATAGCCTCTTCGTAAGCCGGCTTTGGTGTACCCGCCACCTCAATTGAAGCTTTGGAGTACTGCTGCTTAGCCAGGTTAACAGCCTCGTCGAACTTCGCAGACGCTTGGGAGGCAATAGAAGCTAGCACTGGCTGTGGTGTACCGTAAATTGCATACGAGGCCCTGAAATGTTCATAGTCAGATTATGTCTGAAGAAGTTTATTCAAGCAGAACTTGAACGAAGCTAAGCCCTAGTGGACGACCTCATTGGCCCATGAATGAGGTCGGTAAGTTTCCCTCGAGCACGAACGCACAGGAGATGCTGAATACGTCCACAATAGCATGTTACGTTCAAGCTTGCTGTCGAGAAGAGAGAAGATGAGAATGATAAAAGATTATACGTACGCTGTGACCGCCTCATGGTACCTTTTAGTTAACTTGTCTTCAATGCCCTCTAACTCACCCGTAGGTGTCCCATAAAGCGCCTCGCTCGCTGCCGTTAATGCCCTCGCGATCTGTTCACCGGCCACGCTGGTAATACCTTCCACGATGCCTTGTGTGGGTTCAGCAGTGAATCCTTTGAGCGCCTCCTTAACTACATCCGTGAGCTCAGAACCCTTGTCGCCCGCTATGGCAAGGTATTCGGACAATGTGTCATCAGCATCGAAAGGGTGATCAAGTACGATTTGCTTTTGTCCAACATCCGCAGCCAAGGCACCAGGAATGCCAAACACTTTGGAGGAGGCTGTAGTCAACTCGTTAGCAGGTTCATTGGATGAGATGCTGTCGGACGCAATAGAGGGAGCCTGGGGGGAAATGGAGGGAAACGCGTTAAATGCTTCATCCTTGTCGGGTGAGGACTTCGATATAACAGATTGAGTGCTAGGAGATGCTTCAGAGTGTTGTAGGTTCGCAGAGATGGATGCCTGAGAATTTTCAGGAGCAGGCGTGCCGACAACAGAGCGAGCTTGCTCTGACTTGTCCTTTGCAGCCGATAAAACGCTCCGAGGGGCGTTTGCAGCTGAAAACGACGCGGAAGAGGCCAAATCATCCATTGAGCTCGTAGAGGCAAGTTTTACACTCTCGTAGGCACTCCCGACGGAAGACATCGCTTCTTCAGTCAAAGCATCGACGACTTCAAGACCATCCTTGAACAAATCTGCGATCGATGAAGTAGCAGCTCCAACGGCAGCGGAAAGTCCCTCCGCTGTTCCATCGGATGGCTGTGATTGAGCAACATTCTTCGAATCTCCATGACTTGCATCAACCACCTTCGCTCTTGGCGGTACAACCTTGCTTGAGAAGTCATCTGTAGAATCTCGTGCTGCAATCTTCCACTTTGATGCATCTCGAAGTCTGACAAGCTCAGCAACCGCGTTTTGTGCCGATCTTATGGCGACCTCGCGGACACGTTCGCCCTCAGCTCTGGCAGCTTCAAGCCCCTTGTGCTTCAACGCAGCGTCTTCAATTCCGTGGCGCCAACTGTCAAATTCAGACTTTAGATCGTGATATGTAGCCCAATCCTCGTACGTCACGCCCTCCATGTTTGCCCAACGCATGCCAATTTGTTGAAGACCAAGGTCGCGGATCGAATCTACGATCTTCAGAGTAGATTCCAGAGCAGCAGTAACAAGGGAAGTAGTATCAGCGTCATACTTATTTTCCCATTCTCTAATAGCTTGCGCCTTTTCTTTGATTGCTGTGCCCGCACTACGGACTGTCTGCACTACCTTCTCGTACAAGGCGTCTTCAGCATCCTGGTCCGCATCTTCCGGCAAATCTTGGATCAATTCGATGATCTTGGCTTTAACGTCATCAATGACAGTCTTGGCTGTTTCGTCGAGTTTGATAACAAGACCATTAGCAACACCTTGGGCCTGATTTTCGATCTGTCGTGATGTGATTTCCTCGACACGATTTCTAAGGTCAGTGGTGCCACGCTCAGCCGCCAGCGCGAATTTTCGCTTCCAGCCGCTAAGATCAGATTGGATTTTCTCGCGAGTATCATCCTCAACTACGGGATTTGAGGACGAGGTCGGGATAGCAGTCTGCCGCTCGGGTGATGCCGATGCTGAAGGTGTGATAGATACATCCTTTCCAGTGACGCTGCTCATAGATGTAGGCTCGCTGTTGAGTTCCCCGGTTACAACATTCTGCATGTTGCGCGCGTCTTTATACCGACCCACACGCTCCATTATTTTGGTCAGCTGTGGTTCGACGTTTTCCCCATACAATAGGACGAGCATAGGCCACAGCTTGCGTCTCAAAAACTCGAACGAAACTTGCTGCGCATAACGTACGTTCGGAAAGATGATTTCGGTAGAAATATGGTGTCCGTGCTTAAATGCCTGATGAAGCACTGGCACTGCACGGTAATATAGTGGTATGATTGTGGTGTCGTACATATGTGCCACCTCAGCGAACACTTCGCGGGTATATGGCTTTACGATGCTGTAGACCTGATCCACATGTGGCCCCAAGGTCTGGTCATATTGTGCACGCGCCCACTTCCTCCGAACCTCTAGGCGGGGTTTCAGGGTGCTGGACCACGTACCTTCAGCGTAGTCCTTCAACTGTGCAACGCAGGGCGCGCCGTACACTGTGTATTTCTCCTTTGCAAAGATAGCAGCCGGTGCAACAACATTCCTGTTCAGACTGTCGACATGGGGTTGGGCCCGATCGATATAAGTCTTAAGGTAGATGTCGTAATAAGGCTGAACATACGGCATAGCCTGATCCCGAAAATGCAGGTATGGCCTACAGATCTTCGGTGATTCATCAGAAACGTTGGCGATCGTACTAGGACAGCGGAAAACTGCAGTGATTACCATGTACCACAGCAGTAGCCTAGACCATCAAGTGAACAGTTAGCCTGGATTCAAAAACTTGAAAAAAGTCGATAGTGAGTGCTCGGTTGCCAGTGGACCTGCCAGGATCGAATTTAGGGATGATTGCATTTCGACCCTTAGTACGCTACCCACATATCTGTAAACGGGACTTTGCTTAATCGCGGCATAAATATTGTCACAAAGAAGCGCTCGGGGTTGCAATTGCTTTCCACAGAGTAAGCAGCAAGGCCAGTCCATTGAATGGGAAGTGAGTCCACGGTATTAAGGAATATCTGAGAACGTTCAAAACCGACTTCGGGACATATCCAGCCGCTATGAAAACCTGTGGATTAGCTGGTCTCGCGACGACTATTTAGGAGCATTCAATGGTGGCATTGTCGTGCCAAGTCAGATAACGCTTTACGTTATGCTCCGCAAGTAGACCCTGTGCCCGAATATATACATCTGGGAAGTCAGGATTGAGCAATATTGTACGAAAGATTACGTGCGAAGTAGCTTTGGTAGTCCTAGAGAAAGCGGCAATCCTGATGTCTCTCGAACTGTTGAGATAACCGTAAAGAATAGGATCCTGGGCTCAAGGAACGAAACTACATTTTAACCATGTTGCCGTTCTTCGAATCCTAAATGGAGGAAGTGTTCAACCGAGAGTGAAAGGGAGGTTCGCTGGGTCTTCTTTCTCTCTGCCAACTCTTTATTCTGGTTTTTCTGCTGCAAGCAGCGATCTCCTAATTGGTATTCGTCTCAAGTTTATACAGGAATACCATCCTCTAACAAGTTTTGGATGTGTCACTTTATGTAGCCGCAACTTTTGGATGGCACCTTGCCTGCTTCTAGAGCTATCTTTCGGTACAAGATTTGGTAGATGGACTGGCACCGGCAGCAGAATCGTAGCCTGAGAGAAGAGGTTGCACAAGTGAGGAGTAAGCATAAAATCATACCTAGTAGCAATGCTGAGAAGACCACCTAGAAATCCCTTCCCGGCGGGCGCAGAAGCCTTACGCGGCGGAGAGGTAGACTCAGTGAATGCATTTATCTGCGGAGCCTTGAGTGAGCCATTCGCCTGATTGATGTTCATGATGAATTTGAAGGTGCGTGTCGAGGCGACAATCGTATGTTCGTTGCACGAGGGTTGCTAGGCGCGACAGGCGCGACGGACGCGACGGACGACAGCCTGAAGTCACTTCTTTCCGAAAAGAAGCAATGAAGCACTGCACGAGTAGATCTTCAGGTGAAAGCAAGCGGCCCGCCTAAGCAAGGTTGTAGAGCACCGCGACTCCAGGACGAGGTCGAGGGCGTGTGAGGACGGTAGCTTTGCTGGAGGGAGCTGGACGGGGCGTCTCGCTGACGAGACAAAGAAAAAAATACAAGAGAAAGAAGAAGGCGCAGGAGGTGCAGCCAAGCGATGCGGATAGAGAGGAAAGAGCTGATGATGGTGGATGCACCCAAAAGATCGATCGCACCTGCTATCTTGGTTTTCCTGGGCTGCGCTAGGAATTCCCAAGAAGTCGCGAACCGAGCTCCCTTCGGTTGCGTCATATGTCTGCCCTTCGCTGCTGCCACACGCTCGGCAGCCCCAAGCATGCACAGAACTGGCAAAGACCATCCTCTATCATCGAGCCGCCATACGACGTAACAAAGAAGTGGCAAACAGGTGGCTTCGGTCGCTGAGAGCGAAGGCAGACACAAAGTCGACGAAGAGTCACTGCATAGCAAAAACTACGTTCTTCGTTCGCGGCCTAACTTGTCTTGGTTGCAGACCTTCCTTGTGCACTGAGTAGTTGACGAGAAGAGGCGAATCAGAGACACGTGACGGCCATTACACTTTAACTTTGCCATACGCAACGCGCCACTGCATCAAAACTCCAAGTCCTACCAACAACCTAAACACGAGTCCACATTCCTGTCGGCCTTGATACTTCGATAACCTAATATATCTTCGCCATCTTCTACTTGTTCCCTCTCTTCGGCATTGGTGACCAAGCCACGCACCAGCGAAGAGCGAGACAGCGAAGTCTTCCTAACCTAGATTCATATATAAGGCTCCTAGTTCATACCGATGACTACAACTCAAAGTCTAGCGTTTGCGAGCCGATAGCGCAAGATATCCCTCTTGGTCCTCCCTATATACATCCATCATGGACGCTTCGGTCGCCGCAACTCCACAAACTCGTCCTTCGCAGGATACGCACGATCCTACTGTAACGGCCGCCATGACTCCGGGTGCGAACGAAAATGCCCACACAACTATGAACAGTCATTTTAGCCGCAAGGATGAGTTAGATACGTGTCGCATTTGCCGAGGTGAAGGTTCTCTAGATGAGCCGCTCTTTTACCCCTGCAAATGCAGTGGCAGCATTAAATACGTGCATCAAGACTGCTTGATGGAATGGCTGTCGCACTCACAGAAAAAATACTGCGAGCTTTGCAAGACACCATTTCGTTTTACGAAGTTATACTCTCCGCATATGCCCTCACGGTTACCCACTGGCGTATTCATGCGCAAGGCCTCCATCCACATCCTCGAACACCTAGCGACGTGGCTGAGGGGTGCGTTGGTAGGTTGTGTGTGGCTAGTGTGCGTCCCGTGGCTTATGCGATGCATTTGGCGGATTATATTTTGGATTGGAGATGTGGGATGGGCGAGGGATGGCATGTATATATGGCCACTCCTTGCGGCAGCGACGGACGATAAAGTTGTCGTTGCGGTTGGTGACATGAACGTCTCGGGACGTGTACATGTGCCCAATGCAACCTTTCAGACACCGACCTTGATAAACACGACCTCACCGGTTCACAACCTCTCTCAGGATCCACTCGTCTTCAAACTCGCGCGCGGGCTTTTCACAACCATGGTCGCACCGCTTCGACGCTCCGACCCGCTCGTCTTCAAAGCCAATGTGACAATCAATCCACTAATAGCACGTATGCTTGAACAAAGTCACTCATCCATACTATCAGAGGTGCAGTTTCTCAAGACAATGAGTTCTTCGCCTTTCATTAATCGGTTCGTTATGGATGTAGTTGAGGGACAGATCATTACACTTTCCGTAGTGGTTGTGTGCATCCTCATCTTCTTGATTCGCGAGTGGGTAGTGCAACAACAGCCCGTCGTTGATTTAGCAGCAGCGGACGCAGTGAATGCGCTTGCGCAAGCCGGCGGTGGGATACAGAATCAACAAGATGAACGTCTCAATGACGTCGATGGTGCTGGTGCAGAACCGCATCAAGAAGCAACAGCAGCAGCACTAGCGGCCCCCCCCTCAGGAGCCGAAGTCATTGAAGAATCCGATAATATCATCGCATCGAACGTAGAGGATCCAGAGCAGGAAGTAGAACGAATGACCAGAACCGACACCCCAACAACAGTACAGGACTGTGAGTCCTCTATCCGCTCCCTCAGCGACTCCTTGTCTATGTTAGAGCGCGCGCGTGCGATGCTCGTTCAGCTAGAAGGTGGCGTCGAATCTCTTTTTGAACCTTCGCGAAGCGAGATTCGGGACATGAGGGCTAAGACGCAAAGCCTAGAGCGCGAGATTCTGGCTGAATTGAGGAAATTGAAGGCGCTTCTCAAAGATTTCTTCTGGGATAGCGCTGAATTGAGTGTCATGCTAGACGAGTTATTCCGAAGAATCGAGGGAATTGCTCCGGATGACGAGAATAGAAACATTAATGTTGATGTTGATGACCGTAATGATGACACCCATCTTGAAGAGAAGATGGATGGAAGGCAAAGTGCGAGTATGCCGGAATGGAACCACGCATCGCTTGCAATAGATATTGCAAGAAAGATGCAAGAGTTCGCGGATTCGATTCCAAGGGCTCGACGGTCCAGTGAGCAGGCTGAGTTACAATTTAAGGAGCCTTGGGGACGGTCGAAGTCACTAGAGAAACGGCAAGAGGAAATTGAAGACGAGCGGGGCAGCAAGAGGGGTGTGGATTGGAAGCAAATTCCAAGGGCAGACCAGAGTCAGAGACAAAGTCGAACTCAAGCAGAGAACTCATCTGCACAGCAATACCATGAACCGCTTGTTGGATTTAGCGAAATTGCGGACAACAGCAACATGAGGGAAGTTGATGAAAAAGTCCCTAACGGCACGTTTGATGGGCAAGATGATCTATCATGGGTTAGCACCACTGGTTCGTCAGATGCAAGAATGACAATCGAAGAACTGCCAGAGAATCCATCCGCTCCGGACTATGCAGAAGGATCCACACCGTCCACTACTCTAGCTGCTCAGACGGGAAGTGAACTATCTACAACACCTTCAACCGACGCTGGCCAATTTCCTGAAGCTGAGCTCGGATTTTTAGGCTGGATGGTGCACTGGTTCTGGGGTGACATTCAACAAGAGCATTTGGCTAATGCTCAAGACCCCGAAGTCGAATTTGGTGCCGCAGATGATGAACATGTTGTCAGAGATCTAGCAGCTGAAGCGCCGTTTGTACCTTTCCAAGGTGCCCAACCGTTCCAACAGGATGTTCGAAATGACCGAGATCAAGTAGAAGCCCCAGCCCGTCGAATTCCTTTAAGAGACGCCCCACCCCCCGCAGATGAGGCGGTTGCAGCTGCAGCTGCTCTAGGCGCTGAAGCGAACGGTCTCGACGCAGACGCCATCGATGATGCCGAAGACTTGGAGGGTATTCTTGAGCTGATAGGGATGCAAGGGCCCCTTGCAGGCCTCCTTCAAAACGCTATCTTTAGCGGGATTCTGATCAGTTTAAGCATTATGCTTTTCGTCTTTTTGCCATACGTACTAGGCAAATTGGTGCTTCTTCACATCGCTGAACCAAGTTTACTGTACAAGGTGCCGCTGAAGACTGCAACGGTAATTGCAGACTTGGCGATCGATGCTGGTGTTATGATAGGTGGATATGTGGCGTATGCAGCGTTGGAGGGATATAGATGGGTAATGGGTTGTCTAGCTGTAGACATGAAAGAGCGAGGAGGCACTCTATTTGTAAATGGAGTGCGCGGACATGCCAAGGCCGCTTTGGAACGGCTTGTCGGAGGGCTTATTGCTACCAATGAGATTGAGGCAGGCGACCTTCTCTACCTGTCTATGGCTTGCCATGCGGCCTTGCACGCTGTTGAAGATTGGGCAATTAGCGAGGTCAAGTTCCTATTTGACGCGGTCAAATCTATCTTCAGCTGCTTGCTATCAGCTGACGTTCTATTCCTATACCAGCAACTCAAGGGCATTTCGCTCTCGACGGCTAATCTTGTCATTTTCACCCTTCAGTCTATTTGGACAATCATCTGCTCCTTCTACACAACGGGATCCATACATCTCCCAACAGGCACACCGCTACATGTGCCGGACGACCCTATGCTGACATATTGGAATGCGCGCGACCGATTCCTTGCAGTCCTTGCTGGCTATGCAGCCATTGGACTTCTATGCGGTCTGTATGTCAAGCTCGCTCCACTCACAACATCCCACCATGGCAAACGCTTTGAAGCACATATCGTGGAAGCATGCTTACAAGCTGGTGGTGTGCTGAAAGTCATTCTCATCATCAGCATTGAGATGATTGTGTTTCCCCTCTTTTGTGGGTTTTTGCTTGACTTTGCCCTGCTGCCACTTTTCGAGAACGCAACTCTCTCATCCCGCGTTGCTTTCACTGTTAGCTCGCCTTGGACCTCGGGGTTTGTGCATTGGTTCGTGGGCACTTGTTACATGTTCCACTTTGCACTCTTCGTTTCCATGTGCAGGCGCATTCTTAGAAAGGGCGTTCTATACTTCATCAGAGACCCTGACGATCCGACATTCCATCCAGTACGCGACGTTCTGGAGCGCAATGTCGTGACTCAGCTACGCAAGATTGCATTCAGCGCGATTGTGTACGGCGCACTCATCGTCGTATGTCTTGGCGGCATCGTCTGGGGTCTATGGGCGGCCCTTGATGGCATTTTACCCATCCACTGGTCATCTACGGGCTCAAATATCGAGTTTCCGCTGGACATTTTGTTCTACAACTTCCTCACGCCATTTGTAGTGCACTATGCCAAGCCCAGCGCAGGGATAACGGCGATGTACGAATGGTGGTTTAGACGTGTGGCACGCGCGCTCCGACTCTCGGACTTCCTATTCAGAGAGGAGCATTTCGACGAGGAAGGCCATTGGGTTCGGCACACATGGAAAGCGTGGATTACACGCAGAGTTAATAATGATTTGACAGAGGAAGATGTCGATCGGCTTGCAATTTCTCAGGGCACAGCGGATGCAGATGCGCTCGACGACGGCATAGTGAAGTTCGTCCCGGATGGACAATATGTCCGAGCACCTGCTTCAGATCAAGTTCGAATACCCAAGGGAACTCCGGTTTTTGTGCCCGTCACTGTGGAAAATAAGCGTTTGGATGGAAAACCAGACGATGAAGGTGTTCATGCTGCGAATTCGAATTTGGTCATCAAGGTTTACATCCCCCCGTGGTTCAAGCTCCGCATTGGGCTTTTCATTCTTGCAGTTTGGATATTCGCGGCAGCAACTGGCATCGCTGTCACAGTCTTGCCTCTACTTCTTGGGCGATACCTACTATCCTCAGCATTTGGGCGAAAAGAATTCATCAACGACATCTACGCATTCTCCATCGGAATATATCTCCTTGGCGGAGCCTTGTACGCAGGTATTCATCGCCACGCTATCATAAGCTGGCTAGTGACTACCTTTATTCCCGCAGACGGTGGTCGTCATATCATCGGTACAGTGTGGAACACCATCACTCGTGTAGCCAGCATCATCTACGTATACAGCACCCTCGCCATTGGACTTCCCTTGATCAATGCTGTCCTCCTAGAAGTTTACATCCTCATGCCCATACATTATTTTTTCCATGCCGGAGAGCATCACGTCATGCATCTCGTTCAAGATTGGACATTAGGTATCCTTTATGTTCGTATTGGGATGCGAATCTTCCTATCTGACCCAGAGTCACGTCCAGCTCGCGCGATCCGTCAAGTCTTCGCAAACGGATATTTAAATCCGGATGCCGGTCGTGCCACACGCTACTTCATCCTGCCCGCTTTGCTATGTTTTGCAACACTGATGGGCGCTCCGTTCGCGACTGCCTTCATCGTGAATAAGACATACATGCGGGCCGCTGAAAAGGATGACAAGATTGCGACTATGAGGATGGCGTATCCACTAGCGAGTGCCATTGTCGTAGCGGTGCTTGCTGGAAGGACTGCTGTACGCGCTGCAAGAAGGTGGAAAGCTCGCATTAGGGATGAAGTGTATCTCGTGGGCGAGAGACTACACAATTTTGGAGATAAGAAGAGCAATAAAGGCAAAGAAAAGGTGAAGTCACCGCAACAGGAGCAATGAGTGACGGACCAGTGTTCTTATAGTTGACGAGAAGCGAAACATTTGTCACATCATGTTGACTAGAGAGTCCTCAAGTCTTTATGACGTCTTTGATACCCTGTGCCTAACCTAGGGATGTTACATTGCATTAAAATGGCTTTTTTGTACCATTAAGTCGTCCATAGATACCATGTTTGTAGTAGAAAATCAATCAAAATGACACCTCTACCACAACCGTCACACACTGCCAAATTCAAGGACATGATAGGTAAAGCCATATAGTGACAAATGTAGCCTCGCTGCTGTTCGGACGTAAGAACAACTAAGAATACCATGGGGAAAGATCGGGAGTCGGTCATCTCAAAATAAGGTCAAATAATGAAGGATGTTGAATTTGATCGGGCCCAGCATACATACAAACGCGCCCGAGGTATTGAACGCCGTCTCATGCAAAACATAACCAAATAAAATGTCGATACATCATCACTCATGCCGTGGACGAATCCTCGTCTCAGCTTACAGTTGGCCCAAAGGACGTTCGGCGCCTGCGTCCGTCAGATAGACGACTGGGTTGCTTGCGTTGCTCACGGCGCACCTAGGAGATCCTCCACCCAGCCCATGGAGACCCTGTTATCGTCGCATAGTCTCGCCCATTCGAGCAGGAGTCGGTACGTGTAGATGCCCATGTCCTCGCGCCGGAGCGTCTTTTCGGCCCAGGACCGGCCGTCGTCTGCGATCTGCTTGGCCACGTCGTCGTGGCTGCCGAGGCCGTTGAAACCCATGAAATAGTCCAGGATGCCGTAGATGTCGATGAATGTGTTGTCCATCGGGATGAAGTGTACCCAGGGGAACAGGCGGTCATCGTGCCACTCCTCGTAGATCGTCGCCTTGATGGGCACGGACGTAGACTTCAGGAAAGCGCGGTATCGGCCGGAGAAAGAGTTGCCGTCGATGTCCGGGAGGTACTTGTGCTTGTACATCTTCTCCATGGGCACGCCGTCTTGTGTTGAGAAATACGGGTCCGTGTAGGGACAGTTGCGCCCGTCGGTGTGTGGGAAGCACAGCAGGTCAATGAATGACACGTCGCTAATCTCGGAGACCCAGTCGCCAAGATATCCGTTGCGGATGGCCTTGATGTTGAAGTCATCCCAGCGAGGAAGGTCGAACGTCTCGCCGCGGATCCGTGTCTGCTCTGCTTGCAACACGCGCGTGCCGTTCATCATCTGCACGAAGCGATGCCGCTGGAAGTGGATCCAGTTTTCGGCTCTGTTGCGGCCACCAGATGCGACTCCACGCCAGTAAACTTTCTCCTTTTTGGAGCTCCAGTCCGAGCCGTGCTTCTTGCCCCCGGAGTACAGAGGGTCCGCATTGAGATATGTAGCTGGAGGCAGAAGGATCTCGTTGTTGACGGGTAGTTTCGAGCCTCCAAACATAGGGATGAGCTGGTGAGTGGTGGATACTGAAACAGGCTCTATAAAGGAGCCGTGGAGACCGCGCAGGTAGGGCTTGTCGCAAATCTGCTTTGCCAGTGTCCAGTTCCCCACAAATCCATGGACAGAGTTCTGGGGCTGGCCACGCGGGAGCAACGTCGGCTCTTCCAATGGTGTCCAGGCAGGTTCGTTGCGTGACGTCGAGTTTGGGTGACACCCGATCTTAGCAAGTTCCCAATACTGACCCCCGTGGAACTGTGGATCGTAGTGCATGTCCAACTCAGATTTGTCCGCGTCAAACGCCGTGAGTCCTGTGAAATTCGAGATGACTTCCACCGGATCCATCTCGAATCGCTTCAGCTCGGCCTTTCGCATGTACTCTTCCATCTCTTCCCAGGGTACGACCACACGAGACTCATCCATCATGTTAACAGGTACATCGACGTCAGGCAGCCGGTGTTGCAATTCTGCAATCAAGCCATGCCAGAGTTGGATCCATGGGACTCTCTTCTTGGTGTCTGTTTTAAACGTCGCGTTGCCTCGGCGTACCGAAATGACAAAGTCATACGCATTCGCCTGGAAACGCAGCACTTTCGGATCAATGGCCCAAAACGGGGTCAGGTCGTGGTAGATACGGTCGAAAAATTCTTCCACGATGACGGCGTCCTTGCTCTTCGCATACTCGAACCACTCGTCAAAGCCCGGTGGGGGATGTCGCCCTCTTCGTGCCCGGTATTTCTTGGCAGCATCCTGAACATTGTAACTCCTCCTGTTCAGTGTGCGGTAGTATTGGGCTCTCGCGGACAGGATCAGGTCATCGATCGGGTGCTTTCCATTCATCAACTCTCCATGCTCTATCGAGCCTGGCAAATCCACGTTGTGCCATGATTCCAGGCTCTTGGAGGAGGTATACAACGAGAAATATATCAGCGCCAGCGAGACAAATGCCGCGACAGCTAGGTATCTTGCCCTAGACGAGGCGTGGAGGCTGCGAAGCCAGGTCCGGAACCCGTTTGCGAGCGAGGGCCCAGCCATTTCAGCTCGCGGCGACCTTTCCGACGCGAGACCAGGATGCCGAAGAACAAGGTGCCAATCAGGTCATTTCATGGCGCTCCGCAGAGGGCAAAAGCTGCTGATGCATCAGGCGTTGAACTCGTCCATGAGCATGAAATCAAGACGGAGCTCAGGACGCTCGAGAGCTTTGGCACGGGCAATGGGACTAGGAAGAGATGGTTGGTCGCATTTGGAGTTAGTTGGCCGGCCAGACGGCAGAGTGGTAGCATGGGGAGCCAGGCTCAAGCCAATCTGCACAGCGGCACAACGACGCCGTCGACGAAAAAGGGCAAAGCGCCAGTTCGTTATCGCCGTGGGCCACCTTTGTCTCCGCGCAGCTGTGCAACCAAGAAGAGGGGAAACGGCTCTGCAGACGAAGGTCGACAACATGCCTCGCTTCGACGTCGTCATTCGCCTTGTGGCTCAGCCGCCGACGCGTGGATGAGCGCGAACGCCTGCTCAATTGCGTGGGCTGTCTCCTTCTATTGCACTCCTAAATGGAGAGTATCTGCAGCACATGAACACTCAAAAGTCGAGGCCGTGCGGATGCTTTCCATTGTTTTTTCTTTTCCTTATAGTCTTGAATGGCATTCGCTCGTATCAAATCAGCACACGTAGTTTCAAGGTTCAGATAAATGTCATCTCGGTTAGAGCCAAGATTGTCGCGGCTTGGGCTTCGTTGCCACCATGACCGTGTGGATGGCACATCCCCACAAAACCACGTGATAGGCGCAGGCTTCGAATAAGTTTGACCTCGCGACATGATGTGTCTCCGTGGTCATAAGCATGTAAGTCGTATACTTTTCTGATTTCCGCGCTGGAAAGTAAAAAGGGTCTTTGGTTTTTAGACACATATACATTACGCCGCCATCGGCGACGGTGACAAACGCTTAGAGACAACGTTCAGCCCGAAACTGGATTACCTCATCCCTGGCTTCCGAACCCATTCTTTGATGCCTCGATTCCCAAAGGAGTGATACAATCTTCCCATTGCATTCAACTGTTGACACAATGACCTCTCGTCACCTGGATCCGACTGCTATCGACAATCTGCAACGTCACTGCGCTCTGACCACAGCCGACGCGCAGCAGAGTTACACGAAGTCGATAGCTGCCCACGTCGCGCAGAGATAAGGAAGGGAAGGAGATGTACCCGATGACGTCCGAGTCCTTTTCGAGCCCATACACTGGAGCATGAACCGAATCTGCCAATTGTGGTCCGGCGAGCGTACCTGACGGGGCCATGGTTTTTCTGTCCGAGGAGACCAACGAAGTGACGGCAAAGTACTGGTGCAACGAATCGTTCAGCGTGGAGGATGCAGATGCGCATGCTCTTGACGCACGCACTTGAAGCGTCACGGGATGGCTTATCGGCCTGCCGACTTGGACTGCTTTTGGAGGGGCCGCAACAAACTCGAGGGAATAGTCCGCCGACGGCGATGGAAACTCCGCGGGCAAAAGATCCGGATGCGTTCTTGAACAAGCCGGCTGACGGTCCTGACGTCCTCGGCCTCGACTCCGGTTTGGGCGGCCGTGGTTGCGCTCTTGAGTCGATCGAGGTTCAAAAGAAGAGTGATGGTTACTTCGCGCCACGTCCAGCATTGCGTCGTCGATCAAAGCTCGCTCTGCACAACGGCGCCGCGCTCATCAGCATCTGGCGGACGTGTTCTTCGCACTCCCTCTGAACTTACATGGTAATCGGCTGATGCTTTTGGTGCTGATGAATTTGCGAAATGGGGCCATCGGCTAGAGAGGAGATCATCCTAATTTAACAACAAGGAAAGGGGTGGCTCGAATGAAACTAAATTTAGCTCCTCTATAAAGGAAGAGGAAGAGAGAAAGAACGTTGGAGACATCTCATCGAGTAATTGGCTGCTCTGCATCAAGACAGCGTCCAACACAGTGGGCCATTATTGTCGCGCTATTGCCTCGTAACTACGTATATTCTCCCTTCTGTCAAAGGCTGTCTCCAGATTAGGCTGCGTGTGGCTGCTCGCCTTTGGCCTCGCAAATGCTCGTCATTGTTTTAGCATCGCCCAGACGATGGCCGACGTCCACATCCGTCCCTCATCTCCATACGTCGCAGACGCCCATTCCAACCTGGTCCATTACAACCTGCGCGCTTGCACAAAAGAACGGAGCCTGCTCGTAACACACGTCCCGCCACCTGTCGAGCCTGTGTCAGATCCACGGGTCCTGCTTCGGAGATCCAGGCAGCGCCTCCTAGGCCTTGTGTAGCCCTAACCCATGGTACGTGGACACCGGTCCGGGGAACCGGACGAAGCCACGGCGACGCGAGACGACGACTTTGTGCTCCGCGATGCGGACAACAGAGTTCCCAACTGCATGGAAGTTTGAATTGGGCCAAGATCGACGAATCGAACTGGAAAAGAGCGCTGAGCACGTTTTTGGGGCGCTGCCATCAAGCTCATAGTCGAGTGGTCAAGCGCACGCACGTCTGGATCAGCGTCTGTGAGTTTTGGGTACAAACGTGCCGGCTTCGCAGCTCTTTGAGCTTAACGGTCCGGCTCGACAAGTTCGACGTTTGCTTTTCCGAAAGCAGCATCGCGCTGAACGCGGCAGCGACGGCTTTTTTCGTCTTCAGGTTCGACCAGAACCGCCCCTCCAGAATACCGCCACCGCGGACGTGTCCAGCGCTATCAATCTCGGGTGACATTCACGATCTTGTATCCCCTGGGCGTGGAGATCAAGAGGGACAAGCCATGCCGTGCATGCTGATTAGGGAACGGCGCATGTCCACATTGCCGTCTTGTTTCGTCTTTCTCGTCTCAAAGCAGCCATGTCCGCTCTTCCCGATGTTTGCTCACGCACCAGCCCCTTCTTGGCCTTTCATAAGACAAACTGAACGTTTTGCGGCGTACGTCGCACAAGCAATCGGCCGAATCCCCTAGCCTTTCACAGTCGTTTCGATAACTAGAGCGGTCGCACTCGGCGACCGGTCGAGGGAGTGGACGCCGAACGAATCGCCGTTCGAATGGGACGCCCGGTTGATGTGAGAGACCACCCGTCGTCTTTGGCAAGGCTGAACTTGAGTGTTGGTAGAAGCGCAATGGAACACTAACGCTGATCAGCTCTCGTTTTCTTGACCGATGTGGCAATGGCTGCGGCAGATCCGTGAGTAGGGTCTGGTTGGAGATTTTCAAAGTCGGGACGTGGGGAGCGGACAAGACTCGCACGCGGTCATCTTTCCAATTCTCGTCCGTTTCGCCGTGTGAAGACAGTAGAAAGGGATATGGCGAGTGCGATTGCCGGATGTACGTATTTACTGGGCTAGAAGCCACGGATGGCGTCCGCGGAGCAGCGGTCATGTCATCCCAGATTGCCAAGTGCTACATAACAAAGACAACAAATTACGCCCTTCTACAGCTTTTGAAATGTGAAAAAAAAAAAAAAAAAAGAGAGAGAGAAATAGAAGCGCGATCCAACTTCATCTAAATGCGAGTGCAGATCGTGGTTGGCTCGTTCATGTTGGAAACGTTGAACACTTTTCATTATGCTTTGCTTGTTTTTGCTCGGTAGGAGGTTTCTGGGTATCTCTGGTACACGCACAGTCATCATCCGTCGCCAAAATCACTGCTCCGAGGATGTTGAACAAAGAGTAGAGGGTAACAAGCAAGTCATATGCCTCAAAAACAAGAATGACATCAAAAGCAGACTAGAGCCAAAGAGGGGAAAAAATTTGTGAGAAAGATATGCCAACCGAGATGTCTGGCTGATATCGACTAGATCGTTCCCGTCACATTCCAGAGACACGCAGATCCGTGCTCAGAGTCGCTCAAACGAAGGTGAAATCTCCCCAAGTGTCTTCGCCAAGGGCAAAGAAGAGATTCGTCGGTGAGTGATCAAGAGGGCTTGTCGCACCCGATGCGCCCAAGGAGCTCCTTCTTGTCGCCATGACCAGGGATCGAGATGCCGCTCGCCTTGGTGACATGGATCCGCCTGGAGCTGCGCCGCATAGGAGCCGCAGGAGACTCTGAAGCCTTTCTTGCCAGATTGACGCTCGCGCCGTCTGCCTCTTCGACAATGTACTTCTGGTGTGCGTTCCCATTTGCAGCGATCGTAGGTGGATCGTAGACTTCGATCTCGACCTCTTCCTCTTCCTCCTCTTCCTCGCCCTCATCGTCGGAGCGAGAGTCCTGGGCGCCCTTGCCAGACAGCACACGATACGCTACGCGGATGATCATGCCGAACCAAATCAGTGTGAGGACCTGCAGTGCCATGAGCAGCGATAGGAAAGACATGCGGATGCGGTTGTTGAAGCAGACAACGCCACCAGGCTCGCTGAACGACTTCATAATGTTGCTCCAGACCTGGTTTCCGCCGTCAACGGAGACCTGACTGCCGGACACGCTATCGAAGCAGCCGTAAGGCATGTCCGCCGAGGGGACGTGAGCCCAGATCGAATAGCAGACGAGATTGTAGAATATGTGTCGTGTGATAAACCAGCTAAAGATGAAGGCGCCAAAGGCAGCGTCGCAGGCGGTCTGGTAGTTGAGGTAGTTCAGCATTTTGGCAAACTAGTATTACTGCAGTCAGCACTCCGTCCGTTCATCGTTCACCGCGCAGACCACGGGCTAGGAAAGGAGAACCTACAGCAAGCAAGATGTCACAGAAATCCATGATGGCCAGGATTACGTTGCCGACCTTGGTCTGGTAAAAGCCGTAGCTACAGACGAGTAACATGCTGGTGAAGATGTGGTGTGTGAACATCTGCCAATGGTCTTTCCTGCGTTCTTCTATGTTGACGACGAACAGCTGTTGCATCCAGAACCCGAACTGGACCAGATAGTACCACTTCATGAGCCCGCTCATTGTTCGGGTTGGAAAGCCAGTCCACATCTGGCGAAGGTTGAGCCAGTACGGAGAATTATACATGATGTACTGCAGTGGCCACGGTCAGTCACAGCAATTGAGCAGCGGTTGCGAAGAGTGCGGGCCTCACCATTCCCAAGCTCCACGAAGCACCGTAGTAGATGAACATCCAGCCTTGCTCAGCGAATCTAACCAGCCCCTTCTTGCTCTTGATGCCGTTTGAGCGTGCGAATGGCTTGAGTAGGTACTCCATCGTCGCAACCCTAACGCCAGTGAAGATAACCAACCACGAGAATGCAAAGTAGAAGTCGTCGGTGCCGACGAGATAGTTGTCCTCCTGCTTGTTGTAGTAGCTCATCTCGAAGAACTTGCGGGTTCGCGGCCGTATCTGAGGGAACAAGACGTGCGTGAGCGACAGCAGCAGAAGAAGGTTAATCGAAAGGCCTACGTGCGCGTTTGGTCAGTGTACAGTTCGACGTGCAATTGAAGGCTCAACCGACCAAGCTGGTGCTCAACAACCCAAGCACAGAAGACGCTCAGCAACGAGGACTCGACACTCTGCTTTCTCCTTCTCACGACCATTTTTCGGGCGTGTCTGCTCTGCTCATGATGGTGATGGGTTGGGACGAACGACTCCTTAACCAAAAACTCCTCGATGTGCTCCGCGTGTTTCTTTCCGGCACCGACGTCGCCCGGAAGCGTAGAGAGCGTGCCTTGCGCAGCCGCCATGCTTTTCTATCGACAGCTCGTGGAATGATCTTGATTGTTGGGAAAAGCGAGCGACACAAAGAGGAGACCAGTCCTCTTTGAGATGGAAAAAAAAGGTCCCGTCGCTGGTGCAGGAAAAACTTCTCGGCTACGGTTTCATGTAGAATTTGGATCTGACCACACGGCAGCTTCGAGCGAGGGCGAGCGGGAGAGGAGGGTATGAAGATGCGGAGGGGCTGGCGTGGAAGCAGCAGGCTTGGTGCAGGCTGGATTGGGTTGATTGCTTCGCTCTGCCTGTCTGCTGGTCTGGCGGTGTAAATCCTGGGTTGGGGGGGTTCGGAGCTTCGACGATCTGCCAGCGGATGCAGAATTACCGACTCTCTGTCTGCACCGTTTGGTTTCAGCGCTTCGCTCGGCTGCAACGCAACCAAAGAATGGGGATCAGTGAACACGACGCTCGAACGAGGAAATGCGACGGCTTTGAATTGACCTGTCGTCTCCGCGCTTTTCGCTCCGGTTCTGCTTGGCTCTGCGCAGCTGCACCGGTGCTGGATCTGGGGACATGCATTTTTGCCTGGACCCTGGCTGAGGCGGCTTGCACGGTCTGGGCCAGCGAATCATCACGCCGAAAGATGCACGCGCTGGAATCCGTCTGTTGAAACATCGGTCCCTCGGACGGCAGTGGCTGGCGTGCGACTCCCGCCATGTCATGATACGTTCGCCAGGAAGTCAAGTCCGCGTGGCCGACCTCAGATCTTACGGCTGGGTCCAGTTCACAGAGGGTTGCCTGCTGAGAAAGAAGGAAGCTTGCTTCGGCTACGGAAAGCGTTGCGCGTGATACGTGTTCCAATTTGAGCCTCAAGAATTCGGTTACTCAGTACAGCTAGCGAGAACAAAGCAAATCCTTTATTACATGTGTGCACACTTCTTCAAATACTCCGATAGCCTTCCAATCTTCGCCCCCGAGATATCTGTCAACGTGGGAAGTTCAGTTGTTCTGCTGGCTGTTGAGGATCCTCAAGATCGCCAAGAACAAGTTGATGATGTCCAAGTACAGGCTGATGGACGCTGCAATCTCCTCCTCGACATGGTAGTGGCGCATGACGAGCTGCGTGTCTACCAAAATGTAGCCCGAGAAGATGAGCGCCGCAATGACGCCGTAGGCCAGCTCGATCTTGTCGTTGTACGGGAAGAACATGGTCATGAATCCGAACAGGATGAGGACCCATAGAGCGCCGAACAGATATGGCATCCACGACGTGAAATCATACTTGCTCTGGCAAGCGAACAGCGTGAGGGCAACAAAGATGCCGAGCGTGAAGATGAGAGCCGTCAGCACGACGCGCGACTCGTAGAACGAGACGATGACGCTGATCGAGTACGCCTCCAGAGCAGTGAAGCCACTGAGGAAGAGCAGGTTTGTTGGATACGACTTGCGCTTCCAGAAGGTGAGGCCCATGAAGGCGATGGCGCCAAACAGGGACACCCACAGCATCCAGGCGTTGGTCTGGATCCAGGTGCGGTAGCCGGTCGAGAAGAAGGATACGCTGCTGAGCGCGGCAGTGGCAAGGAGCTGCACGGTCCTGCGGCATCGACGTCAGCATTTAGGCAACAAACGGAACGGCAGAGACTGCATGAGCTGAAAGGCAGGAGCACTTACAGGATTGCATACACCTTCCTCACGAAGGCCATCCTGATGTCCAAAGTCGCCTCAGCGACTACACCGCCGAACTTGAAGTCATCCGGCAAGTTGTCGTTCTCCGTCCTCGCCGGGCCGAGCAGCGGCGACTGCGCACTCTGCTCCTGGTATGAGGGTGGCGCCTGAGTGTAGCGCGTGGACGGCTCGTCCTCGAACGGGTCGCGCTGCGGCGCAGGCTGGTATTTGGCGCTGGGCATGGTGAGCGATAGCGCTTGGAGAGAAGGAACACCAAGTGACGAGACTCAGCAAGCAGAAGGACGATGTGTAGGAGGCAGGGCCAGGAAAGAAATTAATAAGAGGACCGCCTGGCGAGTTTATGTGAGGATCTGATGACGCAGGAAAAGGCGAAGGAAGCCCTCAGAGGTCAGAGCGGGGCGCAGCGGGCTGGGGAGGCCCGGGCACTAGGGCAGGTCACATGGCGGCTGGCAGTTCCTAATATCTTACGCCAGCCGTTCTGCCCTTGTTTTTTTGCTCGTCCTCGCAGTATTCTTCGTCACAAACACGTAGCATATGTCACGGCAGCTTCACCAGTCGAACCATCTCGAACCCTCTTCTTCCTTGCGTCCACCACCATCCTGTTCTACTGGTGTTTGCTCAGCTTGCTGTTCCATCCTCCTCGTGACCGGGGATCTGCACACGGCTTGTTTCTCTTCGTATTCCTTTTTTCGTCTCATCCTCGAGATCTGCGTGGTCTGTGAATGACGCTGAAGTGTCAGGAGAGGTCCCGTGACTACCATGACGATGAAGATGATAATTATGATGGTCCGGCTGCTCTTATTGGAATCATTCGCTACCTCTCACCGCGGCGATGAGGAACGACCCTGACTTTCTCTTTACATACTTTCTCTTTTGATTTTTTTTAAATATAAAATAAAGAAGAAAAAGGAGAGGACAAAGAAAAGAAAGAAAATTCGATGTGATCAGTACATCTCTCATTGTGGTACCTAGTATTTCTTTCTCACTAATCAATGCCCTTCAAGTCACAAACGCTCGACCACGCGCGGCGATCACGTCAAACCCTTTACCTTTGTCGCCCTTCTCGCCTTTCTTTTCTTCCAACTTGAGCAAGCTGTGCAGCGTTGGGAAAGCCAGCGCAATGGTCTCGTGGATCGGGGCCGTTCCACCGCACGCAATGTCGGTGTTGCGCCCTTCCTCTACGTTCGGACGCACCGCAGCGACTCGGGAGTGCATGTGCTAGGAGAAAAAAAAAATTGCCTTTCCATCGCTCTCACTTCAAATGGATCCCACTCATATGTTCCCAGTATGAAAGCCCATCGCAATCGTCTCTCGACTCGGCGACGGCCTAAGCCTCCGCCTCCTCGTCTTGGAGCAGCTCGCTATCTGCATTGTCGTTTGCGACTTTTGTTTTAGTACCTTCCTTACTCTTATGGACCCGTGGCTTCTTGCTCGACGTTGGCGTGCCCTCCGCCTCGTCTCCGTCCTCACCTGCAACGTTCTTGCGCCTCGTGGCCTTCTTCTTCGGCGTTCTGGGAGCCTGTTGTCCGCTTGGAGGCGTCGGAACGTCGTCCACATTCTCACCCTCAACGATGAATGCGTTGGCGTCCTTTAGCTTCTTGATCGTCGTCTGGTACATCTTGCAGAAGCCGCCCTTGGCGGCGCCGAACTGAGCTGCGGCAAGTTCAAAGTCCTCACCTGTAGGCTGTTCTTATGTCAATCAACCGTCCCCGTCCTAAGTCAATGTTTTCGTGAGGACGCATAACAGTAACGTCACGTACCCTGATCTGCTCAAAGCAAGTGAGTAGGAGACAGCAGATACGGTTCTTCTCGGTTTCGGTTAGTAGACTATTCGCTTTTTTCCAGCTGAAGCGCTGCGTGGACTTTGCCTCCTCGGAAGAAGGCATCGCTGCTGCAGATGAAAGTCTTTTAGATTGTGTAGGCGGGCAAAAGGATGACGACACAGGGGCTTGATGGCTGCTAAGGTTTATGTAGAAGTGGTGTGAGAGTATGAGGAAGAGCAAAGGCAAAACGGAGGGCTTTTATGCCGCCCTGTTAAAATCCGTTTGTTTTTGATCTGTCACGAGACATTGAGGAGGAAGTGAAGCTTGAATGTGCTAAAATTGCTACAAAATTCGCTTCAGTAGCTCTTCTGCTGCTCTCAGGCAGCAAGACTATGTCCCTCGCTTCTTACCACGGCATTGAAGCTAATAGGGGGGTAGGCATTCCATGATTCAGATCCAGGGACACAACTATACCATTCACACGGAATCCTCGGTGGCGGTCAAACCTGCCTCGCCCTCTGCATCCTCCAATGCCCCATCATCGCCCTTCTTGCCGCGAGGTTTCTTCTTCGGGCTCGCATCGCCGTCGTCGACCTTGCGCTTGGGCCGTCCACGCCTGCCAGGAGTTTTTGGCGTCGTCGGAACGGACGCTGCATCAGCAACGCCGTCCTCGCCCTCCGCCCTATCTTCGAAATAGCAATTCTTCTCGCGGAGTTTCTTGAGTGTGGTGCTGAAGAGAATTTTGAACGACGCGACGGTGTTATCGGCCTCACCAGCCGCCAGCTCATACTGCTTCGACGTTGGCTGTAGGGTAAATTCATGTTATCATTTTGTTTCTTGCTCGCAAAACAAAAGGTACGGAAGATGTTTAGCACTCACCTTGATCTCCTCCGCCATGATCATGTACATGATGGCAAAGCGCTCGATTTCTTTGTCGTTGAGACTTGCGGTCTCCTTGGCTTTCTTGAATGAAAAGGGAGGCATGCTGAGCGCGAGACACCTTTGAGACTGGATCAGAACGTTATGCTGCTTGCACTTTTTTTCTGTTGGCCTTTAAGCGATGTGGAGTCTTTGTTTGAGTTGGAGCGGTCCACGGCTTTTATACGGCTAGCCCCAGCTATCCATGAATCAACCGCAGAATTTGGGGCGGGCAAATCAAGCCAAATTGAAGTGAGAGGAATGAGAACTGAATTTGTTTGTTACAGTTGCTCACTTCTCCGTCTTTCTTTTACTAGGCACCAATCATTCCATCAACAGCAGGTGACATTCCTCTAGGCTTTTAGCAAGCATTCCTATAGTAAATCGTATCCTGAAGATGAATTGCAAACGTGAGCAGAAAAGGCAATCCCTCAGTTCATCCTGTTCCAAATTCCAACCTCCTCTGGCCCTTCTCAGTCTTCCTGCCTGATGAAGTTCCTCCAGGTGGTCTCCCTCGCCCTCTTGTAGGCGGAGGCCTGGGAATATGTTGTATTGGCGTCGCACTAGTCACCAGGTCCTGAGCGCGCATTTCGTCTGCCAGATCCTTTGCGAAATGCCAGTCTAAATGTTCTGCCTGCTCCTCTTGCACATATGTGCCACATCGAGCACAAAAATGCGAGTCAAGTGCGTGCTGCTTCGACTGCAGCACTTGGGCACCCTGTGCCGATGGTGGCAGGGCGTGATCATAGAGATCTTCATGGCTTGACTTTGCAGATGGAATAGAATTACTGCTCTCCTTCTCCTGGATCCTGTCCTCGTCAAGGACACTGATTGCATGGTGATCTGGAACCGTATCGCTATGTGAATCTCTTGTCACAAAAAACTTGCTGAGTGTTCCAGTACCCTCTACTTTTCGCTTTTTAGACGGCGGTTGTGCTGGACTTTGTTTGCCTTTGTTTTCCTCATTTTCCTTATCAACTAAAGCTTTCGCCTCATCTCCTCGTACCAAAAATCCGCCAATGCCTTTGTTTCCGCTTATTCCGTCTTCAAACCCGCCGACGCTCAAGCTGAGGTTTGCACACGGCCATGCGCGACCATCCACAACAACTTGAGCAAGCAAGTTCTTTGCAAGCTCAAATAGCATCTGCTCGGTGAGCGGTTTCCCTTGCGGTATTGGACTCTGTCGCGATCGTGTCTGACCACCTTGTCTATGGTGAAGTGTGATGACTTTAGGGCGGCGCTTGTTTTCTAGCACGCCTTCCTCAACACAGCGACTGAAGATGTCAGCGGCGAATATACGCAGCCATCTTGCGCCTTGTTCAAAGTCATTTATCGAGGGCCGGAAGGACTTGGCTGAAAGCATGCTTTTTATTTGAGTCCTTGGATTAACCTCGCTATTGTCCTCCCCACGGATTGTATTGTACAGCCACGAGCCTGTATCGTCGCCAAGTTTCCGCATCGACTCCAGAGGAACCTTGAGCAGTTCTTCCACGGTATCCGTGTTGAACATGGCAACGACATCATCCCCAAGCCTACCACCCAGGTTGCGTATCTTGGTGAATTTGAAGCCGGCCAAGAAGTGCTGCACGGCACGATTCCGGATTACGGTCTGCTGGTTGGGTTTTTTGTAGCCTGCACCGAGTTTTGCCAACATCTTGTTCCTAGCTATACCTCCGGACATGGTGTACTTGAGCTTCTCACGTACTGTTCTTCGCACATCTCGGATGATGTCGGAGGCGATGGAAAAGATAACGTCATCCCAATCTGGATCCTCATATTCAGTCTGTCCCGCGTCCAAGTCAACCAAATGATCTGTATTCCAATCTAATGCGGTTGTGGGAGGACGGGGAAGATGTTCGGAGGGGTCGTCATATGGAGCCGGTCCGCTGAGCTCTGGGTATCTCTCAATCAAAATGGAATGAACCTGCGCTGAAAGATCTATAAAGACTTCATCTATGCTGGCTTTTTCTACACGCTGCAGTGGTGGCGGCGCTAGCGTCTCTTTGATCAAGTTCAATATCTTCTTGCTCTCTCTTCTGTACGGGTCAAGCGAGACTTTGTGCGTTGCGATATGCGAGGCCGCGTTCTCGTGGTACTGCCATTGCTCGTCCCCTTCTTTCCAAGTGGCGACGTGCTGCAGGATGATTTCTGGACACATCTTCTTGGCTTCGGTTGGTGTAACGTGTCGGCCAAGACCGAATTTGCGAGCTGGGTAGTTGATAGCGATCAAACCTTGCCACTGCTGCACTCCAAGTGGTTGATCTTCGGGGACCCCAAGTCGCACCATTTCGCATTGCTACGGCCAATTAGTCGTCGCTCACGGCGTAGGCTTAGCGGCATACCGCGTAGAAAGCATCGAGATCCACCAATGCTATTACACGCAATGGGCAGCTCGTATTGTACTGCGAGAGCTGCGTAAGATGTTTGAAGGTGAACTTGCTCTTCTTGCGGACGCCGTCGAGTTGTGACGCAGCAGAAAGCGGGGAGGAGGCGATAAAAGGCTGCGGGGACGACATCGCAGCGATAGTTTGCGGATCAATATCATGATGGCACGATGTCGACGATGAGACTACGGCAGGTGAAGTCGTGATGCGTGTCGCGCCGAGCGATGGGGGGGAGAGGGGACACGTAATCACGTGCTGACAGTCGCAACCGTTTGTCGATGCGCATTGCGCCTGACCACACATTGTGATATTTTTCTGTTCATTGTGCGAAGCCACTAGGTTTCAGGCATTTCTGGCTTCTTAGAATTAAGCTCAAAGCACGAGATCCGATCTTTGTTCTCAGCATGAGAATTGGAACTCAATGCCGATATGAATTTTCATTTCCACGGTTGAGAAAACCTTGATCCACAGGAAGGCTGGCTTCGCTGGTATGGAGAACGACTTGACTGATCGTGGCGCAAGAGCAGCAGATCTCTGTGGCGTCCAGCCTTGCGCAAAGCATCTGATCTTGCGACTAGAAAAAACAAGTCAAAAGGAACGGACTGATGTGGCGAATTTTGCATCGATGGCCGCCATAGAGCAGTGAGGTTCGCAAACACCAGCATCACGGACTATCTTTCATGACCCTGAGATAGCTACTTGAGACACTTCAAACGCTCTCTTAGCTGACATGATCGTTTTCTCTGTGGCAACAATCGTGATAGTTGGGTCTCCGCCTTCAGACGTACGGTGTTCTTCGGGTGTTCCCACCCAATGGCGATGCCGGGTTCTATCACTGATGAATCATGATAATGCGGCCTTGTAACAGCCCCTCTTGTGCGAACATGAGAGCTTCGCGTAGACAGACACCGTTTTTCAGGCTAGTGCTACAAGTACGCCGCTTCAAGCCGAGCGTGGGGATGTACGCTCGCTTGGAGTTAGATGCATTGTGATTGCTTTACGTCGACGTTTGCAGGCGCGGCTGTGCTTTGTGTCTTACAGGAAGGTAAATTGCTCAGCAACGCGGTCGAACCGGTCCGCAATGCATCTGGCTGTCGCTCGTCTCCCCTCGCTGCTTGACGGACGCATCGTGGCTCGGGCGGTCCCACTTTAATGGCCGTCGGTCATCGTTCCCAACGTCGTCAAATTTTTCTCCGCTACGCCTTGCGACGACCCAACACTGCTAACAAGTCCGACAGTTTTGCGGATGATTTCAGCCACATGCCGCAACCATTGCTCTCCAACTCCGTATCGGCTTTCGCTGATCAGCTGGTGTTGGGATTTCCGACAAACCAAGAGCCAGCATGAGCGGTCGCTACCCCGCCCGCGCGCAAATGCGATTTCGTCTGCAAGACAAGGCCTTGGTGAAGCGCCACAAATGTCATATGAGCGATGCTGAGGGAAAAAAAAAGGTTTTCTCTTCCCGCCCTGTCGTTGTGAAGTAACCCGTTGTATAATGAGGCTTCTCAACCCCGCTCCTTTTGTGTTTCTTTAAAAGCTTTCTCACTTCGTAGTCGTCTTGGGTTGTATGATAACTCGCACAGATCTGCACGTTGGCCTGGCTCTGACTCTTTTAAAATTCGGACAGGCCTGCCAGCCTTGCACGTTTTCTTTTTTGATCTCGGGGACTATATAATTGGCACCGGACTGTCCCAATGTCGGGCAAGGATCACCCTGAAGCGCTGGCTCTCGCCCAGCTCTTCAGTACGTGCGTAGAATGTTTTGGTCTCGTAAGCTCGCGTCCGCAAGAGCATATGAGGACCATGTGACCTAATGCGACGCCCATAGATACATCCAGGCAAAGAATCGGAGCAGGCACAACGTGTTGCCGTTGCCAAGTTGGGCATTCAACAAGCTCGTCTTCTAGCATGGGGAGACATGGTCGGTCTGCTAGATGTGACATCTTCGCGGGATCCACGACTCGAGGACCATGATACTCGTTTGGCAATTGAGAAAGCACTGCAGGATATCATCGACAGGCCAGCACATACGGATCGTGAAACCCAGTTCGAGAAATATGGACTCAAACCTCCCAAGAAGTTCTTCCAGAACAATCAGCCATCTCTGGACGTTGCACGCATCGAGTCTTTCAGGGAACGGATGGAGCACTTCCAGCGACAGAAATGGGAAGTCAAGCGCGGAATGAGCATCACTATGTCCCACTGGATGATCCAGGACGTTGAGAAGTTCAAGGTGTTCTTAGCTCTGGTCAAGGAGAAGGTTGACTTCTTGATTGGTTTGATGGGCGTTGAGGCCAAGGTCGACACAGCTCTCAAACACGATATCAAGGCTTTGGGTTGGCATCCTATCTTCGACAAGATCAAAGCCGCGAGTGATATGTCCAAGTTGAGGCTCATTCAGCAAGCTTGCAAGGACGATTACCCGGAATATGTGACCGCCGCCCAGGTCGCTCTCGATTACTTGGACAAGGAGTACAAGGACAATTATCAAGAATTGCGAGACGGAATTCCAACTTCTACGGAGATTCCTGGAGCCGCTGCCTATATGCTTGCGCAATCAAGATATCTCGCCGCTGCGTACGAGCGAAAGAACTCGAAGTCCCCGAAGCCGTCAGGGAACGGCCCAACGTTTTTGAAAATGTTCCGACCAAAGTCGTGGCGCAAGAATTCCAAAGACCTTTTGACTCCTGAAGGCGATACCAAGGGCAGGTCGAACTCATATGCGCCTACAACGAGTGATTCGCCACTTACCCCGCCATTGACTCCAGTGCGATCAAAGTCCCTTGCCGTGCCGTACAGTGGAACACATGAGCAACCTCCCACGCCGGAAAGAAAGAGCGAAGACGACGTTCTTTCAAAAACAGTTACTGCGACCAGCGTCGATATGGGCACGACAGCTGCACCAGTGAGCAGCATGGTATCCCGACACGATTACTGGAAAAGCCCATGGTGAGACATACCGATCTTCATGACGACCTTTGGAGCTGCTTGATGCATTCGCACTTCCGTAATTTGCCAGACTTTCGCAATTTCTTCGCGTTGTCGACCTGCCTGTACATAATGATACCATCTATGCTGCATAGCCGAAACGAGTTACATTTAATGCGTACATAATATAGTTAAAAATATACCGGAATAAGAAACGCTCCTTTGCTAGTGAAGCTATTTTCAACAATTGCGCTGACTGACATGTCGAGCCCATGTGACAAGGTTCTTCATTTCCATGTTGGATAAGACCTGCGTTAGCCGCGCATCTCAAGGACATGGGTTGTCGTCCATCAACCTCCGGCATTTTCCCGGGAACAGTGTGGATGGAAGTACTTTCTTTCCTCCACTTTTTTGTCTTATATGAACGACTTATCACACAGGTGTCTTAAGGCTTCACTCGAGCGCCATCGGTATCCCTGATTTGTTGGAGACGGCACACTCATCGCGGACTGCGAGGCGAGCGATCAGATAACATTTACCCCGTGGTGGTGTGCTGCTTATATCGCATCACCGGAGCCATCATAGTGACGATTTATACAGCTTCGAGAGCAATTCCTTTCTCGATTGAACAAGGACAAGATCATGCCATCCATGCCTGCCGAAGTTGGGGCTACGCTCACTCAAAGGGCGTACTTTTTTGCAGTCATCGCTGCCGTACTTGTAGGGTTTATCTCGTGTATATCTGGCGCTGCTTAGCATTGCTAACACAATTACTATACAGTATTTTGTCTGGTGGGCACTGCAGGCTGTATACAATGTTTTCTTTCATCCGTTGCGGAAGTTTCCTGGCCCGGTGCTTTGGGCGGCGAGCGACCTACCACGATATTATTACGAAAATCGCGGAACGATTGATTTCAAGCTGCTGGAACTGCATGAAAGGTACGGTCGCTGGGTCCGCTATGCACCAAGACATGTGGCGACTACAGACGCATCCGCTTGGAAAGACATCAACGGGTACGGAAAAAACCAGCTCAGGAAGGACCCAGATTATCAGAATACGGTGTCGAAAGGGCTGACGGAGCTGGGAATAATCCAAGCGAACAACGCAAATCATGCGCGGATCCGAAGACAGCTTGCGCATGCCTTCAGTGAGAAGGCGTTGAGGGAGCAGGAGGGGATTATTCAACGATATGTAGACACGCTTATCTTTCAGCTGGAAGAGGTCGCCGATTCTGGAGAGAAAGTTGATATCATGCACAAGTATATGTATACGACGAGTGACATTACCTCCGAGCTGGCGTTTGGCACATCCTTCAACTCCCTGATCGATGAGAAGCTGAGGCCGCTTGTGCACCTGCAGGACGGTATGGGCGACTTCATAACATCGGCGAGACTGGTTGCGCGACTGCCTTTGCTCGCTCCTCTCATCATGTTGCCTTTGAAACCAGCTTTGAACATGATTCGAACAAACAGGGAGTGGGTACAGAATGTCATCACGAAGCGCCTATCCCAAGGAGTCATGGAAGAGAAGAAGGACTTCATGTCCTACATCCTCAAGCACAAAGACGAGTCTGCGGCCATGTCGGAAGGCGAAATCCGAGAGACGTCGCGCACGCTGATCCTCGCCGGCGCAGAAACGACGCGAACGGTCCTCACAACGGCCACGTACTGGCTGCTCAAGAACCCGGAGATGATGAGAAGAGCCCAGGATGAGGTGCGTTCCGCGTTCAACTCCGAATCAGAGATCACGTTCCAGACGGCCAGTGCCCGTTTGCCCTACATGCTTGCCTGCCTTGACGAAACGATGCGTATGCGTCCCCCGGTGGGTTCCTTGCTCATGGGCCGTCTCACTCCTGATGAGCCGTTCCCCGTGGCAGGCCGTATCATCCCCGCAAACACAACCGTTATCGTCCATCCGATCTCCGCGCAGATGTCGTCTCACAACTTCGCCCACCCACGCTCTTTCCGTCCGGAGCGTTGGCTCGGCGAGGATCCGGAATTCAAAGACGACGATCGCTTCGCATCGCAGCCCTTCTCTTACGGGCCCAGAAACTGCATAGGCAGAAACTTAGCGTACAGCAAGATGCGCGTGATCCTAGCGAGAGTGTTGTGGAACTTTGACCTGGAATTGTGCCCCGAGAGCGAGGGATGGGACCAACAGAAGGTCAAGGTCTTTTGGAAGGGAGGACCAATGTGGGTACGTGTTAGCCGGAGGGAGTGAGGCCTTTCCATCGTTTTGGGACGGACAGTTTCTTTACTTGCCATTCCGGAGTTTTCCTGAACAGTACGGAAGTGGCCACTCGGGAGTGGGTGTTCTGTGTCAGAATCACCGCAGCTCTCTTTCTTTATTTCTCTCTCACTCTGAGTGTGTTGCGACACCATTTCACGCTGCTTTTCAGCTCCTTGCTTCTGCCTTCGGCTTTGATCCCATGAGTTCGAAGCAGACAAACAAACCATCCTTTCCAAACTGATGCTCATTCACTGATTGCATCTTTTCACCCTTTACTATGCAAAGACTTCATTGATATGCACGTGTTTAGTATATTCTATATACATATATGTATGTATATACACTTACCCACATCAACAATGATTGCCAGTGACGAGAGCATACTTCGCTCTAGAGTTGAACTAGTTGAATAAATTCGGTCTGAGCGTACAACGTCGAGGGTTACACGCCTGTGCATAAATCTCCGGAAAGACGAAGAGCCGACCCGAGCGCTCTGGAGTGGAGAAAGCCTTATGGTGAACGAATCTGGTTGGGATCCATCCAAGTCCTTGATGGGGTTGGGTCCTCTAGATGAGATTTTGTGTGGATTGTGCCATTCTGCACACGCATTCTGTGTAAAATTACCAAAAACTGCGCCGCCAATGCCTAAGTTTCACGCGCGTAAGAATTCCAAGTCTTGTATGGGCAGCAAATATCCGACCTTCCAGGGCTCTTTTCCACGCTCATAGTACGCATCAGCTGCCCCTCCACCAACTCCAGCCTGCCCCTTCCCGTTCCGGCTTCACACTCTTGTCACTACTGCCTGTGTCCTTGGATGCAGTGTCTACGCCCGCAGGCGCGGGCGAGTAGCCGGAGTAGTACCCGCCTGTGCCACCGTTCTCATCTTTGAAACGCCCAGGCACCAGCTCTTCCATGCCGCGCGCTTCATCTTCGCTCGCGTTCCATCCCACTTCTTTGGTCTTCCCAACGCCTGAGTTCTTTCGCCCAATGCTGGCATAAAGCATCCCATCGCCGACGCCGTCGATGTATCGACTCCCGCCTTCACTGTTGTCGGTCATGCCTGTTGCGCTGCCGATGGGCTTGTTCCCCCGAAACCGTTTTCGCATGTCGATCATGCCGCGCTTGCAGTCTCCATAGCCTTTTTTGAGCTGCTGGCATCGAGTCGGGAGTTCAGACACCAAGGGTTCGCGCAAACATTCCGAGGCAGTGTGTCCGGCGAGAACGCAAGGCGACTCGGACAGGCATTGCGCGAGAGCAGCGCCTGGATTGGTTTTTCATGTCAGACAGCGAGCGGCAATGCTGCAGATGCTAAAGCGGATCTTACGGATATCTTTACAGCTTGACGGCATGCGGGGCTGCGTGTGATAGTGGCAACCGTTCTGAGTTATGCCGGGACAAGAAAGAAAGATTAGGTGAGCGTTCAAAACGACTACAGGCTCGAAATCTGATAATGGGGTGCCTCAATTGTGCGTTGAGATGAATTGATGACAACCATCACCTGTTCGCATGATGCTGCACCCAAAAAAGGACCGGGTGTTTCTCTAAAACGGGATCGGCGTTCTCGCATTTTGATTGGAGAACGCTGCCTGGGGCTTTATCCGTGTCACATGTCAGACAATGACGTTCAGGTGCAGTTTACCCTTGCTCAGCGTCTTTTCTGCTCTATCGAGCTTTTGTGCACCCGTCCTGTTCTCCATTTCTACAATTCCAAGTGGTGACGATGTGTGTTTCCTCGCGACTGTCCATGCTGCCGCCACGACATCGACGCCAATACTGTTAATGCAGAGCCCGTCGTTGCAGTTGGGGAAGCTTCGACTCGTCAAGACACATCGCTCGACTGCTATCTCTTGCCCCACAAAGTCGCTCAAAGCCATGGCCTGGCATATCCCCTTCCTGGGTCGCCTCCATCCTATGGAGTATCTCGCTATCCTCTTTTCTTTTGCCCTCATCCTTCTCGAAGGCCTCATACGCTTCATTACCCTCGCCCTGCCCAATCCCATCATCCACATTTTTTACCGCTGGTCACGAAAGCTCTTTAACTACCTCTCTTCCCCACGCTCAAAGCGATCACGTGCAACAAAGAAGAAAGTTGTGAATAGCATCGCGCAGGCAGCCGATTTTGTGGACCTGTGTGAACTGTTTGGATATTATGCTGAAGAACATATTGTACAGACCAAAGATGGTTATCTGCTGGGCCTACACAGGCTTGGGTGGAAAAGGGGTGAGGACTACGCGAGTGTGCGCGTAAATACCACCGAGCCTGGCAGCATGAAGAAGAAGGTAGTGTACCTGCACCACGGGCTAATGATGAACAGCGAGATATGGGTGTGCCTCACGGAAGCAGAACGTTGCCTCCCTTTCTTGCTCGTGGAAAGAGGATACGACGTCTGGCTGGGTAACAACCGGGGCAACAAGTATTCCAAGAAGAGTACGACTATGACTCCTAACGAAACCAAGTTCTGGTCTTTCTCCATAGACCAGTTTGCGTTCCATGATATTCCCGACAGCATCGACTATATTTTAAGCACGACGAACCAGCCCACACTATCGTATATAGGATTCTCTCAGGGTACTGCGCAGGCCTTTGCCGCTCTGGCCGTCCATCCAACGCTCAACCAGAAAGTGAACGTGTTCGTTGCCCTTGCGCCAGCCATGAATCCACCGGGCGTCACCTCCGGGATTGTCGACTCCTTCGTCAAGTCAAGTCCAGAAGTCCTTTTTCTCATGTTTGGGAGACGGCAGCTGCTCTCCAGTGCCACGATGTGGCAGGCCATCCTATATCCACCCATCTTCGTGCGTCTCATCGACCTCTCCCTTACGTTTCTTTTCGGATGGCGCACTCGCAACATACCCCCGCACCAGAAATTGGCCGCATACCCGCACTTGTATTCATTCACCAGTACGAAGACAGTAGTGCATTGGTTCCAGATCATACGGCATGGCAAGTTCCAGATGTACGACGACGAATATCAAGCTCCTTGGTCCGTTAGCGACGGAGCGCGCTTTTACAAGGTACCCCGCTTTCCGACACGCAATATAAAGACGCCCATCGTTCTCGTGTGGGGTGGCAGCGACAGTCTGGTCAACATCAACATTATGCTGAAGGAGCTTCCAAAGCACACCATAGCAAAGGAGGTTCCTCACTACGAGCACCTCGACTTTCTATGGGCACATGACGTCGACAAACTCGTCTTTCCTCACGTAATCTCCGCATTAGAGACATACGCAGGCGACCTGCAGGGCGAGGGGAAATCGACGGGGCTAGACTCGCACAAGGATCAGAGCTTTTCCGAAGCGCTCAAATTGCCTACAAAAGGCGATGCAGTTGAGGAGGACGAAGCTAGCGTTAGGGGAAAGCACAGTCAAAAAACAAGACAAGCGTCCATGCACTTTGACGAGAGCACGATTGCGGGGGACACGGTGTCGAGTGGACGTCCAGAAGGATGGTGGAGCAGTGACGACGTGGGGAATACGACTACGGAGCCGGGTACGCCGGCGGTGGGCTCGAGTCCTGTCAACGACGGGGCCGACGACGGCAGGAGGCCAAGTATCTCCGCGGTCCGTGGGACCGAGAGCGAAGCCAGCGGAAAGCGGAGGAGGAGATAAACGTGTGTAAACTCCATGAGATACTTATATAACCACCAACTAGATCTTTCATCTAGATCTTTTCTTTCCTTGATATCGTAAGACGTTTTTTTCTTCGTGATACCACATCCATATGCGTTCGGTCCTATCCACACACACACACACACACACAAAAGAAAAAAAAAGGCGCGAGAGTACAAACGTCGCCACGCGAAGAAGGACACACCGTTCTCCAAGAACGCAAGGGGGTGTGAGAGAAGGGAGTTGGTTTTGCGCCGGGCCGCAACGCGAAATGCGACTTCGTACGGACCGCGCCTGCGCAGCCGATGCGCGCTCCTCCTCCTCCCCACCCGCGCACCATAACCCGGTTCGTAGCCTGAAAAAAGAAGAGCAAGGAAGCAGGCAAGGCTGGGAGCGCGCGCGGGGGCTCCTCGCGTTCGCCGCAGACGCGAGCGAGGCAGAGATAGGGCGGAAGGAAGAAAAGGGGGGGGGGGGGTTGGGGAGGAACGCAACGCGAAGATGGAACGTAACGAAGGCGTGCAACGGAGAGTGGGTGCGGCGGGTGCAGTCCCTTCTGGATTAGGAGGTCAGGAAGAGTCAGCTGGGGAGAAGGGGGGGGAAGGGAGAGAGAGAGAGGACTAAGGAGAACAGCAATGATGGGGAGCGGTAACGTATCGCGATGTCCGGGTTGCGGACTGAAGAGCTATACGCGAAGCGAGCGCGGTGTGGAGAGCTTGTCTGCAAGATTACAACCCGAAAAAACCCATTTCTGAAGACGGGCAAGAGATGAGTGGCGAACAAACGCATGTGATTCTTTGTCTGTACAAATTTGATTTGGTATCAAACGCGAATGGATTAAAAGAGTTTTACAACACTCGACGGATTCTTTTGCAATCTTCCACCACCTTTCTCATCACCAAGTTCTTCATGTACACGTACAACACATAAAGAAACACCGCATTATGCAATCCTCGTAAGGAGATTCACTAGTTTAATCGCTCTGACCGTTGGACTCACGTGCAACGCGAGCCTGGACCTCCTCATAATCGATAGCGTCGGCATCGATACCCTTGGTCTCGGGGACGCAGAAGAAGGTGACAACGGCGCCAAGAAGCTGGAAGGCGAAGAAGATCCAGAGCACACCGCTGAGACCGATGGAGCCTGGGTACTTCTTGTGATCCTTCTGAGACCACCAGTTGAAGCCAATACCCGACAGGATGGCGCCAAGCTTGCCGACAGCAGCGCAAAAACCGTGGGCAAGACCGCGGACACGAGAGGGGAAGACTTCACCGGGAACGATGAAGGTAGTTGCGTTGGGACCAAAGTTCATGAAAAGCTGAGCAATGACGAGAAGAGCGAAGCGAGCGCCAGAGGAGATGTGGGTAGTACCAGCGAGGATACCGAACATGAGAGCGGTGACGAGGAAGCCTTGAATCTGGATCCACTTGCGGCCGAGAATCTCGATGAAAGCAATGGTGATGAAGTAACCTGGAACGTAGCCGGCAACGGCAATGATCAAGTTACCTTCGGCGTTGCGGAGCAGGTAGTTATAAGGGTTGCTTCCGGTAGCGTAGCCGATATCAGTCAGAATGACGGACTGGTTTAGATTGACACCGTAGAACGCGACGTCGAGGAGGAACCAAGTGAAAGCGCAACCGAAAAGAGTGAGGGCATGGCGCGGCTGCTTGAAGTACTGGATGAAGGCGGTCATCTGAACGCTCTTGCTTGGCTTGTGAGCATGAGCCTCGACAACGGATGCGCGACGGTCAACCTCAGCGCCAGCAACGGTCTTGACGCCCTTCTCCTCCTTAACGATGTCGACATTGGAGTTGTTAAGCGAATGCACGGCGGCCGACAGCTCAGTGGACTGAGTGAACTTGCGCGACTCTGGCATGGTGAGACGGAAGTAGAGCAGGGCGAAGCATGGAACTAGGGCAAGACCGATCTGCAGACGCCAGATGGCATCGATGTGGCCGAATTTGCCGTTGGTCAGGGAATGCTTGAAGCATGGCAGGAGAATGCACGTGACGATGGAGGCAGCAAGAGTACCCTGTTTGAAGCGCAGTTAGAAGGCGGCCGCAGGCGTAAACACGACATTGCGCAGACGTACCCAACCCTGGTTGCTGAAAATCCAGCCAAGCATGCGACCACGGTTGCCAAGGGTCGAGCGCTCGGCGACGATTGCGGCGGACATTGGGTAATCACCACCGATACCGACGCCGAGCAAGAAGCGGAAGCCGAAGAGGTACCCTGCAATGCTCGAGTCAGACAAGAAGGCTAGACTGTCATGGATGCGCAAACACAAAGCAGGCGGCTTGGCGCGAGTAAAACAAAAAGGAGAAAGGGGAGGGAGAGGACGAGAGACGTACACATCTTCTGCACGCCCGTCTTCAGACCAGCGGATCCATTGACAGGCAGGGAGATGATCAAGATGATGCCAATGATGGCGATGATCAATTCCTTTCCGTAGACGAACTTGCGGCCGAAAGCGTCACCGAGGAAGCCGAACGAGATCTGACCGGCGACGTTGCCGATGTTTGCAGCAGCGTTGACGGCACCACGGACGAGGAAGGGGATGGTGGGCGAGGGCACCTTCTTGGTGTGGTCGAGATCGCCGGAGGTGAAGAACTCGTAGGCCCAGATGGGCGAGGCCAAGTTGACAATGAAGAGGTCGTACGAGTCGAGCATGAAGCCGACACCGCAGATGGCGTACAGCTTGAAGTCGGCCCAGGTGAAGGCCTTTCCGGGATTGCGGGCCTCGTACTCCTCGAGGGTTATGATGTTACCCTCGTCATCCTTGCGGGTGTAGCCGTGCTCCTCCCAGACAGGCATGATGGCAGATTTTCGTCTTGAAACCAGGCGGGAGACGCGCGCGGGTCAAAAGAGTGCAGAGACAACAAAGGACCAGCAGCTGGAGCTTGCGACGGAGCTGAGGTCGTCGGTCTGGCGCGTCCTGGAGAGTGCTTCGACAGTGTGCAGCAGCGCAACGTCAGGCCCAGGGACTACCGGAGGGTGGGGAGGCGCAGGAGGAGAGAGAAGAAAGGATGGGAAAGAAAAGAAGTGTCAAGCCTTGGGTCCAAGGAGGACGAGGCTCGACTAAAAAGCTTCCATGCGGCCATCTCGCAGTCCCAAGACGACTTGGCTGTCGAGGCCCAGCAGTGGCACCGACGCGCGAAGATGGCAAACACGGATCGATGGTGGATGCAGCCCGCGGAGGGACGAGGGCAGGTCGTCGACGCACGTGTTTGAATCTGTGGCCCAGAGTCGAAGCCGGGCGGGTGGACCCCGTCGGTGGCTTGACGTGCCCAGCCCGGCCGGGGCCCGTCTGAGCAGCGCAAGCGACGAGGCCCAGCGGAGCAAAGCCGTGCAAAGACAACGCAAAGACAAGCCAAGCACGCCTCCCAGCGCGCCCTCCGCGTGCCGACGCCGAGAGCCACGGCCCACGTCCTCGACCACGGCCACGGCCACGACACAGGCGAACGACGAGCGCAGCGCGTCCGGCCTGCTCGCGCCTGCGTTATGTAACCGCGCGCGCATGTACGTACTCATTACATGAACCACAGCGCGGCTGCCTTCCATCAGCGCCCACGCCCGCGCCTTCCCGCCCAAACCGGGCAAGCGCAATCGACCGCATCGCTGCCTCGTGGTGATGCGCCCACCCTGCACCTTCCAGAAGCCGGTGCTGAGCCCGCCCGTCCCCTTCACGGGCAGGATCGATTGGTGCCGGTGGTTTCCTCGCACGCCGGCCGTGGGAGCGCCGTGACTGATCGATATGACACCACCATCGCGGCGGCAGCGAGCACCGGCGTTGGCCATCCTGCCTCTGATAAGCCCGCCGCCGTCCCCGGACCTGCGTCCCGTTCGTCTGGGTGGGATCTGGCCGGTTCCCACCACGTCTCGCCGTCCCAGCTGCTGTCTGATTGCGTGCTGCCTGCGTCGCGGAGGCTGCGAAAGCCTCCTTGTCCGCCGTGCTCGAAACCGGCCCTCGATTGGCCGTTGTCTCGCTCGGCCAGGCCTGCGCTGCTTTGCAACCCAAATTTCGCCATTAGCAAATCATGCCCACGTTCTGACTACTCGCGTGGCCTTCCTTTCGCTTGTCACCCCATTATCCCCCTTCCCGTCCTGTCACTACAATCTCAAACGCCGCCCACTCTCAATCTACACGACCCTGTTACTCGTTCGCCCCATCAGCCTCTCTCTCTCAGGCACACACACATAATCTCTCTTCGCCAACGCCGTCTCTCTCTCCGTTCCTGCTGCTCGTTTATACCCATCTTCCTAGTCGACTCTCCCCTTTTGGTCGATAGAATCGTCTCCTCACATGCCACGCTAACTCTGGAAAGGTCACACTTCAGACGTCGCACACATGCTTAAAGCAGCAGCAGCGTTTTTATTTTCCCAGTCCTCAGCGCTCTGCTCACCCTGCCGTATCTGTCCATTGCCAAATTCGGGACCTTTTGTCCAGCCGCGCGTGCTCCTCGCCGTGATCCAGACTGCATTCGGCCGCCCTCCACAACGCGCGTATATCATGTGGATTGCGCATTTTTGCGTGGCGTCTCAAGAGTAGAAATTTTTTTATCTTAATGTTTTTCTTTTCGCTTTTCTTCCTCACTTACCCGTTTCGCATGGTCGTTATTCGCCTGTCATCGTCTGACTGAGATTGCGGCACCCTGTTTTCCTCTATTTTGGATCTTCGACCCACCCCACCCTTCACCCCTCCCTTGACGGCCAAGACCTTCGCGCGATGTATTGCGATCATGCAGAACCTGCGTTCGGTCAAAAATCAGTCGAGCCAAGATATCCGACCTCATCTCGGGTTAGGAACCCGTTGTACGTTCCATCGTAGGTGGCAAAGCCGTCTGCCCAGAACCATTTTGGTGTTCTCTGAACCAGCAATTTGACAACGTCCGATGATGCTATGCATGGGTAATACCAAGTCCGTCGACAAGAGACTTGGCTGGCTTGACTATCACAAAGTTCAAGCTTGGTGTATTGGCGAGCGTCCGTGGCTTTTTTTTTTCTGTCCCCCCAACCCTCTTCTCTTCGATCGTAGCTAGGATTCGCCGGGGCGGCAGGTTACCCGACTTTAGCGTAGCCTAAGGTCGTCCCCACAAATTCTCCAGCCAAACAAAATGCAGGAACTCGCCTCGTGCTTGGAAAACACTCTCGAGCCTTTCGATCTGTTTCATCTGCCGTCGTTCTGGTCGCATCGCACGCTGTTCTGATCGCCGAAATTAGCAGACGCCAACATCGGTCGACCCAGATGTGGAAAGAAAAAATGAAACCACGATTAAAAACAAAACTCTGGTAAGCCAGCTGTTGTGATTGGCAAAGGGCACGAGGAAGGGTACGTCGACCCTGAAGAGCCATATTTCGACCACGTGCCAAGAGATTGCCAGGCCGAATTCGCATGGCCGGCCGCGTGTGCTGCCACTGTTCAACTCAAAATGAGGCTGCCATGCTCGATTGCGAACAAAAAAAATCACGTTGTCTCTATGTACAAACAAACCCACACGAGCGAAACTTTTGTTGCCGCCCAAAACGTTGGTAACGAGAGAGCTTGCGCTCGCACGATTCCAACGCTCTGTACCACCGCGTTGTGCAGCTGAAGCCGACATCGGCCTCAGCTGTTCTCTTCAAGATGGTTTGCTTGACGTCTTCGGAGTGCAGACTCTGTGCGATCTGTCACCCAACCTTATCCCACGTCTGATTCAGTATCACCGATCCTGTGTGAAACAGCTCTCATGATGTGAGCCTAGACCAAGGCACTTTCGCATCGTTCGAGGCGCGTCCGCGAGCGCTACTCGCACGATTCACGCGTGACCGACCTCTGAGCGATCCATTTCTTGTCCTCCACCGTCATGCACGCGAGCCAGATCCAATCACAGCTGGGCGTGCCGCCCTCCTCGTCTCTTCTCTCAGCTTACTCGTGCGCCATTACTGGCCTCATCGCTTTTCCCTCCAGTCTCGCCGTGCTCTGGCGAGGCATCAAGTGGAATGCCTCCTGCTGGTTAGCCAATCAAAGTCTCGACGAATTCGAGCACCAGCAGATCGTCGAGTTCGCGTTCAGTGGCCAGCAGCGAACGCCACATATCGAATGGTGCTACTTCGCTTCGGACGTGGAGGATAAGGTGTCTATACTGATCGTCTTTCCCGAGCTGCGAACTAGCTTCAGGACTCCTGAAATCATGCAGCGCTGGACAGACACTGTTGTCTTGCCAGCCTTTCGCCATGTTGGAATCTCGGTAGGTAGCTTGACCAGCAGCTTTCAGGCCATCCAAATAGCGGCGGAGGATGCGAAGCGGAAAGATGCCTCGAATGCGTTCACGCCAGAAACCCCACTCGTACGGGAGCTTTCGAAGACGGGTCTCTCCACGCAAGATATGCAAAGCCTGTGGACTGCCATCCAAGAAAATGCACACAAGACACCCTTCTTCGCAGGCTTCAGGAATATTTTCCTCGTGGCGACTTGCCGGCAGCACAGAGGTGGCAAACAGTCGCGGACTGCATGTGACGGCGTACAATCCGTCATGACGGCATGGGACGAAGCCATCGACATGAACTTCGTACCAGCGAGCTTGGTGCGCGCCAACACCGCACCCACTGCCGAGACAAACCTCACCGACGCTTCCGATGGCCGGTCAGACGAAGCAGCCAACATCATGCCTGCGTACCGGCCAAGTGCGGACTCGATCTGGGAGTCGTCGCGGAAAAGGAAAGCGTCTGACGAGATCGAGACGGAGAAACGTTCAAGAGCCGAGAACGGGTGTCTGCAGCCTTTGTCTGTGGGTATGTCTTGCAATCATGCTATTGATCCGATCTTGACCGAGTCTTAACGTGCTTGAACAGATCGTCTGCATACCTTACAGACCCAACGCGCTAGCGGCTTCGTCGATGAGGACACCGAAATGGGGACGTGAACTGGGTATAACAGTTCCATGCATACCACCTTGCAGCGACTGTTGTTTTCTCCCCATGGTTTGGGACGGCGATCATGCACGCGCGAGGTTGCTCTTGGGCTAGGGCTTGAGCCGAACATGGACTGGATGCAAGTGATCGATCCGACCTTCCGCCTTCGCAACACAAGCCGCCAGTCTTGGATAGACAGTCAAATCGCAAGGACCTGTACCGGACGCAAACGCGTAGCGCGCTCCGTTGTACAGTCATGGATTGGGGCTGTGCGTGCTGATTTGCTGATTCAATTTCTCGTGTCTTAAGATCCTCGCGAACGAGTAACATGTCTCAACAGACGAGCTAACTGCATCCTGTGCAGAAGCTGTACATTCTCAGTTGCCCGCCTGATCTACGACACTGGACACTGTCCTTGAGCGTTTTGACGTACCAAATGATGTCTGAGGCGAATTTCAGATCATTCATACTTCCGCATTTTCGATTGTATCCGCCTAAAACCACGCCTCCTGAGAACCCAAGTACGCATCTTCTGTTACCTGGAGGGCGTTCTATTATTCTGTTGCGACTGTGTGTCGCATGTTTTTGTTGGAGGTTTTGGGGAGCACAGTCATCCCACACGCATCCCCTTTGTCGTGCAACCACAGGTACAATTGTCAACTGCTGTTGATTCCACACACCTTGGCTTCAGCATGCCTAGAAGCTCTGTAATTAGCCTTGGCTTATCCCCGAGTGTCCGATCTATCCGATGACACAAACCAGCCAGACGGTTCAAAATGAAAAAAGTTCGTGCAGCAGACTATATCAGTCCAGCGGTGCCGTGATATGCGCTCACGCCTCTTATTTGTCGTCGTTCGCACGTGGTCAAGCTCAACTCTGCCGTGACCTTCGATCGGCCGCTCGCTTGTAACGTCGCAGATCCAGCGGAGCGACGACAGGCCGCGGAGACGGAGGGAGGAGCCTCTTCAGTCTTTCGCGTCTTTTACACCCCCGTGGATGATGGCACTTCCGTTCGGACGTGTCATCGATCTCCGAGTTCTCCGCTTGACCAGCCGACACCTTGGATCGCCGTCGACATCAGACACAAACCACTTGGCCGGTGCTCGTCCCATACGTCGTTCTTTGTCCTGCTTTTGTCTCTCCTTTTTTTTCCCCTTCTTTCCATTCAACCTTTCATTCCCTTTTTCCTCGCGTGTCTCTGCGCCGTCGGATTTTCAATCACGGCGAAGCGACCAAAAAGGTTCGGTTTCTTTGCCTCAACGTAGGACCCTTTGACTACGGGGGTTTTCTTCTTTTGCGCTCCGTACCGCCTCTTTCGTCTCCTTCCGTACGGACTCTTCCCACGGATCGTACAGCGATCAGGAAAAAACCAAATTTCGGAGCCGTCTTTGCTCTGCTTTACCACCTGCTGTCGCTGTGACCTCTCCTCGGCGGACTGCTGACGCCCGCACTCTTTCGGCCTCCTGATCTCCATGAATATCTGCTCCCGCGCTCTGCTTCTGTGATGCGCTGCCTCCTCAAGCCAGGAACCGAGGCTCCTTTTGTCCATTATCCACAAGCGAAGAACCAAAGAAGCTTTTTCACGTCCCGTTGGAGGATTCTTTCGCGGCCGTCCCTCGTCGGAATCTGACGTTGGTTATCGTTTGAAGCCAGGACAGACGCCGTAACCCCAGGGAAATCTCCATCTCTTTTCCCTTCGCGAAGGCACGGTTGGAAGTCAAGCTGGCGCTGCCCCCCCCCCCCCCCCCCCCCCCCCCCCCCCTTTCTTCTTTCGGTCGTGAATCGATCGTGGACGGTTCGGGAGACGTGAGTCTGGCTTTGATCGACTCCCTTTCAGCCGACGCTGTTCCGTGCCGGCTAAAGGAGAGCTTTTCCAATGGAGTCCGCGCCTGCATTTCAACCAAGTGTTTGGCTTGAGGTTCAAAAGGAAGAAGTCATAGCGTAGAAGCAAGATCATAGTAGCTGTCTTCTAAAGCTATATGCGAGATATCCCAATAGCTATGTAGAGTACTGGCATCCCTTGTATGAATCGTCTTACTTGATATCGATTATATGGAGAGGAATGGCATCAACCCAAGCACACAACTCTGTCACTCGACCGGATCATCATGTTTCGGACGTGTTTCTTCCATCTGAGCGAGGGAGGATCTTTCCCCCTTCAATTTTGACCCTCGTGAAAGTGTCAGGATCACAACGCAGAATGTAGTTCCCCCCCCTCCCTCGGCAACTGTGGCAAATGAACGGAGCCATTATCAGAGTAACTTGGGTTGACTCGACTTGGAAGACGACTCAATATACGATCTTGACGTTAAGAACGTCGAAAGCAACAAGCCGATAAGTCTCGATGGGACAAATTCCCCCAGGGGGAATATAAATCATCGTTTCAAGGTTCAGGTCGCCGTCTGTCTTCTCAAGGTGGACAGTGGGGAACTAGTGCTCCCGTCGTAGTCTTAGCATAAATTTCATGAAACTAGAATCGAGAAGTGGGGAGGGAAAAAAAAAACAATCAACGAGACGCCAACCCGCTAAATCTGACGACATTTTGGGTCGTCAACAGCGATGCAAAGCTCAAAGTGGTGTGATAAGTCTTGAGGCGATTCAAAGATATGACCTAAAATGTACAAGTGTGCTCCTGCCCTGATAGTTTTGTTGTCTCTGTAACTTCGAAGGCAGCACGTATGGGATATCAAAGAAATCAAAATCTACGGATCTCTAGCCTTCGTAAATATCCCGCGACCAACTTCCATCAAGGAAAGATAAACCAGCTTCGATAATCCATAACCTGAATAGTATCTAGGACTACCGTATCGGCATTCGTATAGTATATCTAGAATGTACTGTTCCATCCCAACAATACTGTTTTATGTTAGCACTTATAGTAATCCTTATAATAGCATCCATAGCACTATGCATAGTATGACTTGATACTATAAAGATTATATAAAACACCAAGTAAGTTGCCGTAGATAGGACCATGAATAGCATGTCTTTTCCTCCATGTATGGCGCGTTATTCACTCTTTTTTGGTATGGTATCTACTATGGTCGTACACACCATTTAACATACCATATCTTACAGAGCGGTAGAACCTGCTACCGTCAGAGTAATCTAGAAATGGCTGATATATGTGACTTTAGTGAGGCCCTGTCCTCTGAGGCTTAGCGTAAAGAAGTTTATGATGCAAAAAAAGGCTGCGGAATCATCTGCTTCCTAATCATCTGCAGAAGATCGTACTTCAACCAACGTGCGTGCCTATGGGTATGCGACATTCGACTACAAAGCACGATAATTGAGTCGTTCTTGATAAGGGATCAGTCGTCAACCTCGTGACCACTTACAAATTATACAGCCATCGATCGACCTCGATCGATGAACGGCTATAAACTCGCAAAGATGCCACGTTCGAAGGCTTGACTGATTTAACGCCAATAGCTCACGTTTCGGTGTTGTGCCTAGTCTGTTGTTGGCTCCGATCTCTGCTGCGGGACGGCCCGCTGGTGCCGATCGCGCTAAGAGATGTGGGACTCGTAAAAGTACGATCTTTGTTGTTCGTTGGCGAAGAAACGTCTAGCAAACTATCTTGTCTGCTTTGATCATTTTGATGGTAATATGGAAAGCCTAGTCGTGGGTAGAAAAGCAAGAGTGTCAACGTGACACCCAAAGTGTTAAAACGAACTCACTGATTGAGGCTTTATCCCAGAGCAGACCAATGAATGACAAAAGGCTTGTACTGCTGGAAAAAAGCCGCCACCTTGTTTTGTAAAGACAGCGCTTGATGGTGAGGTAACCAATATGTGCGACTGACAAGCGCGGACCTGAAAGCAACTTTGACTGGCTGAGAATTTGTCTCATCACACAGATGACTAGACCGCAAAATCGCCTCACCGAAAGGCACAGCAAGAGAATGTGGTGGTTGTGATCGTTCGATTTTGAGTTAAGAGTCTTGATTGGAGCATATATGCGACGTCGTGCAAGCGAGCCACAAACCTCTACACTTGGCAGAGAAGTGTTGGTCGAAGCACAATCCTGCTCAAATTGTAACAACTTCTCATCATTTGAGACAGGTCAGAGATCTGCATTAATTTTGCACACAGGCAAGGCTGCATGTATTGGGGACGATATGTCCATCCTTTTCAGACAGAAAGTTCATCGCAATTGGGTTCGAACGCATCGAGCAACTTAAGCTAATAAAGTCGAAGTGAGGTTCCATGTCAGAAGGAATCAAAGTTCAACGAGTGAATCTCTGGCCTGAAACTAGAGGCTTTACTTCCAGGCAAACATACAAGCTCCGTTTTGTTGCAGCAGTGCATGATTCGCAGGCCTTTGCTCTCGTCGCTTTTCCAACATTTCAAGTCCGTGGTAGGTAAGACGGCCAGGCGCTTAATTTATTTGCCTCTCGCCTTACCAATTTTGAAGCTCCAAGTTGATCTGAGAGGAATCCGGAGTCATACCGTATTTGGCGCTAAAGCTACTACCCGAATCATAAGAATGAGGCTGAGGACCCAACACGGAGAGTCTATGGAGTCTTCCTTCGTAGCGAGGATCCAATTTATGGCTGTAAATTGTAGCTGAGATCAATTCAAGATGTGACTGGAGCTAAGGAGTTTAAACCCCTCTCATCAAACCGTTGCTACGAAACACTTTGCGTGCGCGCTCTGGATAACCCGTTACGATCAAGCGATGTGTCGCCTATAGTAGGATTGATTTCCTCTCGAAAGCAGCGTTCTCGGGTCGATACTGCTAGCAGCTCAGGTGTTGAATAGCGTCTGCGGTTTACACCGAGTTCACCTTCGAAACTGTGAGCGCCTCGAGTTGAGGGTTTAAGATGAATATTACTCGAGGGAGGCTCAAATTCCATAGGGGACGGAGGCTTTAAGCAGAAGGGTTTTTCCTGAACATGCTCAGAGTCCATGTCCGCTATGGGATAGTTGGTGAGGTCAACGTTTGAAGGCAGTGATGACCTTAGCACGCCCCTGATCCAGCGCACGATGTGCCTGTCGCTTACAGGTCTTGCCTTTCGACTCTTCGACTTATGCTGAATGAAGATATCCTCTCCAACGAAAATCTGGTCAAGAAATGGAGGAAGATTCGGGTCTTCGACTTCGATACCTTTTTTGCGACAGGCCTGTGCAAATTCTTCCAAATCAGCCTTAGCCTTGAAATATTTTAGTACCATCTCCTCACGGTGCTGGAAATAATTCTGAAAGAATATTTCACTTGGCTCTGATGGTGCAAGATCTTGTTGGTAGAGCTGGTCTCGTTCCGCCTGCTTTAGCTCGAAGTCGCTTTCTAGGTTGAAGATATCTTCGCGCAAAAGGTTGATGTCCTGAATTGAACGGTAGTACTGTTGCTCATCTGGGTCAGGGTCGCTTGAGCAGCTTGACATGGTATAAGGCGCCGTAAGGACCGTTGAAGGGAAAGGAGGTGACTGAAAGTCTGCAGGATTTGTGGACGCGGTTGGATCCAAGAGGACAAGACGAGCATAAAGCTTTTCCTCACTGGAAAGTAGTCGGCTCTCGTCCTTCCAGAGCTCGTTCTGTTCATGTTCCAAGCGACTTTGCCACAGCTCTAAAGTGGAAGATAGTTCCTCAAACTTGTCCCATTGCTGTTGCACTAGCTGTCTTTTCTCCTTTGGCATGTCCGATCTCAAAACATCATCCAGAACCAAACGAGCAGACGTCTTAACGGATTCGTACAGTCTGCGGCTAAATGGTAATTGTGTCTCCAGATCTCTCTGTTTTTGCTTAATGCTTGCCCTCGCTTGAATGATCAAGGCACGCTCCCGGAGTACATTTTGGAGTAGTTGGTAAGTTGTTCCCTGGTCAGCTAGAAGGATGTTTTGTTCTACACTCTTTCTGCTGGGCTGGTGCCATACCATAGGAGAATCTACACGTTGCAGCGAATGTGGAATCTGGCTGCTTTTCGGTGCATGAAATTGTGGCGGCGGCGGAGGAGGTGGAGGAGGAGGAGGAGGAGGAGGGAGAACAGGAAATGAGAGCGGTGGCCGGAGAAAATCTGGGTCCGGCACAGTTTTCTCATTTCCAAAATTCAATACGCGAGGCAGAGATGGTGACAAGTTGAGTGCATTGGCGGGTTCTTGCGAGGATTCTGTGCTGGAGATGGCATTGTTTGCATGGTTTAGGGGATGATGGAGTGTACGTGGCCGAAATGTTCCATTGTGCGAAGGAAAACTAGGATCGTGAGGTGGGTTTAGTGTTGGACTGGATAGGCCTCTTTTCGAGACTGAGTGCAAGTGTTGTGCCATGCCAGCGGCGTTGTAAGGCTATAAGGGAGTGTAATTGCACTAGAGAATGCGCATGTGTTCTTATCACTGGGATGGAGTACAGATCAGAGAGGATTAGCTACCAAACGCATTAAGTAGTGCAGTCCGCAGCCGTGTGATACCCCCTTAATATCGCCCGTTCAGTATTTAAGCGATCGGCATATTCCGCCCACATGCGTGCAGACAAGGGGCTTGGGCTCGTTCGCCCGATTGGCCTCCAAAGACGGCCCCTCCCTTGTATGTTTACCGCTCGACTGCGCTGGCCGATTGACGATGCGAAAAGCCCAGGCTGCACGGAATGGCCACATGATTACACCTTCTGCAGAGCCGCGAAAGGGAAGTGGAGCTAGCAGTTCTATATATTCTGGCCATCCCCCATGATTACATCGGTAAAGATCGAGAGTGCTCTAGCACTCTTTTCCCTGGCAGTGTCGTATATTATGAAGTACAAGACCTAGCACCTTCTTTTCGACTCCAATATGCCGGACTCCAGGCTTGTGTACGACCGAGTAGCTCGCTTGTGGTACCGATACGACGAAGACGAGGGATGTGAAGTATACTTAAACCCAGAGACAGGCGCGATTTTGCGGTACCGACCCGTTGATTCGCTTATGGAGTGAGAGATAAACGTGCTAAACAACGTGCGTAGGCGTCGCGAAGAGCACGAGAAACTGGCCGAGCTTGCCTACTATGCTTCTATACAAGACGATGCTGCGCGCATTTCTGACCACATCCCAGGTGTGTTTTGGCCCGTTTCACGCTGTAGCGAGCAGCTAATGCAGCTGTGTAGATTCTGATCAAAGACATTATATTACTGATTCTCAAGACCATTACCGCACAGGCTTTCACCCTGGTGAGCCTTCATTGGCAAGGCCCTCTTGGCAGCACAATCACGACGAGGGAGGGGTGTATGATAGGGACGACGATGAGGAACACGATGATGTCGATGATGATGATGATGACGATGATGACGATGATGACGATGATACAGAGCGTAACTCTAGGGACTTGACTCCTCAAAGATTTAAAACATATCGCGCTAAAAACTTGGCCGAGGCCGACACACAGCTCCAGTCAGAAGAACACTACGATGGAAAAGAGACTGGTTTGACTTTTGGCCCAAAAGACCAAATTACGGATCCCCTTCTTAGGCAATACGGACATGAGGCCCGGGTGATGGTTTCGTCAACAAAAGGGAAGAGAGAATATCTAGACCCGAGTAAGTTCAAGTAATTCTTTCTCGTGCTCTTCGCTGATGATTCTAGGCTTCAAAAGACAGCGGGATCCCAAGTCGTTTTTCACCGTTGGTAGAGTATGATGGCATGTAAACAATAAGTGTATCGGTGCTGAAATGAAACAGATCATCAAGGTTTTGTGGCCTGAACTTGCGGGGTTCAATGTGGATGATGCGACGGTAGTAACTACGACAATTGACAAGAAATTCAAAGGAGAAAGAGTTTTTGTGAAAATACGCTGGTTTGTCGTCATTAAAGAAGGCGAAAAGTGGTGCACATGCCTGTAAAGATGTCATCTCCAGTCACACAGGCGAAAGCTGACGTTGCTTAGGCCTATTTGCACATACGGGGGCAAGGGTCTTAGCCAAAAGAACCTTCCAAAATGGCAGCATTCTATTATATTTACCGGTAGATCGCCACCGGAAATGATGCCCGGAGAACAACCAGAAATGGGCGAGCGCGGGATGCTTCTGCCTATTCGTGTGGAACCGACGTCGAGGCAGGATAGAATGGACTCTCGATCCCGTCTGCACTATGGGAAGCTGTACACGATTGAACATAACGTCAAAGTGTACAACTTTGGTGTCGTGCACAAAAATTATCTCACCATTCTTTGGAGCCAGTGGCGCCAAGTTATGCTTGGGCCAGAGGAACCACCAGTGCTTTATCATCCGGCAGTCAAAGTAGGCAGCAGGGATACAGCGGTTTGCCACCAGCGCCGGAGCGCTCTGTTCAGCCACCGCCAAACAATTTCATTGACTACGCGGTAGCAATAAGGGTATATCGTCCAAGCGACAGCGATAGGGACCAAGGCGTGATTTCCATAGAACAAAACGACCGCATTGGAGTCATAGAGTTCACGACTTCGGGTTGGGTAAAATGCTGGAATTCAGCAACTCGCGAGACAGGATACATCTGGAAGGATCACATACGCCTAGATTCCGAGACATGATCATCGGGATCACTATCGTGGGAGATTGAGATCTCCAACTTTATACGCGGACAGTATTGTCAACGTTCCACATATATGGAACGATATTATACGAATCATGACCTTGCTGCGCATGAACTATCCTTTAATTGCGCAAGCTCTTATCTGCAAAACGGCCTGTTGTTTGCGACTTAATGCATCTCGGGTCTGGGATTCCTGCTGAATGTTTCTCGATAGTTTTTTCTAAGACCGGCCGCTCTTTTTGCCATGCCAGTTTTCCTAAACGACCTCGTTGTTAACCCGGGTTCACCAAATTGACCTCCAGCCACAAGATGAGCACGTTTTGGATCAGTTTTGACAGGATGCTGAAATTTTCCTTTCTTAGCTACGTCTGGATAGGATACAACGAAGCTACGACGAAGGCAGATTATTATCCCTTCAGCTTTAATTTAAGTTTTACTTTTATATCATTCACACTAAGACACTTGGATACCAAAGCAGGCCTTTAGTCGCTGCGTGAAATATTCTTTGATCATTTGCGACACACTCTTCTTAACAGCACCGACCTGAATTAAACACGCCCATTAGGCTCTGGCATTGTTACGTCCGAACATGCGCGCTGGACTTCCCTTTCCAGGCTACATTGCTCTGATATTGGATATAGCACGTCTTGGAGCAGATATTGAAAATGATTCCTGCATCAGAAGGGCAAATGCTACTTGCTCAAACGCAAGATTTATAATATCAGCTCAAGGATTCCAATAGGCGGATCATTCTTGAACAACACGATTTAGAGACAAGTCTCGTTTATCATGCCCCCTTCAGAGGTAGGTGGCCCTGAATGGAGCCGCTTGTTGCACTCATACCTCTTTGTTTTGGCATACGCATCACTGATGCCATTCAGCCAGTCAGCTCTCTACGGCGCTCCGCCTCCGCCCCCACAAGGTGACAAATCTCTTGTTATTGTGCCTCACGGCACGCATGCCGGATTCACGTCGGACGTGCTCACGCGGATAATAGTGCGAGTTTGTCGCGCTCGAGTAATATCCTGAGCAAGATCCGAAATAACACCTCCCTGACTCTTGTGTAAGTTTAATTCAGATACATCGCTATTTGAGACAATATCTTTCTTCAGAAGGCGGAGACGTGTCGTTTGTCAAGATTGAAACCTTGATTAATGTGTTCTGCTCTAGTTCACAAACACTCTATAGGGTACATGAGCCACGATCCACATAATCAAAGATTCTTTAGTTGTTATTTAAGTTTATTTACGTTTGTGATAATGATAATGAGAAAGTATGACTCAGTCAAAGCTGAATTATCTTTCATTCTCGACCAAGTTGCCCGGTCAAATTTAGCAGCGGCAGTGTGCCGTCCTTTGTTCTTACTTTGGAAACTTAGACGGGAAATGTATCCACCTAGCAGCGGAATCCTCAAACTTTGTGATCTAACAGGGCTGTGATGTTATATGACGTGTCTCATAACGATTTTCAATCTGCGGGCCTGTTCAACCGCCCGTTGGCCTTTCGGTCAGACTGTGTTCTTAGGTCATTTCAATGCCAGTTGCACATGCGCCTGACATGACATGACATGTCACCTTTTCCGCTTGTGATAACGATTTGAACGCGTGCACCTCCATACACGTGGATCAAGGTAGTGCACTTCGTCGCCGCGGGCGGCTGTGAAGGGTGAAGTGAATCAAGGAAAGAAAAGTGAGGCGACTAATGAGGAGAGCTCGTGGGCGCAGGGATCTCCAAATCCGGCAGATGCGCGCATCCCAGCCTTGTAACGCCGAAATTCAACGTCCGCAATCCGCCACCACTCTGCTCCAAGGATATCAACTTCATGGGCCGGCAAGGTTATCTTCGCATTGGTCGTTGTAACATCTGCCACGCTATTCTTCCGCAACCTGCATCCCAGACCTCAGCTTCTGATACATGGAATCTCCGCTCACAATCATTAGAGGGAATCTTTGCTTGTGTTAGAACTACATGTCCAATCATGCAACTGACCCAGTCGCGTCGAAGCCAACACCAGGTTTATTCAGGATCAATTACCTATCTTCTTTTTGTTTGTGCTTTTCAACAGACAGGGAAGCAATGGTTGCCCTAACGAGCTTTCGCTTCAACGTTCTAGGCGTAGATGAGAGCTGCCATCCTCGTGCGTCCATCCCTGACCATAGTAAAACACATGCAGAATACCTTTATCTCTAGAATTAAGCAACCGAAAAAAGAAGAGACCCCGAGATTAAATCGACAGGTAGCAATCTCGCATAAGTTTTTCCGAGCTCGGTGAACCAAATTTGGAGTTGTAGTTGGCTTCACTTCTCCGTCAGGGCGTCCCGTACTGACGCCTCGTTTCTTTCATAGAACACAGCATCGTGCTAATAATCGGGAGCTGATAACGAGAGCTGATCACACGATAGGCTGTGAATGGAAGAATCGTAAACAAAGTTCATGCTCATATGTTAGTCTAGGAAATGTCTTCACGGCGAGGCTGTTCTCATAGAGGTCTAATAAGGGCTACCATTAGTAATTTCGAAGATCAGGAGCAGATTTCCGTCTTGCGCAGACTGCAAAGAGTTTGTGTTGTTCTGAGCCGCATCCTGAACTTCCATTTGCCGGTTCTATCCTCATCTTCCGTACACGACTTGCATCCCGATCAGTAACGAAAAGGGTCAAGTCTGGCTGAGAGCTAGTTTCTGTAAACATTTCTGGAGGCAAATCTGACTCGGGTTTTGGTGGCATCTGATACGAGCAAGTGTTCTCAATGTTGTCGAGCCAGCTCTTAATCCTGCTGCTCTGTCCTGCGTACATGGCCTTCATCGGCAATGGTAGAGTGACCTCTTCGTCTGCTGTATTTCCTGCAAGTATAGCGTCAATACGGGGGCGTCCAGTCTCCATCAAATTCAGAACATCTTGATAGTCATCATCGTCATATTCGGTAGGCTCTTCCAATTGATATCCGAGTTCCTGGCACTGCTGTTTTAAGCTCGCATATGCTCGTCTAGCCTCCCCTAGCTCCCGTATCAATCGCAGATGCCTCTCCGCGTAATCTCCAAAGGCTGAAGACGAAAATTGCGCGTCCGAGTGACAACACAGGATGGCGCTGGGTATGGAGTTAGACCTAGGTGGAGGAGGCGGAAACATCGATACCAGCTCGTCAGAAAGGTACCTAATAATTCCAGCTTGCCGGTAGTTCTCCGTCACTACAGCAGGTTCTCGGACCTCGCTGCTGTCCTTCTCCCACTCAGATAATCTGGAATCCATTAGGTAATAGCTTTGGAGGCTCTCGTTTAAACCAACCAACGCTTGCCTGGAACCTGTTTGATCTTGAAGGTTTCGCTCCAAATCATTAAGCCGATCGCCTGATACGCTCAATTTGGCCTCGTAGTCCCTTAGGAAGCCCATCAACGCAAATACTTGATCACGTAGATCTAGAATAGCGCTGTCGCCAGATCTCTGATTTGCTTGCTGCTCGCCACAATGAAGCTGTGGTTCTATGTGACTAAAGAGATCGTTTAGAGCAAATAGAAGAAGACGCCTTTGCGCGGCGTGGTCTCGAACCAAGTCGAAATAGATTGTGCGCTCTTGGAGCGTTTTCCAATAAAGATTAAGGTCTTTATTATCATCCTTCTGTGCTGCAGCTTTGTATAGTGCTGTGGCTGGGCCGGAACCAAAGGTAGAATTCCTTTGACTAAACGATCGTCGGCAGTGTGCTCGCAGAATGTTTTCATTAAGAGACGCGTTCAGCGGTTTGCCAGATAAGTCTTCCAAATGAGGTTCCTCGGATGCTAAAGAAAACCCATCTGAAGCAATTGATTGATCGGAAGCATCGACAATGCTCCCTTCGTCCTCGTCTTCAGTAGGATATTCTTTTGGGCAGAAGGGGGTAAGCCTTTCGGCCTTGGGATTCTTAGGGAATCGAAAGTTATGTACATAGAGTATTTGCTTCGGCAAATCTTCGAAGCTAGCGAAAGGTCTGACTACTCACGAACATGCGTCATGTACGTCTTTGGCGATTCAATCTCTCAGCTTCAGATCTGCGAAAATAAAACGGTATTAGTTGTATCATGCTCAAAGATAAAGGTAGTCTTGACCTCGTTACAATGTGGGCCTTGACATGACTGATAAGCTGAGATTAAAGAGAGACAAGGATATTGAGAGTGTTTGATTTAAAAAATCTGAATCGTGTTCCCAGTGATGAGCAACACCGTCCTCTCCTAAGACATGCGTGTACATCTTTTTCTGCAATAGAGAGGTTATTCAAGTTGACCTGTCTGTGTGCAAACGTGTAAACAGCAGCCATGGACCATCCCTTACAATGCCGGGGGAAGAGGGTGTAGGAGGGTCGGATAATGTTCTTTCACTATTTGTTTGCATGGATAGCTCCTAAATTCACCAATCTTCTGCATGCTGGAGAGCAGATGATCATGGACCTACAGTAAGTGAGTTCTCATAATTTGGATGTAGATCACATAATTTACGTCAGAGTTCCGAATATATCATGATCGCGAGAACCTCTGGAGACGAGGCAAGGGAAGTGCATACGAAGCCCCCCGTTTCTACAGAATCTAATTAAGTCTAGATCTTTTAATGCTGCTGGAATGAAGAATTTGGCGCGGGCACCCATTGAAACCGGACAGAAACGTCATCTGTGTTTCTCAATTGCTACTCTGTACCGATAACTTCCAAATATCGTTACTTCGTTGTTATCAAGAATAACGATAATCGATCTTCTCAGTGTCTGTACGTTGAATACCAGTGAAAAGAACTGGACAGCAAATTCTGATCGACCAAGGTCAATAGGGACTCGCGGGAAGCGAGGTGCGGCGGGTGCGATCAAAGAGCATTTTTCAATCATCTACATCGGAAACGATGAACCTCAACCTCATCCGGAGGAGTTTCCAGAGGCTTGGGGGCGTGGAATGCGGCGTTCCTTTCGTGCGATACTGAGATCGAGATACGATGGTCTTCACCCAATGTCGAGGATCAGATGGAATATTTCGTATCAAATTCAGCACAACGTCCGCGTATACGACATGGGAAGGATTGATGGTTCTCAATTACGAACCCTGTACGCCGAATACCTAGCTGTGAACTTTGGAGACTTTGAATTTCTCCTTCTAACATCGCCATCAAGCAGATACCATGCTATATCCGAGGTCAACTCAGGGGCAAATTTTCCGACAAACGTGAATCCACCAAATTTTATAAATTATAAATATTCTGATCCAACTGTACAAATTGTGAGGAATTTGCAGAATGCGAGGCATAATGCGATGGATAGAGAGGGATATTATCAAAGATTTCGACACGAATCACACGATGCTATGCGCGACGAGGACTTCGAGTTTCAAGAAGATTATGTTGGCCAGTTGGGTCATTATGTTCAGTTCTGAGGGACAGGAACGTAAGGTCGTCGGACAAACCGCGTTACCGACGGTGATTATGGGCTCAAGAACTCGAATATTGCCTTTGAAGACACGTTATTTGCTTTGTAATCACTGTCGACGTTAATAAGCGACAATTATCACAAGTTCAATCCGTACTTATCAACCGATTCCCATGGTCTGATCCTTGGTGAATTTGGCACATGATAGACAGACGCGGTCTGGAGTGCATGATAAGATCCTACCTTTGAGGTTCAAATTATGTCGCTACTTGCTTTACATCAGCGAGACATGACTTTCGGAATAATGTGCGAGTCTTCCTGATTTAACTGACACGAAATCTCCGAGAAATCATGTCAAGAAATAACTTCTTACGATGAGGTTCTGAGGAATTCATAGCTCAGATTAAATTCCATATTCAGCTCAAGTCTTCAAACTTCTATATATAGACTAGATTGACGCGGAAATTCAGTATATTTCATTCTTCAAAAAGCACATTGTTCACCTTGAAAGGTAGAGTTGGTTCAGAAAAGTGCTATTATGGCTACTAGCTACTCGTTTGGTAGTCAACTCGTATAGTCTAACGATGGCATTGACTCCGACTGTGGTTACAAACATTCCTTATCAATATGTTTTTGATCAAAATTCCATTGTATTGAAAGCCTCGTCTTCTTTTGAGTGGGACACAGGTTTCCAGACCGCGACGCTGAATGATCTTTTCTAACAGTGCGTATGTCGCACATCTTCAAATTCGTTGCATTGCAGCTTCACGCTGTTTTCTTCCACAACAGTTTGCTCGAAATATTGTGCTCGTTCAGATACGAAGTTTTTGCGGTAAGACCATAATTGGCGGAGATAAAGCCAGGTCCGTGTAATGGTCTTCGAGATGGTGGAATCAAGTTACAGCCCTTATAACTGCATGCACCCAAGGAATCAGGTAGGGCTAAGCTTGCTCGTGGCTCACATGCATATCTCAGAGCGAGCAAAAGACATGGTCACAAGAGGCGGTAATTCAGGCTACCTCAATCACATCCGCTATTCGTACCCACCTCGTGATCATGAGCATGATTGAATACCGTCGGCTTAAAGCGATCGGAGGCATTTCTAAGCAATGGATTTCAATACCTATGAAAATCATGCTTGTTATCCTGGTAATTGACGACGGTTAAGCTAGCACTCCGTTTTCATGATGACTGAATGCGGAAAGAGGAAGCTTCCGCATGCGGGATAATGCGCATCAGCGCAGGAGCGTCCAATGTCATCGCATGAAATCTACTTGGCTGTGGCAACATCATACCCTCTTTTCTGGTTCTTTGACAATAAAGCCCTGTTCATAGGTTTAGAAGTTTTCACACAGAGATAGGGCACATGAGGTCGTCCAGAAGTGGTGCGCGCGTGATAGGTTGTTATCATTCTGCCGCAACAATAGGGCTGTTGAGGCTGGGATACCTTCATCTGCACGCTTTGGAATATGGCAAAAAGGCTGCGGAGCTTGCAACGTAAGAATTGAAAACAACCAATCGGACGGTCATTGACAGCTGGCGCTATGTGATCAATTAGCTGAGGCATCGCGTGCATTACGTGGTAAGAGAATGTGAACAAATACAGTAACATGGGGCAGAAGAGAGCCGATTCAAGGTCAACTAGCTCAGCTTAGTTTCAGATGCTATGGCCGTTTTCATCTCAATGGAAGGATATTTGCTCAGTTCCATGAAGACAATGATATGCGTGCTTAACGTACTAGCGAGTAGCCTGACAACGAGGCGGTTACTACAGATATTTGGAGTGAAGTCATTACTGGAAGCTGAGCCCGGCATATGTGCGTTGAGGACAAAGAAGAGGTATATCATATGGTTTGTGCGGAGCCGTGTAGCCTCATCCCTCAGACAGTGAACAAAAGCGAGCATCTAGGTCCTGATTTTGTCAATTTGGAGATTTCTGACTAGGTATCTAACCACGTTAGGCATCCGTGGAGCATATCTACTGATGATAACACTGAAGTGACATAGATTTTCACCCTTTCAGTAGCCTTTCATCGTTGGGATTCAAATGTTTATAATTATGCGTGAAGGACTAGATCTGCGAGAGATGTTTCGAGTCGGTAAATGTCGCGCAGTTGTGGTGCATGCAGCGGAGCGAGCAGAGAGCAGCTGAAAGAGATCGATTTTGTATGTCACTTATTAGTTGAAGTATGGTATGAATACGCAAACAGGTTGAGCTTGAATGTCGACAAACAAGCAGGTGCTGTCTCTCCAGTTTGTTTGCTTTAGTTTAACTTGTCGATCTTTGACAAATTCGTCCGAGGCTCCCGGCACGACAGTCGATGTCACTGCACAGCGTTTATCGCGTCTGATGCAGGCCCCGCCGCCTAAAATTAAGCGCTCTGCTCGCCCCGGCCATATTCAGTTAAAAAAAATTTGATGCTTCAAATGAGTGAGGTTTCGAAGAGATCATCGCAACAATGAAGCGTAAAGCCGAGTCCACAGAAGAACCAAGCAAACGCAGCCGTTATGGAGATGAAAGGCCGTTCTGGGATTCGGCTGCGTCTTTTGACAAGCTGGGACTCGAGCCTAGATTGTTACAGTCAATACAGAAACAGAAGTTTACGTCGCCAACGCCCATACAAGCGAGGGCCATTCCACTTGCATTAGAAGGCAAAGACATTCTAGGTATGTATATATGCTCTCCGGTATGATCTGTAGGCTAAATTTCTTTAGCTCGATCAAGAACAGGCTCTGGAAAGACGGCCGCATATGTTCTTCCAATTCTTCATTCGATCCTCCAATGCAAAGCCACCCAAGCGACCTTGAAATCGACTTCGGCGCTAATCCTTGTGCCTACAAATGAGCTTGCAGGTCAAGTAACCAAAGCTGTCGACCTATTCGCCTCATTCTGTGCAAAGGATGTGCGAGTTGAGAATCTTGCCCGCAAGGAGGATGATAAAGTTCAACGGGCTCGACTTTCAGGCAATCCCGATGTTGTGATCGCTACACCGTTTAAAGCGGCATTGCACATAAACAGCGGCGCGCTTTCCCTGTCGGATCTCAAGTACCTGGTCGTCGACGAGGCAGACTTGGTCTTGTCATACTGTAGCTCGAAAGATCTGGATGCCATTCGCAAGGCCCTGCCGTACAACACACAATCGTTTCTCATGAGCGCAACCTTAGGCTCGGAGACAGACAAATTGAAAGAGATGTTTTGCAAAGACCCGATTGTGCTACAGCTGGACGACGAAGAGAAGGACTCGAGTGGCGTCAAGCAATATATCGTCAAGTGTGGTGAAGAAGAGAAGTTCCTACTTATCTATGCTATATTTATGCTTAAGCTCATAAAAGGCAAGACCATTGTGTTCGTGAGCGACATTGACCGATCTTATCGTCTAAAGCTGTTCCTCGAACAGTTTGGCATTCGCAGTTGTGTTTTGAACTCCGAGCTTCCAGTCAATTCTAGAATCCACGTCGTGGAGGAATTCAACAAAGGTGTCTACGACATCATCATTGCTTCAGACGAGCAAGATGTGATTGAAAACACCAAGAAAAGCAAAAAGACATCGACTACTGAAGACGAAGAGGAGGATGTAGGAGATGGAGGTGGAGAAATCGTGAATGATGACGCTGATGGTGGCAAAGATGATGACCATCAAGTTGACGAAGATGATAACGATGCGGATGGTACAGGAACCCAACTCTCACAATCCTCAAAGAAGAAGCGGAAAAAGGATATACGTGACAAAGAGTATGGTGTCGCTCGTGGCATCGACTTCAAGAACGTAGCCTGTGTCCTCAATTTTGACCTCCCACTGTCCTCCAAGTCATACACCCACCGCATTGGTCGTACTGCAAGGGCTGGCAAGACTGGCATGGCGTTGTCTTTTGTGATACCCAAAGCAGAATACAGGAAGCACAAACCTACGAGCATACCCAGTACCGAACATGACGAAGAAGTTCTTGCAAAAATCAAAGCAAGACAGGAGAAGAAGGGAAATGAACTTTTGCCTTATGCCTTCGATATGAAAAAGCTCGAAGGATTTCGGTATCGCTTAGCAGACGCTCTACGATCCGTCACCAGTGGTGCCATTCGCGAGGCGCGACTTCGAGAGCTTCGCCAGGAACTGATCCGTAGCGAGAAATTGAAGAGACATTTCGAAGAGAATCCCGAGGATCTGAAACATTTAAGGCACGATGGCGAACTGCGAGCGGCACGAGTGCAGAGCCATCTCAAGCACGTGCCGGAATACCTGTTACCGAGTGGTGGGAAGCAGGCTTTGGAGAAGGACGTCGGTTTTGTATCGATGCATAAGCTACCTGAGAACAGGGTAAGACGGTCAAGAATCATCAAGGCACAGAAGAGCCATGGAAGGAGCGCAGCAAAGGCGAAGGGCAAGAAAATAAATCCGCTTGCAAATTTCAAAGGGAAGAGAAAGTAGTAATGGATTGACATCTATTCTTAAGCTCCATGCTACAAATGATACGCTAATAAATGCTGAGCTCTGAATATGCACAATCTATCAAGATTTCCTTTAACTTGAAAATACCCTAAACCTTTCTTCAACAGGCTTGAATTCTTTCACGTTCGGCTCTCCTTCTCGTCCACCAAACACAAGTTGTGCCTTCAAGCTCCAATGCTCCGGCAGATTCCACTGCTTCTGAGCCTTCACGTCAACTACCGGGTTATAGTGTTGCAAATTAGCTCCAAACCCTTCAGCCTCAAGCGCAGTCCAGATCACAAATTGATGCATAGCGCTTGTGTGCTCAGACCATTGCTGGAACTTGTCTGCATATGTTGCAAATCGCTCTTCCAAACTGTGAATGGTGGGTTGATCTTCGTAGAACAGGATGGTGCCGTAGCCAGCCTTGAAGCCGTCGAGCTTCTTTGATGTCTGCTCAAACTGCTCTGCAGAGATGAGCGGTTTCAGCGACTCCTTGGTAAGATCCCAGAATTTGTCGTGCTCCTCCCTCAGCAGGAGAACTAAGCGCGTTGTTTGAGAGTTGAATGAGCTTGGAGTGTTGAGAAGCGCTTCTTTGACTATGGTCTGGATTTGAGAGTCTGAGATCGGAGCAGTCTTGTTCAGCGCGTAGATTGTCCTACGTGATCTGACGGCATCCATGAAAGGTTTTGCGGATTTGGTGACGGCCGTTGAAGTGAGATGTCTCGAAGCCGTTTGGATCGGTTTCGAATTTAACGCGGCAGTGCGTGGGCGGAAGATAAGAGACTTGAGGCTCATATTTGCCAATATGGAAATTGCTGTGTTCCTGGTGCTGTTATTAACTGCCATGTTGGAACCGATGCTTTTATATTCTTGCTTGAGTATAGATGGCAACACGAAAAGCGCTAGGGCCGAGAAGAGAACTCCGAATAGGAAAGATCGAAATGAGACAGGCAAGAACATGATTTGCTAATGATTGGCAATCATTATGTTATCCTAATGTTCGTCAATCGTACCTTTCAACTCTGCAAAGCCAGCGATGTGGGCGTTCTTCCCCAGTGGCCTGCCGGTGCTTTGCAACCCTAACGCGGAATTTGAGCGTTGAAGCTGACAAAAGGATGATCGCCCACGGAACGTTCGCGACTCCGAAGCTGATTGGTCAGCCTCAGAACAATAGAAATCATTTGACAAAGAAATGTCCCGATGATTTCGCAAGAGTCTTTCAAAACTCCGCGTGCTCTGATGGAATACAGTGTGCTCTGTTAAAGAACCATATATAGGGCATCTACCATTAGCGCGTCGCGTGTAAGATTCATCAAATACTTTGTTCTCTCCATCCTCGAAGTTTCCATGCAAAACACTATGATGAGAATTGCACCGAATGCTAATCATTCAGCGTTAGCGATTCAAAGATCATACGATCAGGAAACCACTTGACGACTGTTTCGTTCATAGCTTTGCCGGAGGTTTCCCCTTCTTCCTGCTTGCTTGATCCGCAAGAAATCCTTCGACCGCAGCTCTTGCCTCCTGGCTTCTCGCCTTCTTACCAAGTTCCTCAAGCTCGAAGTCATTCACATCGAGCAACTCTTGTCGACAACTCCTCATCATCATTCTCTTATTAAGCTTGAGCGACTCGGATGGCAGCTTGGCAATCCTATAGCACTGTGCCAGCACAGCCTCCAAAAAGTTCTCCTTGGGAAGTACCTTTGTCACCAAACCGGCGCTCTCAAGCTCCGCGGCCGAGAACCTGTCGCCAGCTAGCAGGAGAGATGCCGCTTTCTGGTGTCCCATAATTTTTGCGAACGTAACGCTTGAGCATGCTTCCGCGCAAATGCCTAGCTGGACAAAAGGCGTGAAAAAGTAGGCATCTGGCGATGCGTACACCAAGTCTGCAAGAGCCAAAGAGCTTGTACCCCAACCTGGAGCCGCTCCATTGACAGCAGTGACCAAAACTTTGTCGGAGTTGATCATGGTTTTATGGACCTCGCTGCATCGATGTTCATTATGTGTCTCACGGTGGAAGCGAGTTGAACATACCATATGACCTTTGAAAACTCGTTGCTTAAGACCGTATCTTTCGTAACGATCGCTTTGTCTTGCAGGTCCAGTCCCGCCGTGAACAGCCTTCCCTCTCCGGTTTGTACAATTACTTTCACTCTATCGTCATTGTCTGCCCATCTTAGTCCGACCAAAAGATCCTGTTACTATTCATCAGTCATGTATCCTTGAGTGATAGAGTCCCTCTGGCAATACCTGCATTAGCCCGAGACTGAGAGCATTGCCAGCCTTGGGGCGGTTGTACGTTAGAACAGCAACGGCATCTTTCAACGTGACAGTCAAGTTAGTTAATTCTGGCACCGGTGCCATAACTACACAGCTAGTGCAATATTGCTACAATCGAATATGCAATTGACCGATTATTAATGATTGCCTCAATTGTATATGAAATATTACGGATTTGAGAGCCCAGTCCCATGAAAACTAGACCGTCGGCATATTCGGCAAGAGATTGGCCAATCAGAAGGGTCTTCGTGGGTGGGTTTCCGGAAAGTACTTGTACAGGGCCTAATGACTCGCTCACGGCTGCTTGATGGTACAAAATTCGAAAAAGAAAACTGACGGCAAGCGATTCAGAGAGTAATTGTTTGTCAAACTAGATCGTATTGCTACTGATATATAAGCTAGCGATATACGAATCTTCGATATCTCATTCACGCCCGAATGCCTGCTTCTCTGCACAAGTGCTCAAAGTCAGGCCCCAGTGGATAGTCGCTCCGTGGATCATCATGCCGAACGCAGGGTGGGTACTTGAGCGGCAACAGCCAGTCAATGTATCGTTCTCCCAAGACGCTTTTCAGGTTCTGCGTAATTGAAACAGACCAAATATTTTCTGATGGCTTTGACTGCAGTATAGCATATGTTCGTTGATGCTCACGGCCATAAGTATTACGTTCCTCGTCAAAATCTGCTCTCCCCTTGAAAAACATTGTCAGCGTCGCTTGAGATCGGCGAGGAGATTCACCAAAGCTCTCGAGTCCTTCGATGTAGCAGAACTTGTGACAATATTGCTGCATAAACGAAGAAGAAAATGGGTGAGACGAGCTTGAAACTTACAGAAGTAGTAACGTTGAGAATGCTTCTATTCAGTGGGTAAGTGATAGTAGGAAAGTTTGCGAGCCTCGACGGATGTTTCTCAATGAATTTCTGTGGCAGTCGCACGGCGATGCAGTAGCTTCTTTTAACAACTTGCTCGTTTGTTGATCGATTGACGGCCGCGTTATAAAAGGTGGTTAGAAACATTCCTCCAGCGAACAAGCCGCCAAGAAGTCCAGTCATGGCTATGAGGGCAATCCACTGGCCATCGATTCGGCTAAATAGTTCATTTCGTGGCTATGTAAAAACGATTTAACCAACGCTCTAGATAAACAATGAAAAACCTAGATTTCCAGGTGTGGACGAATTTGTCGGTGAATATTTAGACACAGAATAACGTACCGTTGAGAGGATCAGGGCATTGTGCTTACTGATGCGATCAGATATTGCCCACGACGAAAAGCCTAGGGTGTAGATACCCCAAGCCGCTGCATAAAATAAGAATTGCCTTGCTTCACCATTAGCCGTAGAACTTGAACGATATCGAACTGGAACAATGCGAAAGTAAATTCTGGGTCGGAGCACAGCCAGTAGGTGAATTGAACGTACAAAAAAAATTTGATATTAGTCTCCGATACGATACCACCAACCCACGGACAAAAGTGATCCATTCGTCGCACACATCTATCAACCTCGCTACAATGATGTGTACGATCCGGTTTGTAGTTATTGCAGATGTCGCAAAAGAGAGGTAATCCTTGAGCATCACAAATAAAGACGTCCTTACGTGTAAAGTACTCGATGCCTGGTGGAGGAGGAACCTTGCCCTGTACGATTGCGGTCCTGTTTAACACTGGATAGAGTGTGTCATCGAGAACTGTCGAACGTGTACCTACAGCTTTTGTCAGAATTTTCATTCAGCCACGACTCGCTGCAAATTCAACCTGTGCCTGACATGTTGCATTCGCAGGCATCGATTGAAATGTTGTTTGAAATCTGAGCAGCATACATGACAAAATCGACCTAGCTCTCTTCTCTTTGCTACGTTCTACATTGTGCGGAGGTGAATGAGGTATTCGAGTCGTATATCCGGGGTTGTGTGCAATGGTCTGCATTAATCGGGCATAGCAGCTTAAATACAACACCAGAAGCAAAAAGAAAAACACAAGGACAGGGACTGCGGTCGACACTCTCTCTTTTATCAAGCGATAGCCATTTTCAGCGGGTTCGATTAGGTATTCAACTGGACCTTTCATCAGCCGTGGAAGCTCAAAGTCTCTATGATGTAAAGAAGCATATGGCAGGAACTTCGGAGCTCTAAACATGATTCCAATGACTGTCATGCCATTGAGATCTTAATGCTCCGCTGACCAAAAGCACATACTGCAAATCTTTTTGACGAAGACATATACTGCGTAACCAGTAGCAGCGAGAATACACGTCGGCACTCCTCGTGCGGCCCACTTATTGATAGACAGATGCTGCCGCCTTTCCGATGTCATTTCATGGCAGGGTGTGATCGCAAGACTTCTCCTCAGGTTGTTGTTTGGACCTGGGATTGAAGATGGCGGTTGCTATGGTTGGCCGTTAGTAGCGATGTTATTTCCGCCCCGATTGTGACGTATTTTTAGGTGCGATTGCCATGAATTGGATGTTAGCAGAAGCTAAGCTGGCGCAAGTTTGAACTTAGTCCACATGGTCAACGTCATTCGCTGGCCAGTTCAGCCTTAGCCCTGAGGCAGCAACGTTCCGCACTTTCCACTCACGTGACCAAACACGACTTAACTTTTTGAGGACATGTTTCTTCGTCATGGATCTCTCTTAGAAGGTCAGATTGCGACGTGGCGGACCATGATATATACTTCCATCCTCGATTATTGTCTACGTTATGCATATCCCCGTGACGGAAACAGCGCACACCTCGATCACAATTCCTGCCCTTGAATTCGCACGAGCTTTCAAAATGCATCGCCCGAACGAAACAATATTTGAGCCCTCAGCCCCAAACAAACTTCTCTTGTGTCTGTATCGTGAGTAACAGGTCGAGCAGTCGGTTAGGCAAAAAAAGCCGCGGGCTGTGTGCGGATTCTGCCTTATCCATCCTCAGCCTTCTCGGTGTACTTGCCCTCTTACTACAGTCTGCATTTTGGCTTACCGGTTGCACACACCGAAGCCTTGCCCAATCGCTCAGAGCTACCTATCTCACAATGAGGAGCTTGCGGGCTTTTTCTTGTATCCTCCAAGCTACACTTTAAGGTTCATAATCACCGGGTTGCGACAAGGCGATTCCAAGATCACAAGGCTGGGCCATTACTCCACACTAAAATCCTCTGCATCTAAGAACTCGGGCTCATGTAATCCTAAGCGAGGTAATTTCTAATGCATCTTGCTCTAAATGAAAATAGAGTGAAGCGAGATGTCCACACCAAAAGAAAACATGGACGAATAAGAGGCACTTGTGTTAAAGCGCATACATTTGCAGTCAGGAATACTTAAACTACCAGTTCGACAACTCCGTACGCGATTTCATGGTTACTGCCAAAATTATGGGCCAAGTTCTTCTTGTGGGGTCCTATGCGCTGGGCTTTGCACGAGGCGCAATGACCTCCAACGCACCCAAATTTGTCTTTGTTCTAGGAACGATATGACTCCATCTGAGAGAAATTTTTTAAATGCAGCTCTGTTGCGCCGCTTTTTAAGTTATTTCCGCCTAACCCGAAGCACACGGAAAGTTGCTTAAGGTTGTAGCCCCTCGAGTAAGATATCATTAAATTGAGTCAGAGTAGTGAAACTAACATTCTTACAACCACATAATAAGCACACGTCAAAGAAATGTATGCGGCCGGTGGAAGGTTAGGTTCTCTAACGATCTTTTGCTTCAAGGCACCTGCTGTCGGCCCGCCTACACCAAAAACAGGTTGTGCTAATGAGCATGTAGCCTGTTCTCCAAAGACTGCAGAAAAGTAATCCTATCTCAAGAATCAACTTTGTGACGATGCTCAAAATCCCCACAATCTGATCTTCCAGGACTCCATGGCTCTACCCTTGGGAGTATTGGATCATCGCATTTAGCGCTTTGCAGCAGACGAATAACAGTTGCCTATCTTTGCCTCGTCGGACAAAACAGGGGAGCGGTTATGTACTTCCCTGCAACCCGCAAAAAAATTTCTGCTGCAGGGAATCTAATGGGCTGTTGCTTATTGCCTTTAGTATCTCCCTGTTGGATGAAATTTCTCTAGGCGCTGGTTTTCATCATAGTTGCCCACATTTGAGACGGAACACATGATCATTATCATGAATACTGGCCTCTCAAAGACGGAACCTTGTTCAACGTGCTCCTGACGGAGGTTTGTAAGAGGCTTGCCACATTCTCGCATTTGCTTCAAAGTGAAGCATCAGTTAATCTTCAAGTCACGTAGAATAGAGCATGAGCTTTCTGTGTCCCTCTAGAGACAACTACACCTTATTGTGGCTTGTTCAAGAGGCCACCTCTTGATGTCTCAGGCTGTTTTGCACTCCTTTGACGGAATTCAAGAAAGGCGAATTCGACTCTCCTACTAGGCTTTCTCGAGATGATCGGCGTAACGCCTCCTGACGACCACATTTTGGGGCTTGGATGTGATGAAAATCACTCAAAGGGACCCTTTCTATGTACTTATAAGCTAATGGTCTTCACCCTCGTACTCTTCAATTCAAGTCCCGTACGCTAATTCATTTTATCGTTATAGCACGTTACATCTTTTGCTTCCCAAACAATCACGAACATTCTTCGTGTATCAACATGAAGACTCAAATCTGGTATTGTTGTCAGTGTGGCTGTTTCTTCATATACGACCTATGTCCTGCGTGCATAAAATGCGAGCATCGTCGTTGCTCAGACTGCGTCGTGGATAAAGAATCTAGAGTGTCCAGGGCAGAGGCAGCAAGTAGACATTTTCACAAGTTCAACCGCAGTAAAAGATCTTCGTAAGCTTTCCAAGAGACTGAAGTTGCATCGAAGCTGAACTCGTCTAGCTGCCGATTGAGAGATGCGCAAACGGTCAATTCCCTGCAGAGCTCGCTATCGGGCGCGGTTCAAACTAATCACATAATCTCATTTGACGAAAGTTCTTCGGACTCGGTCATGCCTGTTAGCCAGCATAAATTCAAGCCATGGGAGCGGCGCCGGGGGTGTCAACTTGCATCAAGGCGACGAGAGGTGAAGTTTTGGACATGTAAATGTGGATATGGTAGAATGACGTGCAAAAATCATCCTGCCTGCCCGATCTGCGATCACATATTCGATCCAGACACATGCTCCAAAACTGACGATTGCACGTTGGAAGTGCAATAGAACACAGGTCCCATTCGAGAAAAGAAGCCTTCTGTTCGTTTTATACTCATTTTGAATCAAGTGATGGAAAATGATTGAGGCTTCTGGATTTGACAACGGCCAATGTGATCGACGAAAACCATTCAAATTATCAAAACAGTCAACTAAATAGTTCGCTACATGTGTTTTGTGATTGTTAGTTCTAAATCTCATCAACTTGATAGGCTTTATTCTAGAGTTCATGTGCTGCCTCCATATGTTCGAAATTCTTTGTGAGGATTGCCTAGAGCTTGTAACAAGATCTTGGTCGCGTCGGCGACCTTCCTAAGATCATCTTTGTGATCTTCGTGCATGTAACTAATGCGTGTTTGGAACACCTTATGATCATTGAGAGAACACATTCATGAGTCGGTCATATTTTTCTCATCGACCGGTCGCAGACTTGATCCGGTCTAGAAAGGCGATGCGAGTACGTTTCAAAGCCCGCTCGATAGATCAAGTCGAACTTTTGCGTTTTGACATGTTTCTTCCAAGCTTTTGCCTAGAAAATTCGACAACTGTCTTTTTGATTCAGAGTGGCGCTTGCGTGGGATCAGCTTGCTCGATTCGCACTGCAGTGGTTTCTAGACCTAGAATCTGGATGAGCGTAGTTCTACAGCCCAGCTTCGCACAGCCACCTCAATCCTTGAATGGGCGGCCTCAAGCCTTGTGAGAAATTCCGCCTCTTGGGCATTGTTCGCTAGGCATACCCGCGTTCGAGTTCCTAGACCGCTTTCAGAAATTAGTTGCCTCACGAATTCCGTGAAATATGAAACTCTGACTATGCGAAACAGCCTCATAATGACTGACGTCAACGCGTATGCTATATGTGGTACAAACTTACCATCTTTTCAGCCTGTAGGCTTAAATTGTGATTCTCCGCTCCGATAAGAGTTGAGGCTTGTACATTCTTCGTCCTGAAGCCGGCGAAGTCATTGCCTCCCGGACTCCCTTGGTTCGTCTGATCGCCGAAAGCCTTTCCACCTGTCGCTGGACGAAATCCACCTTGTAAGAGCCCTACAGTCAGCTACTCACAGATCCTTTCCGACCGAACTATGAGTTCAGCCACCTTGCGACCTTGAAATCAGCGGGTGGACTCTGACATCACGTCGAAAACAGTCAACGGCAATCAGAATTTTGGATATTTTCTGCGGTAATCATGTTTGAGTCCTCGTGCAAAGATATGGCGCAATCTTTAGTCGGCGACCGCCTTTCATCTTCGTGTTGCCTGTTCTCGAGGCCTGTACTTGGCCGTTCTCGCTAGAATTCTAAGGAGCTTGCTGGGTCCAAATTTTGTTCCCGGTAGCTCTGATCGAGAGATGTCCAGCCACAAGATTTGTCAGAGTTAGATACGAGGGTAAGAGACTTCAGCAGTTGCCGGTCACAGCCCAGACTAGTTGTCTTTCAAGTTGCATGTAGGTCTCCACCCATGTTCTTAATTTACTGGCCACTGCCACTTATCTTCATTCATTCATCTCTTGTCTAAACAGGAGGGTTTGGAGTATAAAGCAGGCAAGATATCACATCATATCCAGGACCACAAGAACCGACACAGTCACATCTACATTGCTACTCTCTAAATAAGCTTAACGTTACCTGGTATAAAAATCATGTCGTTTAATCCCTCTTCAACCGTCTCTAAATTCCACAAGTCTCACGAATCGACCTCTCACGACACTACAATGAACATCAACTTCATTGAACCTCTCAAGAATCCTTATCAACTTCTGCAACTTACATCCAGCCTCCCTGAAAGACATTTCATTCGCGGCTTATCTAAAGCAACTTTGCCGCTGGATACAATAATCTTTCCTTCCATACCTCAAAGTTCGGTCGTGCCACCTGTGTCGCACCAGTGTGGATATATTCGGCACTCGAAGGATAAAACTACAATATATGTATGTTGCCAATGCAACAGTCCAAGAGCAGTACTGGCATCACGCTGCGATACATGTCAACACTTTCTCTGTGAAAGATGCGAGCTCCATATATCTAAGTGAGCAACCCTCCGAGCTTGATGAGCTCAGTCCGTACGCGTTGTCTTGATCTTCTAGGACAAAAAAAGACGTTAATTCCAACATATACAAAAACGATATATCATAACGACATGAGAAATTGCGATCTTTTCGTTTGGGAGTTCAGACGGAGGTACATCTTATATTTTCCAGATTATATTACTTAGTATATGCGTATTAAATTGCGCTGGATTTGATTGTCGCTCATCTGTTTCATATATGCTGCCAAGGGAATTCAACTTTACGGTCATTACAAGGCTTACTTGTTCTATCAAATAATTGAGGAAAGCGTCAAGCGTCCTGACTTCGACAAAACACCTGATCGAGATGGTGAAAATGTTTTCGTCAACACGAAATTGACGTCTTAGCACGGAATCAACCAAACGATGTTGAATCGCTGTCGAGGCCGCCAGGATCCTTGCAGGGTTGCGCAGCTCCAGTTATAGGGCATGTTTTATGATCAGAAGGCTGCTGCCCCACTCCGAAGCATGATAATGCCTGTTTCTTCGTATTCATTTTTTGGGTCCTCCTGACGATGATGTGCTCAAAAAATATTCTTATGGACACATACATAGCACATCCGCGAACGGCAAGTAGCATGTCAACACGCTGAACATTGTGGTCAAAGTCAGCAACTTTGGCTAAAGAAAAGTATAAATCTAATTCGCAGCTTTACAATAAATACTTAGCTTTGATTTGTTCTCATAACACTGAGTGGATTGTCATGCTTGATCATAGTCTCGTTCCGTATCATGCAGTGGGAATAATGCCGACTCTAGGGCTTATGCAAGCCATTAACTATCTCAATTTTAGTGGCAAGCCCGCTTTCACTTCGTCACGAGAGGAAGCAAGTATGGGATACATGCATGATCTGTATGTTGAGGTGGCCCGAGGCTCGCCTGTTGAAAATTAAATAGTAACAATTTTTGTCGTCGCAGTGATGTCTCATGTTGTTTTACAATGCGTTTGCTACCAGCTTGCAGCTGACATGCTCTCTATGAATCAATCCTGCGCAAATGCTGCCTCTAGTTGCGCAAGCCACTGCATGAGGGATCATCGTTAATTCGCCGGATAGCAATCTCAGAGACTGATTAAATAATTAGGGTGCAGATAAAGAAAAGTATTTGAATTTAGACCTACATATTCACGCTATAACATGGTATATGCGCGATCTTAATTTGATTGTGTCACAAGTTTTTCTTCCTGCATAGACTCCACAACGGTTTACGACGATAGCGTTCTCCAGGAAGCGACAGTTCGCAAATTACCGTTTATTAAGGAGCATAAATTTGAAGCTTCGACGCTTGGAAGCCAAAGACGGGATTTATAGCCAAGCTCCCCCGAGGCCATGAACACAGTCCCCTGTGATGGAAAATCACCCCAACATCGCCTCTACATCAGCATCGATTCCACTGCCATCTTGAAAATCTGCAAACTCATCCTGGACCTCCGCGCTCTTGCTCATCTTCCTCCTTTTGGGCGCCGACTCCATAGGGCTCGCTTCACGTGGATGTATTGCTAGACCCGGAAGGGCTCCATTCGAACCTGTGGCAGTCATGTTCATGTTTCCCGGTCCGTCCATGAGCACAGCCGTTTGTGACAATGATTCAAATGGAGGCGCCACAGGTTCAGCCTCGGAATTGTGCGGTATCTCTGGGATTATATCGGCCCCTTTTGTGGAGACAAGACCCTTGGGGCTACCAACTGGAGTAATGCTCTCAACAGGAGGTGGGGTGAGTGGCTCCGCGTCCGGTCTTGGAGGGTCCTGATCCGGGCTACCTGAAGTCCCGTTGTTCGTTAGAGGCACGAGGCCTTGCAAAATGCTGGCTTCGACCTCTTGTTTCTTGCTCTCTGCGTCTACTTTACGCGAATTTATATCACGAAGCTGTTGCTCCTCCAATGCGAGATCCGCTTTGTTTTTGGCAAGTAGCTTCTCGAGCCCTTCGACTAGTGATTTGCGAGCTTTAAGAGTCTCTGCTACAGCACCCTCTGCATTGGCGAGAATTTTCAAAAGTCCTCCCAGTTTTCCGGCCTTACCCGGGAGCGTTGCAGTCGCGTAACTGGAATCAGCATTGAACTTCTCCCACTCAGCCTGCGCTCCTTCCGACGCCGGCCTCGAAAGGGCTTCCGCTTTCGTTAGTGCAGCTTGCATAGTGATAAGGGCCTGGTATTCTGGCGGCGCTGATGAGGCTGAAGATGCGAAGAGCGAGCCTCCCAGCCCTCCTTTTCTTGTACCACCCCTTGCTCGATCGATCTCTGAGACCGCAAAGTCAGTGATTCAGTTCGAGCTGGAGAAAGGATGGCTTCAAAAGGTAGATTTACCGTTGATCCTGTTTTCGATATCTTGCTGGCATGCTGGATCGAAGATTTGACGCTGGCGCCAAACGTCAACGACGCGACGTACTTTCTGTTGAATGTCGAGGGAGGCGCCTTTGTATGCTGCTGCTGTTGCCTCTGCGATGATCTTTGAATATTAGGACAGTACCTTTCAATTTCATCAGAATCACTCTCACAGGTTGGAATGCCGCAACAAATTCGATCTTTTTGCGAGCTTTCGACTGCTGAACAACTTCTGCATATGTCTGGTAAGCAAATTATATCAGTGAAAAGGTATTCTAGCGCTTACCATTGGCGAGATAGATTAGGTTCAATCTTTTTGGGGGTGGGCTCTCAGTGATACGTTGGTTCCAAATCTGAGCGGTCCGTTCCGCGTATCTCCTGTAAACACGCGTTTGAGTCAGCCTAATCTCGCGGTCGAGCAGCTGTCCATCTCCAGAATATGGAAGAGGAACAGCATCAATTATGAACGGAACTAGGCTGTACCTATGGAACATAATCCACTGCGCGACAGTCACGATTGCCTCTTGAGTCTCGTTTAAAGCAGCCAGCTTTGCCTTGACGGCATCCTCGTTGTACGCCATTGTGACGAAACACGCGGACGACAGGAATGGTGACAAATTCACGACGCTGGAGGAATGTGTCTATCTATTTTCCCGCCCGTCTTTGATGATGCCTTTGAATGTGTCAACGAGAATCACAGTCACGCGACGACAATGAGTTGATGTTGGGTTGTTTCTGACGCAACTGGAAACAGAAAGGTCATAGCCGGCTACAAATGGACTAGCGCCTGTGGCCTTAAAACTAGGTGTAATGTAAGGCTTTAAGGCAAGTATTGCCAGCTTGCCTGTCGTCGCAGTCTTGTCTACATTAACACCTTACCTTAGTAGTTGCTGGTTCTATAATTCCTTTTCAACAACTGTGCAAATACTATTTACTTCAGATATTGGCTTCTGTCTACCGTCTGTAGTGTAATTGACCCCAATATGGCCGACCGATTCCCTTCCATAGAAGACTTCGATGAAGGTACGCATCTTAACTTCTCGCCCCCTAGGGACACTCTTCGCTTACCTGCAACTCTGTTGCGCAGGCCAGACCGAAGTTCGCGACGTTCCCGCAGATGGCGCATCGAGCTTCCTTGAGCGCGAGAGGGCTGCACTAGGCGATGACGCTGATTTCTTTGTCTCAGAGGACGACAAGCTGGCCTCCGTCCAAGTTCCTGGTGATGACCTGTTGGGTGGCGGTAGCAGCTTCCCACCTGTTGATGGCGAGAAAGACGAGCTTTCTGGATTTGAAAGCTCTTTCCCCGTTATCGACACGACAAACGAGGTAAGCATAAATGTATTGTGTAGCATGATCAATTATCGCTAACTTTCAGTCAAGCACATGGCCCCAGGTGGTACAATAACAGGCCATTCCTTCTTACCTGGCGCACCAAACTCGTACCCGGCCCCCTCATTTTCATCACAGCCAATCGAGGATTCAGAGCCCATAAGGCAGTGGCGGGAGCGGAGAAATGCTGAGATTGCTCGTCGTGACGAGATCTCACAAGCTAAGAAGGAATCCACGATCAAGGAGGCACAGCAAGCGCTGGATGATTTCTACAACAACTATAATGACAAGAAGGAAAAGAATATAGCACAAACGCGAAGAGAGGCTGAACAGTTCCTGGAGAGCAGGGATGATACCACAGCCGGCGGCACAAGTTGGGAACGTATTGCGAAACTGGTTGACATAAGCGGTAAAGGTGCTAAAGGTGGTGCAGGTGGATCTGGCAAGGAGAGATTCCGAGAATTGTTGGTGAGCTTGAGGAAGGATGAGAACGCGCCAGGAGCAACTGGTATCTAAATTTTTGGACCGATGTTCCAATTACGCCGTTAGGAGCAATACTCAATCACTTGTCCGATTTCCATGACATTCGCATAGGCGTTAGGATTCTGAATGGAGCTAGACCAAGGAAATTTGCCGCATGGTCTTGTATAAAATCGAGCAGGGTTTGAAGAGATTCGTATACAGACTTCGCCTATCATCTTGCTTGGGCAAATTTTTCTTATATCTGTTCATTTTCATTTTATTTTTCGTTGTCTCGCAAATACGTACTTAAAACTACTTTGAATGTAATGCTGGCACAGTACCTCCGAGCTGCCGAAAAGATGACGCCGAAAGCAGCTTGAAGTAATGTCCATGGGGACCGTACTCGAACATGTTCCTGTCATTAGTCTTCAGTAGCAAGATTCGTTACTGTGTTAAGGTCTCAGAGTGTCTCCTTATCACCTCATTCCTACATTCAATACGTTCTGGCATGACAGCGCAACTCCGTGGAGATTGATGCGGCCTGCTTTTGGACCTACCGAACACGGACACAGTTCCTGTGTGTTATTCTGTATCCAATCAACTTTACATTCTTACGTTCACTTATATTTCGTGCAGTAGAAATTCATACCCGAATCTTGTCCTGCAGGTCTGTGGATAATTTTTCGATAAAACTGTGAAGAAATAAATAATTGCCGTCAGCATCATCTCCTTTTGATGTCTTATGTGTCTTACCGTATTTGGTAAAAGTTGTGGTTCAAACCTATTTACTTCGCGTCGGATACAGCTTCCAACGACGGAGGCAGCCCACCAGCCTTGCCTTGACTTTGAATTACAGAAGATATGTGAACAGAATTCCACGTCGGTGCAAGTACTTTGGGGTATGCACTCTCCTATTGCTCAGAGGCTCTTCTTTTCGGTCAACTGGGTGAACGGCATCTCAACTTCTTGAGATAACCAAAAGCCAACTCAATCTTTCACTTCTCTAACCTGATCTCTCTGATAATATGATTCAAAGTATACCTCAGTGAAGTACGTATTGCACTAATTTTAAATTCATTAGATCACTATTGAGTCAAACTATCGCTCTATAAGACTTCCAAGTCCTGGAACAAAATCTTGTAGATTCTTCGACTATTGCGAGGTTGAATTGCTTTTAAGTTGTTGATAGCCAGAATTAGCGCCATCTCCGTTTTGTTTGCGACTTTTAGTGAAGAGCTGATTCTTGGAGAAGGCCCAATAATAGATCTACTTAGTTCGCTGAGTCATTTCAAGGCAGTGAAGCGAACAAAAGTGCTCACTACAATAAGGGATAAACCCGCAATGCTTCGGAAGGGTGATTATATCTAAAGCACAAATCGTCAGTGGGGGCAAGCGTGGATGCTGCAGATAGAAAGTGGAAGCGGACAATGTCGGCGAGACAAAATCACATTACAGTGGATACATACCACGCAAGCACTGCCAGCTGTCAGATGAGCAGACGGGACATGAAGAATCGGACGAATAAGGCATAAGTTATACTTGCACGGCATGTCCTTTCGGTTCATTTGTGAACTCATTAAACCTGCCCATATGAGAAGCTCGACGACTGCATGGATTGCATGCACAACCACGTTTGAGAGCTGCGGAGCCTCAACAATCGTCCGCTCGGCACGTTTCAAGCAGTTCTTCCACTGCGCAAGACAAACATCCAGCATTGGTCATGTTGAGGCCGCCGCTTGAAACAATTGTGTTTTTCGTTCGTCATCTACCACAACCGTACGGACCATAACGGAATCTATCTGGACCATGCTGCGACGCGAGGATTGACGGTGCAACTTGTGACCGGTCGTATCCAATGCTCGGCGATGGCGGAGTTGACGCTTCCCTAGGTCGTATTTTTTCTTGACCGGAACACAGCCTTGACATTTCTTGGGCTGCGCTTTTGACCCGAGTCGCTAGCGTTGGTGCCGGAAGAGGCCACGCCAATTAATCAACTTCAGCCACAAGCATAGGTAGTTTAGCACTGGGATTTTCGAGGCGACAGGTCATTCGTGATGGAAGTAGAATTTCCAGGCGATGGATATCGTTCCAGACATGGCAGAGTTGAGCCTGGCTATCACCACTTACTGCGAGAAAGCACTCATCAGAAGGAGATCGTTGAGCCTATTTTTACACTGGCCTCATGCAGGCGCTGGCCAAGACGCGCACGGCACAACGCCTTCGGCCCAATGAAGCTAGACCTCGGCTGCTAAGCCAATCAGCAATCGGTTGCCATCAAGTGAACACTGCCTTCGCTTGACATTCCACTCGTGCTAGAACCTCATTTTGGCAAGCTGAAGCCGCACACGGCACAAAAAGCCACGATGTGTGCATGTCAAGACTTTGGATACGAACATGGATGGTGGAAGTGGAATCTCAAGCCATGTTCCTCGTTCGGTTTCTAGTCAGGAGGGGACGGCCTGTCGGTGTATATGTTTCGATGGCGGCATCCTCCAGCGGGATATTTCTCTTTGTCCGCAGCCCCTTCTTTGCTGCCCTCCTGACTTTCGTATCCCATCATTTTCACGATGAAGGGCATCGTCATTATTAGCGCGATTGCGCGCATTTCGTACGCGTGGGTTGACCCCAAGCCTTCCGTTACCGACGCTGTTGCTATGAAAGAGTTGGGGCTGGCAAGAGGCTTCAGTCCAAAGCCAACAACAGCACCGATGCATCGGGACTTGCTACGAAGACAGGGCTCGACCCAGATCTTGGGCTACGTGAGAGGCACTCTTGGGGCACTTTTACTACCGTGTTGCTTACTTCCTCAAGCTCGCGCCGGATAATACGTGTGGCTATGTTGACGGAATCATCGGTGCCGTGAAAACCTGTGACCCGACCGAAAACTGTGCCGCTGTGCTTGGTACCGATAGCTTCTACACGATGGGATGCTGCGGCACAGGGCAATGTACCATGTACGGCGCATGTTATGACTATGCATCCATGTCTGCGTGCGACCACACTTGCCAGCAAGACATAAACATCGTGAAGTGGTGAGCACACCAAGGTCTTGATAGGATGCACAAAATTCTGACCAATGTTGCACAGCGCGTCCGCTGCTTACCCATACTGTTACGGCTATAGTGTGCCTGGTATGAGCATGGGCTTCTATTCTTGCGACTCGGTCAGTGCCTCAACATTCGACGTGTTTGAGACAACCTTTAGTGGCGAGACCAACGCGAAAACTTGGACAGCGCTGCGAGAATCAGACTTCTCGTCATTGCTTGCCTCCGACGTTAGCTCTGTGACCGGCTCAGGCTTGCGCTCGGGAGGTATCACGCTAACAAATAGCGTTCCATCATCTAGCAGCACGGTATCTTCTAGCAGCAGCTCAACAGCGACTCAGATCATTTCGAACGATAAGAAGAGCACGCCAGTTGGTGCCATAGTGGGCGGTGTCGTGGGAGGTATAGCTGTCCTGGGCGCAATCATCGGCGCGGTTGTATTCTTCTTGTTGAAGAACAAGAAGAACAAGCCTGCCCCGGTAGCTCCCGCAGCGCCAGGAAATGATCCGCATATGTCGCAGTATGGCGCACCAAATACCACGCCGGGAGGACCAGGATACTACCAAGCTCCTGGCGCTGGAAATACCGCGTCTGGCTATTTCGCCCCAGCCACTGCAAAGATGGACGGTTCCGACACAAAGTACGGTGGCCAGTCAACGATTATCGAATCGAACGTGCCCGCTCTGACTCCCGCGTCACCGGCACCTGCGTACAGTGCGCCTGGCGAGCAAGGAGTTCAACAGCCCCAGATGCTTCCAAGTCCAGCAGGCAGCCCACCGCCACAAACAGACCCAAGGTTTTCGGCTGTATCACAAGCTCCCTCTGCATACGTGCCTCCGGGTTATCAAGCGCCGCCACAACATACATACGCTCAACAGCCTGCTGCGCCCGTTGAGCTGGGAAGCACTTACGCCATCCCGACCCAGCATCAAGGACGACCAGTGTATGAGGCGGAATAGCTTATAGCTTCCTAGGCGCTTTTCCACTTCATTATAGGTCCAGACTTGTGTGCATTCCCCACGCTCATTTTTCCGATGCATGTCTCGATCCTCTTCGCATTGATAACTCATCGGTGAAATTACGAAATGAGCCAGTATTCAATCTCTTTTCAAATTTGGTGGCCGCGTATGTACAATTAGTATATAAATGTGGCCTGAAAAAGAGTCTTGGCAGAGATGCGAATGAACAATGCAAATGCACGTTCACTAGTGGCAGCTCTTCGTGTTAAGAGCTGATCAGGGGGAACTAACGCACTGTATTCATCTGATCCTCGAACTTGACGGCATAGCCTAATTGGCATCTCTCAAGCATGCATATGCCTCGAGAAATGAAAATATAGATGCATCAGACAACCTTCGTACGTTACACACCGTGATATCAGAGTGGCTGTATGCTATAGAATTTGCCTTCAAGCACGCATCTGGGTGACTTTAGGCAAGTATTTTATCCCTGTAACTGGACATGTGCTGTTAAACGTGCTCTCTGTACCGACCACATGGCCATCTGCGATTTTGCCAACCCAATGAAAGTAGTACCACACCTCGTTTAGGCTGCCGCCTTTATTGCATCCAATGTGTGGAGTATGGTCTCCTGTCGCACGTTTTAAACATCTCTCTATGTCGGCCAGGGCGTATGTTACATTGGGCGAGGGAGAGATGCCACAATTATTGAGAAAGACCCATGTCGGAAGCGTCTCAAAGAGACGCACAGTCGAGGTGTAATAGTCGACAACTTCTTGTGCACGTGTGTACTGAGAATAGCAGCTGGAGCGGAGGGTGCTCATGCAAGTGCCGTGTTTGGACCATTCATGTGCCCAAAGGTCAGCATCTGAGCCATTGACCGTTGTTACTGGGGCGTCATTCTGAGTTCATGGTCAAAATTCATGTTTCTAGATAGATCGGGAGGCGTAGCTACGTACAAGCCACATGGTTGACATATAATCCAAAAGCTGATCCTGGCCGTATCTCTTGAGGATTGCTGGAATATTTTTATAGTCTCGCGATGCATCGCAAGACGTAGGAAAAGATCCTATGTGTCCATCATTGGTATCTCCTTCAAAAGTTCTGCGAAGGCGCACAAGCTCACCGTTGCAATAATCTCCCCATAGGCCGTGAATCGTCCAGCTATCACTTGGCCCAAGTTCAGGGTTGTATAGTTGGGTGAGCAGGAGCAAACCGCCTGGCTTCTCGACACAGCACGAATCCACCAAATTTGCCCCAGATGAACAAGACAGCGTCGCGAGATCCTTTGCAGTACACAGAGGTGTTACCGGTTTGAGACCTAGAGGGAAGGCGAAAGCATAGCAAACAGATCCAACAGTCAGCGCAACCGCTGCGATCTTTAGACGTGGCATGATCCTCAAGGGCCATGACTGCGAAGGCAGATGCCTAGATTCGCCAATTCCCCTCAAGGGATATACGAGCTTAGAACTAAAGTCTCTCGGTGATTGCGGTGGCATTCGGACGGCCTAATCAGAGTAGCCAAAGTTGGCTACCTGACTGGAACAAAGATCGAGCGAAGATTTAGGAGTCGACGGGACAAACTAGAATGAAAAGCTTTTACATTATGCGAATTGCAGCATTGATCTTTCTAGTTATCATAGACCGCACTGAAGAGGCTGATTTAATTTTGGGTGGTCTGTTTCTTGAATAAGAGGCCGCCGCTTATGGGTTCTGCCGCCGCTTAGAATAGAACTAGAATAGAACGAGAATAGTGCTAAAGCCAGGGTGTTTGAATTGCATGACGTGGGGCGGCGAAATTTCCGACTCTGAAATTTTGGGCATAAACTCACACGTTCTGCACGAGAAAAGCTCGATTGAACGGATCTTTTTCGCGAAACATCGTATTGTCTCGAACTAGGCGACTGCGATTCGCCTCTGACGGCAGATTTTGCGTAGACAGCAAATCTTTCGGCCGAAGACCTCGCATTTATAAGCAATAGATCTCCCGCGATCAACCCCTCCGTTTCTCAAGCAGCGAGGAGCTTAGTGCTTAAAATACTGCGCATCTTACTTCGTAGCCGATCCGAGAACTAATTTCGTAAATATGTCAGCACACAACCCTCATGATGAGGTGTCGGATGACGAGCCAGACGCAGACGACAACATGTTAGGAGCAGATGAGGTGGAGCAGGAGATCGAGGACGATGGTGACGTTCAAATGGACTCTGGTGACGAGGAAATGCAAGAGGATGAAGTTATTCTACTTCAAAATGACAGTGTGGCTCATTTTGATGGACATAAGGACTCAATATTTTGCATAGCGCAGCACCCCACCCGCCCGGAAATCGTTGCGACAGGCGGCGGTGATGATCTAGGGTATATATGGGACAGCACACCACCACCAGGCCCTGTACTTCCTTCTAGCTACGAGACAACTCCTCAGCCTAGGGAAAGGAAAGGACAGGATATAATTGCGAAGTTGGAAGGCCACAAGGACTCAATCAATGGAATTGCGTTCACGCTACCTAAAGGTGAATACGTCGTTACAGCCGGCCTGGACAGCCAAATAAGAGTGTGGCACGACAAAAAAGGGGATGGGACAGGCTGGATTTTTCTAGCCGAAGCGACAGAAGATATTGAGGACATAAACTGGATCGCTGCTTGCCCCAGTTCGGATCACCCAAACACCATTGCTCTGGGTGCTAGCAATGGCAGCGTCTGGGTCTACACCATAGATGCAGCGGAAACCTCCTCGCCGCTCACTCCCGTACAAGCTTATTATGTGCACACAGGGCCTTGCACAGCAGGTGCGTGGACACCTGATGGGAAACTACTCGCCACGGTGGCTGAAGACTCGAGCCTGTATGTCTGGGACGTGTGGGGTGATGCAGCAGCAGCAGGATTTGGGTCTTCGCAAGGCGCACAACACATTATTGGCCTTACTGGTGATGATGAACGCTTTCTTGTTGAGGGTGGCTTATACAGCATCGCAATCTCCCCAGGCGGCGCTCTGTGCGCAGTTGGAGGTGCCGAAGGCGCGATTCGAGTAGTTGGACTCCCACGTTTCAACGTTCCCTCCTCGTCAGAAGGCCAGAAGGGAACGGGCGCACGTACAAAACATGGAGGAGGCAAACAAGCCGCGGCAAAGGGTGCTGCGGGTAGCCAAGGTCAGGCTGGCCAAATTCTCGCAAGTCTACAGGCGCAATCAGATTCCGTAGAGACGATTGCATTTGCATTTCCTCCTCTCACCATTATGGCTGCCGGTAGTGTAGATGGCTCAATTGTTCTGTTTGACGCGGCCCATAACTTTGCAAAGAGGAGAAAGATCGAGGCTGCGCATGACGAAGAGGCTGTTATCAAGCTTGAGTTTGTGAAGCCGAGTGCTGGAGGAATGAACGGATGGATTTTGACGAGCGCGGGGAACGATGGAGTGATCAGAAGATGGGATGTTAGAGGCGGAACTGCAGCTGCAGCACAGGGTCTGAAAGGCGAGTGGAAAGGCCATCGAGGTGGAGGTGAGGGTGGAGGAGTGATGGGCTTTGTACAGGGCTTTGAAGGTGGTGTTCGTGTTGTGACTGCGGGAGACGATGGTGTTGGGTTAGTATTTGCCACACCATTCGATCGGTAGGTAGACATCTAAGGAAGACCATAAGACCTTGAACTTGAAAAAGAAAGTGTTACCCATCATTTCTACGGAAGCTATCATGTGATGGGCCGAGCTAACTTAGTTTCGGCCATGAGAGCATGAAACAAATGTGGACTAGTGGAAGTGCCCACGATTTTCCAGGCAGCACTTGAGAAATACACACGACGTAAGCAATCGTTTATGAATGCTTTGGACGTCCATTTGTTTTTTCCAAACGCTGAAGGCATTGGCTAATGGAGCTGGTGCAACGCCATCGTGTGCTGCCGCTGGCGGCGTTGGATGCAAGAGAGCAGGGTGGGTTCCGATCTCAATTGGTGTTTCGATTGCTTAACTCATTGCAGAGATGAGAGACTCAAATGGCGACGGCCATGATTTTGACGATGGGGCAGGCGAAGTTTCTGATTGGACGCCAAATCGAAAAAACCCCTCGAGGTTGGATTTCTCCAATCATGAATCTGGCGTGACTTCAACTGGGCTTGACATGAGGCCAGCAATATCATCAATGTTCAATTCACCCTCGTTTTCTCTGTCGAGTGGTATCGACCAACGCGCAATGCGCACTCTAAGCATCTTTTTTCACGAAAACCGACGAACTGCGCTGATCACGCCGTTGGAGTCCTCACTTACCTTTCAGTTGTTCCACTCAGAACCAGCTTATCGAGACTTTATGAGTGCCTTCATCACCCTTGTCCACGCCGACTACGAGCCTCCGGAACCGAATGCCAAAGTTTATGTTTATCAGTGTATACTCAATGGAATCAAACGCATGCGTGAAGCGCCCCACCAGATAGACGATGAAGCCCACGTTCGCTGTAGAGCTCTGCTAGCTCTACTTGAAGTTGTGAGGTGTCACGGTGGCCGCAATTTTCTTCCTATCGCCAAGGCGGCGATGACGTTATTCAAGGAATGGGAGCTGGATATGAAGAACACGACTCCTGAAATCGCGCTTCGAAGAAGAAACATCATTGCTCGCTACATACCCGTCCTGAGAACGGTCCAAAATCACGGGGCCGAAATCTTGGCAATCCAGCCGCCTCCTAAGAAGCCAATACTTCCTAATCCACCGCCGCGTCCCAACTTTCAGTCCAATTTCTTCGAATTCGTTGCGGGGATGGAAATGACAAATCTGATCAACGAAAGCTACGGACACAGTATTTATGAGCCAGCCAATCGAATCGCTTTATCCCGTCGACTTCGTGAATGGTATGAGATGTTCCAAGACGCAACTTCGCAGCCCGATTTGCTCAGTATGGATGACATAGCGCAAGCGCGTCTCTATCTTGCTCACTACATCCGCTGCACAATTCTCTTGGATGCTTGCGTAATGGACACGGAAACCCGCTATTCCAAGCACGACACCGACTTCTCTACTCTAATTGAGTGCATAGAACGTGTGTTATCTGGTGACAATTGGCAAAATGAGAATATGTGGCTAGGGATTGTGTGTCCCCTTTTTTTCGTTGCTGTTCACTGTCGCAGACGCTCAATACGGCACCGAGCCCTGAAATTGCTCGAGAGCCATGATATCAGAGAGCGCAGTTGGAACAGTAAAATTGCCTATTTAATCGCGAGTGCTGTCATTGCACTAGAATCCAACCATGACTCCGCGAGATCTCAGTGTGACAAACCTTTCGTACGCCTGCTCAAGGCGGACTTTAGTTCCAGTTCAAACTCTCTCATTATCAAGTATATTGACATGTTTACAAAGGAGCATAAAACACATAGTATGCTCATAATAGGTCAGAAAGACTTATCTCACTGTCGTCAACTACGCGTTTGGCCGCTAGTCGCTGAGGTTCGCACTCACGGCACAGCATTTACGGTTTGCCCGATTAGTGGACCATTAGCAAGTGCGGATGCCTCAATAAAGGACTTTTTAAAGTGGAGCAAGTTCATACTCATGCCGAAGAGATATTACATTTATGAAGACGTACAGAACGAGCCGAGTAATACTCCATGCTGAACCGCCATCAAGGATCAATCCCGAAATTCATGAAACCTAATTCATAGCTAATATATATATATATATATATATATATATATAGAGAGAGAGAGAGAGAGAGAGACTGATCATGACACCGAACAAATAATCTCGTGCTCTAGATGGCAATTTATCATAAAGGACATGCTATTTATTTTTATTTTCTTCGCAAACACAGTGCACCTTCAGCAAATTGTAAATTAGTCCTTTGGTGCCTGTACTCACTTCGCCAGGGGAACGGCATGAAGGTGGGAAACTTGAACAAATTTGATATCAAATTTCATGTCTGCAGCTTTCTATTCAAGAAATTACCTGGAATACATAATCTGTCCTATACTGTATAGAATTTGCTTCAGTGCAGCAGTGCTTTGGTTAACCAAACTTGTAGAAGTCACGTGAATTCAAGGCTGATCTAGAACAATATCGATCAAGAATCGACCCCACTAATTTGATTTGTACTGTTCTCCATTAGGCGACTACGCCCCACAATGCTCAATAGTCGTTTGATCCATTTTTGTTTAACCTAATACGCGATGACGTTAATGAGACTTGATCCTTGCGAGCAGATGGCTGAGATTGGAGTTACAAGACAAGTCGCAATTCTCGGTGATGTGTATAACTCGATGCCTTATGTTCAAGTATACATTTGAATCATGCTGAAACTAAATACGCCTTATACGAATGCATCAACTTATAATTCAGGACTCTAAGCCTCGGCTTTGACCATCCTCTAACAGCCGGAGGATTTTTTTTCGACAGCCTTGGCTGATAGCATCGGTCCTGTCGATCCTGTCCCACAGTGACATCGAAGGCGCTGAGAGATATTTGCACGGCCACTCCACATGTGACGATAATTTTCACGTTTGTTGAACATTTACTTGTGCTCCATCTGTTACTCTTCCCAACATTTTACTCTAAATTCTTCTTCTTTGTTATTATTATAGTTATCTCTCTCTTCCTGATACCGTCGATCTACTTCTAGAAATGAAGATTTTCCTAACTACTCGTCAGGCTCAAACCCATGCCGACCAATTTTTGGATTTGATATCTAATCCTTTTCAAAGTCAAATTCAGGTCAATTCCATTTACGCTTCAATAATTTGGGCCTTTGCAGTTTCTGGGGCTTTGTTTTTCCTCTTTGTTCTTCTTCGGCCACGGAACAGCAGAGTATATGCACCACGAGCAAAGCATGCAGACACTCGACATGCCCCCGTGCAGCTCGGGAAGACTCCTTTTGCCTGGATTCGAGCCGTACACAGGATTGATGAACATGAGTTGGTTGAGCGATTGGGTCTTGACGCTGTTGTGTTTCTTCGTTTTCTTCGCATGCTGCGAGACATTTTTCTCATCTTCACGGTCATCGGATGCGGTACGCTGGTCCCACTGACTTTGGTAGGAGGGCATTCACTTTACAAGCAATGGTCTAGTGTGGCAACCCTGATGAAATTTACACCTCAATACATCTTCGGGCAGAAGTTTTGGGGATACGTTGCAATAGCCTACATTTTCCAGCTCGTTTTGTTTTTCTTCATTTGGAAGAATTATCAAGCCGTTCTCGTCTTAAGAAGACGTTATTTTGAATCACGCGATTACCGGTTAAGTCTCCACGCTCGGACGTTGCTGGTGAGCCCCAAAAAGCTCTTTCAAGACTAGAAATCTAACTTAATATCAGATCAGACATATTCCTAGTGCTTATCAGAGTGATGAAGGCTTGCATCGGATAATCCATGACATCAAGTCGTCCTATGACGTACCAAAGGTTGTGGTAGCCCGAAACACGGGAATGCTTCCTGATCTCATAGAAAAGCACGACCAGGCTGTTAGACAACTGGAAAAATATCTCGCAAAATATTTTTCGGACCCAAGTCGATGCCCATCAACACGTCCGCAGTGCAAAGTTGCAGAAGAGGATCAAGGAATGTATGGCCAACTCAGGGCCGACGCCATTGAGTATCTGCAGTATCGTATTAGACGCCTACGCCTGGAGATCGACGAAATGAGGCAAAGAATTGACTCAAATGATACCTTATCTTTTGGATTCGCGAGTTATACGCATATTGAAGATGCTCATGCGGTTGCGTACGCCACCCGAAAGAAAGCTCCCCATCAATCGATCATTTCTTTAGCACCGAAACCACACGATCTCATTTGGCAAAACCTAGATATGTCGCGAGCAACTCGGCGAACCCGCCAATTTTGGGACAGTCTTTGGATGATCTTGCTCACGATCGCATATGTTCCAGTCAACGTTCTTTCTGCCGTCTTCTTGTCCGATTTTTCGGTAAGTACACGGCGAAAGCACCCCGGATATGTTCCTAGCCCAGATTTCATTTTTGTCGTTTTCTTCACTACTTCTGGGCGACGACCTGTGATTTCAAGCTAGCCCGGCGTCCCAACAAATCGCCAAAGCTGTAAACAAGTTTTACTAATTTTTCGCTCAAGCATCTCGGACTTCTCTGGCCCGCATTCATGCGTAACCTTGAGGCACACCCAGTCAGTTGGGGAATCGCGCAGGGTATTGTTGCTCCTACTTTCCAGTAAGTTTGCTTCTCAATATGGATAAAACTTGTTGTCAGAAATGTGAAATCGAGAGCAAAAAACAAAACTGATGCTCAAAACTTAGATACTTGATCTTCCTTGGATTGCCTTCATTGTTCAGACGTCTGTATAATCACGCCGGGGACACGTCAAAAACATCGCGAGAGCGTCATGTTATGTCTCGACTTTACGCATTTTTCGTGTTCAACAATCTAATAGTGTTTTCGGTCTTTGGATCTGCCTTCCGTTTCCTTGCGTCGGTAATCGAAGCCCAGGATCAAAGTGTCTGGGACGCTATCAAACACGCACATGTCTTTACAAATCTGATGGCTGGACTCTGCAACGTATCGACATTTTGGCTCACGTATCAAATGCAACAAAATCTTGGAGCAGCAGTTGATATAGCACAACTGATGCCTTTATTACTTGGCTGGTTCAAACGCAAGTTCACACATCCGACTCCTCGTGAACTCATCGAGTCAACTGCGCCACCACCACTTGACTACGCTAGCTACTATAATAGTTACCTCTACGTAGCTACAGTCGGCATGGCCATAGGCATTCTACAGCCAATTATATTCCCAATCACGGCTTTCTATCTCTTTATCGAGCTATTTTTCAAACGCTACATGCTACAGTACATTGTCATAACAAAGATCGAATCTGGAGGCTCCTTTTGGCGCACAGTTATAAATCGCCTGCTGGCCGCGAATGTCTTTTGCAATGCAGTTGTAGCCCTGATTGTTGGAGCTCAAGGTGTTGGCTCACACGACTTAATTCAAGATGAGGCAGCGAACGCCTCTATGCTTTACGCATTAATACCCCTTCCCTTCCTAATTTGGGCGTTTAAATGGGTCTGTTCACGAACTTTTGATGATAAACTACGGTACTTCTCGACGGTGGCGAAGTCAGACATGGAAGATGTGGATCATATGCTTCGAAAATACAGGAAAAACGATAGGGTTGCCGTGCGATTTGGCCATCCAGCGCTGTACAAAAAGCTTTTAACGCCAATGGTGGATGCCAAGGCTGAAAACATGCTGAATCAGGTATTGTCACCAGATTTTCAAGATAAGTCTATCGCTGGAGGCGCAACGGCTTATTCCAGGCTTGGATACAGCGATGTTTTTATAGGAAATGCAGAAGACGGGCAGAAGCCTGAGACTGGTGGGAACGCTGAGATGGAACAGCCTTTTGAGCTTGTGCAGGAAGAGGATATGGACTTTGAGAAATTCAAGCGCAGAGCTGAGTTCAGGGACGAATTTGGAGGCGATGGTGAGCTCTACGGGAACCCTGAGGATTTAATCAGCCGCAGCGGTACTCCATCTACCTTGCGTACGCTGACGCCAGATTTGCCGAAGGAATTCAGAAGGAAGCCAGTGGAGCCAAGCCAGCTTCAGGGAGTCAGCTTGCCGAAGGACGAAATGCAGGATGTTGCAATAAGTGAAGGTCACGAAGATAGTGTTTTCCAGCCAACTTCGGCGCTGCATGAAGACAATGGGAGAGCGAGCTCTATTGATATAGATTTCCCAAGACCTGAGCTTGATAGCCAGGAAATCTTCACAACTGCTCTTGCTCACGGGCAGACTAAATAGAAAACGCGCGATTACAGACAATTTATGTACTGTCAACTAGATATTAGAAGTAATGCAACGTACAATGAGGGATATTGGGAAATGAGGCTATCGCAAAACTTGCTTGAGTTGTCAAAAGCACGTGACTTAGTGGTCCTGCAAAGCCAGAGCTCTCTTCCCTCTCTCGCCTCTCTCCCCTTGGGATCCGCTCTCCTCCAATCTACACAAAATCTACAGACATCCCTCGCCTCGGCAAGGTCTGCTCAACCAGCATCGTTTTAACATGGTGCCTCGTCATCCATGTCGACATAAGAGCAGATATGCTATCAGCGGTTTACCGGCAGTAGTCGATTCCTGAAGCGACCATGTAACATCGCGACATTGAGTCTCCACGGGGACCTGAGCAAATAGTCCGACGGCATCCGCGACGAACTATGCGGTCCTTTTCATGCCCGCAAGCACCGCCGCGGCATTATCTGCGCGCACCGATTCGATCCAGAAACGCTTATCGACGGTAGCATCGGACGCCGGCGAGAGATCGACATGCTTATCTGGTCGACCCCGGACACCGCGAGACCTTGCTCTCTCATTTTCTGCCTTCCACGCCCCCGCCCACGACGACAGCCCGTGGACGAGCAGGCGGCAGGCACGCGACGCTCGGAAATGCCCAAGATCAACGTGACGGCTCCTAGGGATATGTCGACGTTCCAATAGAGCGGCTGGCTTGGCAGGGGTACTTGACCGTGGCCTTCCTAATCCAGCCTAGCATCTCCGTTTCTTCATATTGGTCACAAAGCATGGTATCTGAGCTGCCCCGGAAAAAAAGACCAATTTCCAGGGGCTGATCTGTTTGAAGACACATTCTGGATGCAGATGTCGCGCCGAGCCCGTGATGGTTTGCTCTGGTACCGCGTTGGGCTGTTGCATTTGGGATCTCAGATGGATGGGACTATATTGTGCTCCTCGTCACACGATGTATCATTCCTCGCGCATCTTGATCTCCCAGCGACCCTTGTCTTTGTATAAAAGTCTTTCGTTCAGTCCTTCGCTTGAAGCATTCTTTTCGCGTGCGGAGCCGTCTTCATAGGCTTGCAGTATTTTTAGGAAGCATGACTACGAGGATATTTCAGGTCGCTGCGCTAGCCTCCAGCTGGCTTGCGACGTCATGGGCATACTCAGCCTTGGACCGTCCGAACGTGATCAACAAGATGATGAGGCCTCCCATCAGTGAGGATGCAAAGAACGTCGTCTCATCACACGCTACGTTCTCCCAACTCATAGATCACGCGAATCCGGACGCCGGCACGTTCGAGCAGTTTTATTATTATGGCACGCAGTATTGGAAAGGCCCAGGTTCGCCGGTCGTTCTGATGACACCAGGAGAGGTTAATGCAACTGGTTACGACGTGTTTCTGTACAACAACTACACCACGGGCAAGATCGCGGAAGAAATTGGTGCTGCTGTTGTGATTGTCGAGCATCGGTACTGGGGGACGAGCACGCCGTGCACAAATCTCTCGACAAGCTGCTTGCAACATCTCACACTCAACAATTCCATAGCCGACTTGGTACGCTTTGCCAAGGAAGTCAATCTTCCGTTCGACAGCGACGGCGTCAGCAACGCAGACAGCGTGCCTTGGATCATGGTCGGTGGCAGCTATCCGGGTGCACTTGCAGCGTGGACAGCCACATTGGCTGAAGGTACGTTCTGGGCATATTGGGCATCGAGTGGACCTGTGAACGCGATGAACTATTGGGAATACTTCGTTCCCGTGCAAGAGGGTATGCCAAAGAATTGCAGCAAGGACATCTCGCTTGTCATTGATCACATCGATGCCATTGGTCGCGATGGCACAGAGGAACAGCAAAAGAACCTACAGAAGATGTTTGGACTGGAGGATCTGGAGCACTACGATGACTTCGCTTCGTAAGTTTCTTGCTTGTTCCGACCAGGTGTGAATGGTTGCTGATCGAGACCAGGTCGCTGGAGAACGGACCATGGCTGTGGCAAGGAAACACGATGTACCGCAACACCGGCTTTTTTGACTTCTGCGATGCCGTGGAGGGCGTGAACAGGAACGTGAGCCAAGCAGCCGGCATCAACGTGACCAGCACCGCCGTCCCCGGCGAGGAAGGTGTCGGCTTGCAAAAGGCGCTGGAAGGATACGCAGCGTGGATGAAGTACGAAATGATCCCTGGCTTCTGCGCCAGCTACGGCTACGAGGAGTGGTCGGCCGAGAACAGTGTAGGCTGTTTCGACACGTACAACGCAAGCAGTCCATACTACCGTGACTGGAGTCTCAGCAACACGTTCGACCGGCAGTGGGTGTGGATGACGTGCAACGAGCCGTTTGGCTACTGGCAAGACGGAGCGCCTGCAGACCGGCCGTCCATTGTATCTCGACTGGTGGACGAAAAGTACTGGGTGCGGCAATGCGGGCTCTTCTTCCCGCCCGAGGACGGTGCCGAGTACGGGCTCGCTGCGGGTCGTACGTACGGCGACGTGAACGCGCTGACGGGCGGCTGGGACATCAAGGACACGACACGGCTTCTGTTTGTCAACGGACAGTACGACCCATGGAGGGACGCTGGGGTGTCGTCCGACTTCAGGCCGGGCGGACCGCTGGCGAGCACGACGGAGCTGCCAGTTCTGGTTGTGCCCGGAGGCTTTCATTGCACGGACCTGTCGCTGAAGAACGGAGAGTACAATGCAGGTGTGCAAGCGATCATAGATGCGGGGATCAAGCAGATCGTGGATTGGACGGGCGAGTACTACGAGAGCGGGTATGGCAATGGCTCGATCCGTGATCGACGCAAGTCCAAATGAGTGTAACGTCATGAGAGAAGAAAAAAAGCTAGTTTAGCAAAAGAAACGAGAAAAAGTCAGACCTGCTCTCTTTCTTTTTTCCCCGGCTGCCAGAGTATTGCGTTTTGTGCATTCCGCCCGCAGCGCACCATGTCGAAGAGCACGTCATGTGGTGTCGTGTAGCCGCCGAAGCTGCACAGGCAAGCAGAAGCGACAGGATGCGAGTGGGTTTCGTCGCGGCCACGAAAGGTGTGCGATGCCAAGGCACACTGCCTGCAGCGGGCGCGGCAGCTCGCGTATCTTGCATCTCGAGCTGGGACGCCTCATGGAAGCCCTCTGGAAGGTCGAGAGCGGGAACGGACGACCACTCGCCGGCGTGGGCGTGGACGCCAGCGGCCGGAGAAAAAAAAAAGGTTGGCTCTCTGGTTCATGATGCCGTGGTGCGATACGGTGCGATACGGTGCGATGCGACGTGATGACGCTCTCGTTCGCACCCGCACGCACAGTTTCGCCCTCACGCTCACGCTGAGGCTCAGCCTCGCCTCCTCCCTCGCCCTCTCGCTCGCCCTCTCGCTCGCCCGCATTTTCCTCCGGCGCTCACAAGCGCACTCGCCCCCACCACAACGGCCGAGGGCCGCGAGGTTTCGTCAACAGCAAGCCAGCCAAAGTCGCCGCGGGCACCGTCGCCACTAAACCGCAGGGGGCCTCCCCGCCTCCACTGGGTGGGCCCACCACGCTAAGAATCATGCCGACCTGCCCCATCAGCAGTTCGGAGACGGGCTGCAATCAAAGACGTCGACTTCAGCTGTGATGATCGGGCCTGCGCTACGCAACGCTCCGCAACGCAAGCGACGTCCTCGCCGCTCCGTACACAACCACATGCCTTCCCCGGCAATTTTTCCACACCCTCGCCTGGTGATGGTCGCATCCGCTTCTCCCTCTACCGTCCTCCCGAGCGTCTGGCTCATTCGTATCCTCCGTCTTGCGCTCCTATCTCTCGACGCTAGGTGCCGATCGTCGAATCCTCGTCGGGGCCCGCGCTTCAGGGCGGTCTGAAAGAGGACTGTCATGACCTCGAGCTGCAGATCATGCCCCAAACGGCGCCCGGGAATTGTGACTGAAGTTGCATGCGCCGCCGGTTCGTGCAGCTCGTCGGGCGCAGGAACCCTTCGTCGATGTGCAGGCAAGAGAGATGAATCCTGGACCAGCGTGGCCCGCGTGCCGTTGCTAGGCGTGATTCCTTGCCCGAAAGTCGACGTGCAATAATCAAGCCTCTGGCCGATAAATTGTGTACGCTTGCCAATCACCGGCACGTCCCTCTCCTTCTCGTCCTCGCAGCAAGCACTCCAGCTCACCCTTCAACTGTCTTCAGTGGCTGCCGCTGAGTTTGCTGCTACCGCTGCCGCTGCCGCTGCCGCTGCACATCGTCAGGGTGTGTTGTCATCGATCCAATCATGGCTCCCTCTTCGTTTGCCTCGCTTGTCTCGTCTGTGCTGCTGCTCTCCTCCGCAGTCCTCGCCTCGCCCATTGAGAAGCTGAACAGACGCCAGTACTCTGTCAAGAGCTTCCACAACGCTCCAAGGAAGTGGCACAGGCATGGAGCTGCCCCGCCAGACCATGTCTTGGAAATGCAAATTGGTCTGAAGCAGAGCAAGATTGACGATCTGCTGCAGCATCTCAACCAAGGTACGCGCGGAGAACCCTCCCTTCCCCCTGCTCGTGGCCTTGCTCGCAGCCGATCCGTTGGTCCACCAATGAAATCATCTTCGTCACCACCCATTAAGCGGGCATTCCATCGTCACCACCACCACCACCTCCTCCTCCTCCACCGCCCTTTTTCCTTGCTTTGCTGACCAAACCCGCTCTAGTGTCCGACCCCAAGCATGAACGTTACGGCGACCACCTCTCGGCCGTGGAGGTTCATGACTTGGTTCGACCGTCCGATGAGACCGTAGAGCTTGTTACCTCCTGGCTGGTGGAGAATGGCATCAGCCCGGACAGCTTGTCGTTCAACCGGGCAGGTGACTGGATTTCGGTCCATGTTCCCGTTCACCAGGCCAACAGGTACGCTGTGCGAAAAGATCACTGCCGCACTGATTAACTAAACGTTCTGTCAGGCTCCTCAACACCGAATACTCCATTTTCGAGCATGAAGAGAACGGCGCTTGGCTGGTTCGCACTCCTGAATGGTCCTTGCCCGAGTACCTCCATTCGCACATCGACGTCATTGAGCCAACAAACTCTTTTCTCCGGCCGCTGAGGAAGTCTCCCGAATCCAAGTCCAGGTTCGAGCATTATTCGTCCATCAATCACGAGGATGTCTCAAGCTCTATTGCCGCCTCTACCCAACCTTCCGGCAGCGGCTCTGGTCCGACAGAATGCAACACCACACTGGTGACTCCGGGTTGTCTTCGCAGCCTTTACGGTACACTTGACTACAAACCTCAAGCCACCGATAAGAACAGAATGTCGCTGGCCAACTATCTCGGCGAACTCAACATTCGTTCCGACTTGAAGCTCTATCTTCAGCAGTTTCGTCCGGAAGCTGTTGCCGCTGCAGACGAATTCAAACAGGTCTCAATAAACAACGGCACTCTGTCTCAGACCCTGACTGCTTACGATATTGAAAACGACATCGGCGTAGAGGGCGCCCTTGACGTGCAGACGATGCTTGGCTGTGCCTGGCCCACCCCTTTGATCACATATAGCACTGGCGGCTCTCAGCCAGGCTTCAAGCCGGACAACTACACACCGACGAACACAAACGAACCATACCTCGACTGGGTTCAGTACATGCTCAACCTCGATGACGACGAGATCCCATACGTTGTCAGTACCAGCTACGCCGATGACGAGCAGACCGTGTCGCCGGACTATGCTAAGCGCGTGTGTGAGTCCTTCGCGCAGCTCGGAGCCCGTGGCATCTCGCTCTTCTTTGCTTCAGGTGATGATGGTGTTGGACCTGACGGCAACTGCTTCTCCAACGATCCGCCATATGCCAGGAAGTTCTTGCCAGAGTTTCCGTCGTCTTGCCCGTATGTGACCACCGTCGGTGCGACTTACAAGTTCGATCCAGAGGTCGCTGCGTATGACGGTCGTTTCAAGACCCCCTTCGCCAGTGGTGGCGGCTTCAGCGATCTGTTCCCAGCACCAGAGTACCAGAAGGAAGCCGTTTCGAAGTATCTGAAAGAGAACAACAACTTCCCTCAGTATGCCGGTCTGTTTAACCCAGCTGGTCGCGCCTACCCAGATGTTGCCGCTCAGGGTGTCAACTACAGCGTGGTTTACAACAGCTCGGTCATTCCCGTCGACGGAACCTCGGCCTCCACACCAGGATTCTCTTCCGTCATAGCTCTCGTTAACGACGCGCTCCTTGCCGCTGGAAGGCCTACCATGGGCTTCCTGAACCCTTGGCTCTACGGCGGAGGCTACGCGGCATTTAATGATGTCACTTCGGGCAGCTCGATTGGCTGCAACGTGTCAGGCTTTCCCGCAGCAGAAGGCTGGGACGCTGTGACTGGTTTCGGCACGCCAAACTTCCCAAAGATTCTGGAGAACTTGGGTATTGGCAAGGGAGGGTATGGTGGCCATTACAAATAAAGGACAAGGCTGATGGACTTGAACACGGTAATTGCCTCGTCTGTTCACGAGGCCTACGAGAGCTAGCATCACAAAGGCATGTTTTAGTAAAAGAAGAATATCATTCAGGCATGAATATGACGAACTTTTACGCACCAAACTTGTGTAACGGTCCACATAAGTGCGGGATTTTCCACACTGGATGCAACGTTTCCACCAAAACATTCTCCCTATTTTGTATGTCACGACCATAAGTTCGACATGAACGGCTTCGTCCCTAGATGTTCTCTGTCATTCTTTCTCGCCCTTCCCTCTTTTCCCTTTCATTTCCTTCTCCAAGCAACACAATACAGCCACCAGAGACGCAGTTCGAGTTCTGCTTTTGCCTGGTGTATGAAACCAAACGCGCACAATCTGCTCGAGCACAGCAAAACAAGCAGGTCCTGCTTTCGGACCCGGAGGGATCGAGAGCGATCGAGACCAGAGAACAAAGAGCCCGAGACGGTTTAAGATCCCCCAGGAAGACGCCACGCACACGTTTCCTGGGCGCGTATCCTGTCTCCTCAACATCTCATCGTCAAGCCTTTTTTTCTTCTGCTCATCAGCAGCTTTTCTACACAACTTTCAAAAAAGGTGAGGAGAAAAGAAAACCCTTCTTCCAAAGGTTCCGTTTCGAAGATCCTGAGCGAAAGGCTGAACGTGCAAAGAATGGGCAACTGCCTCAGCAGCCGGAGAAAAACCGCCGCGGCGGCAGACAAGGGCAAAGCGGCCCTCTCGTGCCTTGAAGACGCCGCCGCCGCCGCCGCCCCTTCGCCTGTCGAAGGGCTGGCGTCGAGGGACAACAGCTACGGCAGGGCCTGGAAGGCCGCGCTGGCTTCCCGAAGGTGCGGCGTGAGAGACAGCAGCGGGACGTGGGAGGGAAGCGTTGCGTACGGGCACTTCCGAGCGAGGCAGCAGGCGCTTCTGAGCGAGCGCGAGCCGAGCTGGTGGTGAGACGCTTTCTCGCCAGGCCTCGTACTTGTTCCTTTTCCTATACGGGACGCCATTTTGGACGGCGGCGACGGGACGGGTCTCGCTCGCTTTCGTGATCGCGGTCGCTTTTGAGCGTTAATTATTTTTTTTTTTTTTGTTTTGTCAACTACCTCGTCGCGGTCATCACTTGTGACGCAGCGGCAAGGGAGAGAGAGAGAAGGGTCGAAAGGGGTGGCTCTCGCTCACTTCTGTGATTGCGATCGCTTTAAGCGTTTTGCTTCATCGCGGTCATCACTCGTGAGGGCAGCAGCGAAGGGGGAGACAGAGAGAGAGAGAAGCGTGGCTGTTGCTCACTTTTGTGATTGCGACTGCTTTAGGCGTTTTGCTTCATCGTGGTCATCACTTGTGGCGGCAGCAGCGAAGAGGGAAGGGAGAAACGAAGCATGGGAAGAATGGTGCTTTCGCTTTCCTTGTAACTCACGATCGCTTTAGGCGTTTGCTTCATCGCGGTCAGTACTCGTAGCGATGGCATTCATTTTGCAAGAGGGGGACCCTCCAACGACAAGAGATCACCTCACCGTGGTGTTGGAGTCCAGTAGCCATGATCAGCTTTTGATCGGGCGAAGCCAAGAATCTCTTAAATGCACACTTGCCGGCTGGCCCGAACATCAGTTCAGCGCTTATGGTTCGATCGAGTCGCTTCCGTTCCCTGCTTTGTGGTGCTGTGGCTTCTTCTCCTGCTGTTCTGCCCCAAATATGGCATGATCTGGAAGAAAGAAAGGGAAGCCGGTGACTCCAGAGCCGTAACGGGTATCCCATTAGAAATGCAGAGTTTTAGTGTCACGCTGAGCTTTTATACTATACATATGAACTAAATTTGATTGAAATTGTTCCAAAAAAAAAGTTTTGTTGCATTTCGACGGCTTTCACGAAGAAAGCAATGTAGGCACACACATAATTAATGGAATTCCATGGCTATGGTGTGCCAGTACAATCTCTATTGCATTGAGCTTGTTAACCGCCGATTGTGGAACAAACTGAGGTCATTCTTATAACACGCTCAATGTGGTCGCTTTGCTGGAGTTTGACCAGATTGACTGGTAATTTCAACTGACAATTTTTTCACGCTCCAGCGACATCAGAGCCGGGATTTCCTACTTTCGCGTTCCATTATACGATCATGTGCTCATTAAATTGCATGTTGGATTCTTCAGCGCCTCAGCATGCAACTTTTCATGGCGTGTGCAGTCGTTAGATGTGGTGAAACGCTTGCCACATACCGGGCAATGAAACGGTCTTTCGCCTGCATGAATTGGTGAGTGCGCTCTCAGAGCTTTCTACTTTCTCATATATCCCGTATTCCGTTGGTTGCAAACGCTTTCATAGGTCTTTGGTGCCTTCTTAGGTATTGAAAAGGTCTCAGATAAATAGCTAGTCTCGGAGTGGACAACTCTTGTGTGCTCTTCGAGGTCTTTTCCTGTCATGTAGCCAATGTTCTTCTCTGAGCATTCTCCGGCCGTGCACTCAAACGGTCTATTATATTGCTTAAATCCTTGATCAATATCCGCGTATGGAACTTATGTAGCAAAATTTGTTCATAGTTTACGTTGGTCCGATTCTGCTCGTGGTTGCGAGACGATGTTTTGATGTAAGATTGAAGAAATAGGTTATGTTGCTCCAAACGTGATAGTACATTTTTTAAAAAGATGCTTAAAATCGGTCCACTGTGACCGAAAGATTTGTGTCCAATGCCCTGTGCATACTAAGTTTGTTAATACTAGAAGAAGAGGGTCAGAAATACCTTTGCCTCTGCATATTCTGAAAGTCTGTTCATGAAACTCAAGCAAATCGCTGTAAACAAGACCGATGATTCCAGCCCATTCCGGGTTTTGTTCAAGGTGGCGAATGTACTGTTTCAGGTGGACGAGTTTCTCACCAATCTCTTGATATGCATCAAGCAAGTGATCTTGAACATCGGTCTTCTCGTTGCTGACCTGTTTTATGAGGTTGAAAATAAGGTAACTAGCTATGATTAAGTGTTGCTGAGATTTACATGAAAAAGCATGCTTCATAGGTCCCCATATATGCCAGCACGTTTGCTTCTACTCCCAGAATCTTTACTGCTTGTTCAAGCTGGGACATAGCCTAAAGAAATCCTGCCAAGGGCTTAAAATCCTGAGTACATATTTCTGCAACATCGCGTCTCTGAATTCTTTGAAGCTGAGCGTGTACGTCTTTTGTCGATGTTTTTTCGAATTCAAGTTTCTCTTTGTCTGATAAACGCTTTTGGAATATCGCCAAAGGCTGGTGAAAGCTGTCCCCTCAAATAAATGCCTGGAGCGAATGCCAGTCTAGAGATTCTTCCATCGTGAATAGCTTTTGCTCATAAAGAGGATTTTCTAGCTATGTAATATGATAATTCTAGTTCTCGCAGGAACCGAGTCAGTATCGATGCGCAGTAAGCGCGAAACATGGAATTAGGACCTGGAGAACTCACAGATATGAGTGTCCCAAGGCACTGCGAAATGACTAAGCTAGTCAGATCGGAGTGGTGTCGCCAGTGTGTTGCAAATCAACTTAGAGTCCTGAGGCTCAAGCGGATCAGGCAATTAAGTTCACGAGCTTGGTCCACATTTCGTTCCAGTCAACCGTAACGTTTGTAAAAACAGTCCTGAAAAGCAAGCGCACTTGATGATTTTGGATCATTATTTCATAATGCTTCTAGAGTACTTATAAGTGTAGTTTAATAAATGTCGTCGGATGTATACAGAACCATTTATGAGCGTCTCTTACCCTGGGCATCGGTTTGGGAATTTCTCGCCTCAAAGCACATTCCGCACCATGATAGTTAGTAGTTTTCCCCGCCTGTTCATCAAAGAGAAACCATTATGATTAGATAGATGACTGTCTCTCTTGAGACATTTTCTTGCTTCTCTATACCTAGCTCAGTTGCAAATCAAGAAACAAGAACGCCAGAGACATAAGACCATGCACTTTAATTTTGTCATAAAGTAACAAGGCTGCGCCTCTATTTTCTGGGCTCAGGCTGTCATATAATTTAATTTTATGAGTTTGGAATAAGATGTATGGTCATGACACAAAAAAGACCAATGTTTTGTGTTGCCACTTACGATCATCCACCGGTGCAGTCGCGCTATCACCCTATATGACAGAGGATCGCGCAAAATGACGAGGCTATGCTAGCCAACTTAGCTAGAGTCCACACACGCTAACAGATTTGCTTGCTGAGTTTATAGACAGTGTCGGGATACCCAACAAGGTAAGGTTTGTGGGAGTCTGAGATGAAAACCAAAAGCAGAAAAAAAAATGAGGCGTGTGAAGCATAGCGGAGTTGAACCGCTAACCTTCAGGATATCCCGAAGTACCGAAGTACTTCTCTGGAATCTGACGCGCTACCATTGCGCCAATGCTCCACGATTTGTGCCCCTTTTTGTTTCAGGGGAATACCAAAATGCATATATATATTACATCGCAAATTACACGACACGATGATATAACTGTGCTTTGTTTCTCTCCCAACTCTGCTTAGCGCTAACCTCCCCTTTCTCTACAACCGTATGTCGATACCACAACAGCGGCGTAATATTATATTGGACGACGTAGGAACGGATATGCTAGAAGCCCTTAGTTTCCTGAGCCTCACAGCAGTAACGAGAACCAACTTTCGCGAAGCCTTCTCGTCCCTTCACCACTTCCCTGTCGTGAGTCTCTCCTGGAGATTTCCATCACATCTGATTCTCCAATACGCACACGAGCGAACCGGGCTCTATGGCTTCGGGTTTTCTCCGTCCTAGAAGGTGAGCCATTTGTAGTCATCTCCTCCACTATTGAGGGGACTAGGGATCTCCCGGACCGTGCCGGTAATCATTACTACTGTCACATATTCGAACGCTGGTCCAGGAGGAGAAATGCAGGAAAATAGAGATGAGAAAAGCGATAAGGTTCACTTGAGATATGCACACGCATTTTGGACACAACAATGGACACCGTCTAAGGTGAGAATACGAATTTCCCTTTGCTGCTCATTTTGCAGAAGCTGGGTCCGAATCTACGAAACACTGCGTCGATGATTTCCATCGCTGAGTAAAAAAAAAAAGTTGCAGTGAGTAGCAAGGCAGAGCTCGAGAAAAGTTACGTACGTCGCAACTGAAAGGGATTGGTCGTGAGTGCATTCAGCGATCAGATCTGGACATATGATTGCATTTTGCCTAGCAATTTGTATTCTACGGCTGCCACTGTTTCCTGATTGAGCTCAAATCATTAGCTGATCAGGTCTGGGGTTTTTATTTCTCTTTTCTTGTAGTGCATTGCCACCCATCGTCCCGTCAATGCAACGTTCGCCATTAGGTTTGTAATACGTCGACTGGATTTCATCACGATGCTCATGCAAGATCACAGGTACACTGCAGCTACCAAAAGCTGCAGACCTGGTCCTTCAACGGCAGTTGGCTTGTCAGTTGTGAGCCCCGATTGAGCTTCCTTATCCATATTATACGGAATCTTCAGATGATAAACCGAATTCGGGCAACCCGTTCTTTGACAATGGTGCTGCGAATTGTGCACTTCAGCCCGCGAGGATTAAAGTTCATGAATCTTTGCTTCTATTCGAGGACCACTCCGCGCCTCGTGGGCCTTTTGACCCGATATTAGCTACCAAGGTCCTCCAAAGCTCTCGCGGCGACGATTCTTTTATATAGTTCCACCGCTCACATGAGCACCAGCCGTGTGGCAAAACAGACGACAGTGCCGCATCAAGGGAGACATCGCCCACTTCGTCCAGGACAAATCCGCAACGTCTAGCAGTGTTGCTTCTTTCCAAATTCCCAGGATTGATGCGCGTTCTGCAAGGCCAATGTAAGAGTCTGAGTTCTATGGAGGATAGTGCAAGCTTGGGGTCAATCAAGGGGATCTAGAAAATAAAAATAAAGATACAAATAGGAAGATAGCATCCTGTAGTTTATCTCAAACATTTTCAGTCTCTCGAGCACCTCCCACCTGTCCACAACACGCAAGGTTCGTAGGATTCCAGCCACCGTAGTCCAATATCCACACCCAGTCTCCTTTTCTTGCTCGATAATTATCACGTGATTTATTGCGTGCGGGATGGGTGAACCAACGAGATTCGTCTAAACGTGCGGAGTTGGGAACTCGCGAACGGGCCGGGTTCGTCGTACTTGAAGTTAGCTTCGTGAACTCAGCTAAAAAGTAAGTCCACTGTCGACTCAACATTTTCGTCACATAGAAGACGAGATGGGGCAAACATAAATGTTTGCGGATTATGCCGCTTCATACACCTATACTGTGTGCGCCCGGGAGCCGGAGCCGTGAACTGGCAGAGGTATCATATCGTTCCAAAGGCCCCCCTTGTCGTTCCCAGTTCCTCCTTACCCCACCAATTTTTTCCACAAACTCCAAGAAAATGATGTATTCTTCCATCAGAAAGGAAGATTCGAGATGTTGAGCCTCCCGCCATCCAACGCAGTGTACATCATAACACCAAAATCCCTCTACGCAGTCGAGGGGGTCTTGGAAAACGACTGAGAATCGTTGTTTTCCATCCAAATACTCTCTACCTTTAAGTTTTGGATTAGCTTTCCATCTACGACGTTGCTGTAACGCCTAGTTGCCAATCTCTACTCCTTCAGTCCCTCGTTGACGACCAGCTCGACCACAATCTGCACCCTCTCAACCTCAGGATGCTGCATGCTCAACTTCACAGTCCGGCCAGGGGTACTGCCAGCTTGCCCTGTTCCTACACTCTGCGCGGCGACGCCGCCTTGCGCGTCGTCGAGGCATTTCACATCCCGACCCCATATCACTTGTCGCAAACGCCCGTTCTGTGCGTTACGCACTTCGACGAAATCATTGTCGAATAACAGAACAAATTTGTCGTACATGGCCGCCGCCTTTGCCTTACCCACGAAGCCCATGATCACCGACCGAGAGATATCCCCGTGTTTGTTCACGTACACGGCGCACTCCTCGTAGACGCAGAGGAACTCCTGGTCCGACAGACGGAACATGCCCAAAGGCTTCTGACCTTGCAGTTTCTGCGCTATGGCTAACACGTGTGGTTGTTCGAGGTCTGGAATCGAAACGGGCTGCTTCTTGTCGAGTGTCATAACCTCGAAGCCCTTCTGTGTCGAAATCGCTAGCGTCGAATGAAACATGTTCATGCCCATGCACTCAGTGCCGATGTAGAACTCGTCGAAGTCTCTGAAAAACTCGGTTTTACCGGACTTGGCTGTGAGCGCGCTGGCAAAACGATTCTTTTTCTCGGTGCTCTTCTGAAACACGGGCTCAAGCACCTGTCAGCAACGCAAAAGTAATCAGCATTGTGCACCAAGATTCGGATCACATACTGCTAGTACCTTGAAAGTGCTGCTCACACCCACGTCACGCTTTTTGTAGAACACAAGCGTACGGTCTTTCATCCGACCCGTGTTGAAGAAGCCAACATCGCGAGATCCCGAGAGTTTCTGAGGCGCGCGGCGCGAATTGTCATTGGATGGAGGAACTCCACCGACGGGACATATAACGTCGAGGTGATAAGCTATGAGAGATTTATCGGAGATCAACAAGAAGAGAGAAAATTCCTCGAGGACGGCTATCTGGGTCACTTTCGGGTTGCTGATGACCTGTGGACGCGGTTAAGTTCTCGTATCGATCGGAAAGCATCAAATACTCACCCGTTGCCAACCACGGGGGTTGTCCATCTCAGAAATGTACACCCCAAAGTCAGTACCTACAGCAACCATCTGCTTTCCATATGGTTGCTGGAACGATGTTGCACAATTCACTCTAGCACGGCAAACTGGGCCGGGCCGCCCGGTGTTTGCATACATCTTCTCAACCTCGCGTATGGCACGATCTAGAGGAGTGCCCTTGATCGTGATGCTTTTCTGACCTGTTATAGGCCCCTCATACGCGAATGCTGAATCGGCAATCACGCGTAGCTTAAAAGGCTCGGCATTCTGCGCAAACAGGGCGGCAGCATGCTTTGTTTTTGCCTCGATGATCTTGTTGCACCAATCTTCGCGAGCCTGCTCGGAGAAAGCATACAAAGTATATGTCTCCTGCCCTAGATGCTTCAACCGGAAAGGATACAGGATTCTGTCGGTGTCTTTACCCGTATCGAGTGAGGTTACCGTTGGAGCTCCGGACGCGTTCGACTTTGTGGTCGTGAGTGAGTTGAGCGATGTTGACGTATTGCTGTGCTGAAGCTGCCCTGGCGCAGGGCTTCCTTGTGTAGTCTTGGTCGCTTTCGGATCCGCAGCCTGGATTTTCGCGACGCCCGCTCTACCAGTGAGAGAAGATCGAATGACCGGCGAGTCGTCCCTGCTCTCAAGCACTAGCAGATCCATAGGAATTGGGAAGCGCGAGACGTCATAACGCTCATATGTGCTTGAGTCATGTGGACTCCGTTCGCGCGTTGTCTTCGCTAGCACTAGGTAGTGGTCAAATAAGATGGCGTGCGTCTCGACCCAGTTGAACCTGGTGCCTCCGATCCTGAGTACGTCGCCCTTGTGCACGAGCTGGCGACCTAGGTGGTCCAGATTCAGCTCGACCCGACCTTCCATACCCGGCCGTAGCTTAAGTTTGTACTGCATATCGATCAACTCTGCCTTCCGCTGTCCTTCTCCGACGCGTGCATCGCACTCGTGAGTTACACTCTTAATCTCCTCAATGGCCAAGGCCAGATTCCGCTTCTCTTCGTTCTCTTGCATCGACCTCCTCATGACGGTGTCAAGAAGCAGGCCCACCTGCTGTAGGCGCGTGATTGGGACTTTAAGATAGTGATCCCAGCCCAAACGTCTCGATCGTGGATCTGCCTGAGTCTTCTCCAAGAACGTGCGGAAGAGCATGTTGCGTTCCATCTCCTGTCGAACCTTGTACACTGCATTGGGATAGCTGGACGCATACTCGATATAGGCGACTTTGGCTTTACGAATCCACTCTCGCAGAATGTCACTGAAACCCACAACCCAGGGACCCTGTTCTTTCTGACGATACTTCATCTGCGGTAGCAGGTGTTCTTCGTTTGCACGTTTAACCATGTCAACCTTGCCGAAGACCTGATTTAGGAAGGAGTCAACCTTCTTTGGAGACAGAAGTGCCGCCGTTTTTAGTTTGTCGCGATACAGCTGGCGTAGAACGTCCAATTCATGTAAGTAATTCTCCTCCTTCTGTACGAGCTCGTGCAGAATATTTTGGCGTTCAATTTCTTTCTTGTCGTGGCCTTCCAAATCTTCCTTGGTGAGCTTGTAGTACGTCGCCCAGTCCTCATCTGGCTTCAGTCCCGGTTGAGACGAAAGGTCAATCTTCTTTTCCATGCGCTGGCAGTGATGTGAGTAGCATCTCAGCATGCTATTGTTCGTATGTACCCTGGGCGCATAACAACCGACACCAGTGAGTTGGTACACAACACCGCTAATGAATGTATCTGTGAATACGAACCACTCCTCCTCCGGCTTCAGGATTCCTCCGACTTGCAATTCTTCAATGATATTCGCGCTTAATGTCTCTGCATCCGCGCTCTTCATCGTCGGGACTTTGTACTCGAATAGTCCGACAAGCGCATCTATGAGCGGCTGCTTCTTTAGGTACTGTTCACCTTCTACCATAGCTTTCAGCCATGCCACAAGAGAACTCAATGCCCAAGGTTCCTGGCATCGATCGTAATCTCGGCTGCGCAACTTGGAAGGATTGAATTTCCTCTCCAAGGTTGGAAGGTCCAGTGCAACTGCACTTGCACCAGCCGACGGCGGAGCGCTGCTATCCACCCCGTACTGCCCAGAGAGCCGTTGATCCCTTCTTCTACGTTCTTCAGCATCAGTTTTTGCGCGCATTGGCGCCAGAGTCTGAGGCGTGTTCGTGTGGCTGATGAGCGAGGTATGCCGTCCGGGACCAGTGACGGGCGATTGATAATAGTTATTGCCAGTCGAGTACGGAGGCTGTCTTGGTAATTCAACCTGTGACGAGTTCCTCCAGCCCGTTGGATAAGGAACACTGCCAGAGCTGCCTCCGAATGAGCTTCCACGTGCATGTTGCACTTCGTTCGCTGGCGGAGGAGGAAGAGGGCGATTCGTTATTCCGGGGTGATAAAACATATCTGGTGGTTCACCTCCAGCCGGATAACTCAAGTCCTGCATTCCCAAGTCATCGCCCTCATCATAGCTATCTCGTCGACTGCGAAACTGAGTTGGATCCGACAAGCCACCAGTACCTACAGCATCGACCCTTGCGGCGGAGAAGGACGGAAACGGGTGGATTTGGTTTCCGTAATCGTCGTACGGCAATTCCGTCTCGCTGTGTGTACCAGAGCGCCGCATGCTTCCGGACGAAGAGATAGGCTGGCTCCTACTGTGTGCATCGCTTGTGGAACTTTGGCGAACAAGTAAGCTGTTCGTATCAACGCCATAAGACATGTGCGCGTCAAAGCCACCACCCATGGAGCTCAGATCTGCGTAGGGAATGTCGCTGTCGCTGTCCGAAGGGTATGGCGGTTCGACAGGAGCAGCTTGTTCTGGTGCTGGTGCTACAGGATGCCATCCAAAGCTTCCTCTCTGCCCACTTGAGCGTCGCGCCGCATCGGCCTGCTCTTGCCGCTCCGCTTCACGCATGGCTTCAACGCCAGCGGTAGCCTCCGGGTCGGTGTCCTCGTCACTGTACGTTCCATTTATGGCCTGATTGTTGACTTCGATCCTCGGACTTTGCGAGATGAGCATTCCAGAGATCTCATTCTCCAAGTCTTGCTGAGCACTCAGTCCCTCAGCCAAGCGACTGTCATATCTCGAAGGTCCATGTGATGAGAAGTAGCTGATTTGCGATGAAGATGCATCGGAAGGTACGCGCGGTAGAGGACGGCCTTGTACATACTCCGCGGAACGGTGCTGTGTGAGAGTACCATGCGGGGGTGGAGGCGGTCCTGGAGTAGGTGGGAGGGAATGTGAGGCCGAGCTGCCTCTCGAGCGGGTTCCACTGCCGCCGTAGGCGGGTGGTGGTGAGACAGATGTCGAAGCATAGCCAGCAGTTGTCAAGGTGTCAGGTTCGCTGTATCGAGATCGAAACGATGAGTAGCGGATGGGGTCCTCAGCGGAGGAGTAGGAGGTTGACTGAGGCTGGGGGATGTGGCCCCAATCGGCGGAGGGAGACTCGCCGCTCGGTATCGAAGGCAAAGGCGGCGGCTGAGGTGGGGTATAATGACTGCGCTGGGAGGAGTTGGGGGAGTACTGCGCGGCTGTGGAGACGGTTGGTCTATGAGGCTGTGTGTACGTCTGATACGAATGATGAGGTTGATAGAGGCCCGGAGAAGGCATCGCCGGCATGCTAGCCTGGGGGTTGGCAGTTGTCGGATAACCAGGCGAGAAACCATGCTGGTAGCCAGCGGAGCTTGCAGTGCGATCAAGCAGATTTTCTGCATAGTCGGCGGGATTATAGGGGCGTTGTTGAGCTGAGAAGGTCGGTGATCGAATTATCCCCGGGCTTGACGGACCCGCGCCGTAATGGCTTTGTTGTATCGTGGGCGAGAAGGCAGCCGGGTTGTACGAGGTGTTGACGTTACCCGAGTTACTCCTCAGCGGCGGGGCGGGTGGTAGTGCGCTGTCGTAGAAGAGCTCGCTTTGCTGCCTCGCGGCGGCGCTCGAGACGCGATGAGGCAGACCAACCGCGTATTCGTCTTGCTGGGCGCCATTTGTCGCTCCGTAGAGGTTGGCGCCGTCATCGCCTTGGATGTAGCTTATGCGACTGCTATTACGTTCATGGTGCGCCGGCTGGTAGCCGTACGGATGCTGACCGTAGTTCTGCTGCGGATACGACATGGCGGGAGATCATGGGAAGAGAAGGCGACAGCAGATAATTGGTGTGCGGAGAGCGTTTGCTCTTGTGTCTGGTTCTGTCATCGAGTCCCGGCAAAGCCGCGGGTGTTTTGTCGTGATCTCGACGGCGCGAAAGCGACTGTGCGGCGATCAGACTGGGCGGGGTTTACTTGCAACATGCGCCTGGATATAGTGGTGTGCGGACTCGTCGTAGGGGCAAGACGAGCATCTGGGGTGTCTCTAGGCCATGAGGCGCGGGAAAGTGGGAGGTGTTTGCCAGAAAAACGGCGTGCCAGGCTGTGGTGGTGAGCGAGTAGCGTAGGCTCAGCGTAGGAGCTTGGCACAGCCGGTCAGCACGACAACACAGAGTTTGGGGGGCCCCGATAGACGTTGATGCCGCCGCCGAAGCGCCAATGGCGTGCAATACTTTCGCAGGTTTGGCTATGTAAATGAATGCGTATAAGTTAGTGGTCTGCGCTGTTCTATCCCCTATGTATGGCTGCGGGCATCTTGCACTTGAGAACTGGCTCAACGTTGGGGTCCGGGTCAATGCGACGCTGCAAGACAGGCGAAATGAAAGCGGGGACGGGTCGACAGCGAGGTGTCTTACTGAGCGTCGCTAGGGCGACCCGCGACAGAGGTGAGAAGGCAGTACGGCGAGCCGACAGTCGGTTGACAGAGAAGCTCGATGTCTCGTCTATGCAAGCAATGGTTTGCGACGACGACGAAATGTAGGTCAGGGCAGCTACAGCCCATGGCATGAGTTACCATGCCGTGGAGCCCGCTTACTCTGCGCCTTGTGCTGTGCCAGGCCACAACTCGAACGAAACGCCAGCCGACATTGCTCCTGTTCCGCTGCCAGGCGGGCGATTGATGGCGACTCCGGCCGTCTGCAGGCTCAGCCCTACGCACCAGAACCCGTCCTCTAATTTTGGCCCGAGAAGTTCCTCAGGAGCAACCTGCGTTTCGCTCATCAAGGAGCCCGGCAATGTTCGTGCAAGCCACGGTACATGTCACCACGCGCCTTCGCTCCCCTTCACGGCTCTCTTCCTTTCGGTGTCGCCGACCCGATCCCGTATCATCGCCATAAAGATCCGTACCACGGATTGTGAAGCTTCCTCCGCCCTGTCAAATCGTTGTTCTTATTGTTGTTGTTCTCAGTGCTCTCCTTCTCACATCAGCAGGAAGTGCACGTGATCTCCGCGAGCAACTTTCCTTCGCCTTACGCGGTCAAATCTAGTGACCGTCGTCGCCTCTGCAAGTGTGTTTGACTGAGCATGAGACTGCGCCTACCTCCATCTGCCGTAATCACGACCGAAGACGACGTCAGCTGCGAAAGGACGGTACCCCGCTTGCTACTGGATTTGCCTTCGGCCATGACCCTATTGCTCCATGCGAACATCGACCTGTCAGGAGATATCCGACCACTGCCCTTCTGGGGAGCCGAATTGCTGACTCCATTCGTCTCACACCTTTGTCCTAGATTCTTCCTGCGTTTGAAAGTGCTTCTGCAGGTGCGCGAAGCCCACGCGACTCCGTCCAAGGGACCGGAACTTAGGGAGCAGTTCCAGCCCCTGCTTGCTCGGTTTTGAGAGCATAACGTGCCAAACCTGTCTTCTCACAGATATCTGTCGTTTTTTCCCCTACAGAGGCAGTACTAATAATAAGAACATGCTGATGTCAATGGAGACGCCTCGGTGAATTTCGCTGTTTCTCACCCGCTCAAAGTATCCACCAAGGTACAACCAGCGGATTGACCCCGCACTGTGCTCGGCTGCTCACTATTTGAATGCCCCTTCGTCATGGCCAGCTTACTCCGGAAGGGCTGTAACCATTTTGCCGGGATTGCCTCTGCCTTCAGACTGGCAAACAATATCCAGAGAAAATACGAGAAGGCAAACTCAAGACCACATGTCCTTCCGTTTCTACTTTATTCTCCCCGCTTGATCTTCATTCCGTAATCCCCTAGTTATTGCGTTGACATTATGACACACGATTCAGCCGTTCCAAATGGGAACGGTCATATAGATCACCCAACTGCGCACGCTCAGTCTACAAATGGGCTAACGACTGTAGATGGACTTAACTACGATGGCCCGCCTGCGCCCAAAGCGGACGCGTCAGGCTACTCCATACGCGAACAGCCGTATGGCACCAAACGGCACATGCGAGTCATCCTCATGGGAGCTGGTGCCTCGTCTCTGAACTTTTTCAAAGCAGCTGAACAGGAGATGCAGAACCTGAAAATCACGTGCTACGAGAAGAATGCAGACATCGGTGGCACTTGGCTCGAGAACCGATATCCAGGCTGCGCGTGCGACATCCCCAGCGTTAATTACCAGTTTAGCTGGAAGATTAAGCTTTGGAGTCACTACTATTCCTTTGCCCCAGAAATCTGGGCGTATCTCAAGGAAATCGAGCAGGAGAACAATTTCATCGAGAAATATGTCAAGCTGAAGCATAGAATTGAAAGAGTGCAGTGGGACAACCAGAGCGCAGTGTGGAAGTTCAAGATCCGAAACCTGGATACGGATGCGATTGTCGAGGACGAGGCCGAGTTTTTCATCAACGCTGGGGGAGTGCTGAACAAATGGAAATGGCCGGATATTCCAGGCTTGCATGACTTCAAAGGGAAGCTTATGCATTCAGCCGCATATGAAGAGGGCTACCCTCTCGAAGGGAAAAAAGTCGCTGTCGTGGGAGCGGGCAGCAGTGGTGTTCAGATTGTAGCAAACATACAACCAAAAGTGCAGAAATTGTATCACTGGGTGCGAAGCCCGATTTGGATTACGGCTGGCTTCGCACAGCGGTGGGCGGGGGAGGATGGTGCGAACTTCAGATGTGAGAATTGTCAACCACGCATGTCCGCACTTCTGGACTGATGAACTTGACAGATACCCAAGAGCAGCTGGACTTTCTCAGGGACAACCCGAAGAAGTACCTCGAGTATCGCAAACAGATTGAGAACGAGCTCAACCAAAGGTTCAAGTTCATCATCAAAGGCAGCGAGGAGGCAAGAGCAGCGCGTGAATACAGTTTCAACGAGATGCGCCGCAAGCTAAAGAACGATGCGCGCTTGTGCGACAAGATCATCCCAAAGGATTTCAACCCCGGCTGCAGAAGGCCTACTCCTGCCCCGGGATACCTTGAGGCGCTGATTGCGGATAACGCGGTGATCTTCACGGACGATATCAGCAGGATAGATGCTAGTGGCTTCGTCGATCACGAAGGCAACCACCACGACGTGGATGTGATCATCTGCGCCACGGGATTCGACACGACGTGGATCCCGCGCTTTGAATTCATAAACGGCGCCGGCATGTCGCTGAAGGACCTGTGGGGGACGAAGGACGGGATTTCGTCGTACCTCTCCGTAGCGATCCCCACGTTCCCGAATCACTTCACATTCTGCGGTCCGTACGGGCCCTTGGGACATGGCAGTTTCATGCCCCTCATCGAGCACTGGACACAGTACATGTTTGATGTCATCCGCAAAGCGCAAATCGAGAACATCAAGTCGTTCACGCCGCGTATGGACCTGAGCAACCAGTTCCGGCAGCATGCAGACCTCTTCCTACAGCGCACCGCGTGGACAAGCCCGTGCCGGTCGTGGTTCAAGCAAGGCAAGAACGACGGCCAGGCTGTCATCTACCCGGGCAGCCGGCTCAGCTTCCTGGAGCTGCTCCGGCGGCCTCGTTACGAAGATTACGACATCGAGTACTGGGATCAGAACAGGTTCGCGTTCCTGGGCAACGGGTTTGAGACGAGGGAGTTTGACGGGAGGGACATCACGAACTACCTAGGTTTGTTGGACGGCGTGGACGTGCAGCCGGAGTATGACGAGAGCCTAATAGACGTGCTCGGCGGAGTGCACGTCGACAGCAGTTACTACGTTAACGCGACCTCGTCGAGGAAGAAGGAAACCGTCCGTCCAGCTGGGAACTGAGAAGGCTGGGCAGGAGGGACATCGCAGACGAGCGGGGGCGTCGAAGCCGGATAGAAGGGGCCGGGCTCATCCTCCCATTTTTGAATGCCTTACGTGTAAAGATCACTTCACTCCGTCTTCGTGACGCGGCGGTGTCATCCTTGCATGGCCCGGTTGCCGCTGCCATTGGCCTTTCCATGCGCCTCTCGTGCCTTCCCTTCCTGATTATTCAAACACCCCGAGCAGGCAGCCGGGATGCGTGAGCGATGCCCGTGACTTTGCCGTAGACGACTCGACGCCGATCCCAGCGCTCGGCTTGCGGGGGCTTCGGCAAGTATGATGCAACACAGATAGGCAAACCCGATGCGCCTCGAGCATTTGCTCTCGAAATTCGCGTCGCACGCCGCGAGCCTATCGACGACGAACATGGTTCGCGCTTTACAGACCGGGGGCATGCAAGTAAATTTTGTCTCGTCCCTTTGCTTTCAGCTCTTTGCTATGCTCCGACGTGTCCGCTCGTGTCCAGAGCCGGGCCTAAATGGTGTCCAATCGAAGGATGACGTCTGTCGTGCCGCCGATTTGTACAATGCGTATTACACTTACATCCCACACAATGACTCTTTGGTATCTCCGATCGGGCGAGGGGCCATCGAGCCAATGCTGATCAAGCTGGATTTGAGCCCTGACGTTTCGATCCAAGGCTCTTTGCGATCTATCATGCACGACATCAATTCCGCATCTTCTCAACATCGAGATGTCATCGTGTGCTAACCGGCAATGCACAAATGCCATGGTATCCATACACATCAGTTCCTCTATCGACGGGTGAGAAATGTATCCAAGGCAGGTGGTCAGATGGCATCACCGCAACGTCAACACTCGTCGTGCCAACAGACTTGGAGATCACATCGCCGGTCGATCTGTTGTATATAAAGATGACTCGAGTCCATGCCGGAAACACCTCATCAACAGCTCTCACCCTCAAAGATATATTCAAGTGCACATTCAAAACTATCAAAGTCGCAAAGACTCAATATGTCTGACTACAAGCCTACCGGTCTGTACCGATTTACTACCGCGCCCCTACACACACTGACAAGCATGGCAGAACACGACGGTCTCCGCAAGGACGGACAGCCGGACCAGCGGGTTGGCACCGGTCGTACGTTTCTGGTTGTAAACCTTTGAATGATCCACTCGCGCTGACTGGCGACGCAGAATTCGCCCAAGGCAAAGTTGACCCGCATGAGGCAGGAAGGCAAGGCGGGCATGCCAGCGGAGGTAGCTCCCACGAAAGCTCTGGTGGTAGCGAGTCTGGACAGTTTGCCCATGGGAAGGTTGATCCTCACGAGGCTGGCAAAAAGGGAGGCATGAAGTAGATCACTCAGCTAGCCTGCATATAATTCAACAAATTGTTCAGTTGTAGTGTTATATGAATGATCACGTCTCCCCATTCTGAAGCTGCATGTCACGTTTGTCAATGACCTCCGTTTACGCACAAAGCAGTTCTCCTCCCCTCCGTTCCACTGCAACGGCTACAGTCATGAGCTAGATGTTGAATACTACAGACGCCTTGTGAGCAAGCCGATTACTGTGCTTGCGACTTCACACGAAGAAAAATAATCCGTCGTTATGAGCACCTTTCGAATGGTACAAAATAGACAAATCACGACGCTAGGAATCAAAATGATACCAACGCTTATTTTCACTCTTCAGATTCCGAACCATGTTCATGAGCGAGAGAAAAAAAAAGAGCAATTCAAAACGCGGCGCGGTCAGCGTTATCACGACGTGGGTTCCAAGATTGCAAAGCTTTCCAGGCTGATCGAAGCCCCAGTCAAAAGTGCAAAAAGGAGTTTGAAGGAGAGGATGGTCCGTGGTTTCGTTCCCTGGTGCACCTCAAGCTTTGTAGACCCGACCCCCCAAAGCGGTGGCATTTCACGATGACAAAGAAGGGGGGTAAACATCTTTGTTGCGATTGGGCGCCAACGACAGATCCGAGAGTGTCTGAAAGGTTTAGTTGGATCTTTTGCCGCGACACTTCAGTGACGCCAGCCCTTGTCTGCAGTGCTCCGCCTCGTTTCGGAACGGCGAGGCGCATTCGACCTTGCTGAACGACTGTGCAGAGGCAGTTGCTCGTCTTAAATGAAGAATGACATCTCGTGAATATACTCTCGATCAATTGACGCCCCTCGTCTGTCATTGCTTTCTTTCCACCGAAGAGAACCCTTCGTTGTCATGGCTGAAGATGTCCCGTTGCTCGAGGAAGACCACTCGGACCTAGTGGCCGCCGTGCATGACGAGTACATCGACACGCGACCATCGCGGAAACGAGGTGTCGTCGCGGAACGACTGCGGTCGACATGCGCTCTGTTCAACGCTCACTTGAGGGCATGGAAGAACCTCTACATCTGCGCCTTGCTCATCGTGGTCCTGGAAATTCCCCTGTTCATGTCAGCCGCTCCCACGATTCAACTGCTGGAAAATGTCGTGTGCTACAGAATGTACGGCCAGGACGCCGACCACGACACGTGCCAGAACAAGGAGGTCCAGACGTATATTGCGCAGGTGAAAAGCGTCCTTGCCGTCCTTGCGGCTGTTCCAAGTATTTTTATTTCCCTCTTCTCCGCCCCCCTTTCGCATTGCTCGTAACAATGGCTAACAACTTCAGGCTTGGTACTGGCTGTGCCATACGGCATGCTCGCCGATCGCATAGGGCGAAAGTCCGTCGTGGGGATGACCGTCTTTGCCGCATTTTGCTGCTACGTATGGTCATTCTGCGTGCTCTACTTCTACAAGACTCTGCCGTTCGCTCTGATTTACGTTTACCCGTTGTTTCTTTGGTTCGGTGGTGGAGGATATGTTGCTGGATCTATCATTACGGCCATTGCAGCTGAGGTTGTGCCTAGTGAAGACTCGAGGTTAGCCATTTCTGACGCCCGCAAAGCGAGAGTTGCATCCTTCGTACTTACAATCATTTCAGAACGAGGGCCTTCTTCTTGCTCGGCGTGATTAGCATGCTCGTCGCCGTCGCAGCTCCACCAGTCGGTGCCCGCATCATGCATTATCATGGCCCGTATGTGGCTTATGGGCTGAACATTCCTCTGTCCGTGTGCGCCGTCATCCCGCTTGTGCTATTGCCGGAGACAGCAAAAGGAAAGAGTTTACAAGAAAATACCGAAGATGACGGCATGATAGGAACCCCCAACAAGGCCTCCACGCTAAGAACTGGGTGGAAGGAGCTCAAGTCGCACGTAGTCAACGACTTCTTCCCGCTGCTGAAGTCAATACCCATCGTGATCGGGCTGCTTAGCATGGTCATCGGCAGCTTCGCGGTGGCGGTTGGGGAGATTATCATTCAGTATATGAAAGCGCGGTTCGGCTGGAGCTATGAGAAGGTTCGCTGCTCGTCGCACCACAAAGGCAAGTACGGCGCGCTGACAGGACTTTGCAGTCGACGAACGTGATAGCCTTTTCTGCTGCCATGCGCGTGCTCTTGCTGTGCACTGTGCTTCCTTTCGCGCACAAACAGCTGACAAAACGATACGAGACCCGAAAGGCAGACCTCGTCCTGTGCAAGCTTAGCCTGCCCTTCGAGTGCATCTGCTTCTTGGTCTTCGGCCTCAGCGCCACGCCCGCCGGCGCCTGGGTTGGTACGTTCCGCTAATTGTCATCTTTTCTCATCCCCGCTGACAGCCCATGTCTACATTTAGCCGTCGCCATCGGAAACTTCGGTCTAGGCTTTGGAGGCGCCATGAGATCCTACATGACGGCGCTTGTCCCGGAGCATGACATAGCTCTTCTGTACACACTAATCGGCACCGCTGGCGCGATTGGAAACCTGTTCGCGTCAGCTGTTCTGCAGTTGACACTCGCTGTCGGAATCCGTGCCGGCGGAATGCTGGTCGGCCTACCCTTCTTCCTTATTGCTTCCTTGTACGGAATCAACGTCTTACTGGTCTGGTGTCTGCGTTCTCCCCCGCCGAAAGCTATGGTGGATGATGAACCCATACCTTCACAGGGCGATATTCGAATATGACAAAAATCTAAACGTTTAGACAATGTAAATGGCGTCAACATTCCGCCAGTTGTTTTGTGTATATATTTGTGTACATGCATATCTGCGTAATCTCATTCTTCCATGTTTCTGCACAAGACCCAAGAGACGGCCGACCATGTCTTTCATTGTACGCCTTTTGATACCGATTATGTGTTGAATGCAAAGGCCACAGAGTTCCAAAACGATCACAATTTTGACATGTATAAACAAGGCCAAAAAAAAGGAGAAAAACGGGCTGCAGTCCAGAAGAACGTCAACCTTCTTTTTGCGAGAAACCATTGACAGAGCATCATGCACCTCCAAACCAGCGAGAAGAATCCCACTCATGGTCGACGCATCCACATTAGGCGTGGCTCCACAATGATCGCAAAGCGACATCTGTTTGAAAAGGCCGCAACCAGCCCGCCACTGCGCATTGCAAAGTCGCCGGAATGCCTTCGTTCGCGCGGGTATTCTCCAACACAGGAAGACGGCAGATCCACGCGGGAGCCGTCTGCTGGGCTTCCGCGGCGTTGGCAGGGCTGTACCACGATGGAGAGAGCCACCGGGAGCCGAAAGTCGCGGTGGCACGCCGATGGTTCGAGAAGCGGCACAGGACAGTGGCACAAGACCGGACGAGCAAGGTTCCTGAGTCAAGGTGCTTCTGCGACTATGGGATCTTTGAGGATTCCGAGAGCGCTGCGAGTAGACGGACGCATGTGGCAGATATGGGCGGAGCCGTACTTGGGGAGCGACGCAGAGAAAGGGACAGCGGAAATGCGCCTGTGCGTGGAAAAGGTGTAGCAGAAGCTCACGAAGCAAAGAAGGGAACATCAACGGCGGGAGTGAGGCTCTCAACGCACGAAGGCACGACGATGAGCGAATGCGGCAACGAAGCGCATACATGGGAGCAATCGGGCTGGCCCTTGAGCAAGCGCTCGTCAGGATCCAGCCCATCGAATTTGTCAAGCTCTGAGCGTGTCCGCTCAAGACATACACCTGATCGCAGCATGGGGAAGACGCCAGCAGAATCATCCACTTCAACGTCGCTCAGCGGGCGTCGTCATGAACCCGCACGCGCATGCTCAGCTTCCCAGGAGGCATCGGGCGGGCAGAGTTTCGCATCGAACCGTCCAATGGTTGATCGTCATCAGCGTCTCGTACCCTTGAGGAGACTGTGCCATATTCCCAAAGGACAAGGCTGGCGTAGCCTGTCTGAGACGAGAAGCCAGCGCAAGAAGGGAAGGAGCCAGCTCTTGAGGTATTATTATGATCCTAACCGTTGTGTGATGGTTAGAGAGGGGCTTTATGACGACGAGCATAGACCACGATCACATGCTTGGACCAGTTCGCAGCCAGGTTTGGTTCGAAGGGTCAAGGCAGCAAACGTCTGGAGGTAGCTGGCTGAGTGTGTGCTTTTGTAGCGGAGTTTCTGTCCCGAGAGACAACATGAGCCAGAGATACGTTTTATTGAGCGAGATGGGCCAGAGTAATTGGCGTGTTTCTACGAAAGGACTATGTACTGTGTGAGTGTTGATCGAAATGATTCTTATTTTGACCTTGACTCTTGCAATATACAAGACACGTTAGTGTGGACGGCTGTATGATACAACTTACGCCGATAGTTGCCCGAGATTTTTGAAACTGGCAGTCTGCGCCGAATCAAGAAAATGTCTTCACCATCGTTATAGCCACTCTCATTAATGATCATTACCCCAATTCTCCCACACATCTGACGTTTTGTACCTAGAAGACTTTGCTGAGCAGACTTCCGCCGCTGTCCAGCTTATCAGCTTCCTGCCTCAGCATATCGGCCCGAAACTTCCTGAACGCAGCTTCGATGCGCTCCCTGCTGCTAGGGTCTCTGGTGATTAGCCTGCCGGCGGACATAGAGCCGGTCAGCAGGCCGGTTTCACCGCCAACGAAGAGGCCGCCGGCGGTGAAGAAGAAGTAGGCGGCGATGTCGCCGAGAACGGTTGGCTTTACGAGGTTGGTAAGGTCCGGCAATTTCTCTGTTAGAGGAAGAGTTGGAACACGGATCAGCCAGAAGCGTCTTCAGCGAAAGGTGGCAAAAGACGTCTTACCTATGCGGCCGTCTGCGAACTGCACCGCTGTGGGCTTCTCCTGTGCTTTGAATGTGTTGAACATGCGGAGGCGGGCCGAGCGCACGCGGGCAGCCAGAAGAACACCCAGGCCGATGCCGACGATGGACCCAATCATGGCGTGGCGCTGGAAGCGCTGTGAAGCTGCCTGGAGAATTTCACGGTCTTCCTGCTGGAGGTCTTTGTTCCAGTGCGCTTCCGCGAGCTTGCCGAGCTCGGTACCATGGTGTCTACGGAAGGCTGCAAAGGACTCGGCAGACATCTTGCGCGGGTGATTTTGCAGAAATGGACTCGAGGGCAGCGATCAGGACGGCAGTGTTCGCGGAGACTGAGCTCGAGGCGTGCAGGTGTTTTGATGGTGCAGGTGTTGATGTCGTTGGGGTGACCTCATGAAGCTCGCGCACGCAAAACCACAAGCTTCAGGCGGCTGTGACAGCGGCTGCGGGCGGAGAAAGAGCGACCGCCTCAACCTGGGGAAGTCGCAAGCCACACAAGCACACCGACGTCATCGAGCCCCGTTCTACAGCATAACGACGGTCACCGGTCTTTCACGTGGCACGCAGCGCAGCGGAGGCAGCGAAAGCAACGGCGGCGGCGTCTTTCGTCGCGCCGACGTGATTGAAAGCAACGGTGCGACGGCGATAACGAGCCAGCACCGATCCCAGCACCTCGCGCTCACGCGTCAAGCCACGGACGACGTCGATACGAGACGGGCCAAGAGAGGGGAGTTCACGTGACAGGCGGTGCTGCAGGAGCTGGACGTCTCGCGTGGTCCTTCCGTTCAAGCCTGTGTTTGCCGAGAGCCTCGACCGGCCGCGCGACGTTTGTCTAATCAGCGTCGACTCCCACGCTCGAGCCAGTGCCGAGTTGTGGCCGGGCATCTCGTTACCCTATCGCGTTATCGGGTCCCCATGCCCACGCTCCTGCGCTGCGCATCTCCTCACCTGCCTGTCCGCTCGTCAGCCCGTCCCCGCCGCGGTCAGGTCCACCCGCCATCAAAAAAACTTTTTGTGTTTTTGCCCCGAAACGTAAAATTCTTCCCTCCCTCTGTACCCGTAATTCATAAAACCTCTTGCAGGTGTTGTGGCCCCTTCCGAATCCGCCCTCGCGTCTCGTCCTTGCGCCGTCTGCCGTCCTGTGTCGAGATACGCCCCACTGTTCGCTTTCGAACAAAACGTCCCTGGCGGACTCCCGTGTCCTGCGTGCGAGTAATTGTGTCCCCCTCCCGCTGTCTCCATTGGTCGCCACAATGCTCGTTCATGCACACGCTAGAACCCTTCCATCGCGTTGCCCGCGTGAGAAGCAATTGGTCTTGCGCTCCCGCCACGCATGGACGCTCTCCTGGGCTGCTTTTCGTGAGGTTACCTTGCGCGAATCCACTCTGGCTTGAAAGCGGGCCCTAGCCCGCCTTAGTGTGCCTTAGCGATAGATCAGCCTAGATAAACTACCGCGACGAAGCCTTCTCTGGTCGCTTCTTGTCTTCGTCTTCGTCCCTCGTCTTGCTCTGTGGAACGCTGGGCCTCGTCTGTTTTGCTTGCTTCCAAGCTGCTCTGTCGTGGCCTTGGGATCTTTTTGCCAACGTGAAGCCGCGCGCATGTCGTTGCGGATCAGTTATCTCGACTCATACTACCTCTTCTCCGTAGAGCGTACTGTTCGCTATCGCAAGTGGCGCTGAACAATTGCCTTGGCCTCGTCGACTTTATTCACTTGATACGCAATCGCCTGGCCGCACCCCTCGCATCCTTCGCCCAGCATGGCCTCTACAGCATTGGAATCCGGCATTCCCGTCACCCCCCGTCGCGGCAGTGCCATTGAAATCCGTGACGAACATGGCCGCCGCAAGACTGTGCAGCTCGACGAGCTGGGAGAAGCCGACAGGATCTTGGCAGAGAGGTTTGGCTACAAGCCTGTACGTCCGCACAACGCTACCACACACCGTACATCGTGCACGCGTTTGTGTCGAGTGTGGCGCGTTTCTGGACCCCAGCAGACGACTAATCCGCTTTCCAGGTTTTCAAACGCGAATTCGGCTACCTCTCGACTTTCTCCTTCGCGGTCTCAATCTCTGGTCTCTTCGCAACTACGGCAACGACCTACATCTATCCTCTTTACGCTGGCGGCCTCCCATCCGTAGTATGGTGCTGGCTCATCTCCGGCGCAGGATGTCTTTGCATCGCCTTCTCGGTGGCCGAGCTCGTTTCGGCGTACCCAACCTGCGGTGGTCTATACTACACTGTATCGCGCATGGCACCCGCGCAATGGGTTCCCTCCATATCCTGGATCGTCGGCTGGATCAACCTGCTTGGCCAGGTTGCCGGAATTGCGTCCACTGAGTACGGCTCCGCGCAGATCCTCTTGGCCGCTGTGTCGATGGGTTCCGACTTTTCCTACAGCCCGACCACAAATCAAACTGTCGGAGTGATGGCGGCTCTTACCGTTGTCTGCGGCCTAGTAAATTCCTTGCCCACGTACTGGATGGAGAAGATGACAAAGACGTATGTCATCTTCCACGTCCTGGTCCTGGTCTCGTGCTCCATTGCCTTGTTGGTCAAGACGGAACATAAACATGACGCCCACACCGTCTTCGTTGACGTGCCAAAGCCTGCTATTTCTGGCTGGAGCCCCGTTGGATTCTCGTTTTTGTTTGGCTTTTTGTCTGTTTCGTGGACAATGACAGACTACGATGCGACGGCTCACATTACCGAGGAAATCAACGAACCTGAGATCAAAGCGCCATGGGCCATTTCCATGGCCATGGTCTTCACCTACGTCGTGGGCTGGCTGTTCAACATCGTGCTGTCGTTCTGCGCCGGCAACGTGAACGACATTATCGCTTCGCCCATGGCGCAGCCCGTCGCGCAAATCTTCTACAACTCACTCGGCAAGGGCGGCGGAATCTTCTACACCGTGTGCGCGCTCATCATTGCCCAGTTCGTGTGCTTCACTGCCACCCAGGCGCTGGCCCGTACGTTCTTCGCCTTCTCTCGTGACAGGCTCATCCCAGGATCCAAGATCTGGACCATCATCAACAAGCGCACCGGCACGCCCCTGTACGCTGTCTGGATCAGCGTCTTCTGGTGCATCGCCATCAACTTGATCGCCCTGGGCTCGTACACCGCCATCCTCGGCGTCTTCAACATCTGCGCCATCGCGCTCGACTGGTCGTACGTCATCCCCATCATCTGCAAGATCGTCTGGTCCCAGAACTTCGAGCCTGGCCCGTGGTACCTGGGCAAGTTCTCCAAGTGGGTCAACCTGTGGGCCTGCATCTGGACCGCCTTCGTGTCCGTCATCTTCTTCTTCCCAACGAACCTGCCCGTCGAGGCCAACACCATGAATTACGCCGTCGTCTTCATGGCCGGCGTCCTCGTCGCCGCATATGCGTACTGGTGGCTCGGCGGCAAGAGGTGGTATACTGGTCCGCTGGTCGAGGCCGAGGTCCTGGACCTCAAGAACTCGTCCGACATTGTCACGGAGCAGAACCCCTTCCCGTCGGGCGAATTGCCCGAGAAGATGTGACGGAACCTTGGGGCTCAGGCAACGCGAAAGCCTCAGCTGTACATTTTTCTCAAATTTTCTCGTTCCCTCTTCCTTCCCATTTTACCCCGGTCTTTCAATGTGTGGTTTGTAGCTTGTGCTATGGAAAATAGAGGAGGTTCCCAGAATCCCAATACAATTCCAGCCCCCCTCTTTGTCAAGAGATTGGCCAATGCGACGGAAGCTTACGATACCCACATGGGCTTTGACAAAGAAAAAAAAAATGAAAGGACGCTCGCTGCGTGCATCTTCTCAAGTGCCTGCCTTCGGTGTCTATCTGCTAGTCCTGGCCATGTCCAAGCCATATCTATACATACATATGAATCACTGAATGCCAATTTGACAGAACTGAATCAACTAGCGGTTGCGTATCAATCTGTCTGTTGCCTGCCTCTCATTTCCTCTCCGAGTATGGTGTTCCACGCCTTCTCTCTCCCTGAAAGTCACAAAAGAGAACCTTCCAGAAACAGGATCGTCCGTCTTGCCCCGAGCCCCACCGCGAGCAGAGCAGGGGCGACGTGCATGCCCGACTTCAGCAAACGTTTTGACCGTCGTTCCGATGTGGCGGACTTTGGCAGCGTACACGAATAGTGCAACGCGTCCTGGCGCCGAACCTTCAAACTCCTCGGTTCCGCTTTTCAGGCCGAAGCCTTCATCTTCTCAAAAGGACAGAAGCAGACAGCAGAAGAAAATGGAAGTAAATTCTTTCTCGTTCGGGGTTATTTGATGCTATTCCCGAGGAGACATCAATCGCTTCATTTTCTACGTTGAACTTGCCTCTGGTGGGGGTACAAGTTGCCTGATGTGGCAGAGTCTTTTGGTATAAGCGGCGGTATTACATGATTCATTGCCTCGATGTTATTCTGGATGCTATTCAGCTGTAACCTCCGTCGCCGTGGTGCTCCTTTGTACGTTTGTTAGTGTCGCTATCCAACGTGCTACGTGGGCGGGTATCAGATTCAGCTAGGAAAAGGGTTTCTGGAATTCATATCTGGACCACAGCAAGGAGCATCTTAAAACCAAAGCATCTTTAATGAAATGCACAATCACGGGCAGGTTTTGCGTAGCACCTTCCTTGGTGAAAGCTATGTACCATGCTTCTCCAGGACGTTTATTCGAAATTGTGACAAGTATGTCTTAAGTCATTGTTGCAGTTCTAGAGTGCTTCTGCAAGCGTTGAGATAATGGTGTTATGTCGGGTCGATGGGAATCGAAAAAGTCCAGGCCGTCGAGTGCTACATTCCTCCTTTCAAGCTCTCGGGAATGGCTGTTGTTGTTAAGTATAAATCAACGAAAGCACAGAGAAGGCCAAATGAGATTTGAATAGACTTTTCACGAAAATGTTCCATTTCAAGCTTTTCAGAGACTCGGCTGATTCAAGTCGCAAGTTGCGCTCGTCTCGTGATCGAAGGTGGGTTAGTCATGAATGTTCAAGAGCCTAAACGCCGAGTCCAGCCACTTAAATCTACAGAATAAGTCTACCTTGAAGATGAAACCTGCAGCACCAGGAATTGTTTTATTAGGAATGTTCCGCCCTTGCTGAGCGGATATTGCAGAGAGGCCAAACACAAATGTGGGATGTGGGCCTAGCAATCGGACGTCGAGTGGAACCGCTGTGGTCGGGTCTACATTCTAGAAGCAAGAAGGAACGAGACTATGAGATCTCCGGTCAAGAGCAATGCACAATAGACAGAAAAATAAAAGACAATGATGGTGGCAAAAGGTGGGCGTCGAGGACAAGATTTCAGGTGAGCTTGATAGTCAGGTGTAAGTTGGGCGTCTGGATTGGGCCGTCAGCGCTGCGCTTGCACGTCATCGTATGCAGTCTTGGGCAGGCTGTCGCGCAAGACTGGGGCATCAGGAATTCATGGTGGCCGAAGGTGCTTGCAGGGTTGATTGGGGCCAGGGAAGAAAACCTGCCTTTTCCCAGCGTCCGGGGCACCAAGTACGTCCTGCATTTCTGCACAGCGTTTGGATGATAAGCGAGAGTCGAGCTGAGTGGCACAGGACCATGTGAACGGTACCGCTGCTAGGTGAAGCTCGACGGGAGACGTGCGGCAGTACCCGCGACCACGAAGAGGATCATCACCGGTTGACGACGGACGATCAGGGCACTGGCTTGTGGCGAGAGCGTGACATGGCGGCAACCCCACTGTGCGTGTTCAGGTGTGTATGCTTGTGTGTGTGTGCGTGTGAATGGGTGATTGTGTGTGAGTGCGTTGCATGAGAGCGTGAGCTGCCCCACCCGTCCAGCGTACTGTGCGATTACCACCTGAACGCTGAAGCGGCACGCAGCGGAGCCGTGTCCTTCGCTCCGGGAGGAGCTCGAGCGCGAGTGGTGCACCAAGTGCGGCCATGCCAGACTTCTTCTTTGACCTTCTTTGCGCGACCGGTGCGAAGCAAAAGTCGTGCCCACATTAATGCACGCCCAACCCCACGGTCCGCCCGGACGGCGTGATTGTTTCGAGCCTGTGCTATAAGCTGGCAGCAGTGGCCGAGCCCATCGCCCACGATCCCATGTGTTCCCTTGCACGTGTGTGACATCATCCGGCCTGCACCAGCACACTCCAGCGACCGAGCGTCCTACAGACCAGCCCAAGCCTCTCCTTCCAAGTCTCAGATCCTTTCTTCGACCCTACACAACCCGCTCGAGCCTAACAAAGTGCTGGAGGTGCCCACCCAAGGACCCCGAGTGCTCTTTGAGCCTCACCCACCTCGTACTCGCACTCGCTCGCCTTTTCCATATATCCACGCCTTCTTCCCCCTCTCCTTCCCCCCTCCCTTCACTACACCTTGAGCAGACGTCTCCACCCCACTCATTTTCACGAGCTGAGGGCTATTTCCTCGGCCAAAAGGCAACAAGCATGTCCCGTCGTGAGTACCCTGTTGCGGACTACTACGAGGAACGAGAACGCGAGTTTTACCGCAACGGCCGGAGAGGCACGCGGGATTACGTCGAGTTCGACGAGGAGATCCGAACGTCGAGGACGCCTGATTTTCTCCGCGAGGGCTACGGACGATCCAGCGCTGGACCACTCGTCGTCCGCGGCCATAAGGAAGATGATCGCACCGAGGTTGACGTCGAGACTCGATCGTACTCCAAATCGGTTCGAGGCTCACCGCCGCGGCGCAGGGAGATCGAGAAGGAAGAGATCATCATCCGAGACGACCGAGAGCGCCTGCCGCCTGCTAGGCGGAGAGCCCGCTCCGTGACCCGCGAGGAATTCTCGATTCGAAGGAGCGAGCCGGATTTGCAATCCAGGGGATCTCGCAAGCCAGAAAAGGAGGACATCGACATTGATATCAAGCACACTGACACGCGCTCCACCCGCTCCGGCCGCCAGCGTGAAGTTGAGCGAGACGACATCGACATCGACATCCGCCGCCGTGATGACGACGCAAGATCGATGAGATCTTCGCGTCGCCCGCGAGAAGTGGAAGAAACGGACATTGATGTCGATATCCGTCGAAACAACGATGCTCGCTCCGTGAGATCTAGCCGGCCGCGTGAATTCGAGCGTGATGAAGTTACGATACGAAGATCGGAGACAGAGCGACTTCCTCCACGTTCCCGCAAGGATGAGGAAGAGATAGTCATTAGGAGGGGTGAAGGACCGCGACCACCACCGCCTCGGCCTGCACCTTATCCGACCGAAACCACCGACATTGATGTTGGTATAAGAGAAACAGAACGCCGTGGTCCTCGTGGTCGAGTTGTCGAATCAGATGACATAGACATCGACATCAAACGACAGCAGTCTCGCGGCCGCGGCAGATCACCGTCGCGAGAGCGAGAGCGCATCGTCATCCGAGAACAGAGCAGAGGCCCTCCACCACGCGAACGCAGCATGCCACCACCAAACCTCCTGCGAAGAGAAACCGAAGAGTTTGTCATTCGCAGGCGTCGACCACCTAGCCCCAGCCCTAGCCCGTCCCCTCCTCCTCCACCAGTGCGCGAAGAGCAGATCATCATTCGCAGGACAGAGCGTTCGCCTTCGCCTCCCCCACCACCACCACCTCCTCCTGAGCCAGAAGCGCCACCACCTCCCGTTTTGACCCCGATTATAAGACCGCCAATTCATCAGGAGATTCACCAGGAAATTATTACTCATCATCGACACATTGATCATGGTATGGATTCTACGTGCCACTCAAGGTAAAAGGTTTGTAAACTAATGGAATCCTAGGCGTTGAACGAGCACGATCTCCCTCACCTCTTCCGCCACCACCAGCACCGCCACCTCCAGTCGAAGAGAAGAACGAGACGCTCGAGATCGATATTCGCAGAGAGTAAGATCACACACCTTTAACCCTCGTCGTTTTTACATAATGCTTACAGAGAAAATAGGCGAGGAGGAAGAAGCAGCGAGGAAGAAATCGACATTCGCCAAAGTCGTACTCGCGACCGCTCCCCGTCGGTCTTAACTCGTGCTCGGTCTGTTGACGCATCGCTCACCCGGCGTCACTACGACGATATCGCGGCTGAGGCCGAATTCTACAACCGAAAAGCTCTCGAGCGCAGTTATCCTGGTGAAGCTTACAATGGCGCCACACGAGACTGGGAGCTGGTCGACGTACCACCAGGCACCGAACGTGTGCGTATGGAAGGCGCTGGAGGCGGCTCTCAGGAGATTACGTGGCAACGCTACAACGGCGCACGGCGCAGCAAATTCATATCTGGAGGACGAGAATACGAGACCGCCTATGGCGAGCCTTTTCCGGCCGAGGACCGCAGGCTTGGTCCCGCTCGACCCTCAAGATCGACAGATATGTGGACGGAGATCACCAAAGATCTGGTTATCAGGGAAGCGATTGAGCAGATGGGTTATGACTATGAGGAGACTGAGTCATACTTCTATGTCATGGAGTATTTGCGTTACGTGAGTAAAACGGTGCTTCAAAGCAAATACCTCAAGAGACTTTGGCTAACGAAGAAATGCAGGAGGATGTACTTCAGCTCGTAGAGATATCGGACGAGATTCGCCGGCAGCGACGGCGAAGGATACGCGAGCTTGAGTGGGAACGTGCCGCACTCGACCACCGACTTCCCCGTGACGATGATCGCTACTACGAGCGTGAAGTGATCATCGACAAACGTGAGAGGAGGTATTGAATCGATTCGTCTTTCACAGTTTGAACAGAAGAAGCGCCCCAACAGTCGCGTTTATGCCATGCTACACTGCATACCCCCAGAGCAGCTTACCATGGGTCACGAAGTTACGACGGAATCGGCTGGCCGCTACTTTTCTCACCGTGAGAGATGTGGCTAGGCTAGATGAGCAAGGAGTTTTTTTTTTGGAGGAGAACTCTCGTCTTTTTCTTTTCTTTTTTTTTCTCTACTTTTGCCAAGCACTTTGCATAGCGGAGCTGGACGGGATGAAAGAGCACACACGCTTCTCGAATAATGACATGTCATGAGTCGACGACACCTTTTCTGTGCTTGACAGCCCTCGTCTGTGTCCGTAGCAAGCGATATAGATCAATTGTGCGTAGAATGTCCTACCTTTCCAATGCTAGTCTTTCTTGAGCATGTCAAAGACTCGTGTGAACACTATCGTAGCGTCGAATCCTAGTGTTTGAAGGTCAAACAAATCTAAGTTACCGTTTCTTTCTGTATAGCTTGCGATTCTTACAATCCACGCCCCAGATCTCGCCTGATCTACTCATGCGAGAAGGTACTTCGGTATGGAGTCCAAGGAGTTATGTAAATCGACCTAGGACGACGCGTTGCGTCTTTGATGCAGCTGCACAAACTATGTGAAGCTTTGGCCATTTATGAGCGCGACAAGCCGGACGTCAAAAATCGTCCGTGATGGCTATAGCAACGGTCGACGTCTCTGAGTCAGCAATGGGTTCCTGCTCCGAGGGTGATTGAGGCGCGGAAATGGAAAAGGGGTTGGGCTTCGCTGTCGGCATTTCGGGACCGCATGTTTTTCATGCAGCTACGTGTTTCTGTTCCAACAATGGAAGAGAAACCAAACTGCTCTGCCTTCAAATCGGGGAGATGGATTTGCGCGAACGTGGCCCCCGCCTGTTCGCCATTGCTATGGCTGGAAACTGGGGGCTATTTGGGGGGGGTAGGTGAGGTAGGATTATATAAACAAGGTGAGTCCATGCATGGATGTGCGGATATGTGCAAGATGGGGATCACGACAGGAGGATTGAGCCGATTTACTGAGGTTGGCTGATAGCAGACACTCTGCGGAACGAATGAGCGGCCGCGGACGCCATATTTGGATGGAAACTCCCAGGGCGTGGAGGGATCAGGAGACGCTGGCGAGGTTTAAAACACTTTCAGGCGGGAGCGGCCATGCCTGTGGGAACGAAAGGACGTCGAAAAGAGAAGCGAAAGGGAAACTTTACTCTTTGAAGGCTTCGGACACGAAACGATCATTGGTCGCGCTGGAGCGGTTGGTCTTTTATTTTCTTTTTTTCTGAAACAGGTTCGATCACGCCGTGTTTAGAACGTCGACTGACGCTCACCTTTTCGGAGCCACCACCCCCCTTGCGAACCTTAAGTTACGTGTGAAACGGTGAGCGCATGTGCCTTGGAAGTTAAGCTCACGTGTAGGTGCGGGCGCGGAGTCTCTTGTCGAGTAGGCCAACTTCTCCACATACAATCACGTCCAATCACGTCAAACAAAGACGGACGAAAGCTTCGCCGATACCGACGACGACGACAGTGGGGATGATGATGAGGGCACGAAGCTTGTTGTCGAGATCAACAGATTTCATTGTCATTTGGCTTTGCACGGAACGCGTCTGTCACTTTGCGCAACAGGTGGACAGTGGAAACCATGATTGCCCACAAAGAGTCGAGCGATATCACGTGAATGGCTTGATGCGCCAGGCATCCAGGCGAGCATGCACTTGAGCAGTGACGATCTTGTCTCGCTGCGCCTCGTTGTTCGGCTTTGGCTTGGCTCCGCCCTGCCCGACTGACGGGTCTGTCGTCGTCAGCCAGATCCACCCGCAGCTCATGCCCGCTCTCTCCCTACACCTTCAACCTAACTTCACCAAACAAACTGCCAACCCACCGACCCACGACACTGCCAAGCCTTTTTCGTTTTCTTTTGTACTCTTTTCTTTCACCTCTCTTTGACTTACATTTTGACGATACGAACGAGCAGCGCGACGATGAGGGCCACGTTCGGCCTGGCGGCGCTGTCCACGACAGCGGCCGCGATCATGATACCCTCCACCATCTCGGCACCCGACCTCTCCACCGTGTCGGCGACCAACCTCAAGTCATTCGGTGTGGATCCGAAGTCGCAGCTGCTGAAGGTGGACTGTCCAGGTTGCCTGTTTGCTCACAAGGACGGCTCCAACACGCTGACATGGACCAAGGGCGTTGAGAACGCCTTGGTCCTTAACTTCAGCGTTGGCGAACAGCCAGAGACTCTTGAACTTAACGGAGCGCGATTCTATCCACCTGTGTTGACTTACGCCCTCCTGAACCCAGTTCCATACGTTCCGCAGGTCCCCGCCGATATGGAGCTCACAGAGATCCGGTCAAACATGGACGCGTTGGCCAAGGATGCTCTGCGACTGACAAGCTGGGCATTCCAAGTTGGCAGGTCGCAGACCATTAGCGAGAGCGGCGAGGAGATTCTGACAATCCACCTTCAGCTCAAGGCGTTGGAGAAGCAGCCTATCTCGGTCCCAGATCTTACCCTCACCCTTCTTAAAAACACAGACGGCGAGCTCATGCTCATGAAGATCGAGACGCAGAGCAGGAAGAAGACCGCGGAGAAGGAGTGTAAGGGCTGGCCACTGCTCTGTAAGTGGAAGGCTATCCTCGCCGATAAGTTCTCCGGCTTCAAGAACATGAAGCCCCACTTCGGTGCCTTTGGTAAGGGACCTTGCGGAAAGGCTGGAAAGGGCGCGCGACCGGATGCGAAGCACCCACACAAGACAGAACACGGAGATAACGACAGCCCATCGGAGTGGCAACATCATGGCCCACCTCCATGGAAGCACCACGGCGGCCCTCAAGGCTGGAAGCACCATGGCCCTCCTGGCAAGCATGGCAATCATGGCCCACCACATCCCTACCACCACGGCCATCACCACATGCACCATGGCAAGTTTGGTGTGATTATGCACAAGGTCGGTCGCATCGTGCTCACGATATTTGTGCCTGTCTTATTCGGCATCACGTTTGGCATGGTAACTTACTTGGTGGGCATGCTCATCGGTGCTATTGTTGCCGCCGTTTATATGAAGATTCGCGGCCGCAATGCCCAGTACCAGGCTGTTGCTCTAGACGAAGAAGACTGCGTCGAGGGTGACGAGACACCGAGGTGCAGCTTGGAGAAGGATGGCTTCAAGGACGAGGAGGCGGTAGCTGAAGCACCGCCACAGTATGTGGAGAAAGAGTAGATACTTATTTTATTTTTTCTTTGTGCGAACAAACAAATGTACGATGTAAGAATGGCGGGTTAGTATGCGACATGGAGTCCTCTGGCTGAAATTCACTTCCTCGATGTTTCGTAGGAGTTAAGGTCAACACAAATAATACACTCGCTTTCACTGGTACCTACGTCCCTTTTGATCCAAAGTTCAGTGCGCATTTTGGATTGTTCTTCCCGCTCATCGGCGATGCTCATGCTCACACAAGCATGGATTGCAGGCTGACGAGTATTTTTTTTATTGCAAACCTACGTGCCTTACGAAAAGCTATCTCAGCACATAATAATTCAACGAGTATGTATCTCGAGAATCGACGGTTCACGAGGCCAGAGTGAAACTCTTGCTATGGAAACGGGCGAGGACGTTTGAGCATATGAAGGCAAAGGACTGGGCATTTCGACGTGAAAGTGGAATGTCTTTACAGCTGCATTTTGGACGTAAGAGTTCAGGACATGCATCTCAGATGACATTGATTTCCGGAGGGGAGGCGAAGCTCGACGGCGCACGCCTGCCCTCCGTCTAGACCAGGACAAAAAAGAACCTGCGAGCGAGGTGCTCTGACTCCCAAAACGTATATCATCGCGCGGTTTGGGAAAGGCTGGAACGGAGGACGAGGCGCCCATTGCTCACGACGAAAGGTCGGGACGCGGCAGCGGTGGCCATGTGCTCGCCGGAGCCCGAACACGTTTCCCATCGGGCCTCAGCCTTGCCTTAGGGACGAATACAGCAAGCGCATCTGCGTGGCCGGGCTGAGGTGCGTCGCATCCGTGTGCGACTTTGGGAGGGAGGGGGGCGAAGAAGGTTCGCTCCGCTCTGGAGTTTCGAGTTCTCGGCCGGGAACGGATTCTGGGGGTTGGCGTCCTGTTTGGGCCAAGGAGATCTACCCGGGCCTGCAAACGACGACGTCACGCCAGCATCCCGCCAAGGTCAGCTCAGCCTGGCTGGGCGTGCATTGCCGACGCTTTTACTGGCCCAAGACGTGCTGACATCATGATAATGCCAACGCGACCATTGTGCGTCCCTTGTCTGCTCTCGGCATTACGCAGTTCCCTTCGTGGCGCAGCCCGTCCGCTGGATGACAGAAAAGTGCTGGGCGAGGCCATGATCACCCACGACTCTTCCCACAGCAAACATCGTTTGCGAAACGATTATTTCTTCGCTCTCTCGCCGAGTGTCTGCGACAGTGTAACTTTGTTCATCGTCCTGATCCTAGCCATCGAAGATCGCATACAGTGTTGGAATGGCACCCGTCATTGCAGAGACGGCCGCGGGCCCATGGAAACGAGAGCTTCTGAAGCGCCAGACGTACGTGTTTGCCGTCTTCCGCCAGCTTCCACAGCGCGCTGGAATAGTGGCAAGGACATTGCTTTGATCTAACCATGGAATTTAGGTGCTACACAACGTATTATGGAGGCGTGCGGTGTTATAACAGCAGCTGGTACAACTGGGGTCGATGGGTCCTCCTCGGTGTGATCATCTTGCTGTTCATCCTCACTCTGTTCTGTCTATCATGGTACGTGGCTAACTACAACTCAACGAACGGCGTTGTACTCACAAGATTGTTTCTCTACTAGGACCTCAAGACGTAGACGCGCACGAGGCAGAAGGCCAATGTACGGCACCGGCTGGATGTCGCAAGGTCCCCTTGCTCCTCCGCCTTATCAACCTCCTCCGCCTGCGCCTGCGTACACCCCATACCCGCAGAACGATAACTACGGACCAACACCGCCGAAACCTACGTACGGCGGCAATCAATCATATCCAATGAATGATTACGGCAACACAAACACATATGCGCCACCAGCAGGTCCGCCACCTGGCCAGTACAGATAAGGGAATGGCTTCGCACGGTAGGCTCAGACCTGACCGCGGAAGCGATGGAGGATCTTACGCGTTCTCTGCATCCTGGCCTCAGTAGGGTTTAGTCCTCACACGGGAAAGAAGACAAATGACCAGCGAAGCGCTATTTTTCGTGTGTCGGGAACAGCGAATGAACTTCCAACTGTCTCGGCTCCCCTGCATATCGCTGCCTGAAGCTAGGTGTACATGCTCGCACTACAGTCTTTGAGAGCTATTTGAAGCTAGCGGATTTGTTTGTAAACTTGGAGAATTAACATTCGCCGCTCTCCCGCGACGTAGATGCGTTGCGAATGAACAGCACCGGCGCGAGGAAGCCGCCTATCTTTCTGTTGATAAAGTGTAATTTAACAATTCGGCATGCGGTCCGGTGAGTACGTCAAACGTGCCGGGCAAGATTTAAAATCAAGCAGCTTGTGTTTGTGAAAGATGGCGTGATCAGCGGGATGCTTCTCCAGACCATTTGATTTTCGTGTACGTGATCGGGAAGATTTTTGTCAGAGCTTCTCGCACCCTCGTCTGATGCCTTCACGCCTGCAGTATTCGCACTTTTCTTTTCACGCCATGAGATTTATGTAGTCGATCATGCTGTTCAGAAACGTTTCCCGCTGACGGAATGATCGTCCGTGTTGTTGAAGGAAGAAGCTGCGTAGCACATGGACAAGGTGCGCCTAGAATATATCTGCAGTGTCTGGGAGATGAAGCTTGAGATCGTTCAGTGATTCGTCGTTTGGGAGAAGAAGCTCGAGCGGTGTCGGAAAATTCAACCATCAGCGTCGAGAGGCTTAGACAAGGTGGCAATTTTGGAAGTGGTCTTCTGCCGTGATCAACTTCCGATGTATCGCACCGTTCGAACTACGAGCGGACATTGACTGCATCTCGGCTCCGCCTTTTTTATGGATGGACGGTGTTCGAGACGTCCGCGTGCGAATTCATGACTGGATTGTTTCGGGGGTGACAAAAAAGGTCGTTTGGACGTCACGTCGCGAAGAAAACGGGTCCGAATAGCAGAAACAAGAGGTCGTCTTCTTTTCGGCTCCACCGGTGCAGCCCCAGCCGCAGAGGCGATCGACAGTACGAGATCCGGAAGAAAAACTGCTTCTGCTGCGGACGAGGGGTTTGCGATCGGTTGTGCGCGTGCGCTGGCAATCTCTTGGGTGCTTGCCCCATTCTCGCGAAGCAATTTGGAGGGATGAATGGCACGTGTTTGGCGACGTGGATAGCGCGACTCCTGCGACTACAACTCTCGGATCGAAGTGCTATGGCATGCAACGACATCCTACTGCACGCACGAAAGCAAAGAGACGTAAATTCATCCGCTGGGCAAGTCCAATGAACGGTCGCGCTGCTATCATGAACTGCGGAGGACGGACGGGGGGGGCGGAGTGTGCTGTTCCAGCGTAGCAACGCTAGAATTTCTGCCCCGAATCCAGGACTCGTATCAAAGACAACAATGCCACGACGTGCTAAGCTCCGTTACATGATACGACGCTCCACGACCAAGGCGGCTTTCTGGACGCGCACAGAAATTTTGCACCATGAGCTAGCATCGCGTTCCCCAGGTTTTCCTCTTGGCAGGATGAAACAAAAGCCCGCTAGTTGAGTTGGAGCGCGCACTAAACCGCATCGGGACCAAGCCTCTGTTCCTGCAGGGCGCCTCATGTCAACCTCAACCACGTCCGTCTTTCTCACAACGGCCGTTCGCCGTGTATTCTCGGACTTCGAGGACGAGGCGCGCGTACGTTTGGCCGTGGTGCCATGTCCTCAACATGACGCGGCTAAGCGTGAGAGCGTCCCTGGCCCCAGCCGATGACTTCTTATCTCTCGCGCCCCTCTGCCGAGCCCTCGGCGCTGCAAAGAAGACCGCCAAGCTCGACGGGGCGTTGACATTCCTTCCAGAACGATCAGACCGATGTAACACTTTCAAAATGCGCCTGTCTCTGCCTCAGACCGGTGGTAAGCGCACTGTTTGACGCTGTGCACGCCAGAGCTGGATGTTTTGCGCTGCCCGCTCGCGAGGAACGCAGCAGATGGCTGTACGCCCTCGCCAGCGCGGCTTCGTATTTCGATCCCACCCGGGAAACCTGCACGGCGTCAGGCTGAGACGGCGAAGCATTTTTGCTTGGTTTCCAACACGACCGCAGACATGCGCCTAGTTGCCCTGTTGGTGAGCACCGCGAAAAAAAAAAAAAAAATTCCCCCAGCCTTCCTTCCTTCCAGCGTCCCTTGTGGAGGAGGCTACCGGCGTGCCATCCCAAGTCTCTGGGCATAAGGTGGCACCAAGCTCAAAACCGCAGGTGATGTCGCAGATCTCCCGGCTTTCTTTCTCGTAAAACATCCTAGACGTTGAACGCTACTGGTTATGCGCGGGTGGAATCTCGACGGTTGGACACACCACGCGCCCACACTTTGATAAGTGCCTCGCTTGAAAGTGCTGATCATTTTAGCCCTCTTTTCTTATTCAAAATCTGATATAAATTCCACCTACGTCAGCCGCCTTGTGTCGTCTGCACCTCCGTGACTCTGCTTCCATACTGCCGTCGCGGCCTTCCTTCACTGCGCAGACTTTTTCGACTTCTGCACATACCTAACATCTTTGCTGGCGAGTTGTGCTGCGCTTTGGATCGTCATGGCAATATGGAGTAGGAAGAAGTCGGACGAATCAGAGCCCCCGGCTAGCTATGTCGACGAGGCGAAATTCGACTACAGTGGCCAGCATGGCGAGGTTCCGATCTTGACGGCAGAAGATGCGGAGACGAAGCTGCACCGTGGCTTGAAGGCTCGCCACATCACCATGATTGCAATTGGAGGCACGACTTGTCAAACTCCTCTTGAGCGAACGACAAGACTAACTTTGGTGCTTAGGTGCCATCGGGACGGGTTTGATCATTGGAACCGGCGCGGCTCTCGCGAAATCGGGTCCAGGATCCATTCTCATCTCTTACACTTTTATCGGAATCATCGTCTTCCTCGTCATGGCCGCTCTTGGTGAAATGGCTGCTTGGCTACCACTTGGAGAGGGCTTTGCGGGCTATGCGACGCGATTCTGTGACCCTGCCCTTGGCTTTGCTCTCGGCTATGTAAGTTGTGGATAGACGTCGTTTTCGAAAGACGGTATTGATCAGTCTGTAGACATACTGGTTCAAGTACATTATCGTGACGCCGAATCAACTAACTGCGGCCGCCCTTGTTATACAGTACTGGTGTCCTCCTGGTGAGTCTCAAAATGAAATACGGTCAACAGTCAAACTGGTGCCGCAGATCGCTGACGATGAGCAGAGAAGGTGAATCCAGGCGTGTTCATCACCGTGTTCTTGGTAGTTATCGTCACGATCAACTACATTGGCGTCAAATGGTTCGGCGAGTTTGAATTTTGGCTATCTTCGATGAAGGTCTTGGTCATCTGCGGCCTTATTCTGCTTTCGCTCGTCCTTATGCTAGGCGGAGGTCCAAATCACGACCGCACTGGCTTCAGATACTACCATGATCCCGGAGCGTTCAAGCCATATATCGATAGTGGAGCCGCTGGAAAATTCTACGGCTTCTGGGCTTCCATGGTCACCGCTGTTTTTGCCTACCTTGGAACCGAGCTTGTCGGAGTGACTGTTGGAGAGGCGCAAAACCCACGCAAGACGATCCCACGTGCCATCAAGCTGACCTTCTACCGGATCCTTTTCTTCTACGTCTTCTCCGTCTTCCTCCTTGGTTGCATTGTTCCGTACAACTCTCCCGAGCTCATCTTCGCAAGCAAGAAATCCAACAGTGCTGCTGCTTCACCATTTGTCGTCGCGATTCAGATTGCAGGCATTGGTGGTCTACCTGGCTTCCTCAATGGCTGCATCTTGCTGTTTGTGTTTAGCGCTTCGAACTCCGATCTCTACATCGCAACTCGAACCCTGTACGGAATTGCGCTCCAGGGCAAGGCGCCTAGGATTTTGGCGAGGACGGATAAGCGGGGTGTTCCATACATGGCTCTTGGCTGCTCTTCGCTCTTCTGTCTCTTGGCCTACATGAATTGCACCAGCGATTCGAAAGTAGTCTTTGGCTACTTTGTGAACCTTGTCACCATCTTTGGCCTCCTGACATGGGTCTCGATCCTTGTCACGCATATCTATTTCGTCCGAGCTAGGAAAGCACAGAATGTGCCGGAGACCTCACTCGCCTACAAGGCACCATTTGGTGCTATGGGCTCTTATTTCGCCTTGTTCTTCTGCTGCTTGATCGCACTCACAAAGAACTTTAACGTCTTCACAAAAGGCGACTACGGCGATTTCGATTACAAGAACTTCATCACAGGCTACCTCGGTATTCCTTTATACCTGATCTTGATCTTCGGCTACAAGATCTGGCACAGGACGCAGGGAGTGTCACCAGCGGAGGCAGACCTTTGGACTGGAAAGGACATCATTGACCGTGAGGAGCAAGAATTCTTGGCTCAGGAGCGAGCGAAGGGTAAGCTCGCTACGAAGAGTGGCAAGTTATACAAGAGATACGTCGGGTGGCTGTTGTAGTTTCTCGTGGACGAAGCCCCAATGAATCCTCCAGTACCGTTTCTGGTTAGTGATAACGAGATCAATCACGCAAATTATTATTTTTATCCGATTGAAGACATGTATGCAAGCGAAAGGACCCCCTATGTTCAAGACAAACAAAGTCGTCACCCGATCATGCGTTCCAATGAGTTTCAATATTTTCTTTTATTCACAAGTCTTGGCAACAGCTACGTTCGCGAAACTGCTGCCCAGCACATCGAAGTCTAACCATTCAATCAGATTCAATGAACTTCAACATGTTATTAGAATATAATTAAGAGTGGCGGGACTACGCAAGCCCACATGCAGAATTGCCTCAAAATGTCAGCGCACGATGTACGCCTATTTAACGCGAACTGCAGAGCCCTTCATGGCTTCAAAAGTAAAACTGTGTGACGTTCTTGAGCAGAAAGTCGAGAACTGGCTGCCTGAAGTCATCTGTAATATATTGACTCCCGTTCGGATGCATTTGAATGATGGTCTGGTTCTCTGTCCACTGGGGCCAGAATGCGAGACCGTTCGCGGTGACTCCCTTGTTGGGGTCAAGGTTGTTGACAAAGTTGATGTAGTACTGCCTCCACGCGGTCGTCGCATAGCCCGGGGCCAGACCATAGAAGACAGATATGATGTCCAAGCCGTGCCCGGACCCAAGGATGGGCGTGCCGTAGTAGTACGAGTTGAGGTAGGACCAGAACGGAATCCCCGTCTGCAGGTCGGCGACGAACTTGAGCATTCCGCGCCTGGTGATGGTGAAGACCAAGTCGCCGAGGATGGCGGCGAGTCGCTTGAACTGCGGGTACCAGTTGTTGGCCGACCCGGTTCGAAACGGGGATGCGTATTCGTCGCTGTCGTTGTAGATGTCGACCAGCTCCGCGAGCACGTCCCGGCTCGGGTTCGCGAAGACGAGCTCGTGCAGGTAGTCGACGATCTCCTCCTTCGTCGTGATGTTGGACTCAAACAGCGCAAACAGCGTGCCTTCGTCCTCCATGTCGCCCTGGGGCTGCGTTAGTTTTGGGGGGCTGAGGCACCCCCGACAAAAAAAGAAAACCTTTGGACCGGAAAACGCACCACGATGAACGGAACCTTGGCGATCTTCCCTTCGTACCCTAGCACGTCTGGCGATGCCGTCAGGAACATCCCGTCCGGTCTCGGGAGGTACGAGAGGGCGATAGAGCTGTAAGACAGTATACCGGGCACGCTGTTCACTGCGTGGTTGAAGCTGTCGTAGGGCAGTCCGCGAAGGCAAGCGACGGTGTCTTCTGCATTCGAGCATCCTCCCACTTCTACGACGCGGTCATAGACGGCTTGGGGTTTACTGGAGTTCATCCAGTCCGAGGGGACTGCGGTCCCTATGGACGCATTAATGATTCCCTACTGTGAGGTTCCATACCGTGGGTGTGAGCCTACCTGAGTTCATGATCCCGCCACGGAATAGGGGCTTCCCTTTGTACAGGTTGTTTCCATCGTAAGCGAGCATGTGGTAAAACACGCTGATCGAACCGGCGCTTTCACCCCATATCGTCACTTTCTCTGGATCGCCGCCAAACTTTGCAATGTTGTCGGCCACCCATTGTAAGCATAGCCTCTGGTCAAGAAGGCCAAGGTTGGTTGATCCTTCAGCGGTGAGCTCCTTTCCACCCAGGAACCCGTAGCCGCCCACCCGGTAGTTCACCGTGACGACAATGATAGGCTGACCCTGTTTGACCGATTCTTCGACCCATATTGACCCAGGATACATACTGTTCCATCCGAGCTCGAAGCCTCCTCCGTATATCCAGAAAAGCACTGGCAAATTGTCACCCTCCTTTGTGCCCGTCGGACGGTTGATCTAAGCTGGATCAGCAAGATTGTAGCTTGGACATGAAGCAGAAGCTCCCCTGTGTTTTACATACACTCATGACAAGACAGTCTTCGCTCTGGGAAGTGATGTTCTGGACCAGAGGGGTTTCGGCCAACAGCTCGATAACAGCGGTGGGCAAGGAGCCCTCAAGATTGTTCGAAAATACGAACTGGGGGCAAACATTTCCGTTCTCCTGCGCAGAAACCGTGCCCATGGGCTCAGTGATTGGCTCCGGAGGCTTGAGACGCCTGTCTCCCGTTGGAGGAAGTGCGTATGGAACCCCGAGGAACTCTTCTGTGTTAGGGGCAAGAAAGGACGGAGGTAAACCTATCAACGTCGCTTCCGGAGAGTTGATCACAACCGTAGGACCTTGGACGCTACGTGCAACGTCTGCCGGGGCGGCGAAGACTTGTAAAGAAAGGCTTAGTAGAACGAGTAGCATATTTGTTGAAAGCTTGGCACACCCACATAATACAGATCAAAATTAAGAGTATTTACGCTTTGAAATGGACAGCAGCATGCGCGGTATTTCTACCTGGAGCTCTATGACTGTCCATGAGATACCACTGGTCCTGATTCACCGGCTTTGCATTCCGTCTCTCGTGTTCAGAAGTGTCATTCGGTAGAAAGACCCATGGATTGTCGGTACTTCAGTCGTGGATCTGGACGCTTTCATGGTTAATCGTGTCCTACGACTCGGTACCTCTCAGACATAACTAAGACGTTATAGCGCTACGTCTAGGTTTGTCCTTGTTTCAACAAACCGCCTTCACAAGAGCAGGTACGGATTGAGCAGAAGCTTTTGAGATTAACTCAAAGACCTCGCTTCGAATGAACAAACGTGCCATGGCGACGGCTTTGTTTCTGAGTACATACGAAGAATACGCGCTCTCCATTACAGCAGAACCAAGTTCTGAGAGGTGAGGCTGCTCGCAGAGAATCTGTGCCGCATGTGAGGCCGAGCTCGTAAGCACATACTTCCCCACAGTTCAGAATAAGCATGGTTTCGTTTGGCGCTATTCTTCCTTGTGCTAATCATCAGGAATCCTAGCTTCGATCCTGTTCACGTCTCTCGAATGGATATTCCCTTTGTCCGAGTAGATGCAATTCTACAGCAAGTCCAGCAAAGGTTTGCAAAGATGAGCTAGAAGTAGATTCCTCTGCATAAATGTTCAAAGGGGAAGCACGGCGTTGTTAGGAGTACTGTGTTCTTTGTACCCAGAGTTAGAACTGATCAAGCTATCGAATTCCGATCTTGATATACAAACGATCTGAAAGCAGACCTCTGATCCCACAGGGCTTAGCCCATGACGCCTAGATCGGAGAAGCGGAAGGATTTTATTCATTGTCAACAACTTGTTGGTTCCAGAATGTGGAGGAATGGTAGGAGGGCGGGGCATCATTGTAAAGAACATGGTGGCATTAATGTTTCGAAAACACGGATTCGAGTATCTGACAAATGAGCGACTTCAAGATGCTGCGCACAGATGCCTACCACCTCACCTGAGCAATAGGAGCCAATACCGAGATCTTCGGATCTTGCCTGCCTCAGCCACCGTTCACTTTATCCGAGGATAGCAAGGAGCGACGACAGGCTTTCTTGCATTGACGATGACGAGCTCGTCCAGGTCCAAAAAAACTCATCATGGGAACCGATGCTGTCAACTATGCAAAGTCGTATCATTCAGGACGGCACGTCGAAGATCCTAAAACGGTCATTGGTGTAAAAGACGAGATGCTTAAGATGCAGCCCGACAAAAACGAAAACTGATGGAGTTGCGAACATTTTTCTCCCGTAGAAACATGCTGACGAGCAAATTCAAGTATCAGATGAGTCATGAACGGTATTCGTACTCCAAGCCGAATTCGAATTGGAATATGGTAGTAAACATCATCACATAATCCCGCACAACCAATATCATAATTAAGCACAAAAGCGCTCGCGCATATCTTCAGCGAAACCGGCATGTCACACTGCTTGATCTGAATGTTGAACTCGACGGTTGATTAATTCATGAGGAAGGTCTTGCGAAGTTGTCTTCACTGTTCACAGTTTGTGTTCCGACATTAATGTTGTAAAATTGAAGGGATTGGGGATCATCGCTGATTTGCAAGAACGGAGTAATTGGGTGCCTCCTTCAATGTCGCACTTCTCGTCGAGTACTCAACAATCACCTCCTGATTTGCACGCTGACTCTGTTCTTTTCGGAAGGCTGACTAGAGCGTTGACGATGATGAGTCCAAGTCTAGAGGTAGAAGGGTTGGGGAGTGCGGACTGAAAAGAGAAGGGCGGATGAATTCTGCCGCCGTGGAATATTGCAAATGTAGATTGGGAATGTCATTCGTTCTGGTAAAGTCCTGCTCCTCATCTCTGTAAATGCCCTACAGAGTCGTCACGCCGTCTTCGATGTGCCAAGGAAAACGATGCAACGTAGAACCGTTTCTCACCTTGTAAATTCTCACCACTCACGAAGTTCTCCCGTCACCTCGTCTATGAAATACGGCTGAGTCCATGCGGGTGCTCCAACAGCAGCTTTGCGTACAGCATCCTCATCAATTTCAATACCGAGACCAGGTTTGTCAAGCACTTTGACCATCCCCCCTTCCACATCGAAGGCCTCCGAGCTTTTTGTGTACGCATGCAAGTCCACACCTTCCTTCATGTTGTAATGGATGCCGATGCTCATTTCTTGAATCACGAAATTAGCCGCAACGGCGTCAACTTGAAAACTTGCTGCGAGGGCGATGGGTCCAAGCGGGCAATGTGGTGCGAGTGCTATGTCGTATGCTTCTGCCATGTGGGCTATTCGCATAATCTCCGAAATGCCACCGCAGTGGCTGATATCTGGTTGGAGAATATCAACCTTTCCATCACGTGTTAGCAGCTTTCTGTACCTTTTCGCAACGTTTATGATAGAAAACGTACACATCTCGCTTCTAGGAATGGCTTAACATCCCATCTGCTGTACAATCGCTCCCCAAGGGCGATCGGGATACTCGTGCCATCGTAAAGAGTCTTAACGGCCTCCACATTCTCGGAGAGGATTGGCTCCTCGACGAAGAGAGGCCGCTCCGGCTCAAGTAGTTTGATCAGCTGCTTGGCCATGGGCCGATGAAGTCTACCGTGAAAGTCTAAGCCGACATCGAGTCCCAAGTTTTTCACTTTTCTAACTCGCTCAACGGTGCTGTCCAAGACTTTAGGAGAAGCAAGCCACGAGACATCTTCTGTAGCGTTCATTTTGATCGCCGTGAAGCCTTGGGCGACACGCATTTTACTTTTAAAATTGTTAGCCTCCCCATGAAGTGTTGAACTTGATTGCTTACCCCGCCTCTTCAACATCTGAAGGTCTGTCACCACCGATCCAGGAATACACCCTCAGCTTGTCCCTAACCTTTCCTCCCAGAAGCTCGTAGATGGGTACATTTAATTTACGCGCTTGGTCCACTTAAAATCTGGCAAACCAACGCTACGGAATGTCAAGACATACCTTTCAAATCCCAGAGAGCGATATCGATTCCAGATAGCGCACTCATCAGCACCGGACCACCTCGATAGAATCCACGTCGGTAACCATGTTGCCAAATGCGCTCAATGTCACTGCGATGTACACGTCAGTCATGGCTTCTAGCGAGTTCGGTATTGATTTTAACATACTCGGCATTGAATCCAACGAATTGCACCTTGAAAGCATCCAAGGCACCTTCAACCGCATTTGTATGACCTGATTTAACGCTGTCAGTTTTGGTTTGTGCTTCCACCACGGCTTTGTTCACCTTCTAATGTTGCCTCTCCCCAGCCTGAGTTCCCATCCGCATCTGTAATTTTGACAAAAAGCCAGCGAGGGGGAACCTGATCTTATTTAGTTTTGTCAAAGAGTTAACGTAAGCAAAATACAAGCATAAAGCGTTCGACAGCCTTTGACTCTCATCTCAGTGAGGGGCGAGCTTGTACGATTGTATTTTACTGCGACTTAACAAGGCGAAGGACGCACTCGAAAATACTCGATATTTGTGATGACGGCCATTTTTGCGGCTCAAACAACTTGCAAGCCCACGTGGGCAGTAATATCTAATTCTTTGTTCGGCGCACTCGTTCCGCCCGCCACTGTGATAGCGGGTCACGCCGATAAAGCTGCTTGAGAGCACGCCAACCAGCGTCTTCAGGTCAAGGATTTGCCTGCACAAGAAAAATTCATTCAGTGCCTCGCCGACTTCGGTACCGCCATCGTGTCATGTCCATCACAGTGTTGAGCAGCAGACTCTGAAAGCCGGGCTGAACAGTCTAGATTTTCGCTCTCTTCGTACCGAACGACGCATGCAACACGCAGCTTACTCGAAGGCGGGATTGACTTGCCAAAACAGGCGGTGCTGTGGAGAGCATGTTTTCTACCTTGAGGTCGGACATGCTGGGTCAACCACCATGTTTTGTCGTACTGCATCATCGTGTACATTCCTCCGCACCACCATCCTTCCGCAAAAAGCTGTTGGACAGGAAAACTTGTATTGTCCCCACTGGCCATGATAAAGCTGCGAAAGGACAAGTCTCTGCTAGGGCTGATTGACTTGCTACCTGTCCAAAGATCTTCAATTAAAGGGCACACTGATGTACAGTACAAAGACGTGAACAGGCGGCTCGAGATGGCAATATCAAATTTTCGGCGGTCTAACAACAATTTGAAAGCGTAGCAATAGGGGCTCTTTCGGTATTACTTCGGTTGGCTGATGGCTTGTTCCAAGCCGAAGCGTGAGATGGACAGCTGCAGGATCCGCCCACCTGGAAGTTGTCATGTCCTCATTCGCTGCGAGACCATCGCCCTGGTCCACCCCATAAGCGGGCCCCAGAAGGTTCTATGCGACTTGGACTGAGACATGAAGCAGTACAGCTGTTCAATCAACGTCCGCGGTCCGGTCTCCCGCTCACGGCGTAGCAGTCGACCTTAATCGCATCGAGCTTATTTTGACCTCCGTTCAGGCTTGCGCAGCTTCAGAGTCAATCAGCAGAGGCAAATAATTTTCGCAATTGCAAGCGTGCCTTCATCTCCGCGCATGGTTGCGTTATCCCTGTTGCGGATGTATCTCCAGCTTCGATGAACCAACCGTTCGCCGTCAATGGGATCTTCGCATTCGTAGACATTCCAAGTATTACAAGTTTGGGTTTTGCCAATGCAGGGACGCCGATACTGCCGACAGAGACATCTCATCCGTACCTCGTGGTCGTCATTTTGACTCTTTTCAGAACGGTCTAACGCAGGTACCATATACTCTCCAAAAATGCAGCCTACCAACGTTCTTACTTTCTTTTTTTCGTTCCTGGAATCAAAGCTTATGCGGAGTCTTTCCCCGAACTTTCACACTATCTAGGAAGGACTAGAACTAGCGTTGCCAATGCACCCGGTCCGTCGAATACAGCTGTCAACATCTGGAGACAGAGCGGCATATGAGACTTCTGGTAGATCATGGAGATAATCGACATAATCCGCAACCTCTCTGAGCTTGAGTAATTAAGCCTCAAGAGGAACATGTTTTAATGTTCTTGATGCGCCTGGCCGATACTTAACCTTATGCCGCACACTTTTGAATCTTATCAACATCCATAATCTCAAGCTAGTCGCCAAAACTCAGGATAGACTTTCCCCCATCCTTCTGTAATACCTGCAGGGTACCTTTCCGGGTTTATTGCGCTCGGCCCGATTCGCTCAACTCAATGCCCCCGATGCTAAATTGTCTTGTGACCCTGGAAGCGTCGTGAAGCAAATGTGTTGGCCCTACATTCCGACTGATTTAACTCAATACATTATCTAATCGATGATTACCTTTGCTTCTAATACAGGGACATACTGAGGATGTTGCTTGCAAAGTAATGAGTGTGTTCGCATGTTGATTATATTACGATACTCCCAATTCCAATTAAGAGGTATGACTTCCGCCAAGTCTTCTGGACTAAGCCAAACACTTCGTTTCCTATTCCCTTTGAGCGTGAGGTTTATGAGACCGCCGCAATTGTCTTTTATTTTTCATTCTCCAACGGTTGCACCATATCATGCATCCGTTCTTATGTCTAAGAAACAAATTGCTCCTGTTTACCACATTTGCTGTCCTCGGCCAATCTCTCTCTCAACCTGTGCACGAGACGGGATTTGCGAAGCGCAATGCATCTTGCCAGAATGGACCTGATAGCAGAAATTGTTGGTCAGACGGGTTCGACATCAACACTAACTACTATGAAGAATGGCCAAGTACCGGAAACACCGTTACATATGACTTGACTCTGACGGAAACTCCGTGCAATCCTGACGGCCATGGGAGCAAGACATGTCAACTCGTCAATGGTCAATATCCCGGACCAACTATTAGAGCAAATTGGGGTGACAAGATCCAAGTTACGGTGCATAACAATCTTCAGGTTAACGGAACTTCACTTCATTGGCATGGCGTCAGACAGTTGGGCTCGAATGAAATGGACGGAACTAATGGTGTAACCGAGTGCCCACTTGCTGCTGGCGACTCAAAGACATACACATTTACCGCCACACAATACGGCACTAGCTGGTATCATTCCCATCACACAGCCCAGTACGGTCAAGGAATAGTGGGTGCCATTGTAATTGATGGGCCTGCGACAGCAAACTACGACGAAGACCTTGGGACGCTTCCGTTATCTGATTGGTATTACAGCTCTATTTACGATGTTTTGTACACTGTGATGGATGTACCTGGTCCGCTGCCGCCCGCGGACAACGTCCTGGTGAATGGAACTATGGTTGATGGCGATGGAAATGGGCAGTACCAAAAAATATCGGTCCAGCCTGGCAAAAAATACCGCCTTCGAATCGCAAATACTGCCATGGATCACATGTTTCATGTGTCTCTCGATGGCCACCCATTCACCGTAATCGAGGCCGACTTCGTTCCGATCAAGCCCTATCAAACCACAGACCTTAAGATCAACGTCGGACAGCGATACGACGTCATCTTCGAGGCAAATCAGGCGGCGAATAATTACTGGTTGCGTGTAGCTCCTGCTGCACCAGGCCCCCAAGGTCCGCTTTGTGGTTTTGCAGCTATTTACTCGAAGGAAAATGCACCAGTGGTTGGTGCAATTGTTTCCTATGACGGAGCCGGTGATGGTCTGCCGACATCGACAGCTTATGCTAATGACGGTTCATGCTCTGATGAGGTCATCGACCCTTGGTTCATCACCCCTATGTCTGGTGGATACAAAATTGACGCGCTTAATGTCACATTTGGCGCTGGGCAGGTCGTGAATTGGTTCATCAATGGTAGCACGATGATAGGTAAGTTAGCCTAGGCATAATCTCTCCGACTCTCAACTAATACGCTTTGTAGCCGACTGGGAGAATCCAACCTTGGCATTCATCCGCGACCAGAAACCGTTCACCAGCAGCATGAACGTTGTTCAGATGCCGGAAGCAAATTCATGGTATCTGTGGGTCATTGAAAACGCGCTTTTCCCTATCAGTCCGCATCCAATCCATCTTCACGGCCACGACTTCGAAATCCTCGGATCAGGTGAAGGCCCATTTCCTTGGGGCACCGATTTTTTCACGGGTGCGAAGCCTCAACGGCGAGATGTTGCTACGCTTCCCGGAACGTCAAATGGGGGCTGGCTGCTTCTTGGCGTTTATACCAACAATCCAGGAGCCTGGTTGATGCATTGCCACATAGGCTGGCATGTATCTCAGGGATTAAGCATGCAGTTCGTGGAGCGACAAAGTGAAATTTTGAATACTGTTGGAAGTCTGGACGACATGACAAAAGGCTGTTCAGCATGGACCGCATACTGGAACAGTGGTGATCATGGAGCCAAGATTGATTCTGGCTACTGAAAGTTTCTTAATAAATTTTTCATATGTTTTCTTTCATATGTACCATTTGATTTAGCGAGCAAGTCATCGTAATACTCTTGTCCAGAATACTGCGGATATAGCAATGATGATACAGAGCGTATCAACGTTAATCATAGAACCAATGTCATGTTGCCCGAACCTCTAAAGAAATGGCGGCCGAGATAGATCTTCGTAGAGGCACTTTGCAGCATCATCGCAAGCACTGTCCATCCATAAAAACGTCACTAGCGCAGATTTAAGGTCGCTCCATGATGTGATATTTTCCATTGCTAACATCGCTTTCAGTCTCTTCAGAAACCAGGGTCTTTCAATTGTGTCTCGTGCCATGATCGCTGCGAGAACAATCATCCAAATTAACAGCTTGCCACCTCCAAGCATGCAAGTTTCAAGACTAATGCTCTCAACCACGCGCTTTGCGATCTGAACAAGCCGGTTCGGGGCCCCGGTTGAAGGCGGCAAAGGATACAGTACGCCTGTGGAAAACAGAAGGCCTCCAATTCGGCAGCATTCGTAGATGTGATGTTCTTGGTTCACAAGCCCAATTTCTATTGCACTTGGAGTGCTCAGTAAGTTATGGTGCACATAATTTCTCTCGCACAGGAGGACGTGAAAATCTGCTTGAAGCAGTTCGCCTCTGCTGTAAAAATCAATCTTTCTGCTGATTAGCGCGGTACGCCGTAAGATCCCGGAGAGTTGCAATGGAAGACCCAAAGAAAGTAGCGATTGAAAGCCTAGGCAAGTAGGTAGTTGATTAGTATCCTCAGGGACGGCGTTCACATTGGGGTCTTCAAACGCCCGAACGATCTCTGCAATGTCCCAAAAGGGGAAAACAGGCTTTCGGATATACTTTGCGGCGATCTGGAGATCATTTCTTTGATAGAAGTTAGCAAAGCATTCCCATTCCGGAAAAGAGAACACTTGCATAGCCATCGACTTGGCCAGAGGTAAACTTAAACCATCAAGTCCTCCTTTAAGACCAATCAGCCTAGTTGCTGCCTGTATATGTGCATTTTCTTTCGCGTATGCATAATGCCTTGTCCACTGGATGCTTTGTAATATTCCAGGTGCATTGAATGGGCAGGATTCGACAGACTCACGATCTCTATCATGCTCATCACTTTCCATCCCCAGGTAAGCCATTGCGAGCACAAACGACTCATTGATAGCTTCTGGTCTGCGGATATCGTTGATAGCCACCTGCAGTCGCTTAAACGCTTCATGTTTATGCAGCAATATCTCACGCGATTGGCTTATTTCTGTTCGACCCAGAAGATCGTCATGATGGACTGCTGCGGCATATAAGAATCCATGAAACACGGCAGGATTGTGAGAAAACATCGGCCACCACTCATTCACGAGCGGGCTGGCTTGACCGAGGTCCTTAGATGGCCAATACTTTGGCCAGATGATCTGAATAACTGCTAACTCTCAGAACGCGAATTCGATCGGCCACATAACGTATTCGTACCATGATTGATGAGCTTGTGCATGTGTATTGTCACGGGTTTGTTATATCCACGAAGCGCCTCAAGACTGCTCTCTAATATACTTGAGTTGCTAAGCCCTTCGGACTGCAATCCTTGACGCAAAAGCGCAGAGTAGAAGACATCGGTTGTATTCTCATTCCAGGTTGTGAGAAAGACTGGGGGGGAGCGACCTTGCGGATGCGTGAGAGGTGCTTCTACTTCGTCGTCTTTCTCTGATGCAGCGATTTGTTGTTCCGACCGTGCTGATGCATTCTTCAACACTCGTTCACGTCGTCTCCGCTGTGTCATAACGAGCGATCGCGCCTGGTTTGCATTGCGCCGTCTTCTATCCGCGGATGGCTCACCGACATCGATGAAAGCGAAGGACGACATATTTTCATCGTGTTGCGTCTTGCTCACTCGTAGATCCAGCAATCTATACTAAGCTAGAGGAAGGACATATTATAAGCTAAATGCGCCTATCTAGAATAAAAGCTAGCGCGATAAATTTCATGTTAATTCCTTGAGTTCCGCTTCTGATCTGCAAGGAATTGAACTTCGTGAGTGTCAGCCACGGAAGTGGGGTCTATTTCTACCGCACGGGGTCAAATCTCGTTCGAGGCTTTGTAGTCCACGCATGCAAAGACGATGGCTGTTTGGCCCACTGAAATGCCAATCAACACATGAAGTGGACTTATCGTCAACCTTGCAGCTAGCTTCCATAATCCGTCCAAGTTTGAAGCATTCAAGCTTTAAGTAATAGAAGCTTTTCAAGAATGGCGCGAAGAGTGTCTTAGTCGAGAGTAGATAAGTTGTGTTGGCGAGATTTCCAAGGAATGACTTTGAACCATTCTCCGCTAGAAGGGTTCTAGAGACGCATGCATGGTCTTCATTACATGGCGTGACCATCAGCAGAAGTACTCCGTTGGGGGATATAGTTTGATCAAGAGATTGAAACCCGCCTTAATAGCAGAACTTGAGCCGCTAAGCAGAAAACACAGCCAGTGAGAAATATAATTGAAAGGTTATCCGAGCTCTACGAGTTGATGAAGTGAGTTCAGTTCGCAAACGATGTTTTCCCATCCTGAAAAGTCGAAATGAGCAATCACTGTAATTGAAGTGGGTATAATAAAGTAATCGCCCCATCCTCCGCACGTATTGAACATCTTTCAATCCGCCCGCCAGCTACTCACGTTTCCTTGAAAACAGCTTTGCCCGCTTCATTCAACCCCAAATCCTCATCTTCAATACCCAGCTATGACGCAGCTTCAGGCCCCCTTCGAGGACTATTTGCAGAGCCACCGCCACTTTTTTTCGCTAAATTTGCAAAGAAGTCCTTTAGTCGCTGGTTTTCCATCTCCGCATTGTCACCGCCACCCACTGCTGCCTTTGGCGTGCTCGGGCTCTTCAATCGAGACGGCTCCTCCATCGACCGCGTTGCTTCACGATCCTGTAACTCAACGAATTAGCAACACTCGTCCCAACCGTTTCCACTTGTAGCTCTTCGTAGAGCCGGCTGTTAAACCTACCTTGATCTTCCTGACCATCTCTTCGGCATCAACCTGTATACCGCCCATGTTGAACTGCACTGGCCCAATATGCTCCTCAACATGTCTCCCGCCGTCATCGAGAAGTGAGCCCAATCGGCTAGCGTCCTTTTTACTTTCTTGAGCCATTCTTTCCTTGCGGTCTGCCACTTGAAACTCCTCTAGAATCTTGCTTTGTTCGGCCAAGAACGATTGGACATCCTTGCTCTCGACTTCGATCACTCCTTTCGCTCCCGCTTTCGGCATCCCCCCAGGCATGGCCGCGTTAGCTTTCGGGTTCGTGATATCAGCCTCATACATAGACACCGCATTAGTTTCATCTTCGCCTGTAGGTTCGCTCCCCGACGGTTTCTGAATTTCAACGGACCACATCTTGCTCACGATCTCCGGGTCGAAATTATCAGCCATCATCCGGATTTTGGCCCAAGAATCCCAATTTGGCGGCACAAGAGTACGATCTCGGTTACTAACTTCATACCCGAGCTCCTTCTTTTGTGCAAGCAAAGTAGACGTAATCCCCAAGCTCGAATGAACAAGCGGTTGTAATGACCCAGGTGCCGAAGGCATTGTATATATCAAGCTGCCTCCATGCTTGAGAAGGATCGTTCGAATATATTGTCCAATATAGTCGAACTGTTCATCTTTCCAGCCATGATCCCGTTCCAAGCTTTGCATCTTGTCCGTGTTCTGACACACCACACAAAGTGGCATCCCCAGCGGTTCGTCCCACTCCCCAGGTCCTAGAGGCAGTGAGGCGTCCTCTGCATCACCACTTTCTGTGCTTTCTACGGTATTACTACGGTTGCGTTGGCGATCACGCCATCGAGATACATTGTCTTCCATAGCATTTTTTGATTCGTCATCGAGAGATACGACAATAGAGCGAATAAGCCTGATCCAGTCTCGCAGTTGACGAACCCAGTGCCAGGGTTGGTTCCAGTCAAGTAGGATGACAACTAGGGTATGGGAAAGTGTCTTAGGGGTGAGAAGCGGTTTGAGAAGGGGTGCGAATGACGTAGATGCACTGCTGAGTGTATAAATGGAGAGTCGGGCAAGAATGTCTTGTCAATGTCAGTCGTAGTCGAAGTTGTAGTTCTTCAGCAGACAAACCTTCATGGTCCGCGTCCAATACATCTTGATAAGTATAACCTAATGCATATTGATTTGCAACGGGAGGCGGTCTCCGAGTTTGTTGTCGGCGATTACTAGACGTGTCTGTGGATAGCGATTCTAGGAAGTCTTTTTGCGATTGTGGCGATCCTCCTGTTGTTGAGTTAGTAAAAATGCTCTTAACGCTCTAATATGTTTAATATATACACACCCAGTAGTAGAAGCTGCTTTTCAGGCAGTCTTTTGCCACTTGATACACTGTTCAGGAGCGTGGACCATATCTCCTTCTTCGGCGCCTGCGTCTTCCGCCGGTCTCGCGCGTCTGCGAAGGGGTTCGACGACGGTTGGACAGCTGCCGAAGCCATGTTGAACAGAAAAAATTAAGTGTATGTAAAATCAAGCAAGATTGAGGAGGCAGCAGCTGTAAACCAAGATCAGGACATCAAATCGTGCCGAAGGTTTGTACAGTAGGGGGTTGCTCTCGTGAAGCAAACGCGTGGAGTTGATCGCGGAGGTGACGTACAACGAACTCAGCCGCGCACAAGTAACTCTCTACCACTACTGTTATAAACTTACCAATTCAGGATCAAAACCCCGAAACAAACACTAGATAATTTATTAGGACTTTTTCAGTCCTGGGTCAGATTTATTTAAGTTGTTTTCCACTCAAGCACATGTTCAGAAGCACACCACGGATACTGAGGCTGAGTCCACATTAAGTTCAATCTCCGCAACTTTTTTCGGACTTGTGCTAGAATCGTAATTGACTGCTGCGGTCATTCGATTTGGATTCTCGGTGCACAACGTTGCAAATCACAATGAAGAACTCGCAAGTTTAAATACCCTGATAAGCTATCTTAGTTCCCCCCATATCGCAACCTCGCCTCCCAGAATTATGAACGCCATTCGCGCGACTCAAAAACTCAATGCCCGCGAGCTTGAGGAGTGTACACCCCCCAATGCGTCCTGGCACCGCGACTACGATGATACAGCCTTCATATATATTGGCGGCCTAGATACTCGTCTCTCTGAAGGAGATGTGATCACAATCTTCTCCCAGTATGGAGAGCCTGTCTTTATCAACCTAGTACGCGACAAAGACACGGGGAAGAGCAAGGGTTTCTGTTTCCTGAAGTATGAGGATCAGAGGAGTTGTACGCTGGCTGTTGATAACCTCGGAGGAGCCACCGTCTTGGGTCGGATGCTGAGGGTGGATCACACAAGATATAAGCCAAAGGAAGGTGAGGAAATCTTCGACAACACACACGGTGAAACTGCACCGAATAGAAGGTTAGAGGAGACGGAAGATGAGAGTGAAGAAGAAGAAAAAGAAAAAATAAGCCGACCGATGCTAAAAGAGGAGAAGGAACTGCAGAAATTGCTGGAAGAAGCAGATGAGGAAGACCCTATGATGGCATACTTAATTCAACAGAAGAAAGAAGAGGTTGAAGCTGCTAGGGCAAGGGCTCACAAAACTGATCGGAAAGATAGAAAGCACAAGTCAAGGCGGGATGATGATCAGAGACGGAGAAGGAGGCGACATTACAATGAAGACGAAGATGATGACAGGGATCGGAGGCGGTATTACAGCAATGATGAAGATGATGAAAGGAGTCGGAGAAGGAAACGACAATACAGCGACGACCAAGATGACAGAGATCGAAAGAGACGCGGAGACCAAGATAAGGACCGAAGCAGAAGGCATGAAAGCGCAGATTCAGGCACACTGGAAAAAAGGCGACGGCATGACTCTGACTATGGTGATGATGGTATTCGAGGGAGTCGAAGGCATAAGCCGCGCTCCAGAAGTCCCCGACGGGACGAAAGCTCTATCGATATTCAAAGAGAACGTTCGGCTTCGAAAACCCCAGTCTTTAGTGACTGAGGTCTTCCAAACCATTAGAAAGCTTCTGTGATGGATATGACGCACATATATATCCAGTTATGTCGTAAGTTAATAACTCTCATGTCAAAATTTAAACTCTCCCCTTGCAGGAGAGCTTGTAGATGCGAGTGAACTGTATACCTGAGACCGCAGATGACTGTGAGTCAGTTCAATGTTATGGAATTTCGATTCAAGCGAAGAACGACTTCTATCACATCCTCTCACCCCGGCAATTTTCTATCATGGCATCTTCGTATTCTTTCGAAATATGATTTTTGCAGCCGCACAAAGTGTTATCTAATCCGAAGGCGACCATGCTGCCCCTACATCGGATGTCTCCACTTCTGATTTCCAACACGCCTTTCTACCAACTAATTAATCATCCTCGAAGTTATCGCTCGCCAGCTCAAATCGAGGTAGTGGAACCATTCACGTATTGACACTCTCAATGGCTTTCAAATTCTGTAAGAGCATTCACACGTTGCGAACTATAATGTTGGCATTAATTATCTATTGGCTAATGAAGATATGAATTTTTGCTTTAAATTCCCAAGTTGAATATTGGAATTAATTTCTAGAGGTCCGCTTTGTCACATGCAGTAATAAGGTAAGCACCCAACTTGCAACAATGCTAGCAACTAGAATACCGATCATTACCCAGTTCGATCCAAGATAAACGGGGTTCTTTTTTGCATCAGCAGGCCACCCTGCATATAGGGCATAGTTTGTCATAATGCTACCACAATTTCCTAAACCGGAGACCACAGCTGCTGCTGCCGCAACTCCGACTTCTCCATGCCTTGACTGGAAGAGCTCCGCTGTCCAAGTCATTGTGATAGGTACCGTTGGACCAAGGCCAAAGCCAACAATTAAAAGTCCAACATATCTACCCCATCGCTCGGAGATGGAATCACCAGCGTATGTTGCGATGAGCAAGCCGGCAATTTGAATAGCTGTCGGTATACTGAAGAATAAAGCTCGATGTCTGTAGAAGTAGTCGCTGATTGGTGTGACCGTGATAATACCGATAAGATCGCAAATCCAGATGGGCGCGTAGAGCAAACTAAGAGTGATGCCACTCCATGACGGGTTGATGCCTTTCAACATGACAGTTGCATAGCTTTGTACACCATTTCCGACGCCCACGACTCCGAAATACATGATAACTAGGGGCCAAAGCCTCCAGTCAACCAGTACTTTCCACAGGTCTTTCAATTTCCACGCACTGTTGAGGTACGCTTGACTGAGATCCTTATAGTGCAGCTCGGCATCCACACCAGTCAGGACTGGAGGCGCTGTGGGTAGCCAAGCCGTCCACTTGCTTCGATGTCTTGTCAAACCAGGACCAAGAGGTCGATCTGGAAGCCACCATAACAGTGTGAATCCAACGACTAACGTGACCAGGCCCCAAAGCAGGAACATCCACTGAAACCCAACCAGCCCACCGTCTCCGTCCATTTTTTGAAACCCAGCGCTGACAAGTCCGACCACCGCTGCCGAGACTTGAGAGGCAGTGAAGTACCATCCTACCCTCTTTGCCATTTTGTGCGTTGGATAGAACATGGTTAGGAATAGTGACATTCCTGGCCACATCCCTGCTTCCACTGCCCCGAGCAGTAGCCGTAGCACATAGAAGCTGGCGGCACTTTTCATGCCCACCATTGCAGTGCCGATTATTCCAACACTGATCACGATCCTGGCAAGCCATACAGATGGTTCGAGCTTGCTCATCGCCAAATTAGACGGCAGTTCTAGAACAACATAGCTAACGTAAAAAAAAGCTAGTCCAACTGACACCTGATGTGAAGAAATGTCAAGGACGCTTTTAAGGTCGTGATCGTCAGCAGCATTCATAGTCTGTGCTAGGCCTACGTTGGCACGGACACCTGAGCAAAGAAAGTACAGCACCCAGAAGGGAGGGATGATCCTGAGATCCAGCTTGCGGTATAGTTTGCGCATGCGATCTCTGTCAGCGGGAATCAGGTCTTCTTCCGGTGAGTTTGATTGCTGGGACCTTTCATTTTTCGGTTGTTCTATTGAAGATCCATGTTGTTGCTCCATCGAATGGCCCATTTTCGTGAAGCCCAGCTCAGCTTTGAATTAGAACGACTGATGCCAGCTTCGTTGTGTAAAGTGATGAACAAGAAACAAAACTGAAGAAAAAGCAGAGAGTATCTCTGCCTGAAAGAGATGCAAGAGCAAACAGAAAATGAATATGTTCACTGGATCCAACGTGAAATATCTCATCAATTGCTACTAACAAGTTCGCTTACCTTGCCAAAAGATTTAACCGCCGATTATAGCCGTCCTTGCCCCGATTTCGCTTGACGCAAAATCTCTATCCGGGTTAGAATACGGTTCAGCCAATTGTTTGTTAACATAGTATTTCCAAAAAGTCTTCGAAGGCTGAAATATCGAAACTTCTAGACTGTTAATTAAGATCTGTTGCTATTCTTTCTAAGTAGTGTTTGTCTCAATGATAACTTTTTGGAGGTCTAGCGTCGCCCGAATGTTCCGCAAGCCACAATTGTGGCCTCAACAATGATGAAAGGGCAATTCGGCTCACTTGGACTTTGGTCGGATATTGTGACCGCTACTTGAGTGGACTAAATAAGTGGATAAAATGACCACAGGCCTTGAAGCCGATGATTTCCCCTTGCATGCATATTCTATCATACAACACGGATCTAGGTTTGCAATGCTTCTCACTTGCAAACAGAATGCGATATTTGGACAATAAATCTCAGATCGATGCAGGTTTTGTACCTCTTTTACAGGGAAAACTCCACAATACATCATCGATAAGAAGCATATCACTTTTTTTTTTTTTTAAAAAAAAAAAAAAAAAACTTTTATTAGAACGCATCATGCTAATGTGCAGAATATGCTTCTCCTTCGACAGGTTCATTAGGCAGGAGTTGTCTTTCAACCCTTCCATTACATGCTCCTTATTAAAGCTCGTCAAAAATTTTCAATCTGAAAATTTGACGTTTTATCACCGTCTCGGCGTGAAAAAATTGGACATTCTTGTGCAGGAAACAGCCCACAATCGAAGAAGAATGGAGAATTACGCAAGCTTAGTTAAATCCATTCTTCAAACCTGAAAGGCTTCGGCTTTCCTCTGCCAGGGTCCAAACTAACCACTCTCTTCAAGAACAGGTGGTTGTTGGTCTCCGCTTCAAATTTCCCACTCAAAGTCCGGTTACCTACAGCAGCGAACGAGTCAAATTTTCCGACACCATCTGGGTCAAAACCACAACATGAAGCCCACTCGGAGCTCAACATTGGGCTTGAACCATTGCCTAGATCGCTCCATCTTGTAATCTGCAGGGCATGCTTGAAGCTTGGTCGGCCAGTGGGCCCAGTGTCCTCAACCAATTTAATCTGGATGAGATACTCAGTCGGGCACTGAGGGCAACGCCGAATGTCCCTGCAATTTTCGCATTGACTGACTGCAAAATTGCGATTTCGGGCATTGATGCTTGGTCCTCGACCTTGCTTGAGCTGATCTCTAATGCGTTCCGGAGGTTCTGGGATGTGTGATACAGCGCACTTGCAAACCTTCATCAACTCTCCACTTTTCCAATGAGCACAGACCGAGAAATAAGGGTTGCTATCAAAGTATTAGTGCGAATTTAGTCTAAGTCGCGCTAAGTCGGTACTTACTAATCCATTCGGTCAAGCAACAGCATACGACGCTCTGTGTCCATCATGTTAGGAGGTGCGATGCATTGGCTGATAACCCGCATAAGTAGGTTACCCTTGACCACCACGAAACGGGTTGCATGAGACCATTCACTGGCACTGCATTTCCAACGCCGGTCAAGCGACGATGCAGGAATACCGTGCAAAGAACCGAAATTGCGTTGTCTTGTCGCAAGCTGAATAAAACTAAACGGCAGTTCTCGTCCGTAAGTGAGACGCATACGCGGAAGCCAGGTATCGTAGACCTTAGGGCAGAGGTACAACGGATTTGCAACGAAATCAGCCTTGTACTGCTCACGCCCCATCCGAATTCTCTGGTGAAATGTAGCGCACGGTGTGCAAAGTAGATGCAGTGGCATGTATTTGTCAAGTCGGAACAAGAAGTCTAACCTCGCCACTTTGTTTGCGGGGTTGTTGAGCTTCCTCCAGAGCGTATCGCCATCTAATCTTGCTCGTAAAATGCTATTAGCCAAAGCCAAGCTTGCAGAATCAGCAAGAGATAAAAATGATGCGATACGCTCCCATAGCGACGCAGGTAAGCTCGCAATCGAGAATTCGCCAGGGTTACGATATTCATTTTGGGACATGTACAGCTCCGCGAGATCCTCAATCGATCGATCGCGCGTAAGGCTGTGCATAAGCTCTCCTATGTCATATGGCCTTGGTTCACCAACAAGTGTCGAAGTTTCGCTGTCAAAAGAGTATATTCTCTCTCCCGTTTGCGAATCAATAGAAGGTGCTGTAGCTCTTCTATTCATGCGGTTTGATGGGTGAGCTTGCGAAGGCTCTGAGGCCCTGCGTTCAACCTGCGGCGGCTGCACCGGAGGCAACCGCTTCTTTCTGAGCTTCATATTAACTCTCAGATGAGAAAAAGTGATGAATGGATTCGGTGTAGAGAAAATGAGTGATGTTGATCTGTGAGCTGCGGAGTAATGAGGAGCATGAATCCGGATTAGGTAATCATCACGTGCATGTAACTTACTCTAATCATGTAATCTATTGTGCAGATTACGTTGGCGGTCATAAAGAAGGCTTTTCTAAAGAGATGATTACTGAGTTCCAGGAGCTCAAAGCAATTATTGACATATCTTCCACTTTGCATGACAGGCAAGCTATACAAAGCTGGATAATACACTATTTTTTCTTCATTACATCACGCAACACCATTACTCTTTGTCCATCCTTTTTTCTCCAATTCCTGTCTCGTATATGTTCTCGGAACATTGTCATAATAAGGAACCACGATAACATCTTCCTCTTGCCCTTTCGGAGGTTTGCCAACCATGCCTTTTGTCGCATTAGTGACAGGCTTGGTGCTAACAAGCAGGTTTATTAGGCCGGCTGTTTTGCCAGCGGTACCCATGCTTTCCACAATACCTTTAACCTTGGATGCGATTTCTTCTGGTTTTTCAATTCGAACTCCAATGTTGCCAAATCCCTCCGCTACAGTCTCGAATTTGCAGACCGGGCTGAGTGAGGATACAGGACGCGCCGGGTCGTCATTTCCATAGATGATATCTTGTCCAGCGATAGACATCCCCCATTTATAATTATTCATCACCACAGTGAGAATCCTAAGCCCATGTCTGGCATATGTGTCTAGCTCAGCAATATGGAAACCAGCACTACCGTCACCATGAATATTGACAATGAGCCGATCAGGGAATGCCAGCGCAGCTCCAAGGGAATAGCCATAACCGTTTCCAAGGAATCCAAGATAGCCAGTGCTATTCATACCTGCGTATGGTTGTGCTGATTCCCATGCATCCATGGCCCATACACCAGCTTCACCCCCATCAATAATGATAACAGGGTGGAGATGTGATAACGCCGTGTACACGTCATTGATCGCATGATAAGGGTGCAACATGCCATCTTCTCTGTTCACCTTATCGTCTCCAGCGTACTGTTGATGAACGACATTCTTCAGACCAGAGCAGATCTGAATCCACGGATTATTAGTGGAACTTGGCCATTGTAGCGACTTCTCATTCAGCAATCGCAAGAACGCTCGAACAAACTCAGTAGCATCGCTGACAATTCCAAGCTCAATAGAAGTGGATTTACCAATTTCGCCACCGTCAATATCAACCTGGGCTGTCTTGCACTCTGGTGGATGTGGGATAATACCACCCGATCTTCCTCCGAGCAAAAAGCCTGTTCGAGCGCCAAGTAGAAGAACAAAGTCAGGTCTTTGCTGTCCTAGAGGCTTCAGGAATGCCAATTTAGTCGCCGGTCCACCTCTAAGAGGGTGTTCGTGGGGAATAGCCGCTGGGGAAGCAAACTTTCCGCTGAAAAATATTGGAGTGGACGTTGTTTCGGCAAGCCTAAGCAACAGATTTTCGCCGTCGGTTGTCCGACCGGCACCGGTTCCTGTGATGATCACTGGTCGCTTTGCAGCGCTCCAAAGTTCTACCAGTCGCTCCAAAGAGGCTGGATTAGGTGAAGGTGGTAAAGTAAGCTCTGATGTCAGATTGCCCAGCGCAAGTGCATCTAATCGCGGTGGACCGAAAAGCACATCAATTGGAAAGTCCCTGATATCCAATGAGCTGCACAATTTTGGCACCGGTCTAGATCTACTTACACGACTACTGGACCAGGTATTCCCGAAAGTGCGACACGAAGCGCGTAAGATACAATGCGTGGAATTTCCTCAACATTCGTTACCCGATGAGCAAATTTTGTAATTGGCTTAGCTAGCACAACTTGGTCATGGAAGCCTTGAAGGCAATTGGTTTCGGCATCTCGCAGCGGTGGTGAGGAGGTTATGACAAAAATCGGGCTTCGGTCAGCGTTCGCAGTAGCGATGCCGGGTAACGCATTGCAGAAGCTATCGTATCCTTAGTACTGAGTTGTGCGCTAGATGTGCAAATGGTTGTACCCAGAGTTGGCAGTTACAAAACAAGCTCCAATTTTCCCACTCAGCTTAGTATACGCTTCGGCAGCTTGCACTGCACAAGTCTCATGTCGTGTATCGATGAGGCGTATTCCGATCGATGCACATCCGACCAGAAATTGATCAAGATGCCCTCCATGCAGTCCGAAGAGCAAGTCCACGCCAAGTTGAGCCAATGACTGAGCAACCAGGTCTCCTCCGAGGAGCTCTCTGTTTTTGGGATGCTGGAATTGGAACTTTGACATCTCCAGAACAGGCAATTACTATTGTTTTGCGGTCGCCGATTTGGGCAATGCTTCGGATGAAATCTGTGTGTCTATTTAGAAGCAACGCTTTAATATGTCTGCAGAAGACGCTTTTAACAAAGTTTCTGGTCTTCTTTTTCCGAAAACGCATCATCAGAACCGCTCTAGTTACCTCCGAACAATCCGAGGTTCGTATTGTCTGCGGTAGTATCTGGTGACCGAGCGGGGAAGCATTGGCTTTTCAAGTGGGGGCTTCCTGTGACTGACCTTCCACGACTCTGAAGAGTTTGTCAATACGACAGCGTAAGTTAAGAACTCAAAACAGATCATGTGCGAGAATGTTGGATGCCATTCATATGTTCAATGAGATTTTTCTCAGCAGAATTCATAAAATTCGTGTCATCTTGCTAAATCACCCCATTATACAACGCATGATTCAGAATAAGGATTGGAACTTTTCCCTAACAGTTTGAATAAACCCAATAGCAATTAAACGCTATCAATATACTTGAGTTGGAGAATCCAAGATATATGCGAATTTCGACTCTTCTCGGTCCATAGCATTGTGTTGTTACCATTCGCACTGATCTCATCCGTTTTCTTATTGTCTGTCGGGTTGCTTTTCTCAGCGCCAATGAAACTATTTGATTGTTAGAGGGGTCTATCCTTCAACACATTCAAACCCCGGAAAAGCATTTTATAAGTTGTATTTTCACTGTATCTATTTGTGCCGAATACTCCATTTGGAATACATATCATAGCAAATATAGCTCAACACTTTGTCACGACGTGGAAGATATCTTAACGTCTTAAATTGTTGTTTGCACAGCCGTTCTCTATCAAAGCAAAAACAAATCGCACAGTTAGGACCAGATGGTCACTCGAGTAATACATTGCTAATTCTTCATGACACGTGACTAGACAGAGCTCTCATAATTAAGATCCTGCATGGCTGACGTTTTGCAGGCACCCCACGTCTTTCGCCTTGCGAGTAGAACGTATATCTCATGGACCGAAAGGTTTATTAATGTCATATCGATTATCAAAAGAATCACTGAAAACGAATTTTCACAGCCCTATTCTTGACCATACTCTCTTTGTAACGTATCGTGCAGCATACCCCATAGCCCATCATCCCACGTTGCAACTTGATCCCATTCCGGCAAAGCAACGCTTAGGAGCTTCAACCAGCCACCTAAAATCAAATCAGCATATGTGGGAATCTTGCCCTCTAGATATGGTCCCTCGTCTCGTTTACGAAAGTAGCTTCCAAGTTCTTTCATATCTTGTTGAAAACCTTCCAGCGTTGCTGTTCTAGCCTCTCCCTTGAGATCAAAATCGTCCCAGCAAGTCATGCCCGGTACCTTGGCGACGAAATTGCTTTTGCTCTGCTCTGCAGTCTCTGGATTGAATGGCAAGCCGTGAGCATACATCAGACCAATCGAGCCAAAGGTATTGCTAGCGCCTGAAAAGACTGCATCGCATTTTGTGTTCCAGGCACGCATGATTGCTACTGAACTCGGAGGAATCAGAGGAGGATTTGGAGCAGGGTATATCTCATCGAGATACACTGCGATATCGAAGGAGTCCCCTACCTTGGTATCATTGGAAGTATCATGAATCACTGGCAGTGTGTAGTAGTCGGAACCATCGAAATGGGATCGTGACGGTGGAACTTTCAGTATGTCTCTACGTGTTTTAGCTACGTCTGGCAGCTCGACCCATTGTGTCGTGTAGAAAGCCTTCTTGAAATTCAGCGCATATCTAAGGTAAGAATTAACAACAGGAGCAAAAAGGGCACAAATAGAGCAAACCGTGTTTTTGTGGGATTCGGCGCGTAGCTCCTGACAGGTCGACCCGAAGCTATATCGTAAAATAGAATTGGGCGTGTCTCTGTCATTACCGTTGCAACTTACTGAACAAAGTTGATGGCTGGTGAGGAGAAATTCGTGTGCAGGATCAAGGTGACGTCTTGCAGCTCAAGGTGGAGAAATGACGCGCCTCATATTTCTCATGACATTGTAAAGCTGTAGCGTATAAACTTTAACTTTCCATAATATCAGCGAAAAAAAAAAGAGCACGGAGAAACATTACTAGTGATGTGCATGGCGCAAAAAAAGGTCGTGCCCGGGATCGAACCGGGGTTACCGGAAGATTTTGTCATTCCTCAAAATCCGGTGTGCTGATGCTAGTTAGTACACCTGAATCTGAATAAGGCAGAATAGAAAGAACATACATCACCACTACACTACACAACCTAAGGTATGGTTTGGCAGTTCGCTCTGGGTTTTTGCAAATATATTGCGTCATATCAAAAGGATAAGTGGTATAAATTTTAGCAAAATGATTGGTGAATCGTTTTCCTCAAGCCTTGACGGCTCTGAAGCCTAGCTGAATGTGAACTATGTACGCTTTTGCGTTGTGCAGAAGTTTTCCTTACGCTCAAGGCCATTTCCTTAATGAGCGCTATCTGCACGTTCTAATTTTTTCTCGACCCTAGGATTTACCCTCACTTTTGGTAGAACATGAATGATTGCGTGCCTAAGGTACAGACGTGAAGCATTTCTGCCTTTCTTGCCTCAGGCTATACTCGCTGCAGTACCGGTCTCAAGTTCCCATACCCAACTTTGATCATCTCCCCTTCGGCTTATGAGCTGCAAGTACAGGAGATCGAGGAGTGCTACTGCTTCAATTCCAAAGCTATTAATCAAGTCGCCATATTCTTTCTTGTAAATTAGCACAAATGGACCGCGCCCTTGACGATATCATTAACGACAAGAAAGTGAGATTGTCACTGCTTTAGGTTTCGAGACTGGACTAAATTTATCCCAGCGCAGCAGCTTTCGCTCAAGAGATCGTCGTCCACCACGCGACGGCGTAAGAAAGGTGAGTTTATGCGTATCTCGTAGAAGATCACCGGACTAACAAAACACACCAGGTTAATACTCCCTAAGTCCTCCCATCATATTGGCTGTTCGCTCGAGTTATTCCGGCACAGTCGAGGCTTGAGACCTTCACTCACCGAAGCCATTACGTTACCGAGCTGCTCCCTCGAATCGAACGGATGCACATAACCTAAATGCATGATTCGAATGCTGACACTTACTCCCCCTCATTAGCCTACGGGTAGGAGGGAAGAGTCCAGAAATATTGATTCGTGAGATAGAAGCTCCAGTCCGTTCGCTTGTAAACTCAAGCTGACTCGCGAAGCGATTGGGTCCATGACCGTTACGACGATGATGATTGTGTGTTCATCAAATTCATCTGAAGTATCATTCGACTGACAGCTTCAGCTCGAGGACCACGCCGTAATGGTGGAAGAGGTGGTTTGTTTAGTCAGAATAGGAGACGTTCACCCGAAGAACGCACGTATGCAATACCTTGACCTCTCTAATGGACTGTCCCAATGTTAACAAATACCACAGTACTGCATCTGGAGCGAAGATAAAGATCGAAAATTTGCACTACGACTTGACGGAAGAAGATGTCCGCGTACGTGTTGCGATTTAGATAATTGGCGAACGAATGCTGAGATATACAAGGAACTTTTCACCCGCATCGGTGAGGTCTCTAGTGTTGAGCTTCTATACGACCGTCAAGATCGTTCTCGTGGCATTGCCTACGTTACTATGCCAGACATTCGCGATGCACGGGACGCTGTGCGCGACTTCGATGGTGCCAATGCCAATGGTCAGCCGATTCGTGTCACCCTTTTAGCTTCTTCGTCAACTGGCAGAGCGCGCAATCCTTTTGACACTGCCGAACGACCTTCTCGCTCACTTTTTGACCGTGTTGAGAAGCGTAGTCGCAGCGAGAGCCCACAATCACGCCCTCGCCGTGGCGAACGCCTTGACCACATTGATCGCTACGTACCTGGCGAACGTAGCGATTCTAGGCGCCGATCTCCGCTTCCTCGTCGTGGTGGTGGAAATGACAGCAGACGAGGCAGTAGGCGACCAGGTGAGCGGCCTCGACGAGGCCCTCAGACTGACGCTGAGGGCCACAAGCTCGTCCAAGGCCGACCTCGCAAGACCCAAGAAGAGTTAGACGCTGAGATGGAGGATTATTGGGGAAACAGAGAAGAGGGTGCGGCTGCGTCCGCTGGCGACACCGCAACAGCTACGGCTGCAGCCACCGGAGATGTAGGTCTGGGAGACGACGATGTCGACATGATCGAATGAGTACTCGAAAGACTGCGAAGTCTATGCAAGAGATGGATGAATGAATTCGCCTACTCAATATGCTGAAAGCATCGAGTCTCAAATGCCACATGCATGCAAAGGCGAATGAAATAATGGCAATCTCCCGGTCCTAGGCCAGTTCACTAAAAATGATTCCTCCTAAGGTTGTACAAATATTTATGAACAAAACAATAGAAAAACAGGCAGATTAGCGGGGTGACGCGCAGCTGATTTGTCTCTCACCACTTGACACGTGCGTCTTTACTCTCACCTCATTTTCAAGCGAGAGTATCATGCATTCCGAGTTGTACGCTCGAGAATAAGCCCATGCATTGCATTTTCTATACCATGTCCGACGGTGCCGAAAGGGTGGCTATCTTTCTCCGCACTCGAGCTACGTTGGTGCACGTCACATGTACCAGCAACTCCACACTCTCAACACCCAACAGCAAGGGACTAACGACTCGCAGTGCCAGAGTTCCGGATTCCGGTCTAAAAATTCCCACGTCTCCACCGTGTAACGATTTTTATATCTTCCTGCAAGATTTTATGAAAAAGGCGTGGTTTTATACTCGTGAGGAGAATAAACGTTCAAGCGTCAAACGCCAAGCCAAGGGGTGCTAAGAAGGCTCTTCTTTTGATATCCTGCGTGAACGCAAAGCGGAGCGGGCGAAGGGAAAAGAGCGTGGAGAAGACACTTTATTTGTCCCTCTTTTACTTCGTTTGACTGCCCGATTGTGGCGGCGTCTTCCGCGAGAATAAACACGGCCTGGCGCCCGAGCACAGCATGGCGCCTCAGGACTTCACGGGCAAGGTGATTGCCATATCTGGCGCCGCGTCGGGCATCGCGCTCGCGACGGCGCAGTACATCTACTCGCTGGGCGGGTCGGTGTCGATCACGGACGTGCGGCGGGAGGCCCTCGCGGAGGCGGCGAAGAGGATCCGCGGGAGCGACTACGCGACGTACGAGATCGACCCGGCAAAGGTGGCGACGGTGACGAAGGAGATCCGGGGCACGTCGGACGGGGACGTGGCGGTGGCGGCGCCGCCGTCGGACGCCGCGGAGCTGGAGACGGGCGACGGGCGCGTCTTCGCCATCGTGACGGACGTGCGCAGCTCCGAGCAGGTCGACCGCTGGATCGCGCGGACGGTGGAGCGCTTCGGCCGCCTGGACGGCGCCGCAAACCTGGCCGGCGTCGTCGGCCGCCACATCGGCGAGGGCACCATCCTCGACATCACCGACGCCGACTGGGCCTTCATGACGAGCATCAACCTGTCCGGCGTGTTCTTCGCGCTGCGCGCCCAGATCAGGGCCATGAAGGCCCTCATCGAGGCAGGCACGATGACGGGCGCCAGCATCGTCAACGCGGCCAGCACGGCCGGCATAGAGGGCAACAGCATGAACTCGGACTACAGCGCCGCCAAGCACGGCGTCGTCGGCCTGAGCAGGAGCATGGCCAAAGAATGGGGCCACCTCAATATCAGGTGCAACGCTATCTCGCCGTAAGTACCTCTTCTCTCTCTTTTTCTTCTTTTTTTTTTCCCCCCCCCCGTCTCCCCATCACCTCCCGGGGAACTTCCCTTCC